TCATGTCTCGTCACGTCTGACTACTTAGTGTTGCATCACATGTGAGGCGAGGAGGCAAAGCAAAAATCATTTTTCCAGAAGCTTACAACATTTTGAGTCATGTCACTTTATATCTTATTGTGCTGTGTCTCATCAAATCACATCTCTGCGCAGACATGCACAGGAGAAAGTTATGTCCACTATCCATGTATCCCATCACATCTAGTCATGTCACAACATGTCATGTTGTTAACACCATGTCACATCATATCAGGCATGTAGCAGACATGCAGGGTAAAAATGATTTGCGCTGTAGGCTGTGTCATCCTCGTATTAAGTCATGCATTAAACAGACAGGGTTGGTAAGAAAAAATTGGTACATCAAACCATGTCATGTTGAGTCACGTCATGTCGCGTCACATCACTTTACACTGGCATGTAGAAGAAATATCATATCATATCATTTGAGTCACGTCATGTCACGTCACGTCACGTCACATCATGTCATGTCACATCCTCTCATGTTAAGTCGGGTCACAACGTGCCACAATACCACACCATGTCACGACATATACAAATAACAGACATGCAGAGTAAAAAGAGTTAGCACTTTAGGTCACGACCAAAGACTGTATATACTATGGACAATTTGGAAAAGCTCTCTGTAATTCCGCATTTCATCTCAACTTCCTGAAACCAACATTGTGCAGTAACGTTGTACGCACTCCACCACTTGCGCAGTAGCGTTGTGTGCATTTGGTGGAAGAGTCGCTGAGAGTCGCTGTGATGATGCTCGGCTTAAATAGCGTATCCCCCAGGTGAGCTACGCAATCTTCGGATGCCCATAGACTGTATCAAGTGTCAATCACTAAAAAAAAAAAAACGTTATAACTTTTAAAAATGTAGCTGTACAGAAAAAAGAGGACTTGAGCACAAACCAGTAACTACATGTCATCATCACAAGTGGTGGTGGTGGTGGGGGCGTTAGGGGATTTATATTCTGTGTGATAAATTTCTGAAGTTTGTCCACAACTCCATAGGGATCGCTGGAAGAGGTGGCTAGTATATGACCTATACTGCAGCCTGTCACCAGTGGGTGCTGTTCTCGGGGTGGCTTCACCCAGCGAGGAGGTGGGTGCTGTCGATTCTACATACAGTTTATGGTCACACCACATAACTTTGCATCCCATCATGAATTTCATGACACATCATACAACTTTTTATCCTTAACACTGTGCATAGCAGATATGCAAGGTATGTTTTTTAGTCAGTCATATCATTTGAGGTGGCATTTCATGTGTGGCAAACATGCAAAAGAAAAATCTTTTTTTTTTGTCATTCAAGTCATGTCATTTTATGTGTCAGGACAAACATACAAGAATAATATCCAGGCTGAACAAAATGACAGGATCGAATAGCCCAATTTTTAGAGGCTATTCAAAGTGAGGTCTTTGCACTGTGCAACTTATTCTGAGAGTTTTTTTATTTCCATGGTTGGTGGTTCAAGGAAAAAATTGCAGTATTTGTATGCTTACAGAAACAGACTGGCTAAATACGACAGCAGGAATTGAGTTTACCACCTCAAATGACACTGAGTGTAAAGTGGCAAAGATATATTCAATAAAAGAATCTGCAGCAACTGTAAACTGCAAACTTTTTAGAGAAGCTGGGTATAAAATGAAAAATCCAGTTTATCCAGTTCCTCAATCTGGCTCAAAATGGTAAAACATTAAGAGCTCACTGAAAAAGGAATCTGCATTATAGCACTTCATGATGGAGGATGGTCTCTGAGACAAAAATGGTAACGTCTTAAAGTGTTCTCAAAGTGTGGTCAAGTATGCTTTGAAGTCAATTGACAAGACTGGTACTCCAAATTTCGCCAAGGAAGAGGCAGGGAACAAAAGTCAACTGAAGCAGATGTCAGACATCTTGAGATTTTTAATACTAAAGACAGAAGTAAAACTACTGCTGATCGTTCTCTGAGACAAGTCTTTGGAAACAGCCAGAAACTATTAGGAACTCAATAGCAAAAGAGACCCTCTAATAAAGTACATCAAAACAATGCCAGCAAGTATACAAGCTGTCATCAAGGCCAGAGGAGGCCATGCAAAATATAAGGTTTTTTGGTTCCTATGTGTGAAAAAGGACTATTGTTTCAGTCTAATAATTTTGTCAAGCTCTATACCTCTTATGGAAAATTATGTCTGCATTTCATGAGACCAGCCAAAGCAATATTTTAATAATGAGATATTAATTACATAGGGATATAACAAGACAAACAAAACAGCTGTAAAAGAAAGCAATTATAATCCAAACCTGTTGAAGATTAAAAAATAAAAAAATAAAAAGGAAATTAATGCAAACATGGCCACTCTTGTTCCTGTACTTTGGGCTATAAACCTTATTGATATTAATTTTGAAATAATCCAGTTTTGAGTTTCAAGTCTTGCTCGATAAAAAGTTCTTTTTTTTTTTTTTGGCTTCATTATGTCTCTTGTTAATGTATGCACTGCCAAATGAGGCTATTTAAGGACATTTTCATGGATTTTGCTTCAACAATGACAGTTTCCCGAGGTCTGTTGTGACAATCAACAGCGGGAGCAACTGTGCGGATAAAATGTGAAACCCTCTAAGCATGCTAATTATTCTCCTCAGCCTTCAGTATGAATTAAGTTCCACGATGAGTTCTTCACAAGCCTCTAAAAAATATGATTAAGAGCTGAGATGATGACGATGACGGCTCATTGGGGAGAAACAACTCTGTGTAAAGTGAATTAGCTGTAATTACTCCCAGTGACTGAAATGAACAGGCTGCTTTGTACAAACACGAGGAGGAAGCAACACAAAACAGGGCTCATTGTGTGCCACCTGAATGAAACGTCTCCACTGGATCACTTTTATTTTGTGTTGAAACTGACAAAAGGTAAAACGCAACACTTGAAGAAATGGTTAGACTCAGTTAAATGATTTTGATTTTAAGAAATAATAAAACATAGCCACAGGAAATTAAGAACATTGAAGTACACCCAATGTACTTCAATGTTCATTGGGTGTACCCTAACACTAACCCTTACCCTAACCCTCCAATATTATGAAAGGTTTTTGTCTTATTTCTTAAAAGAAAAGCTTGATTAAGCATAGCTTAAGCCACACTTAACTAAAAAAAATGGTTATAAAGCAACTTCAGCAGCAAGACAAAAAGATATCAATATAAAAGCATAACAATCATTTTTATAAGGCACTATCCTCTCCAAAAGAGTGTCAGTCAAAGAGGTGTTAATGTTGATAAATCAAAATGTAGTAATATATTGAAGAAATGTGTGAGTCTTTTAATTTTTGCATTTCCGTAATGAAATTAATTGCGTTGTTTTTTTTTCTAGTTCTCTTAATAATATTTTTAATATGATGTGTTATGATGGCTATAACCCTCAATCAATCAATCATTCAATCAGGTCTTCAGTCTTATTTCGAGAACTTGACTATTTCATTTTTCTTATTTCACTGGCAGATTGTAACTCCTTACAAACAAGCCGTTGTTCCGGTATTGAGGGGTAAATTTGGCTGAAATGAATCTTAATAAATCTTTTTGTTTTTGAACTTTAACAAAACACTTGCTGAGAATTGCTTTTTTCAGTGTGTTTATGAGTCGATTGAAATTCTTGGTTGTGCTTGTCTTGTTTAGTATGGACTGCTTGGGTCTTCAGTTGTATTCTGTTTTTGTATTAATATTAACTACTTTGTTTATTCCACTAAGAAACAAACTGTCTGTAGGTGGTGAACCCTCAGGGTGGCTCCATGTTGTTTATTTGGACTGAACTTTACCTCCAGGCGCTTGCCTGCAAGCTTCCCACATAGGTCTGTCTCCGAGGGGGTAACCTAAGCTTCCTTCTTTAGGGCGAGGTTGACTTCTTCCCTTTGTGCTGCTTTGTTGGGGTTGATGCAGTCACATCACCTCCCTGGGACTTATTTACCTTAAGTGACCCCTTCAGGGCCTGGGTGGCTACCCAAGTTTACGGGCAAACTCTTCATCATGATAATGTTATTCTAGAGAGCGAAGCACTGGAGTTCAAGTAACTCAGGATCTTGTTGGCAACAGAGAGTGATTGTGACGTTCACTGCTTTAAAGGAAAGTCTATGGTTGTGATATGGCATCATGTCCTGAATTTGTTGGCAAAATAAATGATTTACGGTTTTGACTTTAAAAGAGGGGGTGTTGTGCCTTTTTTCCAGATGCTTCCTCTCTGGTACCTCTTTAATAGCTTTATATGATTTTCAGATTTTAAACAAAGACTCCTGTTTCTCAGCCTATAATGCTGACACAGGCATTTCAGTGAGTCTTGTGTTTTCTCGCATGACAACAAAAGTTTTCCTCGTTATTTGAAACTTCGCATACATCTAGTATGGACACCATACATTAAGCTGTGCAGTTTTTGTTGTAGATGTGGAAATGCTTTAAACCACCCCTTTAACAGTCAGAAAATCTGCTCCATTTTTGACCATGTGGATGAAATGTTTTTCACATTCCCTAAAATAAAAGAAACACTAAACACAGATTTACAAAAGCGAAGCATTCTTCATTGTTAAAAGCTACACTTTCCTAAAGCTATACAAGAGTTTTAGCTCGTATGAATCTGTCCTGTTTCATGAATTGAACTGCTGGTTTCATCAGCACCAATGGCACCACTTCAATGAGCACGTTCATTTTAGTGTGTTAACACACAACATACATTAAAGACCAGTCACCACCAAAGCAAAGAAGAGAAGAAGGAAATTTGCAGAAGCAGCAGTTATGTTGAAAGTTTTAAGTTAAAGAACAAAGGGCTGCAGACCGAACTGAAGAAGGAAGACTCACAAATGAAGTGTTGCATGGTGTGGGCTCTGGTTGTTCTGAAGGACTGGTTGGGGAAACCAACAGGGAAAAAAACTTGAAAGGTAAGTGGCTAGGGTTGTCAAAGGATGTTTCAGTATTTTTGTAGTGGAGTTGCATCGGCTACCAATAAGTATTTTAACCACAATGGATGCTGTTCAGTTTGGCCCCTTTCATGTGAAACTGTCTACAGAAACAGAGCACAAGCTAGGCTACAGTAGGGTGACCATACATCCTCTTTCACATGGACATGTCCTCTTTTTTGGGGGCTGTCCAGGCTGTTTTGCTTGTCTGGATTTGTCCGGGGAAGTTTATGAAATCCTTCAAATGTCTGAGATTTTGTACGGTTTTGAGTTTTGAGTTTGTGTCATGTGGACTTACTGAGTTAGAAACGTGTAAAGGACACCTGATCCGACCCGAAAAACTCTCAAAATTAACTCTGTGCGACTATGTGACTCCACTCCCCCATAGTCGTGTCCTCTTTTTTGGGATTCAGAATATGGTCACCCTAGGCTACAGTTTTCTGCCGACAGGGCCGGCTGGCTGTGCCACTTGATAGAGCTTATTTTGAGAGACTCTGACCCAAGCACTCATGTTGGTTTGAGAGATCGCTCGGCTGAGCCCTTTTGTTTGTGCACTCTTGGCAGGCTCAACAGACATTCATGCTCTGCTGCATGCAGCGCACTGACCTGCTTGGTAGCAGAGCCAGATTTTTTTACTGGGGTGGCCAAAGTGAGGCAGCATTAGAGACCTGTCAACATCTGCCAACTCCTCCTCAGATTTGATTTAGAATTTCTTCAGATTCATGTACAGACCTGGTCTGCTTCTGCAGATGTGACCCAAATGTAGAAAAATAGACTATAAAGTACCAAATTATTTGAAGTAGGTAAAGGGTTGTTGGATAGTCAATGTTACATTTAAATGGTGGGCACGATCAGCCCAGGCTTCAGCCCACACCTTTTGTACCAGTTGAACATTCAAATTACATCCTTGCTGAAATGTTTAATGTACACTGAAAAACCAGGACTAATTCACATGGCAGCACATTGGTAAAGAAGTACATGCCAAGTGTTTACATGTGCCTGAATATTCAGAAAGCCCACCTTGGCTGCCTAAAAGAGACCCTGCAGCGGTTAATATGCAGACTGTGTCTTTGTGGGAGCAGGGCATGCCAAAAAGAGGAGACCGGGAAGAATCCCTCTGCAGCCGGTGTGAACTTCATGCACAGAGAGAATATGCAACAGCTGAATATTTAACAGGATTCAAGTGGATGTCAAATGCTCCAGTGTGAAACAGACATGTGAATTGGGTGCCAGTGGTGTCAGCTTGTGTATCCAGGAAACGCTGAATGATTTCTATATGAATTTCATACAGAAAACAGATTTACAAGGACAAGGACTCATGAATAACATCGAGGCAGAAGAGTCCGTTAGGAAATGGATAGTGACAGAGATGTCATTCAAGCAGGTGTGTAATGGTGGTGTTTTTAGAAGAAGTTATCTCGAAACCTTAGAGTAAGACTTCTTTACACAGTGAAGCATGTTCTGCTCATGTCTTTTGATTGTTTTAATAAGAACTTATAGCACTATTTGCATTTTTCAAGGCTTCTCAGTTGAAATGGTGCAAAATCATTCATATTTAGTTAATCAGAGGTCCAAGCAATTACCAAAAATTATATTTAAAATCTTTCAAGGCTTAAATAGTTCATATATGTCACAATTTTGCATGTGTGGTTGAAAGAAATCCACCAGTCCTGTAGCTGTAACACAGCCTGTTTGGAAAGAGTCTTTCCCCCTTTCATTTTGTCTTCTTGCTTTTTGGTTTCTTGCTCTTGGGTCCCGGTTTGTTGGCCTCATCCTGTGAAAGAAGAAAAAAGGATTAGAGTGAGAACAGACCAATAATTATCTTACATTAGCACTTTACTTAATCCTGCCAGAGCTTAATATGTTTAGAAAGTCAGCGCTGTTTTCTGATGACACTCCTGCACAAACTCCTGCTGTGTTTCTCTTCAGACTCAAACCCTCAAAATCACGACACACTGATTGAGTCACACCATTTTAAAATGTTCCTGTTATTGCATCAGACTAAACACTTAAGGATGTTAACCTTTTAAATGCTAGCGTCAATAAAAAATATAAATATAAAAATAAATGATGTGGAACTTTTTATTGCGTAGATAATGTTGGAGCCCATCATCCTGGCTGCAGACGAAAAATAAATGCCCTCATTTCTTCAGTCTGGGTGTCTGTTTAATTTCTTCTTGCAACAGTTTCACTGTTTATATTACGTTATAAAGAGGATTCACTCTGGCCCACTCTATAAATGTTAACTCAAAAAAAGAATTAATTTTCTTGTGAACCTGGTTTATACTCCTGCATCAGACCCATGTCGTAGCCCTGCACCCGAAGCAAGAACTTGCACTCATAGCCCAAAGCACACTTCCTCCAAAATGTAACTACATTTCAAAGTGATGCAGATTTCAGACCTGTGATCGGTCTGCTTGGCGTGGACATTTTGCAGTATCGCCTCTACCCTCTTTCAGCTGCCATATAGTCTCAACTAATGTTTCCCCTCTTCTTTACAATATTTGCAGTAGGGCTGGGCGATATGGCCTCAAATCAATATCACGATATATTGAGCAGTTCACCTTGATAACAATAAATGGAAGATAACTACTCCACAAGCTGCTTACTTCCTCCTACATTAACTTTGTCTACTTACGCTCCAACTTTTGAACCATCCTCCATCTCCTCACCTGTCTGTCCCTTGAAGACTTTAAGCGTCTTAAAGGGACATGAGACTTAAGCCTACTTACACGCATCCAAAACATCCAAAATCGGTTATTATCATAAATTTTGGTATCAGTAAATTTTCGGTTTATCGCTCAGCCCTAATTTGCAGCAACATCAACTGTTGCACATCTTTTATCGACTTCAACTCAAACATACAACTCTCAGATTCAGTGGCTTTAGTTTCTTGTACAGGGACAAGGAGGAAACAGAACAGGGCAGGAAAACTGGAGATGCGATAAGCACAGACTTTGCACTGTTGACTAGTGTTTAACTTGAGTATTACAGTGATATAGACACTCCAACACAGAAGTATGTAGTGCCTACAAAGGAATCAGACACTATGGCGTTGGTACAGAAGGGGTCAGACGCAGAACCATAAACCAGGCTTTATGGTACCGAGTAGCACGTGTCTCCTGGAGGCTGCAGATTCAGAAACATAATTCCAAGCCCTCATTGTTTGTCTGTAATGGGTTTGTCAATCAGTAATCTGCATCATAAGTGTCACCTGAACCCCTAACTTCATCCCCATAACTGTGGTCCTGAAGTGAGGGAAACTGCAGCCTCTGGCCCTGAAAAAAGCTAAATACTCATTCCAGCTGAAAGTTGAAAGAGGTATCTGCTGACCCAGCATGATCCCTTGTCACTCCGAAAGAGATATGCCAAATATCTTATAATGTTTTTATTTCTGTAATGCATGTGCGCTTGTTTTAGTTCGGAAGCATGGGCGTCTATGAGTTTGCCTGCACCAAGCTCAATCTGCTCTGCTCTGATTACATGTTCCTACCAAGGGCAGGGTTCCCAGGTGTGAACATGAAAATAAATTGATTTTTTTGAATTGCAAATATTGTGGAGTAGCACGAGCCTGCAGACATAATAGTACAATGATACATAATAGGTCAACCAGGAGGCAATCTAGTAGTAACAAGCTGAAAGGGGGCATGTTGACTCCTACCATAGTGAAGACAGAGGTACTCCTGTCAAAAAATCCCATTCTTGCCCCAGTGCTTGCTGTTTTATCCACTGTATTTGTATTATTGCATTTAAAGTATTCAGTATATTTTATCCTACACTAAAGCCTGACCAGGGACAATAAGGGATAATAGCTTGAGGTCTTGTATGCATCACATGTTCCATTTCTTGTGGCGATGTTGTATGTATTGTCCCTGTTAAATAAACATTAAAATTAAAAAAAATAAAATAAATGTTACCAGGACTGGTTAAAAGTCTGTTGCTATAGAGGGCTAACAACTGAGAAAATTTTAAGGACTGCTGTTTCTCTATCCGCAAAAATCTTGAACAGGTTGTTAGCTGACCTTGCATGCAGGTATTTATTTATTTAATGAGAGAAATCAATCCTCTTCAGAAGGTGGACTGTGTTCTCTGCTTTTGCTCTCCATACAGTTAGTTCTTCCTGCAGACAGCAAAGCTTGCTGACACCTGATTGGTTGATACCACTCAGACTGCAAACTTACTGCCAACAGAACCATGACCTTTTAAAATCCCAGTTCCCTGTTAACAGAGATAAGCATGCAGGCAGATACTAAAATGTTTGTCCTAATTTTGTCTGGAGTACTGGAGTCATGTGACCTTCACTAAGTGATTCATATGCTGCAAAATAACTGCCAGAAATGTTCCCTCTTCAGGGTGCGGTGGACTTAAATTGATGATCCATTCAGCTTTGGTTTTCCGTTCTCCATCTATTTTCTCTCCTCAGTTCAGTTCCAGTGAAGAGAGATTTTATCTAATCAAGCATTCAGTAACAGCAAAATTGCTCTTCTACATTGTTCTGTTTCAGTTATTATTCAATCTCAGAAACACATGGATAAATTGTTTGTGGACTCAGGAGATAAGGGAGTGTTTTACTTGTGCAAACAGAGTTCAGGGTTTTCACAACAATATCTTCTGGAAAAAGGTGAAAATGAATCTCAGTGCTCTGATAATAACAGGTTGTATCCATCGGGGTTGAAAAGTGCTGCATGATCTCTGTTTTTTCGACCCTTTTCACTCAGTGAATAACCTCTAGGGTTCCTGAGACATCATAAAAAAAGCTGTGTTCAAGTATTCACATATGTGTAAGGTATCAATATGAATACAAATGATTGAAAATTTTTTGTCTTTTTACACCTTTTACAGGTAAAAATGGTCTGTCTCGTTCTGGGCAGGATGCAAACTAAACAGCAGTGTTGTGTAAGTTAAAAGTGAGCTAGCTCAAATTTTGGTCCATACTGATCAAAATTAACAACTCCACTAACCCCCAATCCTCAGTCACTAATATTTCCTGAACTAAATAGATTATTCAGTTCTACTGTACAATCATAGACAGATATTTGCTCTTACAGCCAAGAAAATCTCTCTTTATACCAACTAAACATGGGGAAAACCTGCATTTTTAAAAGTTAGAACCAACTGATATTCAATGGAAAAAATTTTAGCTTGATGTTTCTGACTTTTGACCCAAATGCTCAGGAAAGTCTGCTTTGTAACTGGCAATGAGGGGTAGGTGGTATTCGATCTCTTAAGTAAAAAGCTTAAGAGTAAAGAGTGTGTACATGTGCAAAGTTTCTTGATCTGATAAAAAATTTGAGGGATCAGAAAATCAGAATCCACTGTTTATATGGGCGCAAAATCAAATAATCCGATCATGACGTGCGTTTACATACACCAAGTTTTATTCAGGTAAGAAGCATTTGGACATGCGCAGAGTTCCCAGATTTCACTAAAACAACTGCAGAAAAAGAGTTGTATTTACGCCTGTGCTGTCATCAAACCAACAAATGTGGTAGTGGCTCACTCCATCCAATTCAGGAGTTTTCCCCCTGTTAAATGTTGTCACTAGATGGCGCCCTTGTGTACTTATTTTACTGTTCTGTCAAAGGTTGCGCTGTGCGTGCAGATGTGACATCATTACGCTGTATGTACGCCTTGTTATGTTACCGGAGTAACAGACACGGCACCTGCAGTTGTGTTTTATGTCAGAGAGTTAATATGGAAACCTCCTGTACTGACCTCAATAGATAAACCAAAGGCTAAAGAGTGAAGATTGAGTCAGGTAGGAGAGTCACTATCGGAATGAGTGTGGACGCATTTTGGAATAACGATTGTCATAAACCACCCCTCTCGATCGGAATACAATTTCTTTCCGATTGAGCCGAATTGGAGCAGAATCTTCAGATTGACATGTTTACGTGACGCATTTGTATTCCAATCAGGCATTTATTATGATTATTTGTGCCCATGTAAACGCAGCTACTGACCAAACAAATTCTCAAATAGCTGTACTTCTCTAAAACCAGATATAATTTTAACCTGTCAGGATTGGTCCTGATTTGTCCATAAAACTGCATCAGATGTTCAACAGAGCTGCTTATTCAGCACTGTTCAGAGAGAAGCAGCAGGTGCCATAAATCTGACTCTGGCTGCTGTAACACACAATGCTGGGTAACAGTCAGCAGCTCTTTCAAACTTTCAGATCTTCCTGACATATTCCTTGTTCTCTCTCTCCTCTTCTGGGGATAGGTGGCCAGAGATGGATGTAACTTTAGGGCACTGCAGAAGCAAAAAATCCATCTCCCATTAAAAGAGACACTGTGCACTTTAACACTCCTGGTTCAACCATGTTAACTGATTGATTATTTAAATCTACACACACACACACACACACACACACACACACACACACACACATGCACACACACGGGATCAGTCAGGATCCACTGGTGATTAATGTTCTGTTCACTCAGCATCGATAGGGGGAAGCTGTGAATCTGTTTTACTGATTTTCGATTCTTTTGCTTGGCTGCATGTAACAGGTAGACTGGACCGTCAGCACTGATACCTGGAGCCATGATTGTTGGTGGTCATTTTGACACCTTTAAAAATTGAACTCAGTTGTTTCTGCATGCTATAGAGAAGCCAGCTGAGAAGACTGAGCTTTGAAAACTTGTTGGTTCTCTGACTTTTTATTTGGTTAACATCCTTGAGCTGTGATTTATGACCCGAAACCTGCAGCACCTATTCTAATTCTATCAGCTTGAATATTTTCTCTTTGCGTGCATTTAGACAAATTATAATGAGCAGGGAAAATATCTGTTAGAGGGAAACCACAAATCGCTGGTGGATTTTAGGATAACATCTGCGTGACTTAGTTCTCAAAGGTGCAGCTTAACAAAAGGCTTGTTGGAGGAACACAGAGTCGATCAGTAAAGGTGAAGCTGCAGGGTTTCCGCACATCCCCAAGTGTATTTGTGCAGATCTGACTCCTCTGACTCTTTCTCTGCCCGGCTGCTTTTATCCTGTAATCTGCTGTTTTCCTGTTCTGTTAGGAGACGATCTTTGTGTCCTTTTGTTCACACAAACCTAAGCTTCTGTGGGCTAAAAGAAGAAAGAAGAGAAAAACAACACACTGTGTGCAGGTGGAGTGTGGAGGATGACGTGTTCAAGATTTTTGATAATGTTTTTAATCCTCTTTAAATCATATTCACTTAAGATTCAAAATAAGTTGCAGAAAATACTGTGATAGTATGATTTTCTTGGTCTTACCATTCATGGTTTTATGCTTGAACAAAGTTATTTTTTTTGTTTTTTTTATGTTAACAGTTCTCACAACTTCCAAGGACAACATTTTTATTTGGCAATTTTAATGTGTAGAAAAAAAAACAACTAGTAAAGATAAGAAAATACGCAGTATTTCTATGAATCTTAAGTCTCTCAATGCTGTCTCCTTGGTTCTTGGCAAAAGCAACTTGCTACTGACCCGCCATGCTAAGTGGCATCCAACAGTCCTTATTGTGGCATGAGGGAGAGAGGATCCAGGGGAGAGGAGAGAATTTGAGGTAGTGATAACTGAGGAGCAGCTTTCACTAAAGTCTTTTAATAGACACACCCCCACATCAAACAGAGAACACTGATTTAACTATCACAAAGTGGACTTCAGAATCTTTACTACATCAACAGTTAAAAACAGGCAGTAAGGGAAGCCTTGAGTCAGGAGACTCCTGTTTGATGTTATGTGAAGAAATTTAAGCTCTGTCTTCAGGTGTAGAAGGAGTCTGTCTGTCATAGTAAGTAACTTTTTTTACATTCACCTTGTAGGAGTTATTTAAGAAGTTCAAAATATCTATAGCGTAACTTTGCCAGTAGGTGTCACTCTTGGGCTGAGGTAGGAACTGTCACCGAAGTTTCAAGTGCTGCAAGACAGAGGAGCGTACATAGGTTTTTGACTGCCGTCGGCGACCGCGCTGAACTGTGATAGAATAGAAATTTAGAAGATAGTAATTTAAGGTGAATTTTGGATTCCTCCTTTTTTTAACAAATTAAAGACTGCCAGGGGATAAGTCCATCTTCTGGACTGTCCTACATTTACAAGCTGCAACAGTGAGCACATCAATTATTATTCAAACTGCCAATGTAGCTAAGCAGCTTTAAGACTAAGACGCTAAAATCTTTATACCTTCAGTTTTATACAACTTGTAAGGTTGATCATGGGGTTTGAGGATTTTTATTTTTACCAAAACTTATCATCTTATGAATAATTTAGTGGATTTGAGGCATCACAAAACGAAGACTGTGTAAATTAAATACACACTTTTACAATAAACACTGAAAAGGCTATACAAAAATATAAATACAAATACCATACCAATTACAAAAAATATTTAACAATGATTTGATGGGTAAATTGATTTGTATGGTCTCAGCAGGACACAGTATAAAAGACTGCAGGTTGTTCTTCATGTGCAGGTGTTTTCTAAATAGGTCAAATACAGGCAAAAAAAAAATGTTTCATCTCTCTCTCTCTCTCTCTCTCTCTCTCTCTCTGTACCCCTCTGTCATCTCTTCATTTCCTCGCATCCCTCCATGCGTCTCTGGTGAGAGGGATTAAGATGCAAGGAAAAGACTCAATTGGAGGGTGCATGAATGCAACTTCAAAGACCCAAGGGATCCTTAGATAGACACTGTTCAGGTCTAAGTCTGGTCATATGTAATACTGTAATTGGGAACAATAGTTTCACACATACAGAACCTGTACGAAACAGGCTTCTGAAATGTGCAAATTATACAGCATTCGTGCCAGTGTTGTCGACGATGTCATCATCTGTTGAGCCTTCATCTGCATTTCTGCCGGGGTAGTACTCATTTTCTTTTCATCTCACCAACAGTGCTATCGGCTTTACGTGTTTAAGTGCTATGGTTGCGTGTAGCTGCAGCCTGCTCCTTTGTGGCCCTATGTGGACATTGATTGGACATTCTTGTTCACTCTAAACCTAATCCTAACCCTACATATTAAACATTTTAAGCTGTGTTATCCATTAAAATGATAAAATGTAAACCTTGTATTTGACAGAATAAATATTAGAAGCTATTAGTCATGGTTTCAGACCAAACTAGCACAGCAGTGCAGCATTTAATTAGATAATAAATCTAAAAGTCAAGTTCATGGAGTACCTTTCATTGCGCTCATTTGGTTCCCAAATCAAGACACTGGTAAGAATCACTTTATATTAATTACGTGGTCTTAAAAATCAGTTTCAAATGCAAAAAGTCCATGAAAGGTGATTCACCAGAGGAATTTGGCAACAAATCTGAAGTGAAAGCAGCCCTTTATTTGAAACCTTTAAAGAGAAAGTGAACAATTGTTTTTTCAGCTTCTGATCAGATGTGGTGTTTCCGGCCCCTTAAATGGCAGGTTTGTACATGATTCAAAAGAAACTTTTTTGTGCTTGTGTCATTTAAAAATGTTTTATTATTTTAACTCCATTATGATCCAGGATCATGGGAGGTGAAGGTTTTATGTAGCTGCACACACAGGTGGTGGCCCTTTCATTAGACTGGCGATAGGAGTCCAGACTGTACACTCAAACTGAGCTTTTTGAAGTGGGATACCTTTAAGAGTGGCTCTCGACTACCTTTAATCTACGTGTGGTGGCAGCTCGAAGGTCAATCGTGTTATCAGCTGAATGTTTTTACTGAACACAGAGATGACTTCAAAGCTGAGCAGACTGAACTTCAGGCCGCTGAGAGCCTGTTTGATCTCACAAAATGTGGCGTCCACACACTTCAAATAGAGCGATATCCCTAATGTGCAGAGAGACACAAAGTGAGCCTGACAGACTCTCTATGTTATCATAAGAAGACGTCCCTCACCGTCACCTGTAATAATGACCCCCCTGAAACTGACAGGATCAATTTCCTCTCATGGGCCAGATATGATGGGTTTTTTTAGCACTGGGTGGGATCTGTCTTCATGTCTGCCTCTCTGTCTCTCAATGTCTGTCTTTCATTTTTTCTTGTCTTTGTCTTTACTCTGACTGTTTCTGTTAATCTATTTTCCCTTTCCTCACTGTCTTTAACTCCTTCTGTCTCGCTTTCTCCCCTATCTCAGTGTCCTGTCCTTTTCTTTGTCCCTGCTGTCTAATGGTCTGGAGTTATCTGGTCTCTTCTGAACAGATTTGCTCTGATGGTCAAATTGAAAACAAAAATCTATGCCCCATTTGTCTTCAGAGACTTGTAGCAACTTAATCAATCACCAGCACAGAAGATACGGCAGCGAAGGAAATTTGAGTGAAGACATTTCAGAGGAAGATGACAGAGTAAAAGAGATCCTCACCGTGCAGGGGATGTACCCCTCATCCACCAGGATGTTCCTCGCACAGTTGTTGATGTGTTTAAAACGGTCAGGACCTAACAGAATCCCTCCATACCAGCGAGACACAACCACCATGACGTTACGCACATCCAGGATCTGCGAAGAGAGACAAACGGGGTGGAAATGTTAAAGTAAGTGTGAATTTGTAAGATGAGCAAGTGGTGAGGGTGTAAAATGAGACACGACAGTCTTCCCCGGTGGACAAACATTTCCCACAGGATGTGATGAGGTGGAGGAGTTCTCTATTTTGTTTCTGACTCAGCTGTCAGACGAATTGTGATGGTCTGAATCACCAGGAATGGAGAATATTATCTCTTTTGGCCAGAATTTGCAGTAAAGAAACTTGGCTTAGATTTTTGTGGTTCTTTATCAAAGTACAGAATATAAACCAAAAACAAGACAATAACTTTATCTGTTCATAGAGGTGAAAAGAGTAAAGCTCTTCTATCCTTAATACTGGTATGAAAATTGCTGCTGAGCGATCCAAACACCTCAGAATGTCCCAAAATAAATCTCTTAATGCACATGCAAAAGGAAGAAAATAACTCCCTCCCCTCTCTACACATCTCAATAAATTAGAATATCATGAAAAGGGTCCTTTAAAAAGCAGATTTTGGGGATATATTTGTGGTATACATCCTGCTAAGAAAGGACATTAGTTGGTGGGAGTTTTGGCGCTGTGGGCGGGTGCCAGATCCTGCTGGAAAATGAAATCTATGTCTCCATCAACCTTCTCAGCAGATGGAAAAATGAAGTACTCTAAAATCTCCTGGTAGGCTTCAGGCTGTCTTGACTTTGGACTTGATAAAACACAGAAGACCAACACCAGCAGATGACATGGCACCCCGAGTCATCCCAGACTGTGATGATACAAAAATGCTTTTAACATGTTTGCATATGAACGGTTTTGAATATGAAACTATTACACTTTCACATAATATTCTTGTTTTTTGAGATACAGCTACACACCTCCTTGGGGAAACACTGATATTAGTACTTGTATACTCTTGTTTTATGATACTGAGGCTACATTTGTGAACTCACCTCAAACTTGTAGAAGCGTCAGAGATGAAAACAGCTGTTCTTTAGGATTTAAGCTTGTCTTTTACTGGGTCTTGGACAGTTTGTTAAGTTCTCATAAATGTGTTTGATGTATATTTAATTCTTAATAACCTCATGGAGAGCTGGCAATTTACTTTGAGAGCTAAAAGTCATGCTGTATAAGGCTTTAAAAATTGGATTATAAAGGGTGGGGTCATACAAGGAGTTACAACATAAACTGTTTTCCAACTTGACCTTTAGGCTGAGAAAACCTATTTCTTCAATTTTCTCCCTCTTAGAAAGGTAAAACAAATGGACTAAGACAGTGTAGCAACAAAAGGTCAGTCAAAATGCTTTTTTTTAGATCATAGGGCACTAATGTAAACCCCTGACAGGCTGAAATTGTGTGTTTAGTTAGTTTAAGAAGTGCAGGTCTCTACAGTGTGTTGTGCTGACACATTGTGCTCTGTTTCTTCTCCCCTCTAGCAGCCCTAACAATGGATAAAAGCTCATATCTGTCTTTCAGCTCTTTGTTTTGTTTAAAGAGCCTGCAATTTTACCGTCTTCAATGGGTCTCTGTTCGGCATTGTTCCCAAAAGCCTCAAAGATCTGGTCTTAAAGTTGACACTCAGACTGATCCACAGACCCATTTCTCCATGAACTCTTGACATTTACTGGATTATTTTAGAAATTTCAAGTCCTGATATGTTATCACAGCAACATGTTTCAGGGTTTTTCCACAATGAAAGCACAGCAGCAGAGGACAAAACCCAGACAAGTGAGGTGAGTAAAAAAGCACCTGTGCCCGGTGTGCTTTTGCGCTGTTATTGCCCACAACCTCAATTAGAGAGCACTTCTCAGAGGCACTGTCTGTTGCTAGGTTACAAAAGTTGTGTTGCTGCACTTCCACTTTTCTTAATAGCTAATTGCTGGGTCTGTTTTAGGCTAAATATCTGCTTTTGCTCTTGGAAACAGTATAAAATAATGAAACCAATAAAAGAAATTATGATCTAACTTTGGAAATTATAGCCTTAAATAAGTAACTCCAAAAAAAACAAGTAGCTGCCTAGCTTCTCCTCAAATATAATTGTTGTTTACAAAGCACCAGCACAGTGTGCTGCCCTCTGGTGGTCAATAGTAACTTAAACACATATTTTAAAGCTTCAATCTGTGATGTATTTTTTTGTTGATGTACTGTGAATTGTACACAATCAACTTTGAAAGAACATCATTAACTCTGATATGTACGTTGGCCCTGAAATTACTGTAAAACATTTGATGACAGCGAAGAAGTCATCTCATAATCTGCAGAAAAACATGTCAACAATAACATGTTTCCTGAATATGCTGCAAAAAACACTGAAGTCACTGCATGTTTTTTTCTTGTACTAAAAAAATATTTCAGACAGTTTTTTTTTATATGCTGCTAAAAACATTTCAGTTTTGGTAAATATTTTTTGTAGTGTGCTGCACAAAACATTTCAGGAACCAGATAGGGTAGGACTTTGACTACCTGTTTGTGATTGGCTTAACATGTTTAGCACTAGTCTTGCGTCATTTCTTGTTTATCTTAATTACAGTAGCTCCTTCATCATTGGTTAACTTTGTAATAAATATGGAAGATCAATTTGAACTCATTAGAGCACCATAGAAATAGCTGTATTAACCTACCTCGGCCATAAATACACATTATCCAAACACATTATGAAATATAAACCTTGCAGTATTGATTATTCCCAACGCAAAATGCATTTTTTCAACTGTAGATTATACATATTCTACTTGTGCATTAAATGATTCACTATGCTATTTAGAATATCCTCTGTGCAATATACATTATCTGTCATGCCCTGCATATCAACTACAGTGAATAATATATTATCCACCTTGTGATATGCATTATCTGCTCTTTGATGTATGTGTTTTTCTGCACGATATCGATCATCTGTGCAATGTGCATTCATAAATGTGCAACACAAATTAGTTTCTGTGCAATACAATTAATTTACTATGCCATATGGTCTATTCTAGCTGCATTACACAACTACATACTGTGCAATTTACAAAGTCGACCCTTCAATACATCCTCTAAACCAGCTTTATATCTTATCGACTCTGCATCAGACTGTGCAACATTTTAAGGCATGTAAGCTGCACTTTAAAAGATTGAAAATAGGGATGAATTTCATGTTACAGTGGATGTCTTCTTCTTTTATAAGTGTGACGTGACAATGAAGACTTCCTGGTGCAAGCATTCCAATATTTTAGAGACTGTCTGGAGTTTTTTTTTTAAATAGCTTTAGTGCTGCTTCAACATTAAGTAATTTGCAATCCAACAACAGCAGAAACATAAAGAAGAATCAAGTGACTCTAAGAAAAGCTGTGATTATGTTCTGTGCCAGTAAAAAACACTAATGAGGAAATAAAAAAATATCTATTTTCATTTGCTTCATCAGTCTTGGTTTATGAGACGTTCTGCATCCCCTACTAAACTGAAATCAATCCTATGTTACTTTAATCTGACATAAATTTTCTCTCATCAAACTACATAGAAATAGTAAATTGGTCCAAATGCCAAACCACCCCTCACATTCAAAGAGGAGGAAAAATGCAACCTGTCATTGGAGGAGACTCGCACATCAGGCTGCCGACTCTATTAATCAGATCAGATTTTTATTCATCGCCTAACACTGGAACATTCAGTGGGAGAAAGCACAAGAATCTAAAAGAGGACACAGGAAGAACAGCTCATGGAGAGGAATCAGATTAGAGGAGGAGTGGGCTCTCCATGAAAATTGCTCCGTACGCTGAGAGTGCGACAAGTAGGAGATTAATCAGCATGTAGCTCAGAAGGATCAGCTTGAGGACAGCTGACCTGATGCTATCACTCCAGTTACAGTAGACCATTCAGCTGCAGGGGGTAAACTCACAGTACAGGTTTTATTCTGGTTTCAGGACCAGGATGGAATTATCAAAGGAGGTCTTTAAGGTTATATCAACAAACCCTGTGAGTGACGATTACATATAAAAAGTTTCTGCAGTCATTTTGACATCACCCACTGTTTTGTAGACTTCTGTTTCAATGTCTCTAAGACTTTTGTTGAATTCCTGCCCTAGTTTTTGGAACCGTGGGTGTCTATATTTTGTTTGGTCAAACCTCAACTATCAGTTTGGAAAAATAGGCATTTATATAATTTGAGGGTCAAATCTTGCTTTTAAAAAACTACACACACCCTGAAGGTTAAAAGAACTATCAAATTTGGTTAATAAGACACACCTTTAACACAATTTCATCATCCACAAAAATCCTGCCTCCTTTAGAGGTGTGTGATCAGCGCCCAAATGTAACAGCTGAGAGAGGTATTTTTTTGCGTACCAATAGATTACCCAGAAGATGGCGCTCAAGGGAAAAAGCAACTTATTTGCTGCCAGTGCATGCTGGATACAATATGATAAGATACAATACGATATGAGATGATACAAGATGTTACCATACCATACCATATCATACCATGAGGCTACAATATGGTATGATATGATGCAATACAATCCAATATGAAAAATTTAGATATGATATGATACAATTAGAAGTAATTTGATAAAAAAGATACAATACAATTTACTGCCAAAAAAAACAATTCAGGGGGATATGATGCAAAATTATGCAGTAAAGTACTATATGATGCAATATATTTACTATACATGCTACAATATTGTGCAGCATGATACCAAATGATAGGATGCATTACACTATACTTAAAATTTATCTGGGACTCATCTACCCAACTACAGAAGAGTAAGCAAAAGTTGAGTTTTAGCTGTTTCTAAAACCTTCAGCTGTTCATTTATAAAGACGTTCATGAAGTCTTAGAGCCATAAGCTGGAAGCAACATGACAACAGTAACTAATGAAACCACAGCTATAAAGTAGAGCGAGCAGCTAGAGATGTGTAAAAACCAACACCCTCCGATGTGTTTAACGTTCTATCAAATAAGGAGTTTTCTGAGCTAGGTGTGTAGGTGTTCCAGACTGATGTAATAAAAGAAATGAGGTGTCCTTTCAGGAAATTTTGTAGAGAGAGTACTTTTCACTTTTACTTCAATGGATTCACAGACTTGTAGTTCTGCTTCTACTAAAATAAAATGTTAGTTGCTGTACTTTTGTCGGAGAAGAACATTTTAAAATCAACATGAGAAGTCTTTGAAAATTTTCTGTATTATTTAAGCTCCATAACTTTAGATGAATTTACATATCAAGTTTTGATGCATATACATGTTTTTAGCTATATTTATTCAAAAGGGAATCATTAAAGCATTTCCTTCCATTCAAAGCAGCTGTACGGTCATTAGAGAAGCTTGTTTCATCTGAATTCTGCTCACAGCTCACAGCATCTGAATCCAAAGTTTTATTTTACACAGATTAACTCTCTAACAGGGACACGCTGACAGAGGCGGCAGCAGCCATCTCATGAATGAACCCTGACATGAGTCATGGATCCTTTCTGGGAAAAAAATCTGATTACCACTTGGAGACAGAACCACAGAGGAAACTTTCTGTTCTCAATCTTTAAGGGAAACACAAAGTGTGTGAACAATCACACGTCTTTGTGGGACGGGGGCGTGAGTGTGAATCATAGAGCCATCTGACGGCCAGAAACAAATGCCTCTGTGAAATGTGAGCTGAAGGATTAATAATTGCGTGAAATTACTATCATGGACTTTTTCTCTAGAGGGGAACAGAGTGAAAATTTACTCATTATGGTAATACGAGTGCTGTGTGGGATTAAAGCTGAGGAGGTCTCTCCAATCTTAGCAGTGAAGACTCGATCTCTGAGCTGATGTAATTTTCTAAAGATACACACTAATTCAATATCCGACTCTTCCCATTGGACACATCATGATTATGATAATAAACTACAATTGAATCAACTCTGATACACTGATAGTGATAATGGAACAAACTGAAAACAGATCATGTTATTAAGCAACAGCCTCTGTTGTAAAATTTGCCAGGTTTAATAGGACAAATTTAACTGAACCTTCCCTGTTTTCTTGATCAGTTGAGGGTTTCTAGTTAAAGCAATTCCTGGAAGATGAATACAGTATGAGTTTTATGAGCATATGAGTACGGGCCGATTTGGGATTGACTTTGGGACCAGTAAAGGAAACAATGCAGGTCCAAAAATAGAAAGCAAAAGAGTCTTTCAAAAGTGAAGCTAAAGGGCACACAGATGACAGAGCGCACCCCATACATGGAGACCAAGGTCGGGGGTTCGAGTCTGGCCCTGACTATGTGCTACATGTCTTCCCCCCTCTCTCTATCTCCCCACATTTCACCCTGTCCTATTAATAAAGGGAAAAAAAAGTTAAGCTAAAAGATTAAGATCTCCCCTTGCCTTACGGCTGCAGAAAAGGTCACAAATCAAGCCTTCTCCATGTTAACAGATCGAGCTGGGCCAAACTATTAAAACAAAATACAAGCCAAAGAAATGTTTTCAGACACGGACTCTGTCATTATTGTAAGTTCTTGACCTGCAGGTTTAAGTCCCAGTGTTCATTTTACTAGCATATTCAGTTTAAAGTAGTTTTTTACGTTAAAATGATGAGATGTGCTCCTTTCATTATGTTTACAATCACAGCTGAGTCTAGCTGCAGATGTACTTTATGGAGTAGTTATTAAAACCATGATTTCACTTTTACCTAAAGCTACTATGAGGAACTTTTGATTTGTGTTAACATTGGCACTCCCTGTGAACAAACTATGGCCTCTAAATGTCTTATTCTTATTCTTTTCATCTAAAACAAACATTGTCAGACAAAACCACATCTTGTTGTCTTGAAGAATGAAATATTTTGCATCCTGTGAGTATTTGCCATTGGAAAGTTAAAAACAGGCTGTTTCACTTTTAACTATCTGGTCTGACATCAGTCCCTTCATGGTGGTTTACAACATCAAAAATAACTTCAGAGATGAATCAGCCTCCTTGCTAATGGTCTTGTTTATATCTGAGGGTCATAGAAAGACATTAGTATCAGTTTCAGTCTGATTCTTGACTAGTCTGAAATTCCTCACAATGCCTTTAAGTAGTTTATTTTTAAGTACTTGACTGCATTTTACACAATATCAAAGTAACCAGGTAAAAAAGTTGCTAAAGCCATCTGAATTTCCATCAATTGCATGCCAGCCAGCTGAGTGGATTATGTCTACACTTAAAAAAACTCAAATCTTATCACATAAATTTGTCTTATCTCTGTACAAAATAACTCATCACACTTTATTTATGCTACATTGACTGGACAGGTCCAAATTTCAATCTTTTTTTAGGATATTTCAAGACAAATTTTTCTTCATAAGTTCCTTGAAAGAAATCTAATATTTTGTTTTTAAATAGTTATTAAGAAATTTTTGGTTTTGGGCATTTGCAGCCTTTTTTATTCCCTACAATCAATGAAGTCTTAATTTTAAGATTGAAAAAAAAACCTGGGGCACTGCTGGCCTAGAGGTCTATTTGTGTGCCCCATACATGGAGGTTACACCTCAAGCAGCTGCATTTAACCTATGGCTTCTTTCCCATGTGTCACTACTCTGCTCTCTCTCCTCATTTCCTACTCCCTCCACTATCTTATCCTCTCTAAATAAAGGCCAAAAAAGCCTGAAAATAAAGTCAAAAAGACCAAAAAAAGCCCTTCTGTACAGCTGGCCATGACCTCAGGGTACAGAGATGATCTACAAAGAGTATAGTACTGACAAAAGAGGCTACACAAATACAAGTAAGTCAAAGATAGTTTCAGCTTGATTTGGTGATTTAGGAGTATAATTGTCTCATTTTACAGGCAACACAAGAGATTCAGTTCATTGATAAAAGCTGACCTATAAAATCACACACCAAAAAAAATCAACACACACATTTGCTTTTGTGTTTACATGTATTTTAAAACTCCAGTTTTAGTCAGACTCAAACAAAAAAAACAGTTTTCTGAGCAGTGTGTAAACATACTGCATGATTGACAGCTCTGTGGACAAATCTGGCTCCCTCGGCAGATGATCAGAGAGGAGAAAGAGCTGTGAGAGAGTTTCCCACAGAATAACACTACAATTGAGGCGGTGGGATAATTGAACATATTCGAATACATTATCCTGTTTATATTAAATTTTACTGCATGTTTAATGCCAAGAGTTAGCTCACAAACTTTGAACAACCAGACAAACACAGAGTCAAGTTTTCAGCAGTCGTGTCTTCTGTCGTCAACAATTTCGTCCCCCGCTGAGATGAGACAGGTGCACTTCTGCTCATGGTGCCTGATTTAGTTCATCGTTGTTTCTCTGTCTTTGTTTTCTATTTCACTTTGGCTCTTTGAATTTTTTTCTGTTTCAGATCCATGGTTTCCACCACGATGTTGTTTCAAACTTGTTTTGAATCCTCTAATAGCTCATTTTCTGTTTTAAGTTTCCTCTTATGTTCTTCCTTTTCAATCACTAAACACAAACAAAAAAAATGTATAAAAGGTAACTGCCCTGTAATCAATTATAAACCAATCCATGGTCCTTGCGCTCAGATTTAATATCCTAAATGTCAGAGAAGTCTGAGTGATTAAATATTGATTTTAAAATCATTATAAAAAGGCTGCCTGCTGTCAGCTTCAGGACCGATAATAATTATCATCTCCTAAAAAGATGCTGCAGAGCTGATCCTTTTCTGCTGGATTTGACCAAAAGAATAACATCATTTCGTATTTGCTGTCCGTATTTCCCAAAGAGACTGAACTTCACACAGTGAGTGAAACTTTTTTTTTATGAAGATGTTTGAGGCGCTGACTTTGCAGAGAATATGAGGTTGAAGTAAAACAGTAAAGACTGTTTTAAAACTTCTCTCTCAGAATAATTTAAGCTTGAAATCAGCAGATGAAGAAATTATGCAGCCTGAGAAACTGAAGGAGGAAAATCAACATGCAGGTGCCAAAAGAAAACTTGGATATAAAACCTAACAATGTGATATTAGCTCAAGGCCAAAGCTGAATATGAGCTGCTCTGACTCATTCATGGGTAATTCTTCAGTCGCACTTTTGGACTTTGTTTTCAGAAGAAAAAGTTTGAACTAATCTAAAGCCTAACAGAGTTTTGATCTAAAAGTCTGTAGATACTGTACGAGGGGCCTCACCTCTGCCAGGACATCATCTTTGCCTCTTATTAGCATTCATAGCCAATTTTGGACCAGACATACTGCTAACCAGCTGTCTGATGAGCGCAAAAGTGGCTTGGGTCTCCCTGTACCACCGAGGACATACCTCACACCTCCTGCACCCTACAGCACATGATAATACAGCTTCAGGAGCTGAAGACTGGTTTTAGTTCATATATTAAGTTGTAGCTCACCAATGTGTCTGTTGATTTGGGAGGATTTGAGTGGGATGAGGATGGCCTGTTTTGTTCGCAGAGGTTTTATTATGAGCCAATTTTCTTTGGATCTCATGATTTCACCCGTTCTCCTTGTTTTTACATTGGCTTTCTTTACTCATCCTTTCTATATTTACTCAGATTTTTTTGTTCCAGCCCACAAATATTTTTCAGTCAGGACCACTTTCCTTCAAGGAGAGAGCTGCTCTGCTCTGAGAGCTCCCCACCCTTCTTCAAGTTTACATGAAAGGCCAAAGTTTACACAGGGGGAAGCACACTTCCTCTCTGTTTATGAAAAGCCAAGGCAGGGAGAGCATCAGCAAAGACCCAGAAAAGATCGAAGCAAGCACCAGTGAAAATCCACATGACACTGATAAACCAAAGCCAGCATAAAAAGGGGTAGCAGGGTGAAGGTGGGTTGCAAAGAAGTTGTGGAGGAAGCAGGAGGAGCAGGTAAGATAAGGCAGATTAAATAAAATGAACAATTGCTAATTGTGTGTGAGGAAAGTAATCAACTGAGCTGTCAGCTGATATGGGCTGGTGTTGGGGTTGCACAGTCTTTGCACCTGACATCATAATTTGATGAGATCTCATTGAATCTCATTTATTAACATTCCACATTACGAATTCTATCTTGCATGTACATCCTAACAAAAGGCACATTTTGTGGGTGATCAACTTGGAAGAACTTGGTAGAAATGCTGCAAACTGCATATTCATTAAGGCTTATTGGCTAAATGGCCAGCATGTGTTATCTTGGAGATTTGAGAAGTGCAATCATCAGTGCATGCAGTTAGTAGACCAACTTGCACGTTTGTTTGTATGTGCAGTAAAGTTTCTGCACATTAAACATAAAAACATTGAGAATAAGGCCCTTTGAGTCAAAAAGTCAAACTTGATATAACTTATTCTGATACTTTAATCTTCTTCTGGCATTGAAAAAAATGTCTAAATTCATTGAAAGGATCTTGCTAGCTCCTTCGTGTTTCACTTCACCTGCTTTGATGTTTTTCTGTCCCTACAACTGCAAAGACTTATTCATGGAATGCACTGGTATATTATGCACAAATGCTAAAATAGTTTTCTCGCAAAGTTCTGCGTCCAACTTCATGATTTTACTTTTAAAAAGTTAATCATAAAAGGTATTACTATTGAAAAATAAGTTGTGATATTTGCTATGTCAGAAAAAGAGTATTGAAGTTGACCTGTAATAAATGGAGCAGTCTTCCTCCCGCTGCCGTCTCCCCGTCGTCCTCACAGTCCTGCAGGAAGCTGTTTTTGTCCTCGCAGTAAATCCTGAAAAAAAGACAAACACAGGATCAGGGTGGCTCGGCGTGAGGGCGGAGGATGAAGACATTTTGGTGAGAGAGCGACGCTGCAACCTCTTCACAGGGAAAGTTTTTAGAGTGGTTTAAATGTCAGCAGTAATGACTGCCCAAGCAGCACGAGCAGCTCCACGCCGACCTCATTAGACCCAATGCTGCAAAAATGGTGCAAAAACTACACCCACAGACAGGCGTCAAAAACACAAACACACATACGGAGGAGGAAAAACTGTTCACTCACACACAAATATACAAACACACATGTCTATTCAGACTGTATTTAAGATGATGTTCAAGTCTCCACTGTTTGTGTAGCAGGTTTTGACCTTTACTGCAGGAAGCTGGCCTTTACATTCAACACACACTCTTCATTTCCTGTGCACTAATGAGACTGACTGTTAACTCCATCTCCTTCATTTACATAATTACCATCTAACAGATGGTCCTCTACACACTGATATCTGACAGAACTGACCTGTAGGCATAGATGTTATGAGTGGCACTGGCTATCTTCTTGTTTTCATACAGCTTCTCCAGAACCGTTTTGACCTGAAACACAGAAAAGAGGAGCCAAAAAAAAAGAGAAACTGATTAATTCCTTTTTTCCCTTAATTAATTCACATCGACTCTCTTGAGAAATAAAAGTGCAAATACAAGGACACCCTGCTGCTTCCCGCTGCAGAAAACTATCAAATTAAAACAATTAAACACTCAGAAGATGAATGTTTTAACAAAATGAGACATGTCTTAAACACGTCCGGTTTAAAAAGCATGTGGATCACAACATGAGCCAGAGTAGTTAATTTCAATCGAACATTTTCTCTTCAGATTCGCATTATACTCTTGAACTTTCAACATCTGAAGTCATTGATCTTTTCCATGTTTAATGCAGCTGTAAGTATCTGTGCATCATTTTATATAATTTTTCAATATCAAACACTTCAGAGCAGCATATAGTTCCCATGCTGACAGCGAATCAAAGCTAAGCACCATCAGACAGTTTGAAACTCAGCAGGTATCCGGTTTTACTGAATCAGGTTCTCTTTTTCTCCAAGCCAAACTCTTACAGCAGAGGATGTAAATGTTGTTCAGGTCTCTTCAGATGCTCTGCTCTCTGAGGAGGACAGCTGTGTCTGTAAATATTTGGGAGTAAACAGCTCTTCTCAGCAGGTGGGAGCTTTTAGTGTGTTACCTGACAGTCACGGAGTGAAATTTTCTGCAGGAATGAGCCGGGTGATGTGCAGCTTATGAAATTGCTGCTCAAATTTGCATATTTATATTCTTCTCTTGAGTCAAGATTCTCATGAGGTTATTTCTGCTGAAACTTTTATGAGCTGTCATTTGCTGTTAGTCTTCACCGTAAAAGAAAAAACACACCATGTTCTTCTTTAATTGAAATTCAGATTGGTTCTGTACCTGTCTGGGGGCCAGCACAGGTGCTAAATGAGGCTGGAAGGTGCTGCGTCGGTCTGTGATGGCGTTTCCATGTTTAATGGGAGGCAGTTCCTCATCTGCAGGAGGAAACGCTCAGCTTTATTATGAGCTGTGAGAATAGGATACAAAAAGCTCATCAAACTTTAATGAGAGGTACCGTCTGAATCCTGCATAAAGAGATGAGCATTTTCAGTGTTCAGTTTGAGCATCCTGAAGTCCGGAACATCATCATCGTCATCTGCCTCCTCAGCCGTCATGTTCACGTTTTCAGGCTGATTCACTGAAAAAAGATCATGTAAGAAATATGTAATTACACATCAAACTCAGTGCGCCAATGATAAGGGGCCACAAACTTGATTTTCTTAAGATTACTACAGGTGTCCCCCAGGGCTCTATTCTGGGACCAGTTCTGTTCTTTAGTTTTAAAAATGACTTGTGTAAAGATATTAAAGTAAAAATACCCCTCTATGCTGATGATACAGTCATCTGCATCCACGCTCCCTCTGATATAAAAGTAGTGCCGGAGCTTCAGCTGGCATTTTAAGTCTTTAATAACAGGTCTTTTGGATTTTAATGTAGCTTTAGATGCTGAAAAACAAAGTTCATGATCTTTCCAGAAGCTTACTTGCAAAAAGAGAAAATGAACTTAACATTTCACTGCATAAGGTAAACTCATCAAAAAAATATGGGTCTGTACAAGCGTGTCCAACTCCCTCCTTCTCAAGTCTGATTTATGATTTGTTTAGACATGGAGCTCTGTGTAGTGACAAGGGAATTTTTGTTTATGATATGTGTTTTTCATTGCACTTTTCAAATGAAATCTTGGGCAATCAATATCTTCCCATGAAATGAGGATAGACAGTTAGAAACACATTTAAAGTCAAGATGATTAAATGTAGAGAGGTATTCTTCCTTCATTCTCTAATGTTTTACAACCTGGAGAAGTGTCTCTCTTCAAAAACTATCATAAAACTGTCGAAGAAATGTCCAACAAAAATTTAGCCACAATTGACAATGACTAAAACAGGACTAAAATGAAAACTGAGACCCTCTGACTGGCAAGTGCTGGTGCAAGAGTGCAACAAAAATGCAGTTCCTCAAAAATCCACAAGAGGCTGTCTCCAAAAGTAAGTCAATCTCTATAGAGCCCCATGTTTAATGTCCAACTAAACAACAGACACAGACATGTTTGCTGTCTGATTAGTAAAAAAAAAACTTTCAGTCCCTGTAGCTCATTTTGTTTTTCATTTTTTTTAAGACTTTTCTGTTTTATTCAAAATGTCATGAGGCTAAAACGGGGTCTGTATAAATCTTTATAAATTTTTGCTTGAATACAAGTAATACAAAATATTGTCAATTTTGTCTTTGTGAATAAAAATTTAAAAAAAATGCCTGGTAATAAATATTTTAAATTTGGGCATTTCCAGAATAATTTCTGATCTACCTTCTTTGCTCAAACTGGGTTTTTGTAGCCTGGTTCAAAACAACCAGAACTGGTCTGCGGCCTCGCTGAGTGAAACCCTGGGCTAAGATTTATGCACACTGAGGTATAATTAGGGGTGAGCGCACTGTAACCAGCAAACGAAGTTCATTCAGCCCACATCACCTCCACAGAAAGAGAAACACTGGGTGGAAACACTGAGACTGCATCTGTGTTTTCTACAGTCTTTGGTTTGTCCTCTAACAAATTTTTTGGGCACTAAGGTGAAAGTACCCTAGTCAGCCACCGTACAAAGCATCTGCCTGTAAAGGTCGTCACTAAGTCGAGGAGCCTGTCATTTAAACGATACACACTGTGCTCTTTATTAGCAAATTAGCATTATGTGACCTTAACATGGACTCTAACACCATTTCATAATTTGTTATACAATTCATAATGGATGACACCAATTACCACAGGCCAACTGAGGCTGCAGTTTGAAATACCAACAAAGAAGAGGAGGTTATTTTAAGGACATTAATGACAAACCAAGGTTTCAGAATGGCAGTGTGAAAGGTTTCTAAGAGCACAAACTGCTTTTAATAATGTGCGAGTGTTAATGTGTAATATCTGCTGTGAGATAAAGTAAAGACATTAGGTACAAAAGATCAATAGGTGGGTTTTATTAAGTGCCCTGCTGTCATGGAAACAAAGGTGCTCCGTGTGAGCACAGTCTAAATCAGCTGATAACACTGAGTGTGAACAGAATGTGCTGTATATACCTATAATAAACAAATGTGCCAATACAATACAAATCGAACTCCAGACAATGCATAGAAATACAATCAAGATCAAATTTCACCATCCTGTTCAATTTTTTAGCTCAGGTCGAGTGTTCCCAGAAACATAAGTAAACCCAGCAGACCAGTTTCTCGAGTTTAGAAAGTGAAATGTCCCAATTTTTTTCTGACAGAGGATTTCAGCTGCTCAGTGGTTCAGAGTCTCCTCTCCCCTATTTTTGTGTCATGATGCTCCAAATATTTTCAATGGGAGACAAGTCAGGACTGCAGGCAGGCCAATTTATCAGCAGAACTCTTCTACTACAGAGCCATGCTGCTGTGATCCCTGCAGAATGTGGTTTGTGATTGACTTGCTGAAAACAAGCAGGTGCCCTCTCTACTCTTAAGAGCCAAGGATGCAGCAGCCAGAATTTTCAAAAACAAAGACTAAATATTAATTCATCAGATTTCTGAAAAGTTTTCACACATCACTAGAGATTTCCAAAAAAAGATCAAGTCAGATTTTAATTCATTAGACCACAGGGCAGTTTTCCTTTTCCCCTTAGTCTTTTTAAGTGGCTCAGGTCCAGAGAAGTCTCTGGTGTTTGTGAATCAAGTTTCTATCGTTTCTCTTCTTTGCATGGTTCATTTGTATGAACTGTGTTCATAGACAGTGTTTTTTGGAAGTGATTTTGAGTTCATGCAGTTCTGTCTGTTTTTAATGCAGCACTGCCTGATGGCCTGAAGATCTGAAGATCAGGTCCATCCAGTCTTGGTTTCTGTCCTTGTCCCTTTAGCGCAGAGATTTTTCCAGATTCTCTGAATGTTTTAATAATATTATGTTTGGCAGATGATGAAATCCACTCATCTTTTCGCATCTCACAAAGTGGTGAACCTTTAACCATCTTTCCGTCTGAGAGTCTCAGCCTCTCTGAGTGTCCTTTTTATTCCCAGTTGGATGAAAATGAGGATATATTTTTCATAAAACAATAAAATGTTCAGTTTTAATATCTGATATATTGCCTTTCACAATTTTTTATTACACATTGGCTTTGAATGGTTGGTAAACCATCAAAGTCTGTTTTTATTTATATTTTAAAAAGCATGCAGTCCAAATTTGTAAGAAAATTGTGGAACTATAAAAGGGAGCATTACCTGACTAATCAAGTTCTTAAATGAAACTCAGCAAGGATTCTTTGAAAACAGAAACCCTCTTAAAAAAAGATCTGGAGTGTAAAAGCAAGCTTGTTATAAATTGTTAACCTTGCAGTGACACATCGGAGGTGTGTGACACACACAAACACACACATACATAAACACACACAGCCGAAACTCATTAAAAGTAAGAAGGTCTCTGGGCTCAGGTGAACAAACATCTGCTCTCTCTTATGTTTACCCTCCCTCTGCTCTCATTCATCATCAGCTCCATTTATTCTTTTTACCTTTCTGTTTACTCCTTTTATTTTCTCTCTGTGAAATGAGCATCTCCTCCCCCTCTCTCCCCTCCTCCCTGCTCCATGGTCCTCTCATCTGAATGGAGAGCAGCCGTCAATCCTCTGAGCCTTAAGTGCTGTGAACCAGTTTCACTTATTACCACATGAATCACTCAGGGGGCCTGATTTCTGCTGCACCGCAAAGACGGGGGCGTTCATATTTTTCAGGTTTGTTACCTAAAAGAGGCCACCTGACTCGATAACAGAACCCTCCTCTGAAAACTGGCTGCAGGGTGGCACATGAGAGCAGAAAATCTTTAATTTGGGTATCTTTTATTCTTTTTACACTTCAAAAGATCCCGGCGGGTAACATAAAGCATTACTTAGATATTGATCTTCATTCACTGCAGCAGCTCAGAGTCAGACTCAGATGGATTTTTTAAGGCCGTGCAGTCTTTGTGCTTGTCTTATCACAGCGTCAAAGCACATCAGAGCGTGGTTTTACTCATAGAGGAGCATCACTGACCAGAGACCAGATTTTACTGGACCTCTGATGCATTTTGTCTTTATTAAAAAGGGTTTAAAGGTTGACTTGCTGATGAAAAGGAGATTTAATAATGAGACAGCTCATCAGCAATCTCAAGAGCCATCATTTATCGTCTGATGAACACGAGCAGCAGCGTATCTGAAACCAGCGATTGGTGGTGAACGACTTTGAGCTCAGACTTCCTTCCACTTCTTTATACTGCATTTAGGATTCAGAAGCTAAATTCTGCACCTCAAGTTATGTTCACAAAAAATAAAACAAAAAAACACTGAATTCATCTGGTTCTCTGCAACACCCAGATTAGCGCCGATACATTTGTTCCTGGTGTCTGGGGTCTTTGTTTCTTTGTCAGCTAGGGTCTTTTTTCAAAATAAACTAAAAAACATAAACAATGAAGCAATCAATCAATTTAAGACCTTTCATCATCACTATCAATGAACTTGTCTTCAACACAAAATTACCAAGGTACCAAGTGCTGGGGCACTCAAACGATAAACATAAATTCCCAGAGTAGAGCAGGACAGAACTGGAAGCACAAGGCACCTCTCTGTGGCTGACCGTAGTAGGCGAGAAGGGGTGTGGACCTGAATGAGGGGTTCCAGGTATAACAGAGCAGTTTTGGTTACTGCTTTGTAAGCAATGATTTGAGTTTTGCATTTGATGTGAGCTGGGACTAGAAGCAAGTGAAGGGAGATGAACAGAGGAGTGACATGAGCTGTCTTGGGTCAGTTGAATACCAGACATTCAGAATCATTTGCAGAGGTTTAACTGTGCAAACAGGGAGGCCTGCCAGTAAGGAGTTGCAGTAGTCAATCTGTGTTGCTTATTCTGTCAGGTAGGGTCTCATCCTCTTGATGTTACAGAGGGAAAATCTGTAACATCAAGAGGATCCCTTTACAGAGAAATAAATCCTCAACAGAATATCCAACCATGGGTGTAAGATGTCATTATGGTGGAATGTGTTCCTCCTGCTTTTGCTCTCCATACAGACCGTTTTTCCTGAAGACACTAAAGCTTTCTAACACCTGATTGGTGACCATACCCTGACCATATCCATTAAGCCCAGTTGATTCTATCTCAAGTAACCTCTTGCTTCACCAGAAGCCACAAAACAGTGGTCATATCCTTGGACACAAATTAAGCCAAAAAAGAAAACGGGTCAAATCATCCTCAAGACCAGGTCGACATTTGCGTCAAATTCAAAGAAACTCATGTATTTGTTCCTGAGATATCCCTCCTCCATGGCAGAAAAGAAACAAAATCCTCAAAGTTACAGCTTTAACACATGGAAGAAAACCAATGTACACAGTATATAGAGCAGGGGGAAATGTTTTGTGCAATTGCATGGTTCAAATTGTGATGGTAAGTATGATAATGGAGGTTAAAAATAACGTTAACCTCAGCAGTTAAATTCATCAGAGGCTACATTTCTTAAAGGGAGCCGCTCAGACTCAAACCCAACCTGCAGCCCTTTACCAAACAATACCTAAATATCTATTGTAGGTTTTCTTATTCACTGCTATAAATGCAGACTTTTGTAAAGAGTATGCTCAGACTGCTCATATTATGATTATAATGGAGTTATGATTTAATGTGAACTCCTGCAGGGTTTACACTGCATAATTGCACAATTGAATATGATTCTTTATTTTTGATGCGATTGGCTTTTTAAAAAGACTCTAGACCTGAATCACAAAAGGACTGTGCAGTTATTTCAGTGAATAAACAGATCAGGCAGATCGTTAGGGCAGCAAAGTATGCATCAATACAACAGTGCTGTACAACAATCAGCGTTTCTGTGCTCCAGTGAGGTTTGCATGCATTTGAATGACCCATGATGCATTGATTTGGGCTAAATTTAGCTCTTTTCCATATAAATGAACCTTCATGCAAAATAAATGTGTACAACTCCTACAGTGGTCAAAAAGAGCGGACAGTCTGCTACAGACTGAGTGATTCACATCAGGATTTATGTGCTGCAAATGCAGACATAATGGAAAATCATAAATATATGCAAAAGACCAAAACAATGCACAATGAAAACCCACTGCTCAGGAAAAAATGTGCTGCAAAACACTAAAGCAACTGCATTAACTACACACAGGCTGCAGGTATGCATGTTGCAAAGCCAGAGACAAACAAAACCAGACTCAGCTGCAAAAATAAACACTGCAAATTAAGAAGGCCTTTGGCAGACAAAGAGTGAACCCACTTTATCATTGGCAGGACTGCATGACCTCAAAATAATATAACTGTTCATTATGTCTGTTTATATTTGCCCTTCATTACTAGTGTTGGTACAATATTCAGTCAGACAAATCAGTCTGGAGTTGTCCCAGACTCATTCACAGCTCATTAGCACACACTTTCCTTATGTGTGGAGATGGTCAGGGTTCATAACATGAGACAAAGAGTTATTTTTTAATCTGGATGAGCTGCTCTTGCTGTGTTCAGGAATAAAGTTTTGTTTTTAACTGTAAAATCTGTGTTTTCCTTCTCATCATCTGAATCTGAGCAGGTTTTAGCATGAGGAAGAGAGGTGCTCAGTCCAGCTCTGTGCAGCATAGAACAAAGATGCTGAAGGCTTATCTCGGCAATCAGACACAACACAAGAGCAAACTGCACAGAGCTGCACAGGTTATGGACCTGGATATCATTTGCACAACAGTGGATTTACTCTACTGATAATGGTTCAACTTACAGAAAACCCACCGCATATTCAACATTAAATCAATGCATTAATTAAAAACTTCAAATTAAGGTAAAGAAAAAAAGACTTTCAGTTTCAGCCTTTAGAGTTCCTTGTAGAAATAAGAAGTCTACTATTGTAGAAGCCTGCATCAGATTATAAAACACCTTCATATAAAATCTTTCCCATTTCTGTAATCTGTACATGGGCTGAGAGAAGTCTCTATAAATTGTAAAAGTGAGTGTGTCCCTGAAGCATAAATCTAATTTCCACCCCTCACCTGTTTCCAGGCTCTGAGATTTCTCCACCAGGAACTCTCTGATTCTCTCCACCCACAGGTAAAGGATGCTCTCCCCAGCATGCTCCCTGAAATTGAACATTTTCACTGATGAGGAGTTCAAAATCTGCACAGTGGAAACAGCTATTTAAAGCTTTTAATCGAGGAAGAGCTCCCTGTACAGCTTCTCTGTCTGAGGTCAGAGATATGAGATACACTCACCGGCCACTTTATTAGGTACACCTGTCCAACTGCTCGTTAACACTTAATTTCTAATCAGCCAATCACATGGCGGAAACTTAGTGCATTTAGGCATGTAGACATGGTCAAGACAATCTCCTGCAGTTCAAACCGAGCATCAGTATGGGGAAGAAAGGTGATTTGAGTGACTTTGAACGTGGCATGGTTGTTGGTGCCAGAAGGGCTGGTCTGAGTATTTCAGAAACTGCTGATCTACTGGGATTTTCACGCACAACCATCTCTAGGGTTTACAGAGAATGGTCCGAAAAAGAAAAAATATCCAGTGAGCGGCAGTTCTGTGGGCAGAAATGCCTTGTTGATGCCAGAGGTCAGAGGAGAATGGCCAGACTGGTTCGAGCTGATAGAAAGGCAACAGTGACTCAAATAACCACCCGTTACAACCAAGGTAGGCAGAAGAGCATCTCTGAACGCACAGTACGTCGAACTTTGAGGCAGATGGGCTACAGCAGCAGAAGACCACGCCGGGTGCCAATCCTTTCAGCTAAGAACAGGAAACTGAGGCTACAATTTGCACAAGCTCATCGAAATTGGACAATAGAAGATTGGAAAAACGTTGCCTGGTCTGATGAGTCTCGATTTCTGCTGCGACATTCGGATGGTAGGGTCAGAATTTGGCGTCAACAACATGAAAGCATGGATCCATCCTGCCTTGTATCAACGGTTCAGGCTGGTGGTGGTGGTGTCATGGTGTGGGGAATATTTTCTTGGCACTCTTTGGGCCCCTTGGTACCAATTGAGCATCGTTGCAACGCCACAGCCTACCAGAGTATTGTTGCTGACCATGTCCATCCCTTTATGACCACAATGTACCCAACTTCTGATGGCTACTTTCAGCAGGATAATGCGCCATGTCATAAAGCTGGAATCATCTCAGACTGGTTTCTTGAACATGAGAATGAGTTCACTGTACTCAAATGGCCTCCACAGTCACCAGATCTCAATCCAATAGAGCATCTTTGGGATGTGGTGGAACAGGAGATTCGCATCATGGATGTGCAGCCGACAAATCTGCGGCAACTGTGTGATGCCATCATGTCAATATGGACCAAGCTCTCTGAGGAATGCTTCCAGCACCTTGTTGAATCTATGCCACGAAGAATTGAGGCAGTTCTGAAGGCAAAAGGGGGTCCAACCCGTTACTAGCATGGTGTACCTAATAAAGTGGCCGGTGAGTGTATACTCACACATAAAGGTCTTCCAGGCTGTTCGCCAGCTCTGTCCTCTCTGGACCTCGCAGCCATGCAGCGCTGCAGAAACAGAGGACACATAGAGGGTTAGTGAGTGGAGGAGGAGTGTGACATTGCTTTGTTTTATCAGATCACTATGAATTCACATCTGAAAGTCAAAAAGACTCACTTTATCTGGTAGATTGGTGGGGCAGCACTTGGGTAATCAGGAGGGAGAATTATCTGACCAATACAAAAAGAGGAAGCGGGTTAATAGCAAACTACAATGACAGACACCTGTGCTCTGGAACAACATGTCCTGGCACATCTACTCTGCAGGATCAATTGAGGTTTTTAAATCCTACTTAAAGACTCACACCTTTTCTTCCTGCTTTTAACCAAATTTAAGTGGACTTCTGACAAAATTTTCCTTTTAATTTTAATCTATTTTATTTTATTCTATTTTAAAGCACTGTGTTTTGTATTTTAGTATTTGTTTTAAAACAAGTGCCCTCTGGATGCTCTTCCAATATATAACATGTTGAAATAAAAGTTCTCTCTGGCTACTCATCTAGTATGTAAAATTAAAAAAAATGCCTTCTGGATTTCTTTACTGGGGAAAAATAAAAAAGCTTTCCTTCTGGATGCTCCAGTAAAACTGATGAAATAAAAGTCCCTTTAATATGTTTGTTGACATGAAATATTAGTTAATTGTTTTTTTTTTTTTAACTATGTGAAATATAGTGGATAGAATTTCACTTGACTGCTAAATTTGAAGAGTAGTATTTCTTTTTTGTAGATAATGCATTTATAATTTTGTGTTATTCTTTCACATTGCTGAATTTCTAACACAAATTGCTGCATTACCTTTCAGCAAAGTGTGGGAACTCAGTACAAGTTGCTCAAACTTTCCTAAAGAGTGACCCCTGAAATGGCCCATTACTTTTACAGGTGCCCTCAGTTTTGCCCCTTCCCCTCAAGCTACCTGACTACAGAGAGGCATGTACATTTTATATGGGCGTGGATTATGAAAATGAATCATGATTTATGGCCAATCTGGCAATTCTGGTACCAGCAGAAAGAAAACACAGGCCACATATTGTATCTAATTTTCATTCTGAGATTGTAGGGCTGTGAAGATTTAGGATAATACAACCAAATAGAAAACAGAAAAAAACAACAGAGAGTTTTTACCTGCAAACATGCTGTCAGTTTGCGCTCGTCCATGTCGTTGGATATTTTGATGCAGAATATTCTGGATGCTTCGTCTATAACACACCACTCATCTCCGTAGATGGAAGACAGAGCCTCCACCTCTTCGATCTGTATGAGAGGAGGAATAATTAATAAAAACATCAACCATGAGGTGACACTGGGAAGTAATCCCTAAAATCCCTTACAGAGTTCCCCGGGGAAATAAATAAAGTTTTCTGATTCTGATGAAAAGTTCTGACTTACTGAATATCTAAATGATAACACGGCATCAAACATCAAAGTTTGACACAGAAACACATGAAGTAGAAAGGAAACTACTACAACTACTTTAACAAAATAAATCACTGACCATACACAACAAGTAAACTTGAGAGAATATGAAGGACTTCCTTGATACAGTTTCACATTAACCCACATCCATTGTGACTTTTTGACTGAAGAGGGTCTGGTGCTCAACTTGAGACTTTTTCCACCACATATCCTTGCAGTTTAGCTGGTTCTGCAGATATAACTATACTGTGACTGAAATCATCATACAACCTCATAAACTGGCAGCTATGTTTCTGTCGTTTTTTTTTTTTTGTTCCAATCATAATGCTATTTTTTTTTCACTTCTCTCTTTTCTTTATTTTGTCAGAGTAAAATCTAAAACTGTAAAAACATGTCATCCAGAGGCATACTTAAACATTCCTGGACGATTGGGCTTTCCTTTTTTCAGACAGAGTAAAGGCCCTCTTTGATTGGTCAACGAAACAACTCAACAATTTAATGATACAAACAAATAAAAAACAAAACTATTGAGCTTTAGTGAACATCTGACCAAATTAATGTAGATGCCACAGGGGACTTTTGGATTTCTGTCCAGCCATCTGAAGAAGTTAAGAAAGAAATATCTTATAAGGTAAACACTGAGGTTAAAGCAAAAGAAAAAAAGCAAGTCATGTGCCGGTTTATTGATCCATGCTGTTAACGGATGTTTAGAAAAAGGTTTTTTTAGTTGGAAAAGGTAATGATGATGTTGGCATACTGATCAATCGCTCTCTCTAATTTCAATCTAAACTGGAAAAATTATAACCCGGACATTCATCGTCATGACAAGAACCTTGTTTATTGACAGAAACTATGACTGAAAGAAATTTATCAAATGATTTAAGTGGTGATTTGTTATTTCCTTTACTTTTACAGTTCGACCCATGTCCCATCTGTTCACATGGAGGAGGTAGGCTTTGCAAGCAGTAGGTGTGATTCTGAATGTTTTTGACTCTGAATAGCTGGTGATATTCCTTATTTATTTTTATTTTTTTTTTCAGTGTATTATCAGTACCTCTTTGCACACTGAATAAAGTGAAGTATGAATGTGAATGTATAAATGTTGTATGACTGTAAGTATGTTCCAGTCTGGTCTTATTTCATGCTGTTTGGTTGGTCTGTGTTAATGTGAGGAACCTGCAGAACTCCAAACACCACCTGCACACTGAGGGAGTAATCTACACAGTTAATAACATTTCAATTTAGAGAAAGGTTGCTGATTTATTTGTGCATTTTTATAAGCTTTACAGGCTAAAAACTTTGACCTGTGTCCCTTTCTCTCCTATACTGAACTCATTTATAAGTCAAGTGTCTGCACAGTTGGGGTTTGACTTCTACGCTCTCTACAGGCCACATATAAACACTACATCACAGCAGCAAAGCCACCAAACCAACTTCCCAGCCTTTTTCCTGAACTTTATCAGAGGTTTTATTATTTCACAGCAGATAAAAAGCTGACCTGAGCCTGCAGGTCTTCTTCATTCTCCGGAGGTATGGTGTCGGCCATCTCCTCATTTCATCCGCAAGTGTTAAAAATATGAAAAAGATGACATAAAGCTTAAGAGCACATGAATTACATGTTGATATCAGCTTTTTTTATGGTGTGTGTGGAGGTATTAAGTGCTTCCAGGTCAAAGCTAACGGGGTGTTTTGACTTCCCGGTTCCACCCTATAAAATTAAAGGATTACAGAGGAGCAAAATATAAAGCATATACAGGAAGATTGATATGATTTTCATTCCGATATTTAGAAAGGTAGTCTAAGATTTTGTGTGAGTGATGTGCGAAACTTAAAATGTTTTTTCTGCCTTTTCAATGACTGCCAGAACTTTTATTTTGAAAGGCACTACCTGAGTTCCGATTTGAGCGGATCAGCTGATCAGAGTGTAAACAGACAGCAGAGGCGTGTAAGGGCGAGACTGAGACAGCTGGATCTGAGCAACGGTCAGGGGAAGTTAAACGTTGAGTGTGTGATGTTTGTGTGTGTTTGTATGTAGTCTGTATGTAAGTGTTTGTGCGTGTGCGTGTGGGCGCGCGAGTGTGTAATGTGTTGGATGATGTTTGTACAGCAGTAAAGCAGCAGAGGGAAGCGGCTCAAAGGGGCTTAATCCATCACATGCAGCCTCACAGAGGGGCCCAGTGACCACATCTGACCCAGGACCGGGATTGGACCTCATAGGACCGGTGATACCAGTAAGTGTCTCCCCCGAGCCGGTGCAGCACACAGCGGCCTGATTCGTGTGACTGCTGCCTCAGGCACAAATCATCACTGCTCACTGTGCAGAACAAAGCAGTGATCTCAGCTGCATTTGCTTTGAAAATCATCATAAATGTACTTCATTACTGTGTAGCCTCTAAGGGAAGGTATCATAGTAGCTGCAAATATTGATGAAAAAGTACAGCAGTATTCTGAGTATATGTATCTATAGAAACACAAAGTATACATTCTCACCTCCACGTCGTAAAAATATCACTGTAAAAGTACAACAGAAATCTCATGGTATAAGTACTGCAGTATCCTTAGCCCTTTTGATGTTATTACCAAAATAAACAGTGAAGGTACAACAGTATTTTTGTACTTTCTGGTAGAAGTTTCAGAGTGGAAAAACTCAAGTATTATCAGCTTTTCAGGTTGACTTATCAGAATACAACTACTGTAGAAATGTAAACTTTCAAGTTGGAGTTTCACAGTAAAAGTTTTGTGGTAAAGTCAGCTTTCCTATAAATTTAGCAAAAATAAAGGTATCCTCGGTTTCTTATGTTTGACATTTGCTGTTTAGGTTCTGCGGCATAACCTGTTTTCTGTGGTTGAAGTTTCACTGTAAATGTGCAATGTTTTGCTGTATGCTATGGATGGCATTTTATTATAAAAGGTTCTATTTGTTCTCTGTATTTTATTGTTTTAGTTGGTTGCCCAGTAAACATCAAGTGTAATCCTGTTTTTTGTTTTTTGTTTTTTTTTTGGGGGGGGGGGGTTCAATGTGCTTTCTGTATTTCAGGGGTTGAGTTTTGACGTGAATGTGCTGAAGTATTCTCACAATTCCCTGTAAAAGTTTCACTGTTAATGTGCGATTGTTGTTCCTTTTTTCTTTGGTTGAAGTGTTATAGTTGTTTTGTGGTATTCTCAGCTTTCTCAAAGTTTCCACAACAAAGGTTTTGGTGTAATCAGCTTTTTATGGTGAAGTTTCATGGTACAAGAAATTTTATTAACTTTCTTTGGTTGATGTGTTACAGTAGAAGTCCTGTGGTAACCTCAGCGTTCGGCATTTAAGTTTTGCAGACACAGAAGTAGCCTCAAATTTTGTGGAAGTTTTCACCTTAAGATCTATAGTGGTATCTATTTTCTTTGGTTGAAGATTCATGATAAAAAAAAAAAAATCCTTATTCTTGGCTTTCTGGTTGATATTTTGCAGTAAACAGTTGGGTCTATAATTGAGGTTTCCCTATAAATGTGCAGAGGTACTCTCTGTATTGTGGCTGAAGTTCTATAGTAAATACACAGTTGTATTCTCTGCAGCCCATGGTTGAAGTTTTACTGTAAAAGTCCAGTGGTATTCTCTGTATTGTAAGGTTGAAGTTTCATTGTAAATGTAAAATTGTGCTCCCTATAGCCTATAGTGGAAGTTTCACAAGCTCATTGACGGCTTAAATCACATTGTAAAGTTCTGCAGTGTTTTTGGGTGAATTTTGCAGTAAAGTACTGTGGTGTTCTTAATTTATCACAGTTGTGCCAAAATAGTAACAAAGTAAAAAAAAATAATAATAATAAACACTTTAATAGTGGCAATAAATGAGTGTTACGAAAAACCTACCCCTGCTCCAACAAGTAAAATTTCCTGTTGATCAATGAAGGTTGTTTCGTTATAGATTTCTTGATAAAACTCTGCCAGCACTAAGAGCTCAATCAAAATCTTTTTATAATTCCACCAATCATTAATTAACTCATCATCCTACTTTGTATTGTTTGAACACAACATAAATGAGCTCTTGCAGATAAAACAAGTGGGATAATTGTTACTGCCACATGATGTTCTGACTCAGGTAAACCTGTTTTGTTCTGAAGGCTCTGCATTCATCTGATTTGTGAGGTTTACTTTTCCTTCCTGGTAGTCATGTGACCTGTCATACAGTAAACCCTGTCATTGTGTCCGCATACCACGGTTTGATTTCACACAGCGTCATGTGGACTGAAGAGGAGGTGGAGAGCTGGTCTCTTTCCTGTCAGGCCTGTCCGATGATGACTGACACTTTTTCTAATCACACAACTGATCTTCTTCTTCTTCTTCTTCTTCTCCTTCTTCTTCTTCTTCCTTATTTTCTCCTATGACAGCATTACATTTCTCCCAGTGTGACTTTTTAACTCACATGCCCTGAGGAATGACAGCTGATGACTGATCAAACAGTAAAATAACTTCTTCAGGCCAATCTCTGATGATCTGATGAGTCACTGAAAGCCGCCCTCAGCCTTTTGGCTACTGAAATATGAAATCATAATTTAGTCTTATTTGAAAGAATCGTCACTAAAATCTATGAAATATAAATAAAGAAGCTCTAATGCTGTTAGAGTTGTTGTAAATTCGCAAAAATCTTGCCAAAAGCTCAGTTGCACAAAAATGCTGAGAAAGTCTATCTATAAACATTCTGACAAGGTGCATTATGGGAGATGTAGTGTGCATGGTTTCTGCAGCTTCTGGAAGTGTCTGATTTTTTGTGGGGACTTAAATATAAAAAAGATTTTTTTTTTTTTTTTTTTTTGACTGACATGAAATTTTGTGCAGACATTGATTTTCTCCTCAGGATCAGTAGTGATAAAAACCTACAAAGCAGTTAGCATGGTTAGCATTGTAGCTGGGTGATATCAACATCAGTCTTTATATTTATGTTATTGTTGATTCTAACAGCTATCTTAGCTCCAGACTCTCTGATCAGCGCTTTGAAGGCTTGGTTACATTAGGGTCTATGACCACTGTCACCCTTTTTTATGCATTGTCAGTGCTCACATTCTCATTTTTAAAGCTCGTCTTACTGACAAGTCAAAGTTTTCTCACAACATTTCCATGTCTTGTGATAGTGACAGTCAAGTCTCTTTTAAATTACTCAGACTCCGTAAATATTGCTGGTATTTAAATATATTTTGCAAAGAAAACATGATTAATGATGCCCTTGCTTTAGGGCAACTCTCACTCGTAAACTGTCATTTTTTGAAATAAAAGAGGTGGTCAGTTTCTCCTTTGCATATGTTAATGAAGTTGATATCAAAAATCCCACACCGTCTTGGTTTTACCAGTTCAATGAGAGAGAAGCAACAGAAAAGGGAGGGGAGAAAGGGTGGTTGTTGTTGTATGCATTAGAATTTGTATCAATAACTTCTTGTCCGTACAAATCACAGTAGCTTCATCGGTGGTAGGGATGAGCAAAGGAGAATTTCAATCTAGATTCTGTGCAAAAGATATAACTTGGCATTTCAATTTCTGTACACTGTGTTTTAATAAGCTAAAAAACAAAATTTGTTACAAGTACATGTATAAACGTATATGTTTATTTATGTTAAGGTTGCTATTTGAATTCAGATTGATTAATTAGTGTTTTAGTTTAGTGATTAAATGGTTAGAGCTCCTGTGAGAAACTTTTGGTTAGTGGCGTTGCCTGTGGACGAATTGATATACAAGCTTCAGTGGTGTCTTCTGATAAAATTCTCATCTTTTTTTAATTTATGAGTGTTCAATGTATCATGCATCATAAATACAAAATGTTCAAAATGGCTGTTTTTAAACCAACTCAGCTGACACCTACCCTCCACCACCAGTTTCTGGCATCAAAAATTTCATTGTAAAAATCATCAGTTTTGTTGTTGATGGTCTTCTTTACCTTTGTTTATCTTTTAGTCTGTTTTATAAATGTCCAAAAACGTCCTTATTTGAGTTTTAATTATTATATCTTTTGAAAAAATCTGTGACTTTTACAGAGACTCTTTTAAGTACTTTAGTTTGATTAACAGTCAAAAGATGCTCATTGACTAAGGAGGACATAACAGCTGCAAACTGGATTCAATAAATCTATGTTTGTGAGAGGCCTGAGAGCTAGTTTAGGAAGACAATGTAAGTATTTTTTACATGCACAATCACATGACAAATGAATTTCTTTGTTGAACTGTCTATATATAGCTCAAGATTCTGTGCTGTTGCCTTCGTTGCTGCTGCTCGGATTTAGCAGAAACTTAGTGCATACATCCGTCTTTCATTGCAAAACAAATTTCTAGCATCTAATGTCTGTATATTGTTGTCTGTCCTGATTCTTTTCTGCAGGGGTTGATGGAGGAGCTGGAACCTGAGGACCAGTTCTTGCGGTTCGCCCGCAATGGAGACCTGGAGGGGATCAAGAGGCTGCTCATGTCCACGATACGAGAGGAGACGCAGATCAACATAAACTGCAAAGGTACACGAGCTGCACACACACACACACACACACACACACACACACATTCACATGAGGATAAAATCAGCTTGAGAGTGCGGTGTATTAAAGGCTCATATGTGCTTTTACTCAGGTAAGAAGAAGTCCAACCTGGGCTGGACGCCTCTTCACCTCGCCTGTTACTTTGGACACAGAGACGTGGTTGAGGAGTTACTTAGGGTAAACTTTTAGTTTGAAGTAATATTTCTTTTGACTTTAAATACCTGTGAAGCTTATATGTGTGTATTATTCGATCCTGCAGGCTGGAGCAGATGTTAATCTGCCAAACAACATCGGAGACACGCCACTGCACAAAGCTGCGTTCACAGGAAGAAAAGTACGTTCATGCATCTTCAGATTTTTCTCCTCTGGTCTTTTCAGTGATTGTCTTGCTTTGTGCATGCATTTATTCATCCACTCAATCAATCAACCAATCAATCAATAATCATTGATCAGGAGGTTGTCATGCTGCTGCTGCACTATGATGCATGTGCTACTGTCATCAATGGGTCGGCTCAGATTCCCAAAGATGTCACTCAAAACGCAGAGATCAGAAGCATGTTGGAAGGTGAGACACGTGGCTGTAAAAACATCCTCTATGTTTGATTCTTTATAATGCATTCATAAAACATTCTCATTAAATAATCGGAGAGTCTTAAATCCTCTCATGTGTTCTCACTTTGACTTCAGCGGCTGAGAGGACAGAGGAGAGGAAACTTGAGGAGCAAGTTTTGGAAGCTGCACGAGAAGGAGACCTCTCCACTCTGACTCAGCTGGTTAGTGCAGAAAACTGATGTCACTGTGTTTAGGTCTGCAGTTCCTCCTGTGTTTGTGTATTCAATTAATATTACTTATTAGGGCCACAGGGCAAATGCACCAAGGCACTGGCTCCTTTACTAATGTATAGGGGCCAGTGCTTTGGGCCCCAGCCGAGAGGCATTATTGTTATACTGTGGATTTTTTCTTATTCCTCTTCCGGACGAATTTCGATTCACTACAAGTCCAATAATTTGAAGAGTTGAAAGACAAATTATGTATCAAAAAGCGCACTTGATTGGGATCCGTGTGCTGTTACTTTTTACTATTGTACATGAATTTACTCAGGAAATATTTGGTATTGAAGTCAATGGGACACACCAAAATAAGAGCAATAATTAGAGTTTTTCAAAAGTCTATTGCTCCGGCATATTTAAACTTAGAGGCTCTATTTAAACTTTAAAATGTAGACACAAGTCTTGTATATCAGTGGATTAATCCACATTTTGATGTAGTTTTTGCACACTAAAGGTCCTTACACACCAGGCGCGAATTCGCCAGGCACATTATTCGCCATAATTCGCCTTTTTTTTAAACAGCATAAAGTCAATGCAAGCTTCCACACCGGCTGCGATTTTTCCACGGGGCGAAAAGCATCTTTTATTTTTTCGCTCTTGTGTTGAATTTTTCGGAGATTCGCAGGCAAATATCTGGACCTGCTAGACCTCTGGCCAATCAAAAGTCATGTTGTTGATGTCACAGACCCATGCGGCTGCAGTTCACACGACACGCGCCCGGTGTGTAGAGGTGAAAGCGATTTTTCGGACCGGCGAATATTTTCGCATTTTCGTCTCGCTTTTTCGCTTCGCTCCGCAAATTCGCTGGTGTGTAAGGACCTTTAAGGTTCAAGGACCAAGATCATATTTGGAGAAATTTAGAGATTATAATGGGTGTGTATTGCGTATCTTTGTACCAGAGTAGGTGACATCATCGGCTAGAGTGAGAGAAGTTGCATGAAATTGTCTGAAACTTTTCTCTTTCCACACTCCTGCTGGCCACAAATTACCCACTACACATATGGTTTTTTCCCACGGTTATACCCACACTTGTTTTGTCGTTTTGACCGAGCAGAGAGACTTACATATCATGTTTGGGTCGTCTCCACTCCAATTACGTTTTGGCTATATGTGTCCTTGACCATCAAAACCGGCAAGCTGTGTTTGCAGAGTGCAAAATATATAACTTAAATATACAGTCACTCATCTAAAGCAATGTATAACCAGCTATGTGGAGGGCAGGAGACTGGTGGTGCTAGCTCTGTCAGCAGTAGCGACACTCAGCAAACCAATATGACATCTTTTACTCTGTGATTTGGCAAAACTGTACATGGTTTTGACTGCTTTCAGACTTTTGCTGAATTTATACAAGTGGCTTTGTGTGAATTTTAAGTAAACTGACATGGAAAATGGTTACAAGGAACATCTTTGATGGCTACAATCTTTGGGTTTCATAAAACTTGACTTGACATAAGAAAATGAACATCATTTTGAGGTAATTTGTGGTCTGGTTTTCTTGCTACAGTTTCCAGCAGATGAGACAAATCCTGTCTGTGGTGTACTGCACTGAATACCTGTTCAGATCAAGAGATCAGGATGAATACAACAGTGGCTTAGCTGTTAACTTGCAAGTAGCAGCATGCCAGCACCAAGCTAAGGTGGTGCACATGGTAAAGAGCAAACAGGTTTAGCATTGTCATTGTTAGCTTCACAGAACAGCAACAATGACTGACAAGTCCTTGCTCATGAAGTGACAGTTACTCTTTCACAAGTCCAGACAAGAAAATAGACGGCTACACCCTTTAAATCAATAACACAAACCCTAGTTTGAAAGCCTCCACAGGAGAATCCATGTAAAAGGTGTATAATGTTGTCTATAATGTTTATTATGAGCTTAAGGAGTTTTCTCATATTTGAAATAAACTGGTTTTCATTGAATCCCTGCAGACAGAGCGGGTTGAGCTCTCAGCCACAGGAGAGAGTAAAATTAGAGTCATGCTCCAGCTCAAAGCAGACTAATAAAAAAAACCTGCAGGACACTTGAGACCAGACAGCCCATCAGTTTTTTTTTTATTTCTGTTTTTTTGCAGCTCAGCAGGAAAAACCCTCCGGACATCGGCTGCACCGATCTACTGGGTAACACTCCGCTGCACTCTGCGGCGTATCGAGGGCAGAAGCAGTGTGCCCTGAAGCTGCTGAAGAGTGGCGCCAACCCTAACATCAAGAACAAGAACGGTGAGACAGAGCTGTCGGTCAGAAAAAAAAACACAGACATTGAGTGAATCCTATTAAAAATATTTCATTGTGCCTTCAAAGTCTGATATTTCCACATCCTCTGTGCAGAAAGGCTCCATTGTTGTCCAAAAAATATGAAAAATACATCAATGAGCCGCATTTGAAGGTCCAGACAGACAGAGAGAGGAGCAGGAATAATGAGAGGAAGAGAGAGTTGGATCTATTGTTGGTTTTAGCAGAAAGAATATCTGAGTAAAAGATTTAAAATCTCAAAATAAAAAATTAAGAGGCTTAGCCAGGAAAGAATTCATTGTGAATCTTAATCTGAGCCTGATTTATTTCATCTCCCTTTTGTGAGAAGAAGAAAAATGTTCACATGAGTTTAATGTTTGAACTATTTATATGTTCCAATAAAATCCTTTTATTGGAACATTCATTTACAAGAAACATTGTTCATTTCAAAGTTGTCTGATTGTGCAAATGAGCCACATCTCCACCCTCTGCTGCACAGAGCTGTGTATCATAAATATAAGACAATATGTGACACATATTTCACTGTTTATGATAAAGCTTCCACATTCAGATAAGAAAACATGTGTGTAACAGCACCAGATCATCTCCACACATTTAAGTAAAGTGCCAGTGTGTGTGAGGATCAAGCCTCAGACACCCACGATCTGATCGATTTGCCTCCTGGTTTCAAAGAAATACACATCTGTTTTTTAGCGGGATCATTCAATGCTCATAAGTAAGACTTCTTTTGAACTCAGGTACATTTGCAAACACAGAGGCAAATTTTGCTTCATATTGCTAGATGATGGGTTGTTGGATAACATGTAAAGAACAGTGGTGTTAATTGCAGTGCTGTTTGTGGACATCACAGTTTGTGGTTGGTCCAACACTTTGCATTGGGGGGGTCTTTCTGTCTCACTTGCAGAGGTTTAGCAGGTGCAAAAGCTGCTTGTTATTTTTGTGAATCATGCCTCCATCTTATTTGGATGTCATTATAAGAAACTGTGACGACTACTGCGGGAAAAAAATGTAATATAAATGGTGACCTTTGTGTAAAAAAACTTTGACTCTTTTTCTCTAATGTTTCACTCACAGAGCAAACAGTGTTCGACCTGGCCAGTGATTCAGCCATGAAGCAAATCCTTGAAAGCAACGTTTATCGAGTAAGTCCTCAGCTGACAGCCATCTAATTGAAGTTACTTAGATTTAATCTCAGATTTGTTTGGTACAACTGTCATGTTTGTCATCACTGCTTCTTACAGGGTCCGACCAGACATGTCAAGAAGTTTGAGGGACTCCTCTGGAAGGTAAAAGTCTGGCGTTTATTGTTGATAATGGTCGCTCAGAGGGGTGTTTTTATTTTAGTGGAGAAGAAAACGTTTTATTTCTTTAATTTGGAGACCTTGCTTGAGAACACAAACACAGAAAACACAATCAGGCTCTAATTTGTTGAGTAGCAGGTCTGCCTCACAGGTTACTAAAGAAGAAAATCTACTTTCAGCAGTCCATTAAGCCTTCATTTAAACTCAAAACCTCCAAATTTTCAAAGATGAAATAAAATGTGGTCGTCCTTGAAAATATTGTGTTGCATTTTAGATCTGGCTTTGACTGATGAAACACTTTAAAGACCCACTCTGACTGTTTGTTTTATTTTACTACTTAAAAGTGTTATCAGTGGTCTTTAAATTGTGATTATAAAGTTTTCGTTTGCCAAAATCACGTTACCTTTGTCATTTTTAAGGGCTTTTCTTCTGCAGAGCTCCAGTAGCTTATTAGCAATTCACCTCTGAGTCATGGGGGGAGACAGCGCTGCTCTGCACACTCCTCCTCACGCTAGCTTGTAGCCTAACATTGTCAATGTAGTAGAAGTAGCAGGTAACATAGGAGCTATTCAGTTCTCGGACACTAATGTCTTTGGGGACATGAAGTAAGCTAATATCATAAATCGTAAAAATAATCCACATGCTCGCCATCATCCTCTCTACTTCTCCGAGTCTGGCCTGCAGAGTGGGGCATTGGGGGCAGAGCATGGACTTGTAGCGTAGGAAATGTCACTGTACCTGAACCTGCTGTTTGGGTCTGTGAGAGGTTCACAGCAGTTTGAATGCAGAAATACTCAGAAATGCAATTTTGCCCTTATATTTCTCATATGTCCTATACTGTAGCTTTAGAAAAATGCTATGTGAACATGTAGACAACAAGAAAGACATGATTTTCATCAGAGTGGGTCTTTAAAGGTTAATGCCACTGACATTTTCCCTGAAACATGCAATTTAAAAACATGCAGACATGCTTTTGTTAATTTTCCTGCGTTGTTGTCAATTGTATTTTCTTCATTCAGATACACTTTAGAATAGATAGTCTGTATTTGCATGTGGTTTTATTTTTGTGCAAAGACCTGTGAGTAAAAATGAGAGTGATTTTGGATTACTCATTTTATCTTTCTGTTGCCTATAAGCATACATAACAGCTTCAACAAATCATTCTCTAAAAACAGGCGCCTGCTGCAGAGAAAAAATAACACTATGGAGGCTCAAGAGTTAGTTGCAGGTCAGAAAACCACAACCATTGCTAGAGGATGCTAAGATGCTTTATAGAACCCATTATGACCTGGCTCATTGAAGGAATTGGGAACTTAAAACCAGTTGTTCTGCAAATGTGAAGCTTAAGAGAAGTAAAAATTGTGCCCAAACACAAAGAAACTCAAAACAACAAATAAGGAGAACAAAAGGTAGAGTAAAAATGCATAAAACTTACATCATTTCAACTGTGTTATTGTCACAACCCTCACACTTCAATGCACCCCTTATTTTGGACAGGACGTTAAGCAATACTTCTGCTACATGATGCCACTCAGACTCAAAAGAGGCCAAATGAGGGGCAGTGTTTCTAGCAGCAGTCTGTATCACTGTTTTAATACTTGGCACCACAGGACTGAGAATTAAAATTTTCAAAGTACGCTGTTATGTTGTGATTTGAACTAATGGCTGTACTGCCCCCACAATTTTTGGTGATTCTACAGTTTGGGCTGAAACCTCGAGCTCGCAGAGGATGTGCAGAACTATGGACAGAATGCAGAGTACAACCAGAAGTTATCCACATATCTACATATCTAACATAAACAAAAATGAGCCATTACCCTGGCCCAGATCAGGAACGACAAGTGCCTCTAACACCAAAACGTCTCTACACAAGGTCTAGAAGTCTACCAAGAAACTCTGGGAAGGTGTGGTGCTGAAGTGTCGCGCTAACTCAAGATAAAATGCACAGAGCTTCCCCCTCTTGATCGGTGCAGCAGTTTCATGTTGTTTACTAATCAGTTTCCATTGTTCTGAGGAGGCTGCTCAACCTCAGAGATGCACCACTCAACAAACGATCACGCAGACACAGAGATGGCTAATCACACACACACACAAAAGGATGCAGTAGTGGTTGTGTCAGAGTTGCAAAAACAGCATCTTCTGAATAGGTTTCACTAAGAATGCTGCTAATAGGGGCGCCACTATGCACAGAGGCTGTTCCCTGCTCCATCCACTGTGCTACTCTCACTGAATGAAGGCATTGAAAGCCTCAAAATAAAGATTGGTGCCACTTTATTTTGTGCCACTTATACCCTATTTCACACACACTCAAGTTTTTCAACTCTGTGCAGTTTGCCCTTCTGTTGCATCTCATCATGCAGATAAATTGTTGGCATCTCCACTCTCCCCCGCAGAGAGCTGTGCTGTGCAGTCTCATTCAGATGGGTCTATTTATGACAGATTTGACACAAATGTCACTGTTAATATCCAGGTTATTTCCTGTAAAGAGCCAGAACAGAGCAGCTTGTTCAGATTATGAGTATTGTCAAGAAGTAGCACAGCCCATCTGTGGTGTAGCTAGACCTGTTTAATTCCTGGTTATGATAAAAATAGTCTTGTCTTTGTTGTTCTAACAGATTGAATCTACCCTCATGCATGTTTTCAAGGTGGAATTTTTGTCATGATGCTTGAAAAGTTTAAGCTTGACATCCCTTAAATGTGGTTTGTAATCACCAGCTCTCTGTACACGATATAAATATCATTTCATTAGAAGTAGCTGTGCGTGCCAGAAAATGTTTCCACATCAAGGGTAATTTGCATATTTTACCCCAAACAAAAACATGATGACTCATTGAATTACTCACAAAAATTGGTGCACTGTGACACGATTCGATCTGCCGCAGTTTGGGGTTCATTTAACCTTGTGTACATGCTTTGTGATCAAGATAATGTCTTTTGGTCTTATCGGCAGGTGCATAAGGCAAACCTGCTACCATTAATTTGAGTCACTTCAACATACATGAGCAATTTTACACCCTATATTAGTGAATTGGACGCTGGATGTAGTCCCAGAGTTTTGGTTTCAAGAGTCAGAAACTCAATTTTGACAGCTTCAAAATAAGTATGAGTAAAGTATTCACAAGACTAAAAATTAACTTCATTTTCAGAGCTGATCAGTTTGAAAAATAATCCAGACTAGCTTTGCAACATTTGTGTAATAAACCTGTCGTTTTGGCTTTTGTTTTTAGAGTCTAAATTTGGTGCTGCTCTATTCCCAAATGTGTCTCTGGATTTTGTTTCTACACACTCTCCACCACCAGTGAACTAAATGAGAGTCTACGCAAATACTGTAATCACTTAAAGTAATCCACTGATTCTCTCTCTGTTGCTGGTAATCCTGCAGAGCTCCAGGTTTTTCGGCTGGCGCTCGTACTGGGTGGTCCTTCAGGACGGAGTTTTATCCTGGTACTCCAAACAGTAGGTGCCATCTCTCTCTGCTCGGCTGTGAATCAGAAGTGAGCATTTCTGTGCCACAGATAAATGGAAGCGCTGCACACTTTGATTAGAAAGGTGCAGCGGGACTGACAGATAAATAACTTAGAAAATTGAAGTGCTCTGTCCTCCAAACCTTCACAGGCAATGTGTCACCTGTGAGAAGAAAATAACAGAAAAACGCCACCTCTTTCTCTCTCCTAAAAAGGTCAGATGCAGCTGTCAACATCAGAAGACAAGGCTGTAAGTCCCTCACACATGCTCAGTGTCTGGTAAGATAATATTTAAGATCTGCAGAACATTTTTTAACAGCTGCGCAGATTACTGTGACAGTAGAACAAAAGTGAATGTTTCTGATGTTCTTATTTTCAGAGCCGAGCCAAAGACTGCTGTTTTTTTACCCTCAAGTGTTTCGATGAAAGCATTCATCACTTCAAAGTGTCTCCGAAAAATGACCCAGAAGCAACAAGAAAAGTATGTTTTATTTCTACCGTGGCTGTTATCTCAAATACACTCTGAGGAGATTTTCCTTCCTTGTTTGCAAATCATCATCAAGCATGCATTTTGTAAAGCTTCACCTGGAGCAAAATTCTGTCCTCACATATCAAGCTGCTTTCAAGTCTGCATCCAGTAATATCTTCTGTGAATCATAATATCTTTTTCCAAAAAGGATTTAAAGGAATAAGACTTAATGAGATGATGTAGGCTCATTAAGATTGGAAAGGATCTTTGAAGCAAGAAACTGGAAATGTGTCACGATTGAAACAAGGAGCAAAGTGAAAGGATTTTTTTTTTTACATGACTTGACTGAAAAGACAAGAGACTGAATTGGACATATTTAAGTTCTTTGAAGTCGTGAGATGTGGACCCGTCCTCCTGAGAATTGAAACATCACTTGTTGTCTAAATAATCAGTAATGATTTGTATGCGCTCTTCAAAACAAGAGTCTTGGCTTAAACATAGTCCATCAGACTTGCCCTAAAATACCCAAGATTTGATTGGGACCTGACCAACACTTGAAGTGTGTTTGAATTTGTCCAAAAAGACTTGGCACTTGACTTTGAAATAGCCCTAATGACTTGTGGCTGTTCTCTGACTAGCTCTTTGATATGACTCAGAGCTTGTGTGAAATATTGGTAACCAGTTAATGACTTGTCTTCTTTCAAGATTTGAGTTGTGACTCAAAATCTTTTACCTTACACTTGGAGTTAATCTAAAAGACTTGATCTTTTTAGGTATATTGTCATTTGACTTCCAGGAGAGGTCAAATTTAACCCTTGATATCGAAATCAAATCCAACATAGCAACATTTAAATCCAAAGCTCAGCTCGTCTAAAATGAAGCAGGAGGGTGCTTTATCACCACAATGATCTCAATTTAACCCCAATATTATGTTCCAGGACTGGATGGATGCAGTGGAGGAGCACACAGCTTACAGCACTCACTACTGCTCCCAGGAGCAGGGCAGTGAGGAAGAGGAGGAGGAGGGGATGTCACTCGGGGAGTTAACAGAATCACTACAGGTGACATAAACAGATACACTGAAAATGAGCATGTTAGTATAGCTATCTGTGGTGTTTTTATTGAGCATCCCCCTAACTGCAGGCTGCAGAGGCCAACCAGAAGAAACTTGAAGAGGAGGTGGCAGCTTTTATGTCCCTGCTGAAAAGCGAAGAATCGGATCCAAGTAAGTCTACAAGTTTTACTTGTTATTTTACACTGAACTTGAAAACAGAGTGGACAGTATAGTAAGTATTTCTTGTATTAAGCATACATAAGACTTGACTAAAGCTTGACCTTTCATGCGTTAGGCATGACTTTGATTTGCTCATTCAGACCTTGAAAATGTTCTTGGACTTGAATCCTAGGACTTAAGGTTGTGTGTTTGTCCCTCTAGGCTTTTCGGCCCCAATTCTACAGAAAATGCAGCAGATCTGTGAGCTGTCCAGTGAGACGAGTTCCAGTCTGAGTGTTTGTCTGAATCTGTTCTCCAGACAGGAGGGGGTGAGTATCAGACTGTTGTTGAATTGTATGTAGCCATCATCAGCTGAAAAAATTCAGCAGAAAACTGGTTTTGGATGTTCATCAAATTATTTTCCTTTTTGTGTTAGTCTTCATGTTTCAGAAGATTAACATGAAGATCTGAACAGTCTGTTTAGAGAAACTGTAGAAGTTTTATAACGACCCTTTTTCAAATTAAGGTGGAATAAAACTCATCTACACCTGAATTGTATTTTAATGTGCAGACTCCTGAAAGCCTCCCGAGAGGTGGCCAATCAGAAGAAAACAGGCTCTTGGAGTGGGTGCCTTAAAGAGACAGCAGCTAAAACAAAGCTTGTCAGGTGGAGAAATCTGAGGCTTTTTTGATCTAAATCATCTAAAGATATTAAAGAGGTATCATAGTGGAACTATGGAGTCTGAAAAAATGCATAATACCCCCTCTTTAAATAATTAAAATAAAAAAAAGGCTAATACTGAGATAATAGATAAGAGACTTGTTGTCATAGGAGGTAAACAACCAAGTTTTGATTGGTACCTCACAGAGACCAGCTGCTGTTGAAAGCATAAATAGGAGCAAAGAGGAAATAGAAGATAAAAATAAAAATGATTTTATAATTTACATTTGCAACAACACAAAAGTAAATGTTGATAGAAATAAGATAAAAGAGAGAATAAGATCAGTGCAGTAGCATTATTGAAATGTGAAACATTATCATGATAGTGCAAACAGGACAGTGTAAACACACAGTGATTATTGCACACCATAATCTAACTGTTATGAAGACTTAAACTACAAACTATCTGCTTAGTTTACCACTGTTATGTCACTTAAAATGAGCTCATTTGATTTGTCAGTGATCAAAAATTGAGGTTTTTTTATTTCCAAGGCCTTCAGTTTTAGGTTTTTGTGAATTTAGGGACTCAAAGTAGTTAAAAAAAACACTCCAAGGATCATTTTAGCATGAAAAAAAAACAGATTCTAGCTCTGTCTAACATCTGATCACTGAGGACTCAGTGGAAAAAAATGTGACCATCACAAAAATGCAGATGATATAACTGTATTATTATCAACAAGATGTCTGCGGCTCTCACACACAGAGATGTGTTTTTTTCTTTTTTTCTTTAAAAAGTAACATATAAAAACAAAATGTGCTGTATGAGAAAGCAGCAGCACATTTTACACCTCAGTATGAAGCAGCTCAGTGTGGTGTGGTGATTGGTTTTCTTTGTGTGCGATTCAATGGATCTGATTATAATGGAAGGATTCAGACGATAGATGACATCCCCGCAGGACAGAAAATAGACAGCACCACTCAGAGCTTTCAACATGTGCCAGCCTTGTCCATCAGATCTGGATAATGCAGATCTTAATGTCTAAAACAGCCAACTGCGCACTGTGTGTGCAGGGAGATTTATGCCACAACATCTTTTTTCAGGTTTGAGTGCTGCAGGGTTTTCCCTCATGAGCTGGTGTGAGAGTGAAGTTATGAACCACCTGTGAACCACTTTTAGATGGATACTGAACCTGATTTTTTTCAGGCATTAAGAGCTAAAATAGCATTTCTACTTTGCAGAGACATAACCACAGTTTCTATTTCATTATATGATGTATTATATTATGATATTGATATTTTTTGGAAAAACAGATGAATCTTGACTATTAACATCCAAAACATTCATTTTCTGGGGAAAAAGTTGAGATATTTCAACATATCTTTGCCAAATTCCTACAACAAAACACTTCTGAGTCTTTTAGGAAATTTGATTCAAAACAGATTTAACACTAAATGTGCAGAACTAGACTTTGGTATTTGGAGTATTGTAGTCAGAGTAGTGTCAACCAATCAGGCATTAGCAGGCTTTGGCATCTGCAGGAATATCAGTTTGTATGAAGAGCAAAAGCATGCAATCCACTACAATACTACCTCCCATGGTTGGTTATCTGAGGAGGATTTATTTCTCTCTATAAAAGACAATCAGCATTTAGATTTCCTGACTTCACTGAATGCATCAAAAATTATGGATCTGATCTTCATTCAACAAGCGAGTGGATTTTACACAAAGTCCCTTTGTCATGCAAATCTATTTTTAGAGCTGAGATTGTCAACACGACAAAATAATGTCACATGCAACAGTGTCAACACTGTTTTATAACCTAACCCTGTGTGCATGACATTTCCACTTTTTTTAGATGTAATTAAAGAGGAGAAAGTCATGCATTGTGGTCAATGTAATAGCTTTTTTTTCTAACTGTCAGCCTTGCCCTCATTTAGCCCTCGTGTTCCCCTGTTTTCATACATTTAGTCATTTGCAAGGAAACAGAGAGAGGCAGATCCCAGCATTTTATTCCTGTCATTAGATTGTGCTTTGACCTTCCCTGTCTTGGGTAACATAATGCTTTGAGAAATTTCTGACTTCCAGTCTTCGCTATGGTAATTCTGTCATTTTGTGCTGATGGATGGAAACTACAGCCTTAGACAGTCAGCTGCAAGGTGATCATTTCAATCTGCATCCTAAACAACAAATCTGCATATGGTTAGAGTCTGCATCAGGTCTGAATTATTCTGATTTGATGCTATAAAACCAGCAGTCTCAGTGATGATGGGTGTTTTGTCTCTCCTCCCACTCAGGCTCATAAACAGGATATTTGAATTTCTGCAAAGTCATTAGTGGCAAGTGCTGCTGGTGTGCTTGCAGGCTGCCAGAAACCAATGGAGGGTTCCCAGTTCAATAGCCAGTCTTGAGCTTTCAGGGTTCTCCACCTGTGCCAGGGCCCCATTGCTCAGCTGTGCAGCGTTTTGAACTCAGTGTACACAATAAAAAGGCTCACTGGATCTCTGAGCTCTATCCATGAATGAGCTGCTCTCAATAATGCCAATGTGCACTGCACTGTATATCTCAGCGTGCATGGGGAGGGTGCATAAAGCAGCAGGTCTGGTTTCATTCTACCTGTGAAGAACGGATACTGACTCTCTTTAGAGGCACCTGTCAGGGGGTCGAGCCGCAGGAAACTCCTCTTCAAAGTTCAGTTTGCAGCAAAGGCAGGTGAGCTGTAGGGTGTCAATGTGCAGTACTTATACCACTTCAACTGTCTGCCATAATACAGGTAACAGCAGCGGGGGAAATATCATGTTCAAAGGTTTCCCCTGCACAGTGAAGCAGAAAGCTGTTCTCTGAAAAGAGCGAGTTTCTGACCAGGATTATTATTTTACTGGTACAGCAAACAAAAGGCTAAAAAAAACATGGGCTAGGTAGTGCTCAGCTAATTTTCTGAGAAAGCAAAATAAAATTTTCCCGGCTGCCAACGTCCATAATCCTCCATCATTTATTTAACAAAGGATGCCATTTGGTGGGTCTCAGCATTTCAAATATCTGCATTTCTTGATGTAGTCAAACCATCGGGAGAGCCAAACCAACTAAATTAATGAAACAACGCCTGTATATGTCACTCTGTCATCCTCCCTGTTTCATCCTCTGGTTTGAGTTCAGTCACTGCTCAGGCTGCTCTCACATCTGAACCCACTAACTGTCAGTGTTTTTTCTGCCAAGACCAGCCAGAGACAGACACTGACATTTTCACCACAGTGTCAAGAGTTGGGACGAAAATGTGACAGAACTCTGTCTCTTGATGTGTGAGATCAGGTTGCTCCAGGCTTCACTTGTGTTCTTACTGAGACTAAAGTGATTCATGTATCTAACATTGACAGGTAACAGTCTGCAGCAACAACCTGCTCACTATACATTATCCCTCACCAGAGAAATATTTCTGTTTCAGCAGAAAGCTAAAGATTAGGGATGAAACAAATGAACAAGTGAAAAAAATTATTAAATTAGCCACAAAGCAAATTATTTGGATCAGGCCTTCTTGTAAGTCCTTACTGTGTGGCATGCTGTTTTTGCACACTGTGTATGGAGTCCAGTTCATAAAGCAACTGTTAGACGAAGGCTTTGAATAGTTCTACAAGGTGAACAACCTTCATTTACTAGCAAATTAAAAGAAAACATTAGCCCAACGAATCCAATTCATATTCCCTTATTAATACAATTTCCTGTAAACTGATCCTAATTGATTTGTGGAAGACTAATGCTGACATGCATTTGCACATTTTACATTAATCAGCCTTTAGCCAGGATGAGAGTCCTGGCTAAAGGCTGATTTATGTAAAGTTTTACCATCTTTCTTGTACAAAAGTAGTTCAACTAAATTTCAACTTATTGTTTAAAAATCCCAGCAGAAATGTTTTTTTTTTTATTTTAGTCTCCCTGATGGCACTCAGATCCATCTGTTTCCTTTGTGCTGTACTGTAGGGTCCAGACCTTTAGACTGAGATGGCACAACTTAAGCTCTGACATAAACACTCACAGATTATAAGCGTTTCGTCTCTCTGCCTTCACTAACCACTATAACAGCTGTCTAGTAAAAAGATAAGATTATTCTGTATTATAACCACAAAAGGGAAATTTGCACTGTCACAGCAGTCATAGCAACAGTCCATTTAATGAAGAACAAACTGCTCTTCTTAGATTACTGGATTAATCTGCCAAATAATCAATAGAATACTCGATTACCAAAATACTAGATTGCTGTAGTTCCACTTAATTTGAAGTCTGCTCTCTTAAATGGTTGTAAAATTCTGTAACATTTGGATGAGGAGATGAGTTATTTTTTTATAATGTGTTGCTGAAAAAGTTGCACATCTGTGTATTATTATCACTGGGGTGTTTTAAAGTAAAGGAGGTTCATATCTGAGTCCATCCACATGTTATTCAATCCTCTCTCCTTCATGGGAGTCGTGTTCTTCTGCAGCTATTTGAGACGTGAAGGCAGCTGTTGTCCATTACAGATAAACATGGATCGTCCTCTCAGCTCATCTGTGCATGTGTGTGTGTGTGTGTGTGTGTGTGTGTGTGTGTGTGTGTGTGTGTGTGTGTGTGTGTGTGTGTGTGTGTGTGTGTGCGCGTGCGTGCGTGTGTGTTAATGTGGGGCTAGTGTTCAGGGGAGTGTTGGTCTGTCGTTCTTCACAGCTGGTTTTGTGATCAAACTCTGAACACAGTTTCTGTTTGCATGTTGAAATTATGATCCATTTTGGTTTGTGAGTGTGTTGTACATTCTCACTGTGTGTGTGTGTGTGTGTGTGTGTGTGTGTGTGTGTGTGTGTGTGTGTGTGTGTGTGTTTTTGGAGCTCAGGTGCGCAGTGTGAAATTGGAGCATGAGGTGGAGAAGAATAAGATCCTCTCTGAGGCACTGCAGACTCTCGCCACCGAGCACCACGAACTTGAACAATCCGTCGTCAAGGGATCCTCGCCTCGGAGCGCGCTCAGTGAGGATGAGTTCCACGATGCAGTTTCAGGTGAGCTGACAGGTTGTCGGACATGTGCAGGAGCTGCTGCAGGTGATTCTGTGACCTGCTCACACCTGCTGCTCTGTCATTCACTCACCTGTAGGACGCTGGAATACTTTTTCCTGACGCTGAAAGTCTTTGGTTTGATTCCCGCTTCTCAGAGTGACGTAAGAACAACTGCTGCCTGAGTGTGTTAGAATGTGAGGGCTTTTATTTTGACAGGGTTGAGTGTTTGTAGAGTGGAAAACCTGCATGATGGAGTCATTTTCAAACTAAAAAGACATTGTAGTTTGTTAGAAATCAATTTATTCCTTACTAAAGTTTATATGTGAAGTTGAAATTTACATCAGTAATGCATTTAAAAGCTTTTTTAGATGCTTGTAAGGAAAATGAAATGTGTGAAAACTTAATACATGCATGGTAGTGGCTGTGTTTAGTTTGCAGAGCATGGTTTTTATTGTTGTGAACAATATGTTTGAGGGGTTTTTACATATCAAGACAGTAATACACAACTGCACTGGTATCAGTAAGAGAGGCCAGCACCATTGACATGCATGGAAAGACAAGGCCAGACTGATATTACAAATCCTGCAAATTTTACAGATCATCATCGCTACGCCCTTTGAGCTTTATCAACCAGCCTCATCACTTTTTATTAACAAGGTCTCATCCAGCTGTCCACCAAATTTGAAGTGGATCAAATGAACATCCAGGCACAATTATCCCTGAAAGGACCCCTGAAAATTGCCAAAACCCACTGACTTTCACTAATTTACCCAAAACACTAGCTCCCCTGTTGGAGCTGTAGTGTGGATTCAGTAGACTTTTTTTAGATCTTGACAGCCCACATATGCCTGCCAACTTTGGTACATGTAGGTAAAGGTCCCAATAACAGGGACCCCTTTACTGGAATTTTCAATGGGGCTCTGTGGAGCTGTTTTACACATCCATTTGTTGGTGGCATGTCTAGGGTGCATGTTTTGCCCGTGTAGTTTCATGCCTCTTTGGTCATATTCTGGCTACCAACATGGGGTTTATTGCAACAAAAGGATTCCCACAGGATTAGTACCACCCGCAGACCTTGGATGATAGCATAGGATGTCTGTGTTTTTAATCTCATGTGAAGTGACCATGTCAGATTCAGGGCTCACCTAAGTTTCGCCTCTTTGGGTGTCAATGGATTGACCAAAGTCAGGATGACTCAGCGTTTCTAATAGGGTGACTGTCATGGTTTAGCTGTAAAATATGTTTACAGAAACCAGCAGATGATGATACTGAGACGATGTCCATGTGTTGTACAGTTTTTGGTATAGATTAAGTATTTTTTCCTCAGGTTTATTTTTATTTGTCATCGTATTACTTATTTTGGCTTTTTAAATGTAATTCGCAGAGCAACACAAGTGTGTGTCTACTGGCATTTGATGACTGCCTCAGTTTGGTGAGGTGTTATATCAGACAAAATACATTTAGAGCCAAATTTAAGTCATGACACACCTTTTTCAAGATAATTCAGAAAATGTAGGAAAATGATGCTGACAGGGTCTTAAGTCATGTTTTAGGAAATAAATTAGAAAATGCAGAAGATATTAATGTGCAAGTACTACAAGATTTTTATATCCTGACGTCACATGAACTCATGTAGTTCCTAGCATAGATGAAGAGTGAGAAAAAAGAAATCTTTTGGAAAAAAGTTTTCATGGTCACTCTGAGATTTCCCCCCTGTTTTCTCCTCCCCCAGACTCGGGCTCGGAGGTCTCCCTGAGCGGCTTTGAGACGGTGGCCAGCCATTCCTGTGGCGAAGAGGAAGACGACGACGAAGGCTCTGTCATGTTTAGCAGCCCCGTAATGCAGGAGGATCACCATGGCAACAAGGACAAAGCTCAACCCAATGGGATCACAAAGTATAGGTCAGCTATACTGTAATCCCCCCCACCCCCAGCACTGTTCCCAAAATATATTGGACCCCCTCCAAAGATCTCCACAATCCTTCTGGAATACTTCCTGAATATTGTGTTTACTTCTGTCGGCCATCTTTGTTCGTCTGCTCCACATTCTCCCTCACGTCTTTCCACTTCAAGCTGTGAATAATTCAGCATCATGTCCAGCAGACTGAAGGAGGGACAGAAAGAGTTGTGTTGAAAGAATGAAGCTGTGTGTGCTGGAGCTGTTAAATATTGATAAGGTCACAGTGCAAAGCAATCATCAGTCTGCAGAAGAGCAGAATAAATCCATACAGGCTGCTCCACGGTGAAGCCCACACTGATCAGATAGACATTTATACTCAGTTTTACTAATACATGATCCTTTGAGGCAGTTTCCACATTCTTTTTTTGCCAAATTCTCATGATTTGAATCATTTTTTATTCAAAACTATTGTCTGTCAACTTCAAAGGTAGTTTTTTCCCACATGTTTGTCCGATTCAGGAGATTTAAGTGCAGCTGATTTGGAGTCAGCCTTTGTTGTCTGTCCCTCTGGGCTTCGTTCCAACATGTCACTCAATACAGCTCAGCCTTTTGTTGACCATATTCACCTGAATAAGACATGACACCTGTGGGGGTTATATGTCTGCTGCATTTACTTTAATGACAGTTGTTCTCAGAGCAACAACAGAAAGTCAGTGTATCATACTAAATCTGACTGTGTGTTATTATGTGTGTGTGTGTTTTTAGGACCAGTTTACCTGCTCCAATGTTTTCCAGGAATGATTTCAGTATCTGGAGTATCCTGAGGAACTGCATAGGAATGGTGAGAAAATGTTTATTTCAAGGTTTTTATCAGGCATGAGTACAGCATCAGTTTATGGATAAAATGTCATCAATTTTTGTTCAGATCTTCATGTTTCCCAGAGGACTGATCTTAACATTTTTGTCATCTACTGACATTATCCTGAATATAACCAAATTAGACAGTACCACAGCTGAACACACCTGCTTTACTTTTCATAAACATTAATTTCACACTTAAGTTTTCAGTTTAATAACGATATTTTATTTCATGAATATTGAAAAGAATTTTCTCATGCATGCTTTTTTAATTGCTAAGTGCTTGGGTTTATTTACAGGGTATTTGTTTTTCTGGTCCGTATTTTCTCTAGCAACAAATCTAACTATCTTTATTTTCTGTGAATTTACAAACTTTTGATATCAAACTTTGCTTCCTCTCTAACTATTCAATAATCCAACCATTGAACTTCTAAACTAACTCAATCACCAGCCCACTGACTTTCTAACACTCAAATTATGAAACTAACTGACTAACTGAGTTGTTTACCTTCTGTCTGTTTAACTATTACAATGTCATACTTGACGAATCACTTACCCAACACCATCCAACTAACTCTATGATTGATTTGCGCCCTTTAAGTTACTTCCTATTCAACAGTCAAAACATCAAACTTTAAAGTTTTTTTCACTTACTGATTACTTAACCAACCAACCAAGTAGCCAACTGACTTTCTCGCTAACTGACTGCCTGACTAACTAACTAACTAACTAAATTACAAGCTGACTAATATTAACACATACTCACTCATCAAACTACTTTCTTTTACTTTGGATAATTAGTCAACTAACTACTTACCTGGCCTACAAACTATATTTTAACTCATATCTTTGTTATTTACCTTCATATTTAGCCCAATTATTACATCAACGTTATGGCTCTCTAATCATTAACTTTAGTCTCAAACCTGCTAACATAATTATTTGATACTAACCAACTCACTATCAAACTGTTAAACTAACTTTACAGTTAAAGATTGACTGTTGCAGATTAGCAAATGCTAGCCTGGTAAGTCGCTAACACTATTTTTTTTTTCTTTTAAGAGTTGAACCCATAAAACTACAAAAAAACTAACTGTGAACACAGTTCCTTCTAGCTAAAAGTGCTGTCTTGTAGAAAAAGCATTGTTGGTCAAACCAAAAGTCCAAATTTGAGACAACAAATATACATAATAATAATAATAATAATAATAATAATAATAATAATAATAATAATAATAATAATGTATTTTATTTATAGGAGCCTTTCGAAGTGCACAAGGTCACCTTACAAGAGAAAGTTTAAAGAAGACAAATAAATAAAATTGTTTAAAAAAAGGCCCTTTTTTGCAAGAAGATTGTCTGCAAGTGTTTCTGATGAATTTACCGATCAAAGCAGAGGAGATTTTCTCACCTTTAGTTTGAAAGACTTATCTTTCTCTGTCTCTGATGTCCTTCATTGTCTACTCCTTTTTTTTTCTACAGGAGCTCTCAAAGATCACGATGCCAGTGATTTTCAATGAGCCGCTCAGCTTTCTGCAGCGTCTGACTGAGTACATGGAGCACACCTACCTCATCCACCAGGCCAACACCTCCTCAGACTCCGTGGAGAGGATGAAGGTAAAGACTCTCTGACCTGAATCATAAACACATTTTAATCACCTCTTATTTATTCAGAGCTGAATGTGTGTGTCTTTTTAAAGTGTGTGGCTGCGTTTGCTGTGTCTGCTGTGGCGTCTCAGTGGGAGCGAACTGGAAAACCCTTTAACCCACTACTAGGAGAAACCTATGAACTGGTCAGGTGAGTGAACTCTAATGGATAAATAAAAAACAGCACTAAACAACAGCCTTCAGGCTTTATTTTTGTACCATCAGCCATCAGGCTTTGTAACTCTTGTGTAAATAATAGATAACTTTTATAGACATTTTATGTGAGACAACAGACAATCGAATTTCCCTTCGGGGATCAATAAAGTTCTTCTTATACTTCTTCTTCTTCTTAGATTACAGGAAAGCCTTTGTATTCTTAAATGCATGGAAAATACAATCTCAGCAAGTGTGATTTTCTTATTTCCTGTCATAAAATGTCACGTTAGGCTTTATTGAAGCCACACTCAGCAAGTCCAGAAAAAAGTATTTGTTCAAGATATTACACACCATAAGTAAGAGTTGCTCTTAATTCAAACCTGTTTTAAATTGTAACTTAATGACATTCACTGTCTGTCTCAGGGAGGATCTGGGCTTCAGGTTGATCTCAGAGCAGGTGAGCCACCATCCTCCTGTCAGTGCCTTCCATGCAGAGGGTCTTGATCAAGACTTTGTGTTTCATGGATCCATCTACCCAAAACTCAAGTTCTGGGGGAAAAGTGTGGAGGCAGAGCCAAAAGGAACAATCACGCTGGAGCTGCCCAAGTAAGAAATTCTTCTGACACAACACTACACACTATTTTCAAAGATCATGATTTTGACCTTTAATGAAAAGAATAGCTGATGAGAGTTTGTAATATCAGAAGACAAGAGAGAGGGGAGAAAGGGAAAGGAAATTATTTGCCAAAGTCATATTTTTCAAAACTGGTCACTTTTTTTCTTGTAATTTATATATTTGAATTTCATCTGCAGTCACCATTATATGCAGTTACACAGGGGCCTGGTTCGTAATTCATTCACAAGGAATGTCAGGCTTTTGTGCTCCCTTTAAACCCGTACAAATGTGACCAAAAGACCATGTCTAATTCACAAAAACATGCAAAGGGTTAAATGCTCCCATAACTTTGTGGAGCTGATTGAGCCTCTGTGCTCTGGCGTTGCTTGTATAATTTTCAATAAGCCATTATGCATTCATTTGAAACAAATGAGCCACATTACAAATATAAGACTTAAGCACACAGTGCAGCAGAGATTAGAGATACTTACAGCTCTGACGCAAAACGAGCAAACCACACAGAGCTGCAAAACTTTATAGGCTGGTTTAGGCTTGAATGTCAGTTGAGCAATATGGCTCATTCATTTGTTTTACTTTATTTACTTGTTTTTGGGCAGGGCCAGTGAACAGCTATTTAGCTCTAACAGAGTTAGCTTTTGAGCTCATTTACACCTGTAGCTTCTTGACAGAAGACAGAGACAACACCTCTGTTAAAAACAAACAATACACTATTAAAAAACTGTTTCAACAGAATATAATCCCTGTGCAACATCAGGTTATCAGTACACCATTTGTTGGTTTGCTTGTATGTTTTTGCACACTTGTACAATTGCATAAAATGTCATAATGAATATGTAAATGACGTGTCAGAAGAAATAAATAGCCAACAGGGACCTCAGCCTTTTCAAAGACAAATTACTAACACAATTTCAGACAAACACAATCAATAAAACTATTTCAAGATGTCAGAAAGCACAAGCCCTATACTTTGGGAACCAGATCCCATCATGAAGCACAAAGCAGACCAAGTGATGCACAATTCTTAGGGATCATAGCAGCCAAAATCTATTCTTTGTGAAGTCAACTTTATTTGCATGAGCGGCCTGCAAAAGTCATGCAAATTCCTGTGGGATGACAAGTTTATGTTTTTCAAAGAGGCAAACTTCCATGTTTATCTGCTTGTTCAAAAAACAAATAAAAAAAAACATGGAAATTCGTACAGCCCAGAAAAACTGTCCCACTCTTTTGAATGCCTCTGTAGAGCACGAGGCAGCTGGTCTACTACAGTTCAGCAGCAGGATCGGTTTGTGACAGCATGATAAAAAGAGGAGCACAGATAATTAATCCTAATCCTCTCGATACACACAGGTGGTATCAAAACAAAGTAAAAATAATTTATGATTCAACAAAACAAATAAAAATTGAATTTTGTTTCACTTATATCAAAAAACTTCTTCAAATAAATGAAAAATAAACTTGTTTTAGATGATTGTGTGATATGTGGTAGCAGGTTATGACGTCATGAGTCTCTAACCTGCAGCAGAGCTCATCACTCGAGGACGAGACAGCTTCCTCCTTCACACTGAAGACCTTTTAAACTTTGGCTTACCAGTAACACTTTCCTGTCTGTCTAAACTCATCTCTTCTGCAGGCACAATGAAGCCTACACCTGGACAAATCCTACATGCTGCGTTCACAACATCATTGTTGGTCAGCTGTGGATCGAGCAATATGGGAGTGTGGAGATCATCAACCATCGGTAAAAAAAAACCAATAGAGCTTCAACACTTTTTACCCTGAAATTATTGCACATTGACAGTTATAAAAGCAGGAGTTTCTAAGTCTTGCACAGTCTAGTGTGAATGTTTTGAGGAAGTTTAAAGACTAAGGAGGAAACAGAGGGATCAGATGAGGAAGTTTTGTGTGACTCAGTATACAGAAAGTGAGTGAGAGGATAAGATCCTGTTTTTCTTTTCTTTACTAAGAACAAATGAAAGGTGCTGCCTGAACTTCAAACCATGCGGCCTTTTTGGCAAAGAGCTGCACAAGGTCGAAGGTTACATTCTGGATAAAAGGTGAGAAGGCTTATCACATGTTCTGAAAGACTTTTACGTAATGATTTGGCTTAAACTTTGAGGGAAAAGGTGGACAAACTGCTGAATACTTTTGCATAATTAGAAGTGGAAAAAATCCACACATTCCCCCAGTAAGCAGAGGTACAAATACTTAAAGTAAGGCCCTTAGAGTTCTTATTCAACATGATCCATGCAGCAAGAGTTTGGGGTCCAGACCCTGATATGACCTCACAGCCTGAAGGTGAAAAATATCTGTCTAAAAGATTAAAGATATTTTTAGCAGCTGTTTGGGCACAAAATTAACTGAGTCTTAGTTCAGATTTGAAGAATGTCAAACTAATACCTAAAACCTGTGTGTCTTTAACTCTTTTTTAACTCATTATTGTATCTTGAAAAACAAAAATAAAGGTAGATTTGTGTCAGAGATTTTGGACCAAATTTCAACCTGTTTAAGCTTTTGCATGAATAAGGTTACACTGTGTATTTAGTAGCTGAAGTCATGATCTGATGTTTGTTCCTGAGGTTGTTTGTATGTTTTCCACAGTAAAAAGAAGGTGTGTGCTCTCTATGGGAAGTGGACTGAGTGTTTGTATGTCATCGACCCGGCAGCCTTCGAAGCGCACAAGAAAATGGACAAGAAAGGGTCTGAGGAGAAGAAAACCAATAAAGCGGTAAACACAGTGAGGAGACACAAGTGATATTTGCAGTTTGATGAAAAAAGTTTGCATTTTTAAGAGGAATAACAGAACAGTGTCTTGAGGACACGGCTGGACATGATAAATGCACTGTAAAGTGATGCATCCCGAAGAAATTATGCTTGATATGTAGATGTGTCAGTGCAGCAGAGTGTTTTTTGTGCTCAGAGCTGCAGCAGCGGTCAGGAAGAGCCTCCATCTCCAGCTGCTGACACAGTGGAGATGATTCCTGGCAGCCAGCTGCTGTGGAGAATTGCACCCAGACCGCCCAACTCTGCACAGGTCTGACTCATTAAGAAACATTATAATCAGAATTTTTTATGATATTCATGTAAACTAAATATCATTTTGTTTGGTTGCAGATGTACAGCTTCACTTCCTTTGCAATGCAGCTGAATGAGCTGCATCACGGGATGGAGGGAGAAATTCCTCAGACTGACTGCAGACTCAGACCAGACATCCGAGCCATGGAGAACGGAGACATCGGTAAGAACTGCTAGTGATGAAAAAGCAATTGAATATCTAAAATAATACTCCAACTGCAGTCTGAAACCTTACAGTGTTCTTGTTGTAGATCTTGCCAGTGAGGAGAAAAAAAGAGTGGAAGAAAAACAAAGAGCTGCTCGCAAAAACCGTTCAAAGAATGACGAGGAGTGGAAGACGAGGTAAAACTTCAAGTCATTTTAACCAAACAGGCCTATATACAATGGGGAAAATAAGTATTGAACGCGTCAATGTTTTTCTCTTTACATTTATTTCCAAAGATGCAATTCAAATGAAATTCCTGCGAAGCATTGGTATTAATTCAAATAATCCACACATGAAAAGAAATCACAACATTCAAGTCCATAAATAATGATTATGTGGAATTAAGTGCACTAACACAGGGAAAAAGTATTGAACACACCGTGGAAAGGCTGTATACTTTGGCAAGGAAATGCGCCACACCACCTGAAATCTGTCAGTAATTATTACTTGTACATCCAGTCAGTTCAAACCAACGTCAGCTGGGTTAGAGCAAATTGATGGTCCTATAAACAGGTCGTTTTGTCACCAAGAGGGCAAACAAGACACATCTCATGATGGGTAAAGGCAAAGAGCTCTCTGAAGACATTCGCAACCTGATTGTTGCTCAGCATCAGAATGGAACTGGTTACAGACTTATATCAAAGCGCCTGAATATTCCAGTCAGCACCGTTGGGGCTATTATCCGCAAGTGGAAGAAGCACCACCTTACCATCAACAGGCCACGCTCAGGAGCTCCTCGCAAGATTTCTGACCAGGGAGTACGAAAGATGGTCAGAAGAGTACTCAATGAGCCAAGGACCACCCTGAAAGTGCTCCAGAAAGACTTGGAGGCAGCAGGTACAATTGTTACAGAGATGCACTCCACCGCCATGGCCTCTATGGACGCTCAGCCCGCAAGACTCCATTCCTCGAGAAAAAGCATGTTGAAGCTCGTTTAAAGTTTGCTAAACAGCATCTTGAAGGGCCTGTAGAATACTGGGAGAATGTTGTCTGGTGAAACGAGATCATAGTTTTCGGCTGTCATACTACACACCATGTTTGGAGAAGAAATGGCACTGCACATCACCCAAAAAACACTATACCAACAATGAAGTTTGGAGGTGGAAGCATCCTGGCATGGGGTTGTTTCTCATCTTGTGGTATTGGCAAACTTCATATAATTGAAGGAGCAATGAATGGAGCCATGTATCGGAAAATTCTTGATATGAACCTGCGGCCATCCACCAGGATGATGAAGATGAGACGTGGCTGGTACTTCCAGCAAGACAACGATCCAAAGCACACAACAAAGTTAACTCTCAAATAGTTTCAAAAAAAGAAAATTAATCTGTTGGAATGGCCCAGATAATCTCCTGATTAAATTTGTGGAAAGAACTAAAGAAAAGGGTTCACCAAAGGGCACCAAAAGACATTCAAGATTTAAAGACAGTTTGTCTGGAGGAGTGGGCCAAAATCACATCTGAGCAGTGTGGACGATGAGTTAAAACATACCAGAAGCGTCTGGAAGCTGTGATTGCAAACAAAGGCTTCTCCACTAAGTATTAAATGAGTCTCAGTTAATGTGTTCAATACTTTTTTCCTGTGTTATCGCACTTAATTCCATATAGTCATTATTTATGGACTCAAATGTTGTGATTTCTTTTCATGATGTCTGGTAGAAATTTTATTTGCATTGCATCTTTGGAAATAAATGTAAAGAGAAAAACATTGACACGTTCAGTACTTTTTTTCCCCATTGTATCTGACATGCATGTTTATCCAAACATTTGTGAAAGGCATGGGCTCAAATCATCTGATTTTATTAGCCAGCCTCTGATGGTACAGTTTCTGTTTCCTGTCTCAGACATACTGCCCTAATTCAGAAATCTTCTTTTTCCAACACGCTGTAAATGTTAGTGAACCCAGCAGACCAGTTTCTGGAGTTTATAAACTGAAATGTTGTCCCTTTCTTGCCTGATGGAGGATTACAGCTGCTCTACAGTTCAGGGTCTCCTTAGTCCTGTTTTTGTGTCATGACGCTCCAAATGTTTCCAATGGGTGACAAGTCAGGACTGCAGTCAGGCCAGTTTATCAGCAGGACTCTTCTACTTCAGAGCTACACTGTTGTAATCCCTGCATAATGTGGTTTGTCATTGTCTTACTGAAATGTGAAGGTTTACCCTGAAAAAGTCATTGTGTGGATGGCAGCAGATGTTGCTCCAAAACCTGTTTATATTGTTCAGCATTAATGGAGCCTTCACAGATGTGTAAGGTACACATAGCATGAACACTTATGATCCCCATGGCTTTGAACTGATAACTCGCCTAGTAGATCCTTTCCTCCTTGGTGGCAGCCATGAATTCCAAGTGATTTTTTTTTTATATTAAATCACAGGAAAGTTTTCCACTTCACCTCAGTCCATCTTAAATGGGCTCAGGTCCAGAGAAGTGTGGTATTTTTGGATCATGTTTACATCTGGTTTCCTCTTGTTCAGTTTTAACCTGCAAATGATGATGAACTGTGTTCACAGACATTGGTTTTTGGAAGTGATTTTGAGTTCATGCACTGATTTCTACTACAGAGTTTGTTTATTTTAAATGCAATGCTGCCTGAGGGCATGAAGATCAGGACCATCCAGTCTTGATTTTAGTTCTTGTCTCTTTTGTACAGAGATTTCTCCAGATTCTGAATCTTTAATTATAGCATGTTCTGTAGATGATAAAAATCCACTAATTCTTTTACATTTGACACTCAGGAAAATTGATCTAAAACTGTTAAACTATTAACTCACTTAGTTTCTCACAGAGTGGTGAACTTCTTCCCATCTTTCCCTCTGAGAGTCTCAGCCTCTCTGAATGTCCTTTTTATACGCAGTCATGTTATCAACCTGTTGGAAATCCACCTCATTAGTAAGGTGATGTTCCTCAAGCTGTTTTTTCACATTACACAACCTTTTATCTGTTTGGTTGTTCCTTCAACAACTTTTTAAGGCTGGAAGTTTTGTTTGGGGTATTGGTGTAAAAATAGGGGTTATTGTCTTTGTGAGCTGTAGAGTTGAAGATGTTGTCAAATATTAACATGATTAGAACAGCTTTTTTCAGTCTCTGTGCTAAACTTTGTTAAGCTAAGCATCAGCTTGACTAGTTTCATCCTAACCATTACAAGTCAGACAATGATATCAGTCTTCTTATCTTTCATGAAAAATTGTGCCAATTTATTTCAGCATTTGTGGGATTAAAGTATACCAACTCTACTTGAATTGCTTTATTTACATGGGGCTTCAATGTTGTTTTAATCGTGGCTAAAACAGATAAATGTCATCCACTCCCTGCTGTAATTTACCATCCCTTCCTGTTTCATATCGTGTTGCTCTGAAATACTCGAGCTTAACCTCCATTTTATCTCCATGTGTCTTGTCTTTCTGTTGCTACCTCACTGACGTTCAGGAGTCTCGCCCTTGGCCCGAGGTCAGAGCTGCTTGCTAACGTGTGGTGTGATCATGTGCTCTGTAGTTTCCCAACACTTCCCATCCTCTAGATTCAAATCTAATCTCTGGAACTGTGTCTTTCTGTGTGCTTAGATGTGATAGAGAGTCACTGATGATAGAATCACAGTTTGAAGATGATTAATCTTATATTCTACCCACAAGCACGGCAGATCTGCTTCCTCGCCACAGGAGTCCACTCACATAAATCACTCCCTGCTTTTAAACTGCAAAGTTTGAGGAAAACTAACTTTATTTCAGACAAAAAAAAAACAGTTTTTTCAAACTTTCCTACATCCATGCAGATTCTTCAAAACCCTGTGGTAAATTATGCCTGACTTCCCCTCCCTCCTCACAGTCTCTGATTAGTCTGGGTTTGATCAGAGATGGACGGACATTGAAGCTCCAAAGCTGCACTCTTTCAATAGAAAATGTCTTTGTAGGATAAGACATGGGGGAACAGACAAAACAGTCTGAATTCACATATTCTGCAAAAAAAAAAAACATGGCAAAATCTGTAGACAAGAGTCTGTACTTTTGTTTGAGAAATGATATTTCTGTCATATGTTGATAGTCTGAGTGGTATTGGCAAATCAGGTATCAGCAGTCTTTGGTGTCTGCAGGAGAAACAGTCTGAATGGAGAGCAAAAGCAGGCAGAACACAGTTAACCGTCATGACATCCTGCAGTAACCTGAGGAGCGTTTTATTTCCCCTATAAACCGATATTTGCATGAAGGACAGCTAACTATCTGTTCTAGACCAAACATTTACATTGAGACACTGATCCACTCGATTCTGAATCACTAAAGACGATCAGCATTTAGTTCCCTGAATGCATCAAACCAACCAGATTTCTTTACTAATTTGCATCATGATAGTATTTCAGCAAATGTAAGACCCATTAATAACAAGAACACAAGTTTCTTTTCCAGGTTCATACCCCTGAAGTGAACCAGTGAAGCCTCAGTGTAACTTACTGTTTACAGTGAAACTGAGACTCACCACAAACAAATAAACGGGTGTTCCTTCAGGGTATGAGTGTAGAATTTGGAGTGGTGGTAAAGACTACACACAAAGCGACACATGGGAAAAAAAAGAAGTCTGTGCTGAATTTTTTTTTGTTTTGTTTTTTTGTGTTACTTCTGGTTGTACCAAGTTGCTGTGGTTGTTACTGGCTGCTGTACACTTTGTGGCCAGCAGGTGTCACTGTGTTGCATTTAAAGATCCAAAGTTTCATATCTTTTTCGATGCACATAGACAGAAAGCTGCATTTGGCTTCATCCACTCATCACTGGTTTAGTTCTTTCAGTGTTGGTTTTTATTTTTGATTCATTTGTCTGTGTTGTAATTCCAGGTGGTTCCAGCAGGGGCAGAACCCCCACACCAGCACCCAGGACTGGCTGTTCTCTGGAGGATACTGGGACAGAAGTTACAGCATGCTACCAGACATCTACTAATGGACACTATCTACTTTGTATAGACCAGCATTCAAATTTTATTTTTGTTTTTTAATGGAAAATAGTACAATCAGTGTACTTAAACTATGTGGCCTTAATCAATGTGGGTGAAACTGTACAGACAGTTTCATAATTAATATTTACCTATTTTAAAATGTAAAGCAGTTTGAAAATGCTGTGAATTGTATCCTTTGTATTTCAATGGAGACCAGATTATTTCTATGTAACAAACTCTAACTCATCAGTTCATGAATTTAACTTCCTCTTTTATTAGTGTTTTTTAAATGTATGCTGTACAGAAATATTTATATTTACACCTTTTGAACTATCAGTGACCAAATTAACACTTGGTTCACATTTTCTCTGGACTTAAATCTTTACCAACAATGGAAGAGGGTTAAGACCACTGAAAATAATATTTTGAGGTCTGAACTTTTTTTCCAATTTTTAGATTTAAGTTTGAATCATGAAAAAGAAAATAACTCTGAATTTGAATAAATTGGAATTTTTGTCAGATTACAACTTAATCTGATGCTGTAAAAAAAGAAGGATTTTTGACAACAAAAGTCAGGATTCTTAATAAGATTAAGAACTCTTACTTAAACTTTAATCCCAAACCCCTGACTTTGTGTTTTCAGAATTCAGACTTTTTCTCTGATTCACAGGTTAAAGTGGAATTCTGGGGAAAAAAAAGGTGGGGATTCTGTTTTGAACTTTTGCCACACATTCTGTCCTTCACTACATAAATCAAATAATTGCTTCAAAATCTAACTTGTTTTGAGATTATTTTCACACTTTAATTTTTATGGCAGAATTCCAGAAAGTCTGAATGAAAAAAAAAATCAAAAAAGTTTCTCAAACTTTAATGATTAAGTCTGGTTTAGTTCTTAAAATTCAGGTCTTTTCTCAATCCTGAGATCAAGACAGAATTTGATTGACAGAAATCTCTATTCTTTTTCTCTTATGAAAAAAATGACTTACAACAACTTGAACTCAGATTTCGAATTTCTTTCTCGGTTTCTGAGATTTAAGTTTGATTTTTATTTTAATTGAATCATAAAATTATTAACTGTTCCCCCAGCATTCCAAGAAAAAAACAAATTCTGTCTTTGACCGGGTCAGAATTCTGGCAAAAAGTCAAAATTCAGTTTTTAAACAAAGGGTCAAGAAATCAGCATTCTGTCTTTGATCTCATTCTCTTAAGTAATGGATGATAAACATGAGCTGTTTTTTTCCAAAAGTTTTTTTTTTCCTTGACCTTTCCTTCAGAACAAAATCACTAAAACAAAAAGTCACTTTTCAATGTCATTGTTACATTTTTTAAATGTTACTGTGTAAGTTTTATTTTTGCTGAGAATTCAAAATGTGTGTTTCAGACAATCTGTCAGAGAGACTGAACAGAGATAATAAAGAGAGTTAATGAGGTCACATAATAAGGAAATTAACGAGTTTTAAAGCATTACTGTCTCTGGTGAAAGTGTTTTGTTGCACACTGAAATAAAACACTTAAATGTGTAATTTCTTTATGTATTTATGTAAAGTTTTTTTTTTTTTCCCCGAGTGCAGGACCAAGTTCGGAGGAATCTGAAAATAAAGAGTCATGTGATCAAACATTTCTGGAATAAACTGTCCTCTGAGACTCATTTTTTTTTTCTGAATTTTGATTGAATTGACTTAAACATGAAACCAGAGAAATGGCGAGTGATGCAACAGGACAAAATCAGCACACGTATGACTGCTGGCTCTTCATGTATGTGTGTATCAGTAATATGTTATATATTTCATCATATTTCATTTAAACACATGGGGAGTGCTGCTCTCTGATCGAATTTTAAGAGATAAAGTGAAATGAAATGTCTCAGTGGCCCACTTAAAAAAAAACAAGGTGAAGACTGTGAATCTGAACAGATGTGTGATTTGATGAGGACTGGGTCATTCACATGGAAAATAAAACAGGAAAAAGGCTCAGAGAGAGGGAAATTAGAGGACATAGTATTGAGATAAAATGTCACTTCCCGCTGTTAAATAAAGACAAATTGTTTCATTTTATTTAATTTTAAGATGTATTTTATTTTATTTCAATTTATTGTTGACTTTGTTGTCTGGTGAGTTATGACAGTCTTTCAACTGCAGGTATATTTGACTCTTTATTTGCATGAATTTCATTGCCTTTCAGTCCTGTTTCATTCATTTTTCTGAAGATAAAAAAATGAACATTTATCTAGTAGTGAGGATAACAGGAACCTCTTCAGTCTTATTTAGGGTTGTAAAAAAATAAGATTTTCTTTTAAAAAGGATCCATTTGTCCTCCCAGTTACACAGAGGACCTAGAGCTTCATACATTACGTAAAGCACGCCATCTCCTGGTCAGAAAAGAAAATAACAGAGTATTTTGTGTAGGATGGGAGAGTTCACAAATTCAGCGCAGCTCGTTTTGGAAACGAAAGCAACATAAAAACTAAATGTAGTTGGTAAATAAGAGCTATTTATTGGGGGGAATTTTTGTAAAATTAACATGGACATTGAAAAATATTTGGCAAAATGCAACCAAACAGACCTGTTGTTGCTGACAAATCAGTAAAATATTATGAAAAGGATGACTACAATAGGTTAAAATCTACATGTCCAGGGTGTGGCTCAAATCAGGTCTCCAGGATGCATCTGGCCTCAACCCTTTCTCGCCCACACACCCACAAAAATTCCAAAAGGGATAAACCAATCAAAAAAGAGGGAGTTTAGTGGGACAGTAATATCCTGCAAACTGCTCTGAGTGATACAGGAGGGTTTGTTAACTTTTCTGTGTCAGCCAAAATGCAAGAATACAGAAATTTGGCATCCTGAATCCTGTCAACTTTGTTTATTTAAAGCTGTGGTCATGTTTCTATTACTCAATAAACTACCAAACCAGTTATATTTTTAACATTTGAAGTAATGTTTGTTAAAAAAAACTCTAAAACCTTATATTTCTCATGCAGCCGATAAAAGGTGATGGTACAGGGACTCAGAGTTTCCGTGGTGATCCTAAAAAAAGTAGTAAATTGATTTTAATCACATAGTCACAAATACTTTTTGTTGAGTCTCTCTTTAAATGTTGATTTCTGTATGTTTAGAATATTTAAAACCTTTGTCTTCTTTTGTGTTAATTTCATAAATTTCTGGACACACATAATATACTATATATTTTCAGTGTGTGGAGGCAAAAAAACTGCCAAAACTAGAGACAATAGACGGATAAACATACAAACTTTATCAAAAGAAATATTTTTTTTACCCCCAAAAAATTCTGTTTTTAAATATATGCATAGAGAAAAATGTGATATAAATTCATATTTCAGTTTGAACCTTATTCAAATCAGGTCTCATTTGTGTGTTTAAGGGCTTTAAAACTAGAATTAAAGTGTCATTAAACATATAAAAAGGTATTTTACCTTTTTATATATAATTGATGAATTGTAACTATCAAGTAAAACGTCTAGTTTATTTGGATTAGGGTTGTCATGACTAATGCAAAACTGTGATTGTGATGTTGGTAAGGTTAGGAGTAACACATTACTTTCTTTTAATCTTTGGCTATTTTTGTCCCTTTCTACACACTGTAGTTTTACTGCGGTGTCTTATTGCTGCCACAAAATAGAAAATAATAACACTTCTGCTCTTTTGAACAGCACATTTCACATTAAAAAATACAGATGGCTCAGTTTAAAAAAATTATACACTTTGTGTCAAACAGATTTAAATTATAAATGAAGTTTGAGTTTGAGCTAACAGCTACGAGCTAACATTACCTCTGCAGCTAATAGGTGGGTAATCACAGGTGTCTAGAATAAATGCACTGATTGGACATTTTGTCCAGGGCTAAACACACTTCATTCTGTCAATGTTATTTCCTTGAATGTCTCAGCTGAAGAGTCCACCCCTAGTTTGATAACCTCATTTTGTCTGGAAACTGAAGGACAAAATCAAAACACAAAATCTACAAAAAGAGAGGCAGACTCTGTAAGATTTTTCTCCTTTCTGCTCCTTTTCATTCAGGTTTCAGAATTTTCCTTGTTTGTATTGAATGTTTTATATACTAACAGAATGAAATAAAGTATCAACAACAAAACATAAGATCTTGTAATCAGAAACAGATTTTTGTAAGATGTCAGGTGTAGAAGACCAACCTGTGACCAGGTGAAACTGCCCGTCACAGAGACTTTCAGGGGAAGTCACAGAGAAACAGATATCATAGGTGCCTACATTCACTCTGACTACCACCTTTAAAAACAAAAAGAGTCACTGAACATCAGAGGAGGTATTGAAAACAAACACAATTACGTCTTTGCTGTTCAGGCAAAGGCATGTTTTGAAGGAGAACATATATTAAGCTCACTCTAATGAGACTGATCCATCTATGCGACAAAATCAGTATTTCGGGAACAGAAGGTCATGCGGACTTGTGGGTCTGGTCAGATGCCACCCAATCCTGAGTCACTCAGACATTCGTTTTGCCAGTTATGACACAAAATGTGAAGGCCATGGACAATGAATGGCAATCGGGAGATGTGAGGATTTGGCAAAATATTTATGGTCAAAATAGTGCCTGTAGAGAGTGTTTCGGAGCATGTTTGAAATCGCTGAGTTAATTGATACTTTTAAGTAAAAAAATTTTTAAAAACAGCTAGGGTTCGGGATATGGTTTTGGTATAGGGTTAGGGTTACAGGGTTAGAGTTGAGGTTAGGGTAGGGTTAGGGTGAGTGTCAAATGTCAGAAACAGAGACAGTAGAAAGTCTAATTCTAATTCGAGAGAAAGTTTCAGGTGTGTTGCATCCAATAAGGGTGGTTTCTCAACTCCAAAGTTAAGAGTCTTTAAGTTATAGGATCCTGAATGGATTCCAGATTGTCATCTGTTTGAACTGTGATGCAAATCCAGGATCATTTTTAAGGCTAATATAACAAATACAAAGAGAAGTAAAGGTTTGTAAAATACAGAAGTGTAAAAAGAGAGTCATAATCTTTCTGTTATTGACCACTAGGAGCAGATTGTGTCAGATGCCAATATTGGCTCAGCAAAATAATAACCCATATTCTGCGTCCCTACTTTTTGCTCTTGATTGATAGAGGAGTTTGACCTTGTTTTCCTTCAGGAACAGACTGACGCTGAACACCTGCCAGGTGATAAGAAACGGGGGCTCAAAGGACAACATAAACTGGGAGCTGAGGGTGAAGACATCATCTGAAACAAAATATTCCTCATCATTTTTAGGAAAAAAAGATTCTTTTTTCTGCTTAACCACACCAGGCTCATTTAAATTAGTCCAACCTTTGACAATATGTCCTCCACCAAAATATATCCCCGTCTCTGTGAGCCTATCAGAGCGGGGCAGAAACTTGTGTCTTCCCTCAGGCTCCCCGACAGCCTCCTCATTCATTTTAAACTCTCGTACACACCCGACCACGCTGTTCATGGGGATATTGTGACCCTGAGAGAGGACAGGACGAGACAAATCAAGTAAAAATATGTGACAGAGCTGTCAAATACCCATCTGAGGAGGGATACAGACTTTTGTGGTCCTGCCCATCGGATCTCCTCACAGATAAACCGGGTTCAACAGGTCTAAAGATGATCCCTCGTCATTCAGCAGGTGTCCATCAGTCACACAGATGCCATCAACCAGCAGGTGAAAAGAGCTCCTCTCCACACTGGAATTAAACACACACTCAGGGACAAACTCTTTGGACATCAGACAAAGATTTCAGAAACGTAGTAACTGGTTTTTACAGATGTAAAGGAGAATTTCAATACATGACTCTCAGAATGCAGTTTATTTCTAATAGTTATTGAAAACTTTAGTCAAGTACATAAAGTAAATAGATGATTAAACCACTATGGGTATCAGCGCTAACAGTAACATGTCTTAAAGCCTTTTGGTAACAACAAAATCCAGAATGATATTATACAGAATGATACAATCAGAACTGAAATTATTTTACATGATTTGATAGGTTACAAATGATATATGACACCATTTGAGGCAAAAACATATGATCATAGATGATTTGATATAAAACAGTATAATATGACAGATAGAGTTTAATAGGTATGCTTAATGGTAATATACTATGTTATAATAAGATACAATAAGGAACTGTATATGGATGCAGATATGGTACGACTGAATACAAAACTCTAAAACATTTAAAGGTACAACATGTGTAATAAAACAAGATATAAAACCTAAGAAAAAAAGTTGTTTCAACACACCAAGGAATGATGAGATACACTGTGACATTATAAGATTAGTGATTTTCGTTTTAAAGTGCAATTATTTCTACAACGTTAAGGGTAAGCACAAAACCCAATTCTATTAAAGTTGGGAAATTGTGATAAACATAAATAAAAACAGAATACAGAGATTTGCAATTCATTTTCAACCTTTATTCAATTGAATACTCTACAAAGACAAGATATTTAATGTTCAAACTCAGAAACTTTATTTTATCATGAACTCAGAATTCCGTGGCTGCAACACATGACAAAGTAGTTGGGACAGGGGCATTTTTACCACTGTGTTTCATCACCTTTCCTTTTAACAACACTCAACAAACTTTTGGGAACTAAGGAGACCGATTGTTGAAGCTTTGAAGGTGGAATTCTCTCCCATTCTTGCTGGATGTACAGCTTCAGTTGTTCAACACTCCAGGGTCTCCTATGTCGTATTTTACGCTTCATAATGCGCCACACATTTTCAGTGGGAGACAGGTCTGGACTGCAGGCAGGCCAGACCTGTCTGGTCTGTGTCGATAACAGTCCGGATGGTTCTTTTCCTCTTTGGCCCAGAGGACACAGTGTCCACTATTTCCAAAACAATTTGAAATGTGGACTCATCAGACCACAGAACACTTTTCCACTTTGCATCAGTCCATCTTAGTTAAGCTCAGGCCCAAAGAAGCCAGCGGCGCTTCTGGATGTTGTTGATAAATGGCTTTCACTTTGCATAGTAGAGTTTTAACTTGCACTTACAGATGTAGCGATGAACTGTATTTACTGACAGTGGTTTTCTGAAGTGTTCCTGAGCCCATGTGGTGATATCCTTTACACATTGATGTCGGTTTTTGATACAGTACCACCTGAGGGATCGAAGGTCACAGGCATTCAGTGATGGTTTTCGGCCGTGCCGCTAACGTGCAGTGATTTCTCCAGGTTCTCTGAACCTTTTGATGATATTATGGACCGTAGATGTTGACATCCCTAAATTTCTTGCAATTGTACTTCACAAAGTGGTGAACCTCGCCCCATCCTTGCTTGTGAATTACTGAGAATTTTTGGGGAAGCTGCTTTTATACCCAATCATGGCACCCACCTGTTCCCAATGAGCCTGCTCACCTGTGGGATGTTCCAAATAGGTGTTTGATGAGCATTCCTCAAATTTCTCAGTATTTTTTGCCACCTTTCCCAACTTCTTTGTCACATGTTGCTACCACCTTACAAAGAGATGGAGACTGCAACAACAAAAAAATCCCAAAATACTTATCTCTGCAGGAGATCAATCATTGCTTAAATTTGAGTACTCATACTAATTTTCTAAGCTTTTTCTGGCTCATGGGATGTCATACTTCATTTCCAATTTAGAATACCAAGGCGTTTGTCTCTCTGCTGTTGGTGTTGGTGTGAAACCTGAACAGTTGTGGTTTTAGCCTCTCTGGCTCCTCTATGAATGCCAGCTGGTAACCTGTCCTCTCATAATAATCAGACACCTCTGACACAGGAATCCTATGACACACAAATGGAAAGAGAAAGATTTCTGACCATACTAGTCAGATGCTGCTTTCCTGCAATATTAAGTATTTCCTGTAATTTGGTATATAATAAAACTCACATCCTTATTGCCCAGGTAGAAAATAAAGGAGCTGTGATCTCTGCGTTTGTCTTGGTGTCGTCTTTGTCTCCACTTGTTCATGGACAGATTGTTTGGATAGTGACTGAGAAGCAAATCGACAGCATTGAACACATTGCAGTACTAAGCAAGTTCCGGTGGCAAGAAAAAAACTCAAAAACCCCACCATAGGGTTGGGAAAGAGAGGGGTATAATCAGACGTCTTAGCTTACTTCACAGCAGACTGCTTTACCTCCAGATAAGTTGTATGTTTGTAGTTGAACAAAGACACAGCTTGATCATTGATGTATGAGAGTTTAATCGCTTCTCTGAACTTTGGGTAATGAAGCTCCACTGGAGGCTGTCGCAATCAAAAAAGGAGAGAAAATGCAAAAAAAAGGGTAAAAATGCATTAACCAAGAATACTTATCTCTGCAGGAGATCAATCATTGCTTAAATTTGAGTACTCATACTAATTTTCTAAGCTTTTTCTGGCTCATAAACACTTTAATTTTCACTCACATCAAGCAACTCTGGCAAATTCTGGCTTCCCATTGGTGGCTGACAGTAATTTGCTGGTTTTCACCTCATGCACAGCTCCTCCCAACTTATAGACACAAACCAACACTTTCTTCCTGACAGCCATTCCAATGAAGTCTCTTGAGCTCTAAAAATAAAGGACAGCTATGACACACAAATGGAAAGAGAAAGATTTCTGACCATACTAGTCAGATGCTGCTTTCCTGCAATATTAAGTATTTCCTGTAATTTGGTATATAATAAAACTCACATCCTTATTGCCCAGGTAGAAAATAAAGGAGCTGTGATCTCTGCGTTTGTCTTGGTGTCGTCTTTGTCTCCACTTGTTCATGGACAGATTGTTTGGATAGTGACTGAGAAGCAAATCGACAGCATTGAACACTCTTGCGTCCTGAAGGTTACTTGGAGGACGAAGTTCAACGTGACCCTTTCCATTAAAAACTGGTGGCAACTGAGAGCTGTAAAAGTATTATAGAGTGAGGTTATAAAATACTTCTAGCCTCCAAACAATAACAATTAATATCCATACGACAGTTAAAAACAGCAGCTAGACTTTCTGGTCACTGTGTCTCATCGGCAGGAATATCTGAGTGTCTGTGTAACAATGGAGAGAAGTTGTGAGGGTGAATGCAATCGCCAAGTTGAAACATGAATGGTAGATGAAAGTGGACCTAAAATTGAGCTTTGAGGTATCCCATGAGATTTATGAGAAGAGGATGAGTGGTGAGTGAGTACATAAAGGTCGTGTTTTGGGACAAGAATATAACCAACTAAAAACAGTCCCTTTGACTCCCTCGAGGTCTGATGAATCTAAAAAAATATATTTAAATTGACTCTCTTCATTGTAAGCAACATAAAGAAGATTGTTTGTTTCTATGAGGAGGGTGTTTCTGTACTGTGAAATGCACAAAAACCAGACAAGATGTTATTTTGACTCAAAAAAAACAAATCTGGCATTAAGAAATGCTGTTTCTTTAACAGTAAGGTATGTCAGATGCACTTTATTGGCAGTTTGCAGTTTATTTTGCTTTTTGTTGCAGGTTAGATAGTAACAGTGGACTTGTAAAACTTTAGCAGAAAAAAGAAACAATGTCCATACATTTTAAACAGCACCATAAGAGTGATAAGAATGAACAGCATATATCACAGCTCAGAAAACTAAAACTGTGGAGGTAAACAGACTCAGGTGATAATTCCCCGAGGGTCCACCATGCCAAAAGAGTATCAGCTGCCAACATGGACTGATTAGCTGACATTTCTGCCTTTTCTACAAAATGCATGAGCCTCGTCTATCAGTTCCTTGATTCTCTGGATGTTTTCTGTCATTGTGCCACCAGGAGGCGCCATCCTGCTGAGAGTCTGGACTTGTGTGATTTTATCTTTCAGCACAGTGAGGGCAGCATTTAACTTTGTTACTGGCAGCAGAAGCAAACAACACATTTCAAACAACAAAGAGGAACAACGGCTGATGTCCAGTCTGAGTAATAATCAAATCAAATCAATCAAATCAAACTTTATCTGTCTGAGCTACATGAGTCTTAAAGTCTTGCAAGTGGCACACAAGGAACCTGGTTTTTGGTGCATTCCTTAAAATTTCTGACAAAAAGATCCTGACTTGTTCCATGTAAAAGGACAGGGACAGGCTCTGCAGGTCTACTTGGCTGCGTTTCCATAGTAACCGTCTTTACAGTGGTCACAGCGGTCCCTGGAGGTGTTTGATTGACAGCTCTGGAGGTCAGTTACACAAAACACGACATGATGAACATGCCTCAGGTTTTACTGATAAATACCACAACCTTTAAGTTTGAGTAGATCAGCTAAAAAACTTTTGTGTGTGTGTGTGTGTGTGTGTGTGTGTGTGTGTGTGTGTGTGTGTGTGTGTGTGTGTGTGTGTGTGTGTGAGAGAGAGAGGGAGAGAGAGAGAGAGAAATGCCTTTGTCAAGGCATGTACGACAAACACCTTCCTCTAGCAGCATTTTAGAGACCATTCTGTAACTGTTCACCTTTCAATCTCTCCTTGTTTTGATGTAAACATAAGTTAGTTGCACACAGAACCAGGTCTAGCCAAAAGTCAAAAATAATGGACGGCTAGTAAAAAATGAGTCAGACAACTTCAGGCAGCCCAGAGTTCACAGAGATGCAGCCATTTTTTTAAATCATTGCTATCCACAGCGCTGAGTTCATCTGAACAGTAAGGCACAGATAAACAGAGGGGGGTCTGAGGCTCTTCTCCTAGAAAATTTTGAGCATCTCACTCCCTGAATTCGGATAGATATTCATGTAATGTTTAGTGGAGGAAATTTAAAAGGAAAAAACAAAACTATAAACAAATAATTGAAAGAAATAGATGTTTTCTGCATGAAGCTCACATTCTATTAAGATTCTGTTTTTTCGCATTCTGTGTGATCAATTGTAAGTTAAATTATAGAATAAAATGATTTCACACTAAAATTTAACGAAAGACTGTCTGACCTAGTAAATCTTGTATGTTAACTAAACATATACTATTGTAAAAGAGGGCTAAGAGCTAAAAAGGACACCTTATCACATTTGGAAAAACTTTTAGAGGGCACTTTTGCAATGTTTTATGTTCATGAATGTTTTATATGCTGAAAATGCATCCAGATGGCAATATTTTTATGCTGTATCCACTGGAAAGACGTCCAGAAGGCACTTTGTTATGATTCATCTCTTAGAATGGCAGCTATTACAGCAGTTTTTTGTCAATTTTCCATGAAAAGTTTTTAAACATTTTATTCACATCAGCTGTACTCTCAGGTCCCATAATACCACAGCTCCTGACCCAGTCTCTCAGGCTGAACCCAGACCCTCTTTAGGGGAAACTCCTGTTGGCCGCTTGTTTCACACAGGTCCATGGAGCCCCTAGTAGAATAATTGTTGTCCAGTCCTCTTTAAAAAGAGTTCATTGTGTGGACAGGAACCTTCATGGAAAATTATTTTTTAAGATTAATATTTACTTTAATGCTGTCTTGATTTTCACACCCCACTGCATCTCATTATACACAGAAAGTGTATCATGCAGTTTTAGACACAATGTGCATCGTAAGACCCAATTTTATCTGAGTATTAGCACTTCTCTGGTTGTTGAACAAAGGCTCACAGGTCTTTCTCCTGCTCTGTGTCCTCTGCTGGATCTGATTTCGTCCGTCTGTGCGACTGACATTTTGAGTGTTTCTCTGCTGCAGAACAAACCTTGGCCAAGAAAAGCAAAAACAAAAACGTTGCACTGCACAACAAAAATATTCTCATCATCATTTTGCATCATAAGTGTGTCAGGAAACTATGTCAGCATGGTGATTGGAAAGTTTCCCTTTCTGTAGGGTAGCTCCTCCTCCTCCTCCTCAAACCACTTAAAGTGAAGAGCAGGTGAACCTTGGAGTTGTTTATGTGAAAGCTGCATAAAAAAAATTAAGATGGTTCAGTAAATCCAGTGAAAGCTGATGTGTGTTCAAGGTTCAGAGGTGTGGTTGAACCATTCAAAACAGAAAGCATGTGACACAGAGAGAAAATGTTCATAATTTTATTTCCATTTTGTTCATAAAGGTAGAAAACAATGCAAGAACATGCCATGTGAATAAAGAAGATTATTTAAGGCATTAAAAATAGAAAGCCCCTTTTTTATCTCTGTTTACAGCTGATTCAATTGAAAATAAAACAGAAGCCACCAAGATTTAGAGTTTAATCCTCTTCCTCTGAACATGCAACTCCTTTACTCTCTGCAACAAACAGGACTGTAGCATGAAAAGGTTTGCAAAAAGCTCATCAGTATCCTCCAACTGTGAGTGATTTGTTTGAGTCTATTAGTTAACCCTGACTTATCTTACATGGTATCAAAGTATACAAAACTGATGAGATTTCATATCAATAACTTTGACAATAACTTGTTTTTAAGGAGGTTTTGTAACTCGTGGAACAGCAGAAAGTCCTGTTCACATCGGGAAATGCTGACAGCTGAAAACAGAGAAATAGCCGCTTCACACTTAATGCGTTTGGCTGCAGAAGTGGCTGCTGATGACAGCCCAAATTGCCAAAAAGAGATAGAGTGGAGGAGAAGAATATATCCACCATAACTGGTTGTCATTTTACTAAAAACATCATGTAAAGTGTTACGGATAGCTGAGGACATGAGAGAGAGAGAGTGCATATAACTCTTCATCCAATGCAAGTCTCTTCTTTTACAAAATAACTGTACTGACTCTCTGCATTTTCACTCAACGCTGGTATTCTGAAGGTGTATTATCTCAGAAGTACTGTCAATGACATAAACGTACTTGTTACAGAGTAAATACATACAGCCCTTTACAGAAGGGTATTATGGGCAGATTCAGAAAAAAAATGAAGGTTAAAAGAATAAAGTCAATATGAGATAAAAGTGGTTAAATTAATCGAAAATTAGCCTCATAGTGCTGTTTTAAAAGGGGATACTACGCATCTCAGCTTCCTGCTCAGTCTTTTCAGAGTCCCGATACTTATAACTATGTGGAGCTGAGGAGATAAAACATTAGAGACAATTAAACCAGACACTCCACGTTCTTTAAACAGACAGCTGGCTGCTCACCTGAGACCAAAACAACAACTTTATTCTCAGACATGATGACGTTATTCTCAAAATATTATGACTACTACAATTCAATTCTTTTTAGATTACAACTCCATTCCCCATATCCAAAAAACAAAACTGGCCCTAATACTCCATTATATTTGACATATTTTGAAAATGGAGCCACTCTGCAGTCGTCACGCACCCAGTGTGAAGCTTACACAGCAGCTTTTAGAGCTCTGTTCTTAACGATCACTCTTATTTTGTTCTGATGAATGTCTTTGGTTTGTTAAAGCTCCTGTAAGTAGTTTTCAGTCTATGTTGATGCTACTCGAAATCCTACATGCTGTTTGACATTTAGCTGAAACATATCGGACCTGGAAAAGACAGAGCAGCTGAACTATGAGCTATATTTTATTTTCATTTGTTCATGGAGAAATGTGTGCCTGCTGCTGTCCAAAATAACAGTTGTAATCATTTAAATGACAGAGGTTTGTTTTAATATAAGCCACAGAGCGGGTGTTTTTTCACTCTCCATCCCTGAGAGAAAGGCTGAGTTCAAAAAGTCTTTGCACAAAATACAGCATGAAAGAGTCTGAAATATGAGTGACAGGAGTGCTTTAGAGATGACAAGGACTGTAACAGATCAGCCTGATGGCAACCCAGCAGCAGAGTTAGCATTAGCATCCAGGATCACAGAATAGGGTATAAGGCATAACTTGCGATGCCGCACGCGTTTGAGCCATCTCGAATGATCCGCATGTAGCCGCCTTCACCCCAACTGGAGCCCCAACTGAGAGAAAAAAACAGCAGGTCATTTTCGATTCAGTCCATCATTAACACGTGTACAGGTGATGTGGGATTGATGTAAAGGTTAGTCAATTTATCAGACCTGTTTTTGATGATCCAGTAGTCCTTCCCTCCTTCTGTGCCGTAACCAACCAGCAGCACAGCGTGACTCAGGTTGTTTGGGTTACACATGATCTCTTCATAGATTCCTGAAATGTAGGTTATCAAAAGAAAAATCATACAAGGGAAAAAAATGTACATAAAATACATCTGGAGTGCAGGTGAGCCAGAAACCCAAAAATAGTTTGGCTCAAAAATAAAGAGAAAAATTTTGAAAGATAAAATCATTTTTAAAAAACATGGGCATGAAAAACTTAAGATTTCGTTCCTTAAATTTAGAACAGTAAGAAGCTTTGAATGAGCATTCAGACCTAAAGAAAATACTATTTTAGCACCACATGATATAGTTGCTTGATTTGAGACTTATTCACTCAGCTGAAACCTTTCCATGACTCTGACTTTGCAAAAGCCAAAATTCACCTTAAAACATGTATATACAGTATGTATACTGGTAAACCAAAATAGTGACTCAGAACTTGCTTAATTCAAGTTTGATTGCTAGTTTGAAAACAGTTTAATCTAAAACTCTTCTGTGTTGAATAATGCTTTATCTTTATGTTTAATCTTAAATGGGTGGGCCACTTGAAAGCCTTTTAAAATGGCCCTTCCGGCACAATTTTTAATCGCTATATTTAGTGGTTAGTTGTGGTTAAATTTAACACTACAGTTTTTTTTATTCATGATCTAGTTATTAAGCTTCATGATATCTTATTCCAATAACTATATAATAAACAGTATAAACTCAATTAGTAGCAGCTTCAACATAAAAAATTTGCCTGAGCTGTAGAAGAGGAAGCTTGAATGATCCGCATCTATAGCCACTGTGATTGGTCCAACGGTTGCCACGGCATCAGCTAAAGCCTGCTCGTCCCCTTTAGGTATGAACCTGTAGTCTTTGATGTGAGCGACGGCGAGCCTGCTGTCATAATAACAGGGCTGAGTGTCCTGTGGAGACAAACCTCAGTCAGCCACCAAACCCAAACATTAAAATACTAGAACAGGTCTGATGTGGTCAAAGACCGAAAGTTGAGCCTCACCACAGATGTGTACGGGTACGAGCTGGTGGACATTAGCCCGTTTTTGATCACATAGTCATAGGCATTTGCCATCCAAGCCCCGCTGCAGCCATAGGTACCGTAGGATCTGGAGCAGTCCACCAGGTTCTGCTCACTCAGAGAAATGAGCTGACCCGTCTTCTTGAAGATTTGGCCCTCAATGGCTCCTGTAGTGCTAAAGGCCCAGCAGGAGCCACAGTAACCCTGGATAAAACATTTATAACACAGCAGATCTGAAGATACTCACGATTCACCCTGAATAAAACCCTGGCCATTATTATATACTGTAGCTTGGTTTTACAGGCTGGTACTTTGAACCTACATCCAGAGGAAAGAAGCTGAAATTCACTGTTTAATGGGTGGGAGTCGTTGTTTATCATAAAGCCAGCCATCCTCTGTAACAGCCACAGTAACCCTGGATAAAACATTTATAACACAGCAGATCTGAAGATACTCACGATTCACCCTGAATAAAACCCTCTCCAGGTGAGGCCAGGAGCTTCTTACCTGGTCCTTCACCTCAGTCACGTAACCCATCTTCCTGTAGTCCACAAACCAGCTGTCAAACTTCCTGGCATTAACTCTCAGCTTTCGAGCAGAGGCAGTTTTTCCTCTCCTCACGAACTGAGTGTCTATCATGGCACCTTGGAGCACCTGGAACTCCTGTCTGGTCTACATACAGAGAGTATAAGAGCAGATTTTCTCGAGTCATTGATAAACATGCTTATTTCACCTTCTCTCTACGATTATCTCAAAGTGATTTCATTCTGATCCATAACCATCTGTCAAACTTCAACTTTCAAAATGCAGCTTTGTGGGAAGTTGTGTCTGGATTTGAACTTCTAACCAGGTCTCCATATTTATTCATCATCATGGTGAACGGCCTCTGTCCTATTAAGAACCCCTGATTGTTGTCCTCGATGATCCGTTTGTTCTCCTCCCAGATGGCTCTCCTTTGCAGGTCGTCCTGCACCATGAAAAACCACATATTATTATCAATGACACCATGACATATCTATCTTTCTGTCTATATAATTCATGATGTAGGTGCTGTTATTTCATATTCAGAGCCAATCTCACCAGTTCATCATGGCTGATTCCATTTCTGAGCTTCCAGATCTCCCACTCTGTCAGGACCCCCTCATCTGAGTCTGACGCCCCCTGCTGGGGACCGAGGAGCAGGACAGAGAGCAGAGCTGCTCTCAGCAGGAGGCCCCCCTGCTGGACTACAGAACAATAGAAAGAGTAAGACCACCAAGGTTCTAGGTCAAGGTTACCTCATTTGTACCCATAGGTAAATTAAGTTAACAGTGAGTGAGTCATCTCTGTTTGCATATAAACAAACAAACAAACAGCTTAAAACCAAAAAAAAAGTGACAAAAGTGCTCAACGCTGAATAAATTAAACTCAATATAAAATAGGATAAAATAAGCTTTCAGTAAAAGCAAAGAAGAATAAAAGCAGGAAAAAATAAAACTGTCATAAAACAATAAATATGTGGTAAATAAAAGCAAGTTCAAACACCCCAACAGTGACAACAAGATAAAGGATGGCAAATTAAATAGTGCAAAATGTGTATCTACAGCATCATTGCTGTGTTATCATGACTTATAGATCTCTCTGGTGGCTGCTGGGACAAAGTCATTATTATATACTGTAGCTTGGTTTTACAGGCTGGTACTTTGAACCTACATCCAGAGGAAAGAAGCTGAAATTCACTGTTTAATGGGTGGGAGTCGTTGTTTATCATAAAGCCAGCCATCCTCTGTAACAGAGGGGTATACGGGGAGTCTGGGTTAGGCTGTGACTCTCCCATCAGTCTGCTGGACCATTTTACAGCCTTATTTGGACAATTCCTATTTTTAAAGACAGGTTCCAAAACCATGACTCTAAGCCGAAGGATAAAGCAGACTCAATAAAAACACGATAAAGCAATGTTTTATCAATGTGAAAGGAAAACAGTTTTCTCTGGCAGTACAGTCGCTTGTGTCCTTTTTTGAACACAGCCTTGTAGTTGACTTCAAAAATTCAATTAAAAGCAGACAAAAAGTCAATAAATCAAACTTTGGCATGTGTCTCTTTCCCTTCCAGATGTTTCAAAAGAAAATTAATTAAGGTGACTGTAGCATCCTCCATTGCATGAGATCCAAATTAATTTTTTTTCAAATTACAGGCCTCACCCGTCTCTCAACAGTTTTTCATTACAAGTGAAGTACAGTATAGTATAAAAATATAATAAAAAAATAAAGTACAGTTCTCTTACACAAGATTTAAGCAGGTGATGTTTTTAGGACCATGACAACATAAGTGAGTGAGATCTACAGCATGAAAAGACAGATCTTGATCTTGATTTTTGATTCATTAATCATTATGACCATTTATTTACAGTTAGTTTTATGGAATAATTGTCATTGCTTGTACTCAACTCAACTCAACTCAACTTTATTTGTTAAGACAGCATGAAAAGACAGATCTTGATCTTGATTTTTGATTCATTAATCATTATGACCATTTATTTACAGTTAGTTTTATGGAATAATTGTCATTGCTTGTACAATGACATTGCTTTTTTTTTTTTTTTTTTGGTGGTTATTTTGGAGTAAATTTCAAATCAACCAATCGAAGTGGTGATTATTCATTCCCATGTTAAAAATATCTCAGACTGTCTGTTTTTATGTTTATCCTGCTGAGCAGAGAGAATTCAAGGACATCAGACAGTTTAATGACAGTTTTTAGGATTTTGGATTACAGGTTACAAACTGCAGCAGAGTTCATCCTCCGTGATTAAACCTCTGGCAGATCAACATTTTACTGTTTCAGTCATGTCTAACTTTTTACAGCTGATTACAACTATACAGGGTCTGTTACTTCTAATTTTACCCCATCCTAAAAATAACCAAGAGAAAAACAGAGAAAAATAGTAATTGACCTAAAGTACTACCGCTGTTACCCACATTTCATGAACCGTCTGCATGACTGTAATCTGAGGTTTGAGTAGTCCAAACACAGAGATCATTAAGCTTTCTAACACACACATCAACATATCTAATTATTTAACCTGCAAAAAGAGTGCATTTTAAAGGGGGTGAATAAGACAAGAATGGCAGTCACATTATCTGCAAAAACATCAGCAACAATGACAAAAGACGAAGAACTACAAAAAGGAACAGAAAAACATAAACAGAAAAAATGTGAATTATGAAGAAACTTAGATACCTGTACTTTTTTTCCAGTTCCAGATACAAAATATGATCTTTAGATTGCTACATGTGTCTAACTCTTAATCAGAATCAGGTTTATCTTTGTATTGCTATACAGGGAATTTATCTTTGTGTTTCAGTTCAGAAAGAATAAACACAGAGGCAGAATTAAAGCTTTAAATAGTAGTGCTGTTAAATTATTTTTAGATATTAAATATTATTTATATTTAGACTCACCATTTTGATAGAAATCAGACTCACCTTCTAGGATACAGTGGAGTATGATACAGTATGACATGTAAATATACGATGCAGTAAGAAATGATACGATGAGAAATGATAAGATGATAAAATATGATAGGATACAATAGGACACTATATGATGAGATACGATATGATTTAGTGCTATATGATACAATATGATACCTTACCTAGCCATACCATGAGATGTTAATGATAAGGACTGAACATCTTGATAAGATTGGTACGACATGATACGATAGGATATGATTAAACATGATACAGATTGTTTAGATACAATATGATATGGCATTATTCAATACAATATGGTATAACAACATTCCTTACATTACAACAAGATATGATACAATATAATACAACATCTCATATACCATACCACATCATATCATGCCATACAGTACAATACAGCATGATACAATACAATGAAATGATATTGTGTTATATGGGTATGGTATCAAGATAAAACTCATTCTAATACCATTTTAATCGACCATGAGTGACACCCGCTGTAGCATTTAGAAAGTTACTGGAGCAAGGAAAAACGGTCTCTTACAGATTTATATTGGACTGTCATCTGCTGCAAAAATACTTACAACAGAATAAATGACATAAAAGAAAATGTTCAACTAAATTTACAATAAATTAACAACAATAATTTAACCATAATCTTGACCTGTGTACTGAGTGAAATTTTTTAGTATCTTTTACTTCTAATTAAGCTCTTTTAAGAAGAATAGACATTACCACAAAAACAAGAACACAACAGAGATGCAAACCCCAAAACTGTTAACACCAAACAAACTGAAGAACTGTAATCTGACATGAGAGCAGATCAGACACAGGTGGTTCTTACACTTTCTAACACATGTTTTCAGTGCTCTATATAGAAATCATGGTGAACAGAAATAGGACTAAGCAAACAGTGCTCTTTTTGTTACTAAACCTGTCAAAACCATAATCAGATCAGGTCTGAAACAAAACAGCTGTAATCCGAAGAACCTGAAATAAAACACTGACATTTCACCGTCCAAATGACCATAATCATTACTCTGAGAGTGAAATCCTTCCTCTATCTACACAAACAGAGAATGACATCTAAATAAATCACAATCTGTGACAAAAATAGACACCTGGGTTTATAAATATGTTCTACTGATTTGAGTCCAGATGCTGCTGCAATCATCATCATCTAGTATTCTTAACTTAAAATGTTTTATTCAGTATTTACGGTACTCTTTAAAAGCTCCCGTGAGGAATTTTTAGTTTCCAATAAAACAGTCTAGATTTTAAAAAAGAGCTTCTGAATTATACAAAAATGAACATTATAAACGTGATTAGACGAGTCTTCTTCCTCTTCTTCGATATCTGTTATTGCTGCCACCAAGTAGATGTCAGATGGACATATTTACTTTCGCATTGCAAAGATTCACAATAAGTGATACGTTTCATTGTCAAAGACAGCAGGAGCAGATTTTCTGTTAAAACGAAGTTATTTACTGATTTTCAGGACAAAATCAGCAAAGAAATAACATGTTCAAATTTTTCCACAAGAGGTGCTGCAATCATCAAAAACTAAAAGTTTCTCACAAGAGCTTTAACTGTGCAGTTTGTAAAATTAGCAGCTTTTATCAAGACTTGGAACTGGTACAAATGCGGTATAATATGCTGACATTGGTGTAAAATGACCGGAATATAAAAATAATCTTATTTTTATCAACCTAACATGAGCCTTTTATATCTACTCAAAAGCAGGTCTCCATTCACAGAGGTTTCCATCTTGCACCTCCATTTTTCTGTAGTCACACAAAACAGACAAACTAGTAAAAACATGTTTTTGAATGTAGTGAGTGACCATACAAAATGCACAAGTTCAGAGAAGAAGATGCAACAAGTAGCTATTGTTGTAGGCGAAACACTATGTATTAATAGACATTTTGAGATGATGAAAACCTGGCATGTCAAAAGGACTTCTTGTCCTCAAAGTCCACTATCGCTTCACAAATAGGAGGAGTGAACAAAGGAGCTTTTCAATCTAGAATGTGTCCTCTAGATAATGATAAATACTCTAATTTCTATACATTTAACCTGACAGAGAGTACAATCATATCAATATGTCATTAAAGCTACAGTGAGAAACTTTTGGCTTTTGTTCATTTTTGTGTCCCCCTGTGGACAAAGCGGTCTGTACTGGTTTCTCCTTACACATATTCCAATCTAATTGTACTTCTCATGGAAATTCATGGACTTTGGATTTTCAGCATGTATTTCATGTTCCTCCACCCTTGTCTTACCCGTCCTTAATTTTACTTATCATGTTGTTTTTTTATTGTTTTAAATGTTCCATAAGTACCTTGATAACATCAGTTTAGGAATATTTTATGCTTAAGTGGACATGATGTTATAGAGCCATTACAGTAATTTATACTCCTTTGTTTCAATCTAAAGCAACAATGTTAATGTGACCGCTGCGTGACCGTAAAAAGACATACCTAAGATAAATTAGGTATAAAAAAGTGTTACTCCATCTTATTTTTAAACTTGACTTCACCATTCAACAGCTTATACTACAAAGCTGTTGTAACAAATTTTTTGCACATTTTGTATTTTGCATTGTGCATTTCATTGCTGAATATTTCAAAATTTTGGCACAAGTTTGAAGAAATTAAATAAAGACACAAAATTTATTTTGACTAAATAACGCAAGCAAAAAAAAAAAGATTTTACACCACAGTGCTTTTAAAATTTGTTCAGTTCAATCAATGTTATTGTTTCTTCATAATAAAGGCAAACATATCAACAAACCTGAAACCCAGTAGAAGTGTTCTCAGCATTTTTCAATGAACTTTAACTCTCTCTTTTAGACTCCTTGTTCAATAATATCTGTATAGCACCATCTTACCTGCATGTGTGTGGTTCTGCTCTGTGCCCATGTTCTCCCTCTCGGACACACCGTCCTCCTCCCTTTTATAGTTTTTCAGCAGGTTACTCTGTATTTTCCTGAATCCCTAAATCAACACGTCTGCCAGCAGCTGAGCAGGACATTAGTCAACAAAAATAAGATGCTTTCGCTGCTCCTCCTCGATAATTCCTCTGTAATCACTCACAGAGAGCTAAAGCTGCAATATCCATAATCCTTCAAATACAGGTTTATAATCCACCGATAACACCTGACATCAAACTTTCCAAATCAGGGCTGGAACAGGTACACACAATGCTTTTACCGTTACAGAGCCAGCACAAGTACGTAAAAATAGAAAACGACCTGCATTCAAAATCCCAAAGAGGAGAAGTACAGTGCTCATAAGTTTGCATACCCCAGCAGAATTTGTTATTTTAGGGGGGCAATTTTTAGAGAGTATGAATGATAAAAGAAAACTTTTTTTTCACCCATGGTTAGTGGTTGGGTGAAGCCATTTATTGTCAAAGAACTGTGTTACTCTTTAAATCATAATGACGACAGAAACTACCACAATGGCCCTGATCAGAAGTTTATATATCCTGGAGATTTTGGCCTGATTACATGCACACAAGTTGGCACAGACAGGTTTGGATGGCTACTAAAGGTCACCATCCTCACCTGTGATCTGTTTGCTTGTAATCAGTGTGTAAAAGGTCATTTAGTTTCTGGGCTCCTGACAGACCCTTGCATCTTTCATGCAGGGCTGCACTGACGTTTTCTGGATTCTGAGTCATAGGGAAAGCAAAAGAATTGTCAAAGGTTCTGCAGGAAAAGGTAATTGAACTGTATAAAACAGGATGGGGATTTAAAAAGATATCCAAGGAAATGAGAATGCCAATCAGCAGTGTTCAAACTCTAATTAAGAAGTAGAAAAAGAGGGACTCTGTTAAAACCAAACCGCGATCAGGTAGACCAACAAAAATTTCAGCCACAAATGTCAGGAAAACTGACACAGAGACAAGTCCCAAAATTTCTGGAACTAAGTCATTTGGAATGATGAGACCAAAACCGAACTATCTGGCCACAACCATAAACGTCACATTTGGAGAAGAGTCAACAAAGCTTATGATAAAAGGTACACCATTCCTACTGTGAAACACTGAGGTGGATCGCTGATGTTTTGGGGATGTATGAGCTACAAAGGCACAGGAAACTTGGTCAAAGTTGATGGCAAGATGAATGTAATATGTTATCAGCAAATACTGGAGGAAAATTTGCACTCATCAGCCTGGAAGCTGCGCATGGGACGTACTTGGACGTTCCAACATGACGACAATAAAAAAAAAGAGCAGTCTCTTTTTTTACCTCCTCCTCTCCCTCCCTCTTGTATGTTCTTTCCCCATCTGTAAATGCAATTTCATTGTGCACAAGTGCAATGACAATAAAGTATACCTGATGCCCAAGAATGGGCAGCTTTACTATCTGAGAAAATAAAGAGCCTCATCCAATGATCACAAAAGACTTCAAGCTGTCATTGATGTTAAAGGGGACAATACACAGTATTAAGAACTGGGGTAGCCGATGTAAACTTTTGATCAGGGTCATTTGGGTAGTTTCTGTTTTCATTATGATTTTAAAAAAGTAAGCATAGCCCACATTGTTGTTTGGTAACAAATGGATTCATCCAACCACTAACCATAAGTGAAAGAAAAGATTTTGTGTTATCATTCATAGTCTCTGAAAAAATGGCTAAGAAATCATCAATTCTGCCAGCACCAGGGTATGTTAATGATGAGCACAAATATATTATCATCATGAGAATTAAAAGCTTAGGGTTCCACAGAAAGCCAAAACCTCCTGTGATTCAGCCTGATTCTCACTTGAATACTAAAGCATCAAAGTTGGAGCAGCTGTTGTGTGTGTGTGTGTGTGTGTGTGTGTGTGTGTGGGGGGGGGGGGGGGGGGGGGGGGTAAACAATCTTACAATTTCAAACGGTACACTTACCCACCAGAAAAGGTACACATTTGCATCAATAAAATAGTTTAATTATTTTAATGAAGAAAAATAAATACTTCTGTAAAACATGTTAATGTTATGTCAGAGAGGCAAAGTCACTGACTGCAGGCTGCGCACAGAGCCGTGGACACACACACACATGCACACACACACACACACACACACACACACACACAAACATTTACCTCCCCGCCAGTGTCTAATTACCCAGTGGTGTAAAAGTCCATTTACCTGCCAAAGGTGCGTTCATTCACACAATCATGCCTGCTCATGTTTCCACATAAGGAAACAAAGCAATGATTTCTGTGTAGTAAATAGGTGGGTATGGCGGGCAAAAGTGGTCACATTATGCAGAAAAATTAATCTTGTAGTTTTATTTAAATCCATAGACTGTATATGGAATGGACGCCGTCTGCCTCCTGGATAGGTGAAGCCGATAAATCCCGCCTCCTCCAGCAATCCCTATGGAGCTGTGGACAAACTTTAGAAATTTATTACACAGAACATAAATTTTTCTCCCCCCTGCTTGACATGGGGACATGTGTTGACATGTCGTTATTGCAAGACTGGTTTGTGCTCAAGTCCTCTTTTTTCCATGCAGCTCCATTTTTTAAAGTTATTGGGAAGTTAATGTTTTCTATGATTGACACCCGATACAGCCTATGGGTGTACGAAGATTGCGTAGCTCATCCAGGGGATACGCTGTTTGAGCCGAGCGTCATCTGCGTACAACGCTACCGCGCAAGTGGTGGTTTCAGGAAATGGAGAGAAAACGTGGAATTACCGAAAGCTTTTTGGATTCAAATCCGTATACTGGCGGAAGGTGGAACCAAGTTGTCTATAGTATACACAGTCTATGTTTAAATCTCAAAAAATTCATACAGTATTGATTTGACAAATAAATTACAGTGAAAAGTCTAAAAGGTTAAAAGGGGTTAAAATGATTCATGAATAAACTGGCACACCATGAGTACCAAACAGTAGAGGAACCCAAACATCAAACAAAGTTACAACATTAGAACAACATTACAAAACAACCGCACAACCAAACAACAATAAAACCAAAAAGGAATGAAAACCTCAACATTATAACAAAACATATTTCTATATATATCCTAATGTTATCAGAAAAACAAAACTGCCTCATTAATCTAGTGCAGTTAAGCCTGTCTTTATCTTGACTGTGTTCCTGTATCTGCTCTCAGTAGCGCCCCCCAGCGGCCTGCTTCGTCCCTCCGTGCAGCTTTGACTGCAGAGGCTGAGCTCAGCGGACTTTCTGTCTGTTATTATGTCCACGACCCGCCAACACCCAGACTCATCTCTGCACAGCAGCACCTCCTCTAATGACCGTGTGCGCAGGTGAAACATGAGTCACGCGTGAAGCTCTGCAGGATGTCTTTTAAGGTAAATCACGTTTTTCCATCCTCAGCTCCTCCAGGCTGCAGACGGAGCCTCAAAGAGACATCCGATTTCAGCCGCTTCCTCCCGCAGTCTGCATCCTCCTCATGTCCAGGTTGATATTACGACTCTGGGGATTTAACTGCAGGAAAACGGCGTGAGGTGGAATTAGATTCCGTGTTTATGGACTTAAATGGAACAGTTTAAGTCTGGCTCTGCGTGCATGTGCAGAGATAACCACATATAATGGGCTATAATCCGTCCTGTGGTCAAAGTCAGACTCCTCACATCAGAATCACTGAAATCCCTGTAATCCTGTCTGAAATAGAGTGTTTGTCTGGTAACTGATCACCTGACACACCTGATCAGACTCTGTGAACCTGCAGACACCCTCTGTTGTTGTTTACTGTGAGTGTGTGTAAGACTATAATGGTGGTCTGAGGTCAGAGGCTGTTGTGTGTGTTTACTCTGCAGAGGGAAACACCCCTGGCTAATGCTGTGTTTTGGGCAGCGAGGAAGGGGAACCTGGCTCTCCTACAGCTGCTGCTGAACAGCGGCCGAGTGGATGCTGACTGCAGAGACAGTGTGAGGATGCCGTGCATGTCCTGGCTGCTACGCTGCACGCTTTACCCATAACCCACCTGTGGTAGGGAGGCAGAGGGACTCACCTCTGAGCTGCATGTGTGTTTGGGTATCATCTCAACTTTACATTCATACATAAACATAAAGTGTGAAAGTTTCTTGAGATCAGCCTGCAGAATTTTGCGGATTTATCCTCTCAAAAGTTCGTTTCCACTGCAGGAATCAGAGTTTAAATTAAATCTCAGGCACTTTATTTATAGCTCTCTCACCCTGCATTCATGTGGTGTCAGCCTTTGCACCCTTTTACATTAGTAAAAGTGAAAGCAGTGAAAAACCTCCCTCTGCTTCCAGAGTATGTGTTGCTGGCAGTCTTATCTGTGTTAAAAAGTGTAAGTGACAAGACTTTGGTCAAATTATACTCTGGCAGGCCGCCCAAATATCATCTGTGTGTGGGGAACACTGGCAATGCCTAAGCAAATGCCAAATCTTGTCTACATCTCTGCACCTTTATTCAGCCACAGACAGAGGACACATGACATTCAACAGAAGTAGTCAAAGGCAGATAGCACCCTCTGCTGGTATCAATAGTCATTTTCATCTCACCAATTGAAAGGGATCTTCCGGCATAAGATTAATTAAGGGTTAAACACAGTGTAACACCGAGTTAGACACCCCCTCAAGAGATGAATGTTGCTGACCGCTTGCTTCTCTATTTATACCAACTTTAGTAACGACCGCATGATAGCAATACACAGCAATCTGAGTAGCCACACACAAACCTCAACCAAAACGCCGCTCCATAGCCACAAATAATGCTCAGAATAGCACCTAACTTCATCAACAGTACATTTAGGGTCCTAGCCATAGTACTAGCTACCAAACATCTTTTTAACTTTGCCTAATTTCTTTAGCAAAGAGACTAAATATAACCCACTCTCTTCCAGCAGCCGCTTGTTTGTAGCAAAACCTCGGGCCAGTCCAGTGCGGACTGATGCAGGGTGACGCGGCTCAAGGAAGAACATTTATGGTCATTTCTTCATGGAAATGCAATCAGACGGAGACGCTAAGGCAGAAGAACTGCCACGTCTGCAGTGCAAAATGATTAATATGATTATTATTACCTCAAGGAAATGATAAAGAAATGATCATAAATGTTCTTCCTTGAGCTGTGTCACCCCGCAGCAGTCCATAATGGATTGGCCCGAGGTCTCACTACAAACAAGCGGCTGCTGTAAGAGGGTAGGTGAGTTGTATTTAGTCTTTTTGCTCAAGAAATAAGGCAAAGTTAAAAAGTTGTTTGGTGGCTAGTACTATGGCTGGGACCCTATATGTACTGTTGATGAAGTTAGGTGCTGTTCTGAGCATTATTTGTGGCTACAGAGTGGCTTTTCGGCTGATGTTTGTTTATGGCTCCTCAGACCGCTGTGTATTGCTATCCTGCAGTTGTTACTAAAGTTGGTATAACTAGAGAAGCAAGCGGTCGGCAACATTCATCTCTCGAGGGGGTTTCTAACTCGGTGTTAAGGCGTGTTTGACCCTAAATTAATTTTACACTGGAATATCCCTTGAAGTTCTTCCATTTGGGCTGATTTTCAACTATCTTGGAAATCCAGTTGAACCCTTGAATCCTAAAATCTATTTTATTCTGTCTATGAGGATTTTCCGACCTCAGTGGAAATGCAGATGATAATTGTTCTTTATATTAATGTCAAACTCTGCTTAAGTTGTTCCTAGGAATCGAAGTTCTGGGTTAATTTTGGTGGAAACACAGCAAATGTTGCTAATTTATTGTCTCCATATTGTTGTTTTCAGTATGGGACCACAGCGCTGATGGTGGCGTCGTACAGTGGCCATAATGACTGTGTCAAAGAGCTGATCATGCATGGAGCAGATATTAACTATCAAAGAGAGGTATGATGAGAAAATGAGCTTTTGTTTGCCTCCAAGTACTTTAAATGACTCCTAAAATCACTCAATGAGAACAGTGTTGGATGTTTTAGGTATTTTCTACTGAAATCGCAGAGAGCAATGAACCTTTATGTCATTATTCCGATTTCTGACTTTTGAAAAAGTAAGAAAAGTTTGAAAAGTCTGAGAGAAGCAGAACAAAACTAAACTTTAAATATGAAATTACCATTGTTTTGCTCATTGTGAGGATGAAGTGACTTGTTCAATGTTTACAGCAGGCAGTGATGAGCGAAGGTCTTAAATTAATAATGAGTCCCTGTGCTTTACCACACTCAGAAAACAGAACGAGTAAGCTTTTAGGAGAGGTGTGTCCAGGTAGCCCTAATTGTCAACTGCACAGACATTTGACAAACAGGAAAAACATTTCAAAGTTGTTTTCCAAAAGGTTTTTTGTGTTCAATTATTATTTATTTTTTTGCATTTTTTATGAAATATTGTTCAGTTTAATTAAATACTTTTGCTTTAAACAACATTTTGGGGGGTAATGTAAGATACATTCTGTTGATTTTGAAAAAAACATTTTTTGTATGATCAAGTTTTTTGTGATTTGGGTTTTTTGATAGAACAGTCTTTTTTGTTTGATAAAATGTTTATGCATTAAATAAAGTGTTTTTGCATTTCATCAATATTTCATTTTTTTGTAGAATAATTTAGTTTTGATGATATAGAAAATGTTTTTGTGTTTATGGAATTTTTTTTATTTTTTTATTGTCATGGGAACTTCAAAGAAGGGCAGGCAAAACGCAGGGACAAAAAAACATGCAGTGTACCAGGAAATACGTTTTTGTTATGTAACATGTTTTTTTGTGTTCATTAAAAGCTTTTGCAGTGGCTCCCTTATTGCATGTATAAGACATCTCCACAGCCCAGCACTGACAAAAACAGGCAGTAAAAGGGTTTGTTTGTACTCTGAATAAAGGCAGCATTAAAATTCAAAAAACAGTTTTAGTTTTGATCTTTTTATAGACTGCTGAATAAGAGGTACAAAAGAACAGAAGAGATTTGTCAAGTTCTTAAGGGAAGAATTTAGAAAGTTTCTGGTTCAGTCAGGATAAAAATATATATTTTTTATCATCTTGTCTAGACAGGTTCGACCGCTCTTTTCTTCGCCGCTCAGCAGGGACACCACGACGCGGCAAAGCTCCTGTTTGAATTTGGAGCATCCACTGAGTTCCAGACGAAGGTACACTGCTGTGAAGTCTGTGTGTATTACAGAGGGGAAGGTGGAAGGAGCTGCAGGCTGGGAGTCAGAGAGTGAAAATAAGGAGACTCAAATGATGCCTTGCCCCTCAGAGATCTAATAATCTAAGATTCCTTCTGCATCCTACAGCTCAGACTGATGAGCTGTTTTTCTCAGTGAAAGATTGTTTTTTGTGTGGCAGGATGGCGGCACGGCTCTCACTGTCGCCTCTCAGTACGGACACTCCAAGGTGGTTGACATCCTGCTGAAGAACGGGGCCAATGTCCATGATCAGCTGAATGTGAGCATGCTTTCCCAGCCTCTGAAGATGGCTGTTTTCCCTCACATTTAAATGCTACATGTACTTCGAATGAGAATTTACCAATTTTTACCTGCTGCAGTCTCACATGAGCTCACCCTGACTTTTTTGTGGACGGTTTACTGGGAGACTGTTTCTGAGGTGGTGTTAGAAAACTCAGAAAACTCTTAAAATAAATCTTTGCTGTAGTCATTTGAATGCTTCAAATTGCATGACGCTCCCTGGTCTCTTCCATACCTGATTCCTCTTCCTGTCTGAGTCCCTGTCTGTCTGTGAGGAAGAGGAAGGTAAGTTGCACACAGTATCTCAGCAGCAGGAATCCAGCCAGTCAGGTTTCTGCAGACTGCTGAGTCAGACTCGACTCACTCTTGGCTGGATCAGTCTGTTGTCAGAGTGAAAAAAACAACTGTGCTGCACAAAAACAGATTCATAAACCTGCAGAAATCTATCAAGATATGTTTTCTTTAGTTTCAGGATAACCTGACCCTGTTTTTAAGATGATTTTTTGTGTCTCAGGATGGTGCCACCCCTCTGTTTCTGGCAGCTCAGGAGGGTCATGTGACTGTGATTCGTCAGCTGCTTTCCTCTGGAGCCAAGGTGAATCAGGCCAGAGAGGTAATAACCTCCAGTTTTATAACATCCCTACAGATTCTCTCTCTCCCCTGCATCATCTCTAATACTGACTTCCTCCTTCTCTTTATCCTCATCCTCCTCCTCTTGCAGGACGGCACTGCCCCTCTGTGGATGGCGGCCCAGATGGGTCACAACGAGGTGGCAAAGGTGCTTCTGTTACGTGGAGCAGATCGTGATGCTGACAGACATGTATGCAGTTATTTTAGAGCTTTTGGGGTGTATAAAACATGCACTTTGAAGGACAAAAGATGAGTGTCTTTTAGTGAAACTTCTGGTGATATTATTGTTTAAATTTACTTCCAGAAATATTTGAGTTTTTACTGCAAATAAAAAAAAAATCTTAATGACTGAATATTTGATGCAAAGTAACAATTGCATGCAGTTATTGTCAAATTATCCTCATCCAAGAGCCTCTCATTCTGGGCTTTTTGACTCTTGCAGCACTTTTTGTTAGAAGTTTGATCACTACCACAGAGCTGTACATTTTTCAATTTACCTATTCTGAGCTCTTTGAGAACTGAACTTTGGTATAAAAACTCTTTTTCTATACTTTCAGCATTAGTAGTTAAGAGATTATGTGTTTTGGAGTTTGTTTATTGCTTTAAAATCTGTCTTTGCTGTCTCTACAGGACGGGTCCACGGCTTTATTCAAAGCAGCTCTAAAGGGACACAGCGGCGTCATCGAGGAGCTGCTCAAGTTTTCTCCTTCACTTGGCCTTCTTAAGGTAAACCATGCTGCAGTTTTTTTAAATTCTGAAATAAAGAAAGTAAACACCCTCATGATTCTGTAAATTATTTTAATTTAGGATGAGAGAACGTCCTACTTTGAGGTAAAGTTACTCACAGTATATTCACAAATTTTGCCTCCTAGTTTAGTCGATAACTTGGTCACATTACATTTTTTCTTTCACGAAACTATTGCTTCCTTCCCAGCACAGCAGGCTATAGACTCACTGTTATCAGCCCAAGTCATCTTCTGAGTTGAGCGACTTGTCACAGCTGCATTTCTCTGACATGACATCTAAAAATAACTTAATGTTTGAATGAACTTTGTTCCTGCTGCATTTAGATGGCTGTAACTTAGTGCGACCAACAGGAAGTAATTTACCTGTGAAGAGATTTGAGTGACTCTACAATTTACAGAGAAATTATTATTGTTATTATTGTTGTTGTTGTTATTATTATTATTATTAATATTATTATTATTATTATTATTATTGTTGTTGTTGTTGTTGTTGTTGTACCTTCAAATTTAATATAAACTAAGTTCAGTAAATTTTCAAAAAGGTGATCATTTTCGACACGTGCTCTATAATTATCAAGTCGTTCCATTTTTGTTATGTTAAAGTATATGTTCTCAACCAAATAATGTGAAACCAGCAGGAGACTTTGTGTGAACTGATAGAGGAATTTTACAGGATATTTATATACCATGTGTTTTCTGTATCGCTCAAGTAAGAAAAAAGTTTAGATGATCCATGTTTGAAAAGATTTTCACTGTAAAATGTTTTTTAACCAGGTGAGAAGTTTTTGGTCTTTTTGTTCTTGTTTTTTTGTTTTTTGTTTTGCATGCAGAGCAATATTTATGAAATCTTTATATTTTGTGTGGAAAAGATGGGTGAGATCACTGTCAGGTTTTAAAAAATACAAAAATACCAAAAAATAAAAGTTTATAAACAATGTCAAATTTTCTGCACAGGTATGAGAGTGCTATCAACCTCACTCAAAGATAAGGTTACATAGTTTAAGTGTAACTTTGCAGCTCTGGCTACAGAGCAGGTTTTATTTTTAAGTATTGGTGGAAAACGACCTCGAACCAGAACTAAGATCACAAACTGTGTTTTATTTTTTTTTTGTCTCCAGAACGGCTCCTCAGCTCTTCATGCAGCAGTTATGGGAGGAAACCTGCGAACTATTCTGCTGCTGCTCGGGGCAAACGCAGACCCAATGCTTCCAAACAAGGTGAGACTCAGAGATATAAAGTAGCAAAAGATAATAAACAGAAGCAGAAAACTAATCCTGTGTTTTTTGTTTCTGCAGAATAATGAACTCCCCGCAGATCTGACGAAAAGTGAACGCATCCTTAAACTGTTACATCCCCAAATGATAAATGGAGACAGTTGATGACTGCCCTGAACCCTGCCTTCAAACCTGCCTGTAGCACACTGCTGAGGGGAAAGAAAACAACAAATACAACATGTACTTGACATGGTGCTTGCGTCTGATTCAAATCAATCTGTAATCTGTGAAATTACAGGACTAAATCCTAAGAAAACACAATCTGAAATAAACTTCTCTTCCCTCTGCTTCCCTTTTTCTTTACCCTAAACAGTAAATGAATTTATTTTTCTCCAAAGTGCTGTAAGATTTTTAGATATTTTGCCAATTTTTTCTTTGCCTTTTTCATAGATGTTAAAATGTGTCAATAAAGTCTAAATATTCAACTACTTAAGGGCGCTTCTTATTCAATAAAATACCTTGTCCTTGCATTGTTGTTATTACCATATCTTAAAAATAAATCCTTATGTGCTATAAATATCGCATCACAGCCGTTGCCATGACATTATCATTACGTCACGTGAAAACCGCGGAAGTAAAAGTGCCTCAGTGTTTATGCGGAAGTGAGGCGATGCTTTAGGACGTTTAGAAGCTCTTTTTTAAATCCAACGTCGGCAAGAAAAACGGGAGAAAATCGGTTTAAAGTTTCTTCAGAAGAGATCTCACTAAAACCTGATGGGGGGAGGTAATTTACAGGTGAGTTTTCAACTTTTATATCGCCAATAGTTCGCTGTCCGGTTACGTAACGCCAAGTATGATCAAACTGTCAACCGAGTTTTCAATAAACCACTAATGTATATATTTTTATCGAAATTTATACATCTAAAAGTACGTTTAATATTGGCTTGAATTTGGTTTGGACATTAAAAATAAGGATTATTATACAATTTAGTAATTTAATGTTGATTTCCTGAAATATTGACATTTATTTTATAGGTTTGCCTTTTTGACTCGACATAATCAAGTTTTACATCAAGAGTTACTCTGAGTTTCAGCTTCAATGACTAAAACCTGACTTTAATCCTGCCTGGGCTTTGAAAAGTTCTCTGCCAACCACGGCTCAATATATAAAGTAAAGTTACTGTGTCATCTGCATAGCTATGGAAGTTGAGGTTCCTCCTGATGACATTTCTGAGGGGTTACGTATGAAGGTTAAAAAGTGTAGGACCTAAACTTGACCTCTGTGGGACGTTGCAATTCATTTGACAGCATCCAGATGAGAATTCACCCACACTCACATAAAATTCTTTACTGGTAAAATAAAATTCAGATTCAGACCAGAAACAGTGCCAGAGATGCTCATCATATTGAGTTCATGTTTGAATGAGTTTTGATTGATTATTTTGTCAAAATTACAATCTCGGCTACTGTACTCTGTACTTCAAATCAAATTGAGGATAATTTAGTGATAAAAAAAAATTGCTTTATGTTTCATTTTTGACTTTGGAGGAGCACATTGCAAACACAGGTAATGTGAAAAATCCAGAAAAAAAAGGTGTACAATAGAAACTGGGTCATTTTAGCAAATATTCACTCCTAAGTATTTGTTTATTTACTGCACTTCTCATAGATATCACAGTATTGAACAATGTCATGACACATTTCTGTCTTTTTTTGTATAATGCAGGTCTAGTGTGAGAATTTGTGGTATGGAGCTAAACCACCTGTGGTAAAAAGTTGGATACCCTTGTCTGTTTTTGTTATCTTGAAATCTCACATTTTTTCCAACTTCCTGTCTTCTCTGTTGTCGTGTTTTCAGAAAGCTATTGATCTTGCAACCAAAGCTTCAGAGGCAGACAGAGCCAAAAACTACGAGGAGGCCCTCAAATATTATGAACATGCGGTGCAGTATTTCCTCCATGTTGTCAAGTGTAAGGAGCTGAACTCATCCCTGTGTGATTACTGAGATTTCACACACCTTTATTTCTGTGTGTTAAATAATATCTAATATCTGTGCTGTGTTACAGATGAGGCTCAGGGCGAGAGAGCGGCTCAGAGTATCAGAGCAAAGTGTATGGACTACCTGAGCCGAGCCGAGGAGCTGAAGGAATACCTGAAGAAAAAGGAGAAGAGTCCTCCAGCTAAACCAGTCAAAGAGTCCCAGTCTGGTGATAAAGGGTGAGATGAAGCAATAACACTAAGGGGTCAGTCAGTTTACTTAATGTTTGTTGTGTGAAAGAGTTTCATCTTAGAAAGAGAGGGATGTGAGTCTTTGGACAACAATAAATAAGTGCCATGAAAGTAAATTAAAAAAAATCTGGTCTAAGCTTTATTTACATTTGCGCCAAAATCCTTAGAGGGTGAGCTGCATGTCTGAACACCAGCCTTTGCTAAAATTGAACACTCTGCAATATCAAAATCTTTGTGTTTGTATAACCACATGATATTTAACCTGAAATGATCAGACTGAAGTTTTGATTTTATGAAATACTTCCCAACACCTAAGGTCTCGTTTCAGTCTGATACTTAAGTAAGAGAACTTCACACATCAGTCTCTTCAGAACACAAATCTGATTAGTAAAATGTTGATAAATATTAATGAAACATTGTCTTTCCATTTCAGCGATGAAAATGATGATAGCGCGGACGCAGAGAAGAAAAAGTTCCAGAATCAACTCTCAGGTAAAAGACCCTGTTACTGCTCTAATGACCACACAGAATCAGTCAGAAAACTTGATCCATCTCAGGGAGAAATTCAGCCCTGACAGTTGCTCTAATGTGCGTCAAAGCAATCATACATCGTATCGTATTGTATCCTATCATATCGTATCCCAATTAACTCTGGATTCTTTGCAGTGGAAAAGATTATAAACATTTCTGTGATTGAAATGGTCAAGTATAAAAACCTTTATTGAACATGTCAAACGTGTCTGTCCAGCAGGGGGCGACTGTCATATGAAAAACTAAACATTAATGTGCAGATCCAGAGTCCAAAATTAATGCTGACTAAGCACCAAATGTGAACAGGTTTTCCATTAAGCAAGTAAATCTCAGAGGGCTATGTACTACATGTCAAACAAATGTTTATACCAAATTTTTCTTTTTAAAAACTTAGATGTTACTTTGTTTTGGGGAAGCTGCTGCTTCTTTCTCCTGAATCTACAGGAGATAAGTATTTATGTAATCATCTCTGTTTAAGGTGCCATCGTCATGGAGAAACCAAACATAAAGTGGGACGATGTAGCAGGACTTGAAGGAGCCAAAGAAGCTTTGAAAGAAGCTGTGATCCTGCCCATTAAATTTCCTCACCTGTTCCAAGGTAAAGAGAGCACCAGCCACCTGTGATCATCCTGATAATGAGCAGTCTTCAATAATAAAGAATGAATCTGTTTAGGGAAGAGGACTCCATGGCGAGGAATTCTTCTGTTTGGACCTCCAGGAACCGGGAAGTCCTACCTGGCTAAAGCGGTCGCCACAGAGGCCAACAACTCCACCTTCTTCTCCATCTCGTCCTCCGACCTTGTGTCCAAGTGGCTCGGGGAGAGTGAAAAGTGAGTCCAGGAATCTTCAAATAATAATCAAGACATATTAACTCACACTAAACATGTTTCTTTTGTCTTTCTAAAGGTTGGTGAAGAGTCTCTTCAGTATGGCCCGAGAACACAAACCGTCAATCATTTTCATTGATGAGATTGATTCTCTCTGTGGCTCGCGGAGCGAGAACGAGAGCGAGGCAGCTCGTAGGATTAAAACAGAGTTCCTAGTCCAGATGCAAGGTGAGAAAAAGTGGTTATACACACTTAACTAGATTTACAGCTCAGGGAAGGAAAAGTGCTTTTTTTTTTTTCAAACTTGTCATTTTCGTAAGGTGTAAACATGTCTGTTCCTCTCAGGTGTTGGAAATGATAATGAGGGAATCCTGGTGCTCGGAGCCACAAACATTCCGTGGACGCTGGACTCTGCCATCAGGAGGAGGTTTGAATTTATCACAAATGTCTATAAAACTGATTCAATTACCTGTTTATACTTATTTTCTAATAGCTGAAGACAGTTTCTGAGTTGCTTTGACCAGGACTGAAATATCTCAGCAGCTCTTGGTTGAATTATCATCAGATTTAATGATTTTTTTAATGGTTTGCACAGGATGAATTGTAACAGCCAAACTGATTATTTTACATGGAGTGGTATGTTTGGGTCAAAGGGGAATCTTTATATGGTTTTATGTGAAAGTTTGACTCGCACATACAAGTTAAAGTTAAGTTTTATTATGTTTGCTCAATCTCTGTCTTGTCAGTCAGGGCAGGTAGGTCAAAATTTATAATCTAAAACTAAGAGAATAAATTTCGCTTCTGCTACACAAAATACTAAACTCAGAACTGGATGGTCTGCTGTTCATTTAAATTTTTTTTAATTTAAAAAAAGATTATTTTAAATAATATCATATAGTTCATTGAGCTCCTAGGAAATTTACTTCATATCGTTTGTACTTAAAGCCTTAATGGATATTACAGGCACAAACACAAAATCATAATTGTCTTAAAATCTCTGAAATATGGTGGATTATTAGGCTAAAGTCAGTAGAGACTCAATCATTATGATTCATACAACTTAACTAAAATCAAATTTGATGACTTACAGATATTCTTAACTTCAGGATACAAACAGTCTGGATTTAGAGCTGCTCTGTACTGACTGATTTAATATTTGTTGCTGTTTTAGGTTCGAGAAGCGGATCTACATCCCTCTACCTGAGGGCCCTGCACGCTCCTTCATGTTCAAACTTAACCTTGGCTCCACCCCCAACGAGCTGACCGAGGACGACTTTATCACCCTGGGCAAAAAGACGGAGGGTTACTCTGGAGCTGATGTCAGTATCATCGTCAGAGACGCTCTGATGCAGCCAGTCAGGAAGGTTCAGTCAGCCACACACTTTAAAAAGGTAAAAACACACCTGAGTCTGTTGGTACACCTGTGTGAACGCAAAGCCTGCAGAAAGATGCAGTTCTAAATAAGAAAATCTCTCTCTGCGCTCACTTTTACTCAGTTTCTACCTGAACTTCTGCAAACAAGAGCAGGACTTCATTGAGGGATTAATTTCACTCCTTCTCTGTCCTCTCAAAAATAAAATCCCTCCTTAAAAGGTTAGTGGGACGTCGCGGAACAATCCAGACATTGCAGTTGACGACCTCCTGACTCCATGTTCTCCCGGTGACTCTGAAGCCATCGAGATGACATGGGTGGATGTTCCTGGGGACAAACTTTTAGAGCCTGTTGTCTGCATGGTAAGAAAAGACTTATATTCAATGATAAACATGTAAAGAAAAGGCGCCTTTCAATAGCCGGCCAAACAGACCTACAGAAAGTCTGGGCATCTAGTTTTCTCTTGTCAACACTCGTAGGCTGTAGCAGCACCTGCACCATAGAGTGTAAACGCCTGCCTAAATCAGAACTGATGTTCAAACCAGGCTAAGATTGAATTTATGTACAGCTGGTATAACCCAGTGCTGGACAAACAGACCAAAAGAAAGCTTGAGCCACAACCCCCTGACCCTTAGATTGAACAATGGTGTCCTTTTTACCTGAACTTAGATTAGATCCTGTCAGATTAGTTTTGATTTGATTTAACTTTTTTTTTCAGTAGAAACTTGCCTTAGGTCGGTGCAAGAGAAAGATAGCTCAGCGCAACTCGAGAGAACTGAAATGATTTCTTTCCCCCTCTCTTTTATTTTCTGTTCAGGCCGACATGCTTCGGTCTCTTTCAAGCACCAAGCCCACAGTGAATGAGCAGGACCTGGAGAAACTGAAGAAGTTCACTGAAGATTTTGGTCAAGAAGGTTGAAGACAGCCACCAACCCTCAGCTCAGTGCCAGAACTGTAAACTACAACTAAAGATTTCTCTCACTGTTTGATTATTTTAGTTATCGGTCTGTAAAGTCTCACTAACATCCATGAGAGGTCACTGGAGCATTAAGTTTAAATTCCTCAAAACTGTGATACACTGAAGCACCTTCATATCACAGACTGTATATAAGGAGTGACGGGTATTTAAAACCAATTTGAAGCCTCGATTTAACATTTTTAACCACTGCTGCTAGCTGTTTTGTTGTGTTAGAGGTTGAACAGAGAATATAGATGGGAGGGCAGAGAGCAAACACTCGCTCATGAGTTTACACTCGATTAAAGTGTGATTTTATTAATGACACTAATTTAAGCGTGCTAAAAAGCAGATCATTTTAATGTCCCTGCCCCTCTTTTAGACTGTAAATGGGATCATATTAATATACTAAATGAACAGCATGCTGTATTGGATTAGACCCAAAACTTGACTGAGACCATAAACTTATGAAAAAAGATGTTTACTGAGGGAATGAATCGACTGAAAGAAGGATTAATTACTTGTGAGCCTCAACACGACCAGAGTGGCTATGCCCCCTGCTGGCCATTAGAGAGGATGCATGTTTTGAACGGTCAATGTTAACAGTTTTGTTTGCAACAGCAAGAGTTTATTTTTTTTGCGGCAAAATTGGCTAAAATAATCAATCGATCAAATTTCTTTAGTTTTTTTAATCTTCCTGATCTGCTGATAAATAAATCACCAGTTTTATTGCTAATATTTCATGTCAATGTCTTTGGGGTTTCCTGTTTTTAACCACTGACTTTTACTTTGCAATTTTTGAACCAAAGTAAAATAATGACCTGTTTTTAAACCAATTTCTTACTACTTGTGTTTACTTAGTGTGATACTGGGGTTGCAAAATGCACATACTGAACAAAATATGCCACGAATATATTGGGATGTCATTTTTGTTACTAAAATCATCAGTTTGGGGTTTTTAATTTTGGGATTTCAGGCCGTAAATGTGTGAACACTCAAACTCTTAGACCTGTTTCCTGGTTGTTTTTATTTAATTACACAGAATTTTATATGCAGTGTCTAAAGGGCATTCTGGGTTTCTAATTGAAGTTAAAATTTTGTGCAATAAATTTGTGTAAGAAGTACCCAGTCTTTAGTCTCGGATAATATCCGTGCACCTTCTCCACCCTCATATATTTGGTTATCCATAGATCTCAGTGATGGATCCTGTCGTTTTAGTGGCACTGTTTTTCTTGGTTTGACTTTTTGAATTTCTCTTTGGGTTTACTGAGGTCACTTTGTGGTTACTTTATAAAACTAAAGTTGATCATCTGCACTTTTTTATTTCCTATTTAATGTATTTTGTGAACAAAAGGGTCAAATAAACAACATAAAATAAAAACTGGAGTCCTTTGCTTGTGAATACATTTATTAATTGTTAAAATACATCTCTTAGTTATATTTTCATTTGAAATGCAGTGTAGCTCGTTACATTATCAGTCATTTGATTAAGAGGAATATACCAGGATCATTTCACATCTTTAAATAGTTCAAGACCTGTAGAAAATGACATCATATGTTACGCTGCTCACACAAGCTGATAATGTGCTCAATTTAAATAATTAGGATATATTGGTGTCATATTAGTGTCTTTAGTAATGAGGTTCAAGCAGATCAAAACTGGTTTCTATTGAGCTGAAGTCGCTGTTGCTATGGAGCCCCCCTCCTGATAGTACATGGCTGCTAAATTCCAATCTGAAGGCATGGATTCATGAGCACAGTTTCTTCAGAGAAAACTGGTGAAACCACATCGTAAAAACTTCGTAAAAGTCCTGCCAAAGTCTGTTTCCATAGATCACAAATTCTGAGCTCCAGCTTCAAAACCCTGCCAACAGTTACCAAATCCTTCTTCATGGGTCATGTCACTGTGCCCACAGTTTATCGCTCCGTTCCCATATTTTATAAAACTGTTTTAACAGTTTACAAATTTTTTCCAGCAGTTAACTAAAATATGCCAACAGTTCAGGAATCATAACCACAATTCAAAAGTAAGTTGTATGTTTTACAAAACTATGCCCACAGTTTACAGATTTTGAAACCATGGCCAGAGTACATTAATGTTTCGAAAACACATCTGAGGAAAAAAAAAACTGTACTTTTGCATTTGAAACTTTGCCTACAGTTTCACAATGTCCTAATTTTTCACTTAACTAAGGTGAACTAAAACTGTGTCTACAGTTTAAATTCTGTTCTCGCATGTTTTCAAACCATGACTACAGATAAATCTGTTCTTTTGTGTCTTGAACCTTTTCCACAGCTAAGTTTGTTTCCCCCCCAAATCATGCTCACAATTTACAAATGTTTTGATGGTTTTTGAAACTTTGCCCACAGCTTAGGCGTTTTAACTGGTCTTACAGTTTTGGAAAACATGCCCACAGTTTACAGTTCTGTCTTTTGGGTTTAACATGAGATGCCTATGCTTCACGAAATATTCTCAGTTTTGCTACCTACGTTCACAACACTGAGCCCAGACTTCACAAAACTTTTTACTCGGTTTAAAAATGTGTCCAGGCTTTAAGAATCTATTTCCAGAGTTCACAAATCCACCCCCAGGGTTTAGGATCAAATGCCCACAGGTGCAAACCAACGGAAAAGCGTCTGCAGTCACTGATTGAAAACTTTGCTTGTGGATCCTGAAACCGAATACTTAAGCTTTATACATTTTCTTTTTTCAGCGGACACTGGAGAGGGGACTCCATATCTTTTAGCAGGAATAGATTTTATGAAGAGACTAGAGAGAGAACGACATAATACCAGTCTGGTGGTGTTGAAATCTAAGTCCAGGCTTTTTGAAAGCCTATAAAAACAGGTAATGAAGACGTTGGTGAGAGTTTGTGCTGCACCAAATCCAAACACACAAATAAAAGAAATTTAAAAAAAATTTAACATATTTTAAACTAATTCAAAGACTGATTTAAAAGCTGCCCGTGAAATAATGACCTTAAATAAAGCATGCACAAGTTTCAGAGAGGAGGGAGATGTCCCTTTTCACGTTAATGCACATCACACATCACTGCTTCCTCAAACGTGGAACTTTAACTTCAAACATTGGTTCATTCATCCAGACTCCTCAGAGTGCTACAATATGAGTTATTATTGCTTTATGTGTGTGTGCACATGATCAGCCCTTCAACATTGAACCAGCTGGAGGAGAAACTACATTTTCACAGATGTTTTCAAAAAGTTAATCTACCAAGTTTACAGATACATAAACTGGAGATATTATCAAATCTTCTCTAAAACAGAACCAAAAATTCTCCATCACTATTTCCTTGATGGATTTTATCTCTGCCTTTATTAACCTTGGTTTTGTATTTATTTGAACTGTGCATTTATTGTTTTTTTTAACACTTTTAAGAACATTTGGAAACTGCTGTTAGTTTTGGTTGTCCAGCACTTTGGTCAGTTATTTGTTCTCAAAGCACCTCATAAATATTTTTTCCTGAAATAATTTGCAGCAATTTCAATCAAACATATCTACTTATATTGTATTTCTTTACAGCTAAAATGTTCTTTTTGACTTAAACAAGTCCCTTTTTACCATTGACGTCCACTCAAACTCAATTAAAAATACAGTATCTACAGATTGAATTTGATGTGTTAGTTAATAATTATTGTTTTGTATTTTTTACTGGCAACCCAAAGATACCTAAAATCTATTCTAAACTAATCAAAATGTTATTTCACCCCTGACATCTACTCATTTATAAGATCATCAACATAACTCTGACTCTTTGATATTATTGTTGATTCACACTTACACAACTGTTAGTTGAGAAAAAAAATAATTCTTCGTAAAACCTTTTTGATATCTAACAAAATGTATTTTTCTTGATTTTCTTTAAATTTTCATGTCTAAATTCAATTTGTGGCTACTGAGGAAAAAATCCAATTTGTGTGTCAGCCTGTAGTTGGTAAAATGTAAAACTTAACAGCAAAAATTTGATTTTAGGATTGTGATACACAATGTGAACCAGCTGGAAATAATGACATAGTATCACGGCCACCTCTCATCCAGAAAAAAAATACTTCAAGATTTAAGCAGGATATTAATGAGTACCAAAGTCATACATTTTTGAGTTTGTCGAGCTGACAGGCAGCCTCAATAACAGCTGTTTATTACCAGCTGTTGACTTCAACTTTACCAGATGATCTTCACTCATTTTAAGGTTCGCTGCTCATCTCCTATCCTGTTTTAGCTAACATAGGCTAACCCCAGCCAGGAATCACGTCTTCTTTCTCAATGAGAGTCTTCATTCATGCAAAATTATAACTGTTTTCTAAAAATCTTCATGGTTTATTCCTCGATGTGAAATTAATTCTCTGCCGTATAAAACGCCAGTGTATCAAAAGTTATACTGGGTTTTTGAAGGTTCAATATTTTCCATCAGTAATTTTAGAAAGTAAAAAAATCAACATAATCGAGACTCATTCACCAAAATTTAAAGGTTTTAGATATGTTTTTAAGTTTCAGTAATCCTTGAGCTCCAAAAGTTTGCATATAACAGATTTAAAAATGATGCAATATTTCATTTTGAGTTCATCCTAAAGACCCAAATAGAGCCAGTTAATCCAAAATAGGGCCTTTTTGCGATATTCTATTATATATTATTTATTTATTTTTTGATAGGCACTGGTATGTTCGTGCTCTTATCGATTAATTTATATGGACCTACAGCGTTTTTTCTTTTCCCTTCTAGCAATTTGGCATCTAGAGATTCATAAAAGGATTTTCAAGTCTTGCAGGTATTATCATAAACTTGCCTACGTATCCAAAATAAATATGTTACTTTGGGTGGAAATCAAGATAATCCCTCACATATAACTGAAATGTTGAAATATCTTATCTAATAGTCATAATCCCTTTAATTTATTAAAATATGAATGTAGATATTTTATTTATAACCATTACATTGGTTCAATGATTCCTTCATATCCATAATCAAGTTGAAAATATCTGTTTCTCAGTTCCATACAAGTTGAAGTTGCTGCTGGCTAAATGTTGAAAGGGTTTATCATATTGTTCACTCTTATTGAAGCCTGCCTTAACAGAAATAACCTGAGGAGCTGAAGAAACACTTCATTTTCAAAACAGACAAATAAATTACATAACACAAGTAAAGTTACAGTACAAACATCGACATAAAATAAGTAAAATAATTTTTAAAAACACCAGGAGAGAAATTTGCAGGAGCTGGAGAGCAGGCAAAGGAGTTTGGTGTTTTTTTCTGTCATTAAAGTGAGTAGTAGTCGTGTTTTCAGTTAAAAACAGTCAGACAACACAAAGGAGGCGTGGCTTATGAGAAGCGCTAACTGTATGTACCGTAAATATCAGTATATAGGAGACAAAGGGAGTAATCCACTGCTCATCACAATCATGCTTCATAGATGGAAGTCGCCCAAAAGACACCATTTCACTCCGTCTCATGTGACAGCACAGAGAGGAAGCCAAACATTGCACGCACACACACAAACATACACACACGCACGCAGACAAAGTACTGAATAAATATTAGAAGACAGAGAAGAGAGAGCCCAGTGCCAAACCGGTCGCTGCTCCAGCAAGCATCCCCAACGCCACGTCTCCTCCATCCTCACGCTGACGCTCCCTGATCACCATATGGTTCACTCCAGGAGCAGCGTAGCCACCTAAAGACAAAGACCACAACAACAGCAAGGTGTCAACGTGAAGTTTAAATCTGATCAGTTTGTCTTGTCTAAATTATTTTTTTTCCCTTCTTTTTGTGGGGAAATTTTACCACAGTAAAGTGTGAATTGGAAAAGTGTAAGACAGCAAGAATTACAAAGAATGAAAGGGTCAAATATTTGCAGAGTTGCTGCAAAATTAATGTTATTCACACAACTCCAGCTGTACTTTCACTCCAAAGCTTTTTAAGCTGATGCAAGCATGCCACACTGCAATGGTGAACTTTACAATGACCTACTTAACAACAATGTGTGAGCAGTTACTGTCAACAATTAACATGCAGGTATTAACACTGTATTTAGCTCACAGCATGCTCAGCTAACATGGGCTGATACTTGAGCTGGGAGGAGAATAGTTTGAGTATGAGAGAGGAGTAAAAGCTCCGAACAGAGCAGCGAAACAGTGAAGGGAGGGAATCAGTACACTTTTATTAAGAGAAATGTAGAATGGGGTAAAGCTGATTTACAGCTTTATTACAGCTGCCTCCTTCTGCTCTTATGGCTGTCTGACAGCACCTACAGCCGAACTCATGCTCTGATTCTTGGTTGGATACAATTAAAATGAAGATTTAACACCCAACAAAGTGTTTAAGATTTGAGGCTGTCTGCTTCCTCTCACAAAGGACTGAGTATGATCATTCATTCATCATGGTGATTTTTAATCAATACATATAAAGGTGCTGACATTTACCTTGATACTGGTAGGGATAAGCCACAGCGTAGGGCTGTCCGTCAGCAGAATACATGATCTGTGTGGCTTGTGGTGGAGATGGAACGTATTCTCCATATGGGCCAGGAGCATAAACCTGCTGGAGAGTGACAAAAAGACAAAACTCTGATGAATGTCAGCAGGATTTCAATACTATATAGTGTAAGGAATAAAGCTTCTTGAAGATTTTCAGAGGACTCATTCATATTTAAGCAAGACTATGCCAACCCACATTCTGCAGGGATAACAACAGCATGACTCTGTAGTAGAAGAGTCTCTGTGCCTTTTTCAGGGTGTACTTGATTGCACTTTGAAAGGGGAGATTACTTTAAAACTTTTATGTTTGTTTGTTTGATCTTTTTGTATGATCAAACTGATCAGGAGTCAAACTTCTGTTGTTTACCTGAGTTGGGGGATATTCTGAGTAGGGAGGAGGAGCAGAGGCCATTGCTTCCTGAGCAAAGCCGATCTGTGGAGTAGCTACAACCTAAAAGAATAAAAAAAACATCATATATAAATCATATAGGAAGCCATTTTTTATCCGTAAAAACAAACAAGATGTAGCAAAAGCTCACCATATTCACTCTTGCATCCTGCAGGGCCATGGTCCATGCTCTACAACACAAAGATGAAACTGTGTCTTAGAATAATTTATTTCTGAAGATGCACTGAGATTATCAATGATTAGCAAATAACAATAAACCTGGGATGAAATACTGTGTGTGTCTTATTATCTTACAGAGCATCATCAGCACTGTCTGCACACAGGCTGATCACTCGTCCGTCTCTGCACACAATCTGCAGCAGAGCGTCACGTGACTTCCCCTCCGGAGGGTTCAGCTCTGAGAGGACAGACAGAGAGGAGACGAGTTTAAAGACGTGAAGACAACCTGGTTAAACTGTGACATCATCATGTAGCCACAGGTCACATGTACCTTGACACGCGGCAGAGTTGCGGATGTTAATGCAGTCGACCCTCATGTGGATGTCGTCCTCCATGTCACGCCTCTGTTGATCATTGTAGAAGACGAGTCGTCCATCAGCCCACAAGTCAAACCAGTTTTTTTTCCAGCGACGCAGAATGGTGCCTGAGACAAACACACGCCCCCATCAGTCACAGGGCGGCTGCAGACTTTAACTTCAAGACTTTCTTAGACCCAAAAACAGAGAAATTTATACCACTGTTGCACAGCAGAACAAAAGGTGTAGTAAATGGTATTTGATCACACATCCGAAGATTAAAACCAGTCACCTCATATCTGCCTCTGTCAAAAATTCATTTTTCATTTTAAATTCAGCTTTCATTTCTTCCTCTTCTTCTCCGTCTCTCTTCTGTTCACAGTTTATGAATCAAATGTAATACTCACCATTTATGCTGCTGGAATGTAAGTTATTTGTTGAGTAAACAAGCAAATCAACAAAACAAGAATTTTTAAAAAGTCAAAGCTAGTTATAAAGCATGGCGCTGAGTAAATTTTCATACATGCCTCAAAATGCCATCTTTGAAATTAAGAGCCTCTACAAAGATGTTTTAGAACATGAAATGACCTTAGATTTTAAAATCTAAATAAAAGTTTGTCAGGAAATGCAAAAATAACAACAGTTTAACAGTTTATATGTCGTGATATCTGTGAATGTACTCACTCTGTCTATGTAGCCATCCACTCTTTACCATAGCCATCTCAGAGGCAACACCTACAACACACAAAGTTATATAAAAGTTATAAAGTAATCTCCCCATTCAAAGTGCAATCAAGTCTACCCTGAAAAAGGCACAGAGACTCTTCTACTACAGAGCCATGCTGTTGTTATCCCTGCAGAACATGGTTTGGCATTGTCTTGCGTAAATATGAAGGTCTCCACTGAAAAAAGTCATTTTTTGTATTAGAGGTTGACTACTTGCGGTTTTTCAGAGGCCAATAACAAGAGAGCAGGTCTGTTGATGATCGATATCACACTTACGATCCCCGTACCATCGGAGATGCTGGCTTTGAACTGGGAGCTGATAACAAGCTGGGCGGTCCCTCGACTCTTTAGAGCAGATCATGTCATGTCCATGATTTCCAAAAAGAGTGCCAAATTTAGATTAATCAGACTACAAAACAATTTTTACCTTCCCTCAGTAAATTTTAAAGGGGCTCAGGTCCAGAGCAGTCTGAAGTCCAGACACCTGAAGATCCGGACCTCCCAGTACAGTTTTGGTCCTTGCCCCTTTTCATTTCTCCAGATTCTCTGAATCTTTTAATGTCATTATGTTCTGTAGATGATGAAATCCACTCATTTTTTTGACATTTTGCACTCAGGAATGTTATCCTGAAACTGTTGAATTATTAGCTCACTCAGTCTCAGAAGTCTCTCTTCCCATCTTTTCTTCTGAGAGTCTCAGCCTCTCTGAATGTCCTATTTATACCCAGTCATGTTTCTAACCTGTTGTAAATTACGTCATTAGTTGGACATGTTCATCCAGCTGTTAATTTATTTATTTATTTTTATTAGCATTTACCAAGTTTTTATCTGTTCAATTGTTCCTCTCACAACTTTCTGACCTAAAATTAAAAATGAGCATATATTTGTAATTTTAAAAATATATTTGGCAGGTTTAACAATTGATTTGATGTCTTTAATCTTATTTCAGTTTAATTTAAAGTAAGGCAGATCAATAGACATTGCAATTTAGTCAGCTGATTTATTTATGACTGCCAATTCCTAAGTGCCTGAAACTGCTGCGAAGCACATTAGATCGACTATTGATGTTTTAAAATGTATTATACAAATAAAATAACTTATTATTTTAACTAAAAACAACAATAATATCTGTTCACCCTGGACAATATTGTTTACAGTGCATGTAAGTGAGGGCTGATGACTGGGCGGAGCAACAAAAACCTCGTGATTATCACCATGATTAACCCCATTATTACAGTTTAAGACATCATGTGAAATCGACAGGAAACCCGGCAGATCCGTGACCGGAATCAGAACAATTAGATTCAAATCTGGAAATAATAAGTTGGAAACAAAAATCTTGCAAGAAGTTTAAACGATATTAGACATGTTCATTCTTTGAACACCATATGGTTACTCCTCACAATGTTAATGGGATGGCCAAACGTAAGATTTATCACACTGTTGAAACATACAGTGTTACATGACTATTTGAGTCAGCCAGTCCCTTAATTTAAGATTTTACTGGATATTAACCTGCTGTCAGCGACCCAAACCTTACATATAGCGGCTCCACGTTACAACAGGCCAGCTGTGAACAGGTCGTCCTCATTTCATATTGGCATAAGTCAGAATACAGAGATCATTAAGCAAAAAAGCCAGTGATAAATCTGGGCAAATACAAGATTTTGGCGATCTTCTTTTGGTCCAAAAAATAGAAGTTAGCTAAGGATAACTGACGCTGTTTGTTTATACATGATGAAAACGAGCTAACCTTCCAGCTCGCTAACTTGGTGCTCATGTATAGCTGAAACGCTTACACTGTTCCTTCTAAATAATCTTACTGTTAAATTAGACATCAAAAGAGTGGTATATTTATGTTACTTACTTGATACTTGGTTTGTTTTGTGGAAGATGAGTGGATCCGTTATGTTACAGAAAACACGGAAGTGAGCTGTTCAATAATAAGAAGATGCTCAACTCTGAGAGAAAAGCGTGTAACCAAGCTAAATAACAAAGACAGCCGTTATTTTCTGTTCACTGGCCCTGCCCACAGAGCATCGTCATGAAGATTCAACCTCTTTGGAGAGGGAGGGGTTTGTTATGAATGACGTAACCATCAGCTGACAGGACTGGAAAGTGCTAGCAAAAGAGCGAGGGCGAGCTCGGTGGATTCAGGGGAATCGGAAAATTGACATTCAAATCCTGAACGTACTTTTGAGAAAGAAATAACGAAATAAAAAAAAACTCAACAAAGGTTTTATATACTTGCCGTGTGAACAGACATGGGGTCAAGTCCTACAAACTGGGAAAATGACATTGCTTCATGTTAATATTTATATAAATAATTTCATTTTTTCTTCTTTCTTCTGAGACAATTATCTAATTTAATCTAGAAAAAAATACAGGATTTTTATATCCACAAAAACAGTGATTTTAGAATTTCAAGGTAATTAACAAAGTTAAGGAAAACAGAGCCTAATATAAACTATGAATTTCTTTCTTGTAAACGCAATATGCTTTTGTAAAATCTTTTAAAGAAGGAGTCAAATATTTCGTATGTATGTAAAATATATATATAAAAAATATGGAGTGTAAAAAAATTAATATTTCATGACACACGGAGGCAAAAACCTTTTTTTATCAAATCTTAAATTATCTCGTGAAATACAAAATATCTGATGCGTTTTGTAGAAAATATAAGATTTCATTAAGTATAACCTTAATGAAGTGTCTTTGTATTTTATGAAATATTTTTGTGTGATGTTCACTGAAATGTTTGCGCAGAAGACCTTGAGAAAATACGGCTAATACCTGTTTTACAATGTCTGGACCTCTGAAAATCAGAATTCCGAGCCACGGAGGAACACATGAATTAACACGAGTGTATGCGTACTGGAGGGAAACTAACTGTGCCTCACTGTACCAGTGAGCGTCATTTCAACATCACCCGTAGGGGTCTGCCACTGCAGGCGGGATCGAATATCTCCAAGCCCTCTGACTGCCGGGCAACCTGGGGTTACAAAACAAGCTCTCCGGTCAGCAGTTACAGAACTTAAGAGGGTAACGCAGGAGCTACCGAGGCTAACCTGACATGGCGACGGCAATATACCTGGAACATTACCTCGACAGTGAGTACATGGCAGAAGCATTTGGTTTATCTGTCACCTGTTTAAAGTTCACTCTGACAGATTGCAGTTTGCTCTAATGGACTTAAATGTTCGGCGGGGACCAACAGCTTAATACCACCTCGCTGTGAGGTGACTAGTTAGCTCACCGGCTAACTGATTAGCATCACGATAAAGCCCGCAGTGCTGTAAAGTTTGGCTAACTTCTCAGAACTGTCGTTGGACCTGAAACTTTATTTCGCACAATTTATTACATTCAATACTTTGAAATCCCAAACTGTGGAGGTGAATGTTTATCCTAGTGGATAGAAAGCAGATACGCATTTACAACCTGTTGGTAACCGCGTTTCCCGTCAACAGTTAAGCGCCGGGGCGGGGAATTTAAAGTGCGTCATAATGTGAAAACACGACACGGTGAAAACCCTCCAACTGTGGACAAGGACCACCTCACACATGTCAGACTTTTGACTGTTGTTAAACTAAACACAATTTTTAAAGTAAAGTCACTCCGCTCATAAAAAGAATGATTCTTATTTGCTCATGGTGGCACTCCTCATGTTTTGAAGATGGACCAGGAATAGAAACACCTGTCAGTGAAATCTAGAGCAACACCATCACCGTTTATGGCCTCTATCATAAATTTAAAGCACTTTTAATCACCCTTCTGACTACACCAACAAAAGCTGAAGACATCTAAGCTCCCTATCTCTAAAGTGTGTGGTGGAGCTAATGCATTGCTTTGCTTTATCAGTGAATGGCCCAGTATGAGATAAAAAGTTAAAATAACTGAATCTCCAATTGGACGCTTATCAAATCATAAACACTCACTGGCACATAATTTAGTTTAAATTCTTTTATGTAGTTTATTAATGACAGCTATTCAGCTAGTTTCTGAAATCTCTAGCATAACCCCAAATCATTTTCTTCCCATTTATATTTAAAAAAAAAAAAAAACAACTATAATGTGCCACTGGCTTAGATGTATACCATGAATATTAGACATAGTGAACTTGTATATGACTTTCTTTTTTTTTTATCATAATCTCAGTGTTTACCTCCATAAAATACTGTGGTTTTAGACGGCTTTGTCCACAAGAGTGCACCAAAAATTAAAACAAGCCAAAAGTTATTCACTGGAGCTTTAAATAACAGAATATGAAATAAAAGGTTGATTAAAGGTTTTTTGTGCCATACCAAGTTTCACTGGTTGGTCATAAATGTGAGATAAATTCATAATAACAATATTCAAGTTAAATGAGAAAAACATCCTGCTGACTTTCAAAAATATTGTTCATGGACCTATAATTAAGAGATAAGAAATCAGGAACAAGACCTTTCCCCCTTGCACTGATTTCAGGCATTAAAAAACAGTCTTGTTGCGATGGTTTGTTTTTGGATTTCATGAAAAGGCATCAGTATGAGCTTTTTGCAGGTTTAACCCTAACCTCACCAAAAAGTCAGTACAGCATGAAATTTAGTCTGAAATCACATATATATTTAGCAGATAAATAATTGAGGTGTGAAAGGATAAATATCTTAGTCCTCTTTTTGTTATTCTCCTCTCCAGGTATTGAAAACCTCCCATGTGAGCTACAGAGGAACTTCACTTTGATGAGGGACCTGGACAACAGGACTGAAGGTGATCATTATACTCATAACTTTATTTTAAATCTAAATGTGATTTTGATTTGAAGTCCCACACATGCATGCACTGTGATTCATCACTGTAGAGGAGTTATAGCTTTAACTGTTCACATAAAATGTCCACATGAATGAGCATGTACGATACCAGGACCACTAAGAGGCTCACCTAACTTGTTATTAATGACACCTGTGTAATTCCTGCTTCGACTTGTCAAAATATTGACTGAAAACCTGCAGGCTCGCTTGCCTATTTTCCAACTCTAATACTCACGTTCTTGTGCAGAAAAGAAAATAGAGATTGACAAACTGGCTGAAGAATACGTCGCAAAAGTGAAAAACCTGGCCTCGACTCAGAGAGTGGAACACCTGCAGAAGATCCAGAATGCCTACAGCAAGTGCAAAGAATTCAGCGACGACAAAGTCCAGCTTGCAATGCAGACGTACGAAATGGTCAGTCAATGATCAAGTCTTTACCATCTGGTCTTTGTTTCTATGACAGTTTTACACCATCAAAATGTAAAAAAAGAGCGTTTTTAGTCACGCATGCTCAGGTTAATGAGCTTCTGCCCTGCAGGTGGACAAACACATCCGCAGGCTGGATGCAGATCTGGCCCGATTTGAGAACGAGCTGAAGGAGAAGCTGGAGCTGAGCGGCCATGAGAGTGCAGATGGACGAGGAATAAAAAGTAAGTTCAGCCATATCGCTTCATGCAGGGAGTCTCTGCAACAGCACTCGTACAATATTTCTCCTATTGCTCACACAGTTCTGCTACAGTAATACCTCAAGTCAAAGCTACTCTCCTCTCACATAGAAGCTTCATCACATTTCAGATACACCGCTGATCCTAGTTCAGTTTAAGAGAGCCAGGAGTATGTGAATGGAAACAATGTTGCTGACACTCACATTGGCGTCTTTGTTCGTCTTATCTCAAACCAGACACATTTCCACCGAATCCCTCACTCCTCCATCACATGACCTTTTTCTTGGAAGAGAAACATTCAGCTGCAGCAAATAGTTCAACACAATTAACTAATCACAGAAGCAGCTGATTGTGTTGTCTGTGCAAGCTGCTGCAGAGAGAATACATTCTGCATATTTTACCATCACATTGTTACATGCAGTGCCTTGTGAATGGTTTGTCTCACGGTGAGGGTAGGTATCAGGACTTTAACCGTTTGATTGTTTTTTTGTTTTGTTTTTTTTCCTGGCGTTTGAACAAGCCTTTTTGAGGTGCTTCCATCAAACACAGATTTCCTCTGAGATTGTTCTGAATCCAGCCTGAAGTTGCTCCTCCACCTCCTTAAAAAGCTTGCCATTCCGTGTCATCCATGTACTTTTAAAATTTAAGGCCTATTAGCCGATTCAACATGAACTACGTCATGTTGTTGGTCCAAAAGTGTGTTTTGCTCTTGCATTCACCATGTTGACAGTGTCTTGGTTTCTACTACACATCTTCTGTTGAACAATAAGCTGACTTCACTGTTATACATCTAGGTCAAAGCCCGGCATCCAAACACTGGAGCATGTGCAAAATGGGGGTCACTTCAAAGGGGTTGTATGTTTTGTGTGTGTGTGTGTGTGTGACTTATAATCATTTATTATTCATGGGAAACAAACTCTGGGGATTGTCCTATAAAAAAAATACTGAAACTCCAATTTTAAGGGAAATATTTTTTCAAATAAAAACACAGATTGTGTGGATGTAGCCCTAAAAGCTTTCAGCATAAAAAAATTCCTTATCAAATGAGAGAAATACGCCATTGCACATCTATGAACATCTTTAATTATTTATTTTTTTACACAGAGGCCGAAACTCGAGGGTTGAGAGAGAAACGTGGATCCAGGGGACGAGTGAGGAAAAGTTCAGATGAAGATTCACCGCGTAAAAAAAAGATAAAAAACAGGTACCTCTGCTCAGTCGGGGGCTCTATGAGCCTGTCAGATTTGAGTTGAACTGTTTATTTACTGTGACTCATCAATCCACCCCTCATCAGATCATAACCAGTCTTAATCATCCTGTTTGTTCTGTCATCCTTTCAGCCCAGACCTGAGCGATGCGCTGCTCCCGATGCAGCCGTCAGATGTTCTTGACATGCCGGTGGATCCCAATGAGCCCACCTACTGTCTGTGTCATCAGGTGTCGTATGGAGAGATGATCGGATGTGATAACCCTGATGTAAGTTTTCATTTATTGCATTTCTCTTCTATCAGAATTGCTTGAACCTCTTGTTTTAAATACCAACGTTTTCTTTCTGTCTTCAGTGTCCGATTGAGTGGTTTCACTTTGCATGTGTTGATCTCGCCACCAAACCCAAAGGAAAATGGTAAGAGCTTTGAATTAATCCGTGGGTTGTTAACTTAGAGTTGTTCTTAATTATTTATCAGAGTTTGACTTCAACATCCTTTCTCTCTTGTCTTTGGAATCTCTCAGGTTTTGTCCAAGATGCACCCAAGACAGGAAGAAGAAATGATTGTTTTCATGTCAGCTGTACTCACCTAATAATGTATGTATGTTTGGTGTAGTCTAATAGTGTTATATATAAATACATATATCTATATATATGTCCTTGGTCCTATAACTCTCCATAGAAGTGGTAGGTCAAACATGTATTTCAAAGGTCTGATGTGGATTAGGAGTGTAGCTGCACCTGTGCACCAACAGACTCTCTCATGATATGTTAGTTTCTGTGTCATCTGATTTCAGCCTGCTGTTTTTGTCCTAAAGCACTCTGGGTAAATTAGTCTAAAAGTTGCACAAATGGTCACCAATCAGAGCGTCTCCTTTCACTTCAGTCTCTTAGTGTAAATACTGTTCTCATCAATATCCTCAGAAATCCTGGATTGTGGCTTTAGCATACTTGAAATGTCAATTTTATAAAGATGTATTTTTTAAACAAATTAAAATCCTGCTGAAATTTTAGAGTTTAATTTAAACACCTAAATCCTTACTGAACTTTGTGGTAAGAGGAACTATGTGTCAGATTTTCAGTTACCTACCTCCTTGGGGAAAATATCGACACTGCACAAACGACTGCAAATGATACCGCTGTAAAAATGTTTTGAGTTATCTTAAACCAAACCGTGTAAATTCATTTAATTTTGAGAAAACCTGTGACACCTTTGAATGTATTGTGGTACTTTTGGTCGGTGGGTCAGTGTCTCCTCTCAGCTGAACGAGGTCTTTACGCACTTTGAATGAAAATTTCCCTGAAGAGGTTTGAAACATGCAGGCTTGGTTTTATGAAAGTTTATCTCCTTTCGAACTTTGCCATCACTTCAAACCACATTGAAATAGAAAAGTTTATATATGTTTTGTATAAATGAAACAATATTTTGTGGACACAGTTTTTTCCAAAGATATATTTGTTGTATTGATTACTTACCAGTGTACACTTAAAATTTTATTTAATGGGATTTTAGCATCTTCTTTCATTCTGGACTGTGAATATCACTCATTTAGGTGTAAGCCACAAATTAAGAGAGCCAAAGTCTTTGTATTTTGTAAAATGCAGTATTTTATAACAAATAAATATTCACTATAATCTGTGTGTTGTTTCATTCTTTGTTGCTTATAATGGAAAGCCTGATGTGCTCATGTTTTCTCTCTGAACTAAAGAGCAGTTTTAAAATCCATCATCAGACTCTTCATCCCAGCTGCACTTGTCCTGCATGGTCTTTGTAAAGTCCATCTCCAGGTCGTAAACAAAGTCTGGATCGTCTTTGTGCCTGCGGTTCTTCTCAAACAGTTCGTCCATTTGTCCCTTCTTACGATTCAGCTCCTGGTCATCCAGTTTGTTCAGGTCTTCTTCAGGGTCGAGGTGAAATGAGGCCAGGCTGTGCTCCAGGCTGAGGCCCTTCATTTGATCCTGCAGGATGACATGAAGCTTTTCAAGCTGGCTGCAGGTCACTGAGTCCAGGTAGTCCCTGTGCCGGGGGTTGTTCTTCAGCTTTTCGGCTGCCCTGCTGCAGTCTGGAGGGGGAGAACAAGCAAAGAGGTGTCAGTATTTAGGATTATTTCCATGTAAATTATACTGATTTTGTCAGGAACAGCGCAAATACAGAGGCCCTGACATGAATCACAACATTTTATTTTAAGGATTTTGATTTCTCCAATATAAACACCTCTTTTCCCCACGCAAAGTTTATATTTGTTTAGATCCATACATGACAAACAGCACTTGATATTACCATAAATGATTAATGTATTCTTATCTTTAAATGTAGACATGCTGTCATTTTCCAACACTTCAGAATACCTTCATACAGCCAACATGTGTAAGCAGTCATCGTGCAGACATATTTAATGTATCACCTTATATAGCCTATATATACCTGTAGAAATGTTCATATAAATACTGATCATGAACTTTGAAAGTAATTATCTGCCAGCGTAATCATGCTGATAATATTGTGCAGCCTTTACACTTTATACTATACTTTATACTGTCAGTTTTTGTGTGATAGAGAAAATTCCAGTAGTTTTGTCCAGAAGTGGACCCAAGCATCTCATTATCTTAAAAAAAAAAAAAACAAGCTGGTTTTCAGTGGTAACTCAATTTCAGCTGTTATACTGTAGATTTTGACCCATTTTTCTTACTGTCTAAGATGATAAGTGTTGTTCTCTTGAGACTGCAGGATAATTTTCTGATACTCTAGACTTTTAAGGATGCAGCTCTAAGATGAAGTGTAGTGAGTGAGAGAAAATAACTGCAGATAAACTTTTAATGTTATGAAAACTGAACAAATAAAATGTCTGAATGCATTTCCACAAAGGGCTTCCATAAATCACAACTTATTCTAAAGTATAAGTTAAGCTTTTGGTAATCTAAGACTTGTCAGTTTTTAGGAGAAATTAATGTGTAGTTATTTAATAAAGAAAAAATGTACACCACTACTTTAAAATGGTTATTGCTTCAGCCACCTTTTGGGACCAGTCAAGGTGTAGGAATCACGGGTAGGGCCCTGCAAGAAGACCAAAGACTGTGGTCTTAGTTGGGGCATTAAGTGAACTGAGTAAGCCAAGGCACAATTATAATGGTATAATAAATATAATTCAATGTTGCTTGTGTAATAATCCTAGATATAAAAGAGATGCAATCTCCAAATAAAGAGTATCTGATATTTACCTTCATGGTTGCAATATTCTATATTTTCAGTAAAGGTGTGGCTAAATATTGATATGGCATTATGCTGTCATCTTGGTTTGTGGGATCCTATCACAAGCATCAAATTATGATTCTCTAATTTTAATAAAAAGCATCTCTGAACAGATTCCTGTGACAGTTTCACTTCCAAAGTCACTTCTTTTTTGACTCCACTAATCACATTATTCCAGCATTTAAACATTGAGAGGCATTTTACCTGTGTATCAAAATATGATGATGTACAATATTGAATGTGTCCATTATTACACTGCATTATCTCTGTTATTTGATATGGCCATCATGGGCGGTTCTGTATCGGGTATCGTATCGTATATCACAGGTCAGACAGCGGTTCCCACCCCATCACAGAGTTTCATACAAAGCTGTTTCACAAATGGTTCACTAATAACATGTGGTTAATGTGGTTTTAACGTATCTATAAGTTCAGGATGAAGTTGTCTCGCCCCACCTGAGTGTTTGAAGAAGTTCCGTACAGGTATGATCCTCTTTCGTACCTTTTTAGTGTCTCTGTGCTGATAAATTAAAACTATAGAGGGGGGACTGAACTGAACCCCGCATCGCTTTGCCTCAAAACTCATCCTCTAGTCTCTGCTTCGACCTCAACAGTTCAAAACCTCATTATTTTACTATGATAATAGATATAATTCTAGGCTACAGCAGAACAAATTAGTCTGATTTAAGGAATATCCTGAAATCGACCGAGCGCCATGAAAGGTGGCGTCAACCGTTGCCTGGGCACTGAACGTCGTCTGAGAGTTTTGTACTTTTCTGTCTTCACGGACACTTGCCTGAACATATACGTACTAAGTTATTATCCATTTGTGTCATTTTAATTGATTGTAAGAAATTATTTTATAATTTAAACAAGATTTTGGATTTGAATATAATATAGCTGCTCTATACCATTTTAACAGTGTCAGTTTATTATTCTTTTCAGTCAGGCACCGCCACAGTCTACAAAAAACTACAAATGGGTCCTGATGTACTCTTTTCCTGAAACAGCCTCACAGTCAACTCTTGATGGTTACTCAGTGCTGTCAAACGAAAACTCAGACCGTTTCAATGTTTTTTAATTAACTTTTATCGTATTCATGAATTTTGCGTTGTTTTCTGTGTTGGCATGTTTGTCGATAGGTTATGGTTCAATCAGCGAGGGTAAGTTTTATCGTTGAAATTGTGCTTCTCAAAAATATAAGTGAGGTTCTACTATTAACTAAACTCCGATTTTGAAAAAGGTATGAAAATGTAGGAACAGATTTTGATGGTTTGGAAATAATGTAAACCCTATATTTGATTTAAAAAATATTTGATTAAAAATGAAATATTGTGCTCCAAATGTTTTCAGTGGGTGATAAGTCAGGACTGCAGACAGGCCATTTTATCAGCAGGACTCTTCTACTACAGAGCCATGCTGTTGTAATCCCTGCAGAATGTGGTTTCTCTTTGTCTTGCTGAAATATGAAGGTCTTCCATGAAAAAGGCATTGTCTGGGTAGCAGCAGATGTGGTTGCTCCTAAACCTGTATGTATTGTTCAGGATTAATGGATCCTTCACAGATGTGTAAGCTGCCAATGTCATGGACACTAATGATCCCCGAACTATCAGGGATACTGGCTTTAAACTGACAGCTAATAACAAGTTAGGTGTTCCCTCTTCACTTTAGAAGAGGGGATGCAGCTCTCATGGTTTCAACAAGAATGTCAGACATTGAATCATTAGCCCACATGACAGTTTTCCAGGTTCCCTCAAAGTCCATCTTAAACAGGCTCAGGTCCAGAGAAGTCTCTGATGTTTTATTTTATTCTACATAACCGTTAGAGCCATTTGTGCACTACTGATAATTTGACATATAATTAATAATTTTTGTTATTTATCCTGATTAGAATTCTGAGAGACTGAACATTTGTATAGTTTTATTTTAAAGTTCAATTGAAGCCAATTACTACTGCAGCTCTCCTATTGGAGGAGACATGTAATATGAGACCTGTGGGTTTTTCTTGGGTAATTAGATATCTTTATATTATCTATTCTTTATTAGAGCACAGAAGAAACAACAGAAGTAGTGTAACATTATGTTGTAATTATGATTTTCTGCTCGTCCAATAGAGTGTTTTTAATGAGTTGTAACCCACACTTTTTTGCAGTTGAGGACAAAGAGAAACAGTGTGATGTCCTGAAGCAGCTGCTTGAATCCTCGGCTGTGTCAGTGGAGCTCAAGAAAGATGGTTTTCACAGGTGTGTTTAAAAAATGAATTGATAATCATCTTTAAGGCTCACTGAGAGAAACAAGTCGCTGATTTGTGGCGTGTTTTTAGGGAGCTGGTGACCTCTGTTGAGCTCAGGTCTGATGATCTCAGAGGGGTCAGAGTTCTGCTGGTTCACAGATGGCCCAGTGGAGTCTATGTGGATCCATTCGAGCTCTCATCTCTGCACGATCAGAGAGACTGGCAGGCAAGGATGACACAGAATTGTGCATATATTTCAAACAACAGCCTTTAGTTCTACTCCTCTTCATGTTTTGATTTCTCATGTTTTTACCACTTTCAGATATTACTAGATTCAGCCATTGACCTGGAGCTACCTGCTCACAAGACATATGGATTTGTCACTTATGTGTTTCTGACTCCTAATGGACCATCTCCTAGACGACTGACTGTTACAATCCCCATTCATGCTCGATACCACAAGTCATCTTTTGATGGGAAATCATCCACAGCAGTAGAAATAAAACCTCCAGAGCTGCTGCTGAGAACTGAAAAATGTAAGTGGATGAATTTTTTTTCAGAGTTTACAAAGTTTAGTTAGTAACTTGATGCAACTATTATCAAAACATAAGCTCATCACTCCATCCTGGAGAAAGTCATCTTGAACACAGAAAAGCAGAATTAAAACGGTTTGTATTCATTCATTTGCTTCTACAATAAATCCATGCTCTGATGAGGGCCACCCATAGACTGTATATAAGATGGACAACCTGGTTCAGCCTTCCGCCTGTATACAGATTTGAAGCCAAAAAGCTCTCGGTAATTCCGGGTTTTTCTCCACTTCCTTGAAACCAGAGCTGTGCAGTAGCGTTGTGCGCATTTGGCCGCGCAGTTGCCGAGAGTCCCTGTGATGACGCTCGGCTCAAACAGCGTATCCCCTGGGAGAGCTACGCAATCCCTGAAGGCCCATAGGCTGTACCAGGTGTCAATCATAGAAAACATGAACCCCTAATAACTTTTAAAAATGGAGCTGTACAGAAAAAAAAGGACTTGGGCACAAACCAGTCTTACAATAACTACATGTTAACATCACAAACAGGGGGGAGAAAAATTTATGTTCTGTGTAATAAATTTCTAAAGTTTGTCCACAGCCCCATAAGCTTTGCTGACGGAGGCGGGATTTATGACCTATACTGCAGCCCGTCACCAGAGGGTGCTGTTCTCTGAGTGGCTTCACCCAGCGAGGAGGCAGACTCTGTCCATCTTAAATACAGTCTATGGGGCCACCTCAGTGCGTCATGATGTTCATGGGAAATGCAGTCTTTATACTGAAAAAAAAAAGGATTAACAAAAGATTAATTTTCAGCGCCTATATATCCATGAAAATAGTGAAAGTACAGTGTCAAAAAATTACTGAAATTTAGTGTAATGGAGTTTTCTGCTTTTAAAGTATAATGTGCGCAGAGTGAAAAGGAAAAGTTTTTTTTAGCTCTAGACAGGTCTAATGTCAGCTAGGAGATAATTCAGGTCTGTGCTGCATGATAACAAAACAGCATCACTGTGTTTTGTTTTAGGATGATAAGTAAGTGTGCCCCAAATGTTCTCAGGCCCTTGATGCTTCAAATGTCTCAGATATTCATAAGTGCATTTAGACACTGATTCACAGAAAGACCTAAACACAAGTATAGAGAATCTGAAATGAATCCAGTGTGACAGGTAGCAAGTGTAAGAACTACAGCAGGAGTAATAGGGCACCAAAACGTCAAACCACTTGCAATCAACAGACAGGGGGTGGAGCAAGTGTTCTGTTTCAAATTTCCATGTGTATATAATGGGCAGATGGCACCACAGTTATTATCAGCAAAGCCCAGCAGAGACTAGACTTTTCTTAAACAGCTAAAAACAAAAAATGCAAACTGTCTCCTGGAGGCTTGATCTGTCATTGAATCTTCACTCACCTTTTTAATAACAGTCTTGTTTAACAGCATCACAACCCAAGAACAGAAGCAGCTGGGAAGGATTGTGCACTTGGCAACATAACTTAATGGTGTCAGTCTGCCTGTGCTTCATGAAATTTATGAATCAGGGTTGGCAAAAGTGTCTCAAAGGTCTTAAGGGGTGCTTTGCACCATGTTAATCGTTGCTTGAATCTGCTCTCAGGGAAAACCCAAAGACAAAGACAGACAGATTTTGAAACAATACATGTATCTCAGCATTTAGTATCTTTCATAAATTTTATACTTGATTTTAAGTTTCAGTTATTCTTTACACTTTCTACACTTTCATGCTTTTGTTTCTTTTGATACATGTGTGCAGTAAATACTTTCTGTCTTTACTCAAGTTGTAGGTTTTTTTGTATGTATTTGTATGTCATATTTTATGAAGAGCACATTGAGATAAGTTCCAATCAACTGTTTGAGTTGATGTGGCAATAAAGCTTTGAATGAATTAAATAATTATTAACTTATTTACATTTTTCAGGCACACAGCTGGACAGTTTACAGTCTTACACTGTTATGGAGGCTCCCTGCACATCAGACAATTCCAGCACATGTGCGTGGGCTAAGATTCATCAGCAGCAGGTGGTTCTTTATACAAATTCATGTTTTTCTGGATAAAACATGCTAACTTTCTACCTCACTTATATTTATCTTTTTCTTGTATCCTGCAGGCCCAAACCTCTCTGACTTTACAGATTCCAGTTGGTGATGGGTCTCGGGTGATTCTTGTATCTGCAGGAACTCTTTTGGTCACGATGATCTGCTGTGTGGGACTGTCCAGATTCATGTGGAAACATCGGATCAAACAGTGACTGTAAAGATGTGTTTTTGTTTTTCTTAACTCAGGGTCTTATAATAGAATTAATTTAACACTGGGTCAATCTGACATCTTTCGTGAGGAGTATTCTGAACATAACATCAAATAAAAGAAAAAAATATAGAAAAGGTGATGTGTTTTCAAATGACCCAAGACTTAAAGGCAACAATGACAGGAGCTTCACAGTGATTCAGGTTAATCAGTTAGCTTTATTATTGTGGTTAGTTAGGCCAGGGCAGTGGTGTACTCTGGCTGTTTGAGGGGCAGCAGCGAGATAAATAAAAAGTGCACTTCCTGTATGTCATGGGGCACCAGCATGCAGAAAGTTGTAATGAATTGATCTGCCACCATTAGAAGATGAAGGTTCTTCCCTTTCCCGTCTCACTGTTTAAAAAATTATGGTGGTCCATTATAAGACCACTAGCCACCAAAGATAACATTATAATAGTACCCTCAGTGAAGCATTCATTTAAACATATTCAGATATAAACAATAAGGTGAGGGTCTGGGAGGGCTCATCGAGAAATTCCTAATACAATAAATATTTTTACATAATTTAGTGATTAAAAACTGAGTATATCTGAGAAAACCAAAATTATAGATACATGCTACTTCCTATATGAAGCTCACATCTGAGTTAGATCTGATCAATAATTTTACATGCTAATTGCAAAACTGAAAAGTAATATGGTTGGCAAGTAAATTTTTATCAAATGACAGAATAAAGTGATTTCACACCTCTTTGTGAAAAGGGGTTTCTGGGGTGTAAACCTTGAATGTCAACCAAACATACACTGTTTAAATTAATCTCATTGACTGAGTTTAAAATAACAAAAAGGCACTAAAGCACTATGAAGAGCTACCAAAGGGCACTTTTTCCATATTTTACATTAAACAGCACCCATTATATATAATGGAGAGCATTCCAGAGAGTATCATTTTACAGTTTTCAATACTGTAAGCAAAACCAGAGGGAAGATTGTATGTTTATCTACAGAAAAATATTTAGATAACATGTTTTTAACATTTTATACACTAGGGGGGCATCCAGGGGGTACTTTTTTTGATCTCCTGGCAGGCTACTTAAAGTGCACTTTTTTTTTGCATTTTATCCATTAAAAGATCATCAGAAGGCACTATTTTTGTGTTTCATTCACTGAGAGGGCATCCAGAGGGCTCTATGTCATGTTCCCTATTGTAGATGGGCAGCTATTCGATTAAAATTTCATGCATTTTCCATTAAAAAGTTTCCAGAGAGGCATTTTATAATGCTTTTAACTACAGAAGTATCTCAGAGGGCACTTGCTGTGTTTTTCAGGGATAAGGGCATAAAGGAGGAGACACATTTTTCCCTTGACGAGTGACATCCATTGAACTCCTTGCATTTTAGCGTTCCACTCTAGTCTCTGTGATTGTTTTCATTTTTACCCACATAAAAAAACTATTATTGTCTCCTTCACTTTCACTGCATTCACACTGACATTAGAAAGTCTCAGTGAACTTGACTCAAATTGAAGTGTGAGCTGTCAAAGTGGATGTGATCATTTGTGTGTTTGCCCATCCTTGTTTAGGTCAGTGCCCCAGTTTGGCCACCTCTGTCAAAATAGTCCAGTCACGCCCCTGCTTATATGTCCTCTATATGCCAAAAAATGTTCTTTTAAAAAAAAAGTGGAGAAAAAAAAGCTCTGTTGTGATCAATGGAGGTTAGTGTATCTGTCTGTGTAACAGCAGACAAACTTCACACACACTCCTCATGAGCAGCAGGCTGGGCTGGGTCTATAGTTCCGCTTCCCCTCCGCCATAACGGAATCATCCTGGGGCCGCGGAGCCACCACAAAAGTTGCATTGTAAATAGTCAAAGTCGCGTTTTTATTTACTCATTTGTGTTCTTCTCTGACCCCCACATCGCCACGCAACACAGGAGGGACTTTTAACGGATTTACAAGCGTTTTCCGGACCGTCGAGGATCGTCCGGGGCTGAAGTTCTGCCTAAGTTGAGCTGGTGTGGAGCCTCCGGTGAGCCCCGCTAACCTGCACCGCTTCTGTTAGCCCCAATAGTAGAGAGAGTCTGCTTCTTAATGCTCGCATTTTATATATCCTAACCCGTCCTCTGCCTGGTGTTTATAACTGAAACTGTGTTAGTGAGGCAAGTCCGCGTGAACAAGCTCAAAGAAAGTCCCGTTATATAGCGAGACTGTACAGACTACTATGTAGACTCTGATGCTAACGTTAGCTCATGGCTAGCACACTTGTTGGCAAAGTAGTTGGTGCTAACGTTAGCCTGCTAGCCGCCCCTGTTGTTACTCATTTGAAGGGCACTTTTGAGTCCACATAAAGACCGCTACATGGCGAAAAACTGAATAAATATCAATTTATTGACATTTTATGCGTAAACCGAACACATTTGAGTGTTAGCTTTCGTTCATTATAGATGAAGGGTACTTAAAATGCATTATTTCTAGCGTTTTCTCCTAAGATATGACACAAAAGAGAAAGCAGGTTGCTGAAATGTACTATTACCAATTCTGTTAGAAATTATAGGTATAAAGAGGCACAGGTTACAGCCTAAATAAGCATAGATTTGCGTTTTTGTCTAGCTAACCAGTTTCTGATTTCATATAGAATATCTACATTCAACTTCTTCAGGATATTCTGTAAAATAATTTTGTCACCACAGTAATCCGTTGTTTGTGCTGTTTGTTTGCCGTGTAGTGTAGTGATAACTCATAGATAATGAGAAAGACAATATGACAGACTGTGTTTATCTCCGCTCGCTGTTTTCTTCACCCCACTGTTGTGTCACAAATACTACACTAGCTTCAACAACACCAATTACCGTGCTTATTCTCAGGAACGGGTCTCATATATGATAGGATTCTTTTTACCCGATATAATTAATGTTTCAATGGTAACCAAAGGCTCACGAGAAGAGTTTGATCAAATAAAAATAATGATGAAAAAATGCCTTTTGATGACCTGCAAATAGCAGTTAAGACTATTAACTAGACCAGTGACTATTTCTATGTAGTTATTTTTATTTCTGAAGCCACTGGCAGAAGGGCAGGGGGTAGACGTTGGACAAAGAAATGAACTGCAACCTCCTGATATGACCTATGTTATATTTTCCACTGCAAAGCTCTCTGATGAGTGATACAGTTCAGTGTTAAAATAAAAGAGGGAGAGGTTTTTTGTTAGACAATAGTACTTAAACATAACCAAAATCAATGTGAATTCAAAGTTCCTTACAGGATCTTTAAGTACTAGTTATATTTATTCTGGATGTCAGTCCAAAACGCTGAGTTTTAGTCCAGTTCTTTTCAGTTGTAGTTTTATTAATTGATTGATTGCTTAATTGATAAAACTGTATGCCTGCCAGGTGAGAGACTAAACAGTTGGTAACACTATATATGAACCTACCTCCTACAGTTCATCATAAACACATCATTAAAGCCTTAAATTTATCTCTCAGGGTTGATAACAATCCTTTTAAATGAAGATAAATATTCATAACAGAGTATAGCAGGTTTTACGATGTGTTATGAGTAGTGAGTGAGCATACTGTTTTATCAAGGTATGGTTGATAATGCCAAAAGATCCTGCTTTTAAGTTTTAAGTTATTTTAAAGCTGTAATAGGAATATATACATTTTTGATAGCCTCATACAGTGCTGTCACTTCAGTATAAGCACTCACAGTCATGCTTCAGTTCAGCATGTTGTGTGTACAAATAAGACATTTTCTGAATTGGGAATCAGAAATAAAAAATAAAACTTTTTAAGATTGAATGTATGTTGAAGATTAGATTTTCTGTCAATAAGGATGAGAAAAATATGTTTCCCTTTATGCCGATATCATGCAAGTTACATCAGAATGCCAGCAATGACCCTGAGTAATTGACCAACGGATGAATCTGCCTGTCTCTACAGAGAAATGCTTATGATCACTCATAAGGATTGTTATAAAGGCTTATATATGTGTTTATAAAGATTTCCAGATATGCTTTTAGGAGGTGAGATCATATAAAGTGGCAGGTATTTTGGCACATTATGTGCAGATGATGACAGCTACCTGAGTCAGCTTCAATGTTACATGGTTGTGTAGAAGTATTTTTAAGGGGCTAGACAACACGCCTTTAACACTACCATTGTTATAATCACTGTGCATCTCAAGAATAATGACATTTGAAAAATGTAAAAACTACTTTCATCTAAAAGACAAACAATGACTGTCAGTGTGTTTGTATAACTTCTAGGTGGAATGAAACAAGATTAAAAACTAAAAGCATTTTCTCCGTAAGTGCACTTTATGTTCATTCGTTTTGTAAACGAACATATGCTGGTTATCACTAAACCTGCACTTTTTTTTTTAGTATCACTGTTAAAATTTCATTTCCATCAGGCAACTCAAACCCTCATAGCAATCAGTTCAATGTTTTCTTGATAATAAGTTGTTAAAGTTTTCCTTCAACTTCTGTGCAACACTTTTTACCTGTGTTAATTTTGACAGTCCCTGTAAGAAAATCTTTGCTTTCTAAAAAAATGTAACCCCGCTGAGTCCTCACGGTCAAATGTATCCTTCACTGTGAATATTTTATGCAGAAATTGTAAAAGCAAAGCTGTTTCTGTAGTTGTTCAGCTGACTCCTAACCCCTTTCACCAGTTTCATGAATTAAAATTTTGTGCATTAAAATCTTGAATCATCTCACTGACACTTGTTTGTTTTGGATATGATCATCGGTTTTGATTTCCAATGTAGCTTGAAACAATGGAGCTGGAAGCACTGATGATGTGAAAGTGTCACTGAGTTGTTAGGAGTGAAAAATCTCTTTAAATTGGCAGATTAATTTACCATACAAGATTTGCAATACACAGTTCGAAGGTTTTGGTCTAATGACTAATTTTTTTCCTTCAGGTGTCCCTTGGTGCTTCCTCTCTGCTCTGCTGTCATCACATCCTCCTGCAGCGCATGAGCACACCCGTGCTTCATGCTGATGTGAGCGCCACCTCGCTCCTTCTCTGTTTGTCACCCTCTCCTTCCTCGCCCACGCCCTTTTAGCCCTGTGAGCGTCGCAGCCTCCGACAATGTGTGATAACGGAGACCCTGAAGATAAGCCCCCCGCCCCTCCAGTCAGGATGAGCAGCACCATCTTCAGCACCAGTTCAGGCAAAGACTCTCTCTCAGCCAATCACAGCTCCAAACCTCTGCCGTCTGTGCCCGAGGAGAGGAAACCTCGCAACAAGATCATCTCAATCTTCTCTGGGGCAGAAAAAGGTGAAATATCCATGTTCAACTGTCATTTTCTTAAGTTTGTGATCAAATCAAGTATTGTGTGGTGTGAGTTCATGAAGTTTTTTTCCTCTCAGGTGGTAGAAAGAAAGACAGAGACAAAGAACGACCGGAGATCTCACCACCGTCAGACTTTGAACACACCATACATGTTGGCTTTGACGCAGTTACAGGGGAGTTCACCGTGAGTTTTCAGCTTTTTTTCTCCATTTTAAACTTTGATAAAGTCATATCATACTCTGCACCATGTTGACACCAGCACTGCGTCATCCTCAGGGTATGCCGGAGCAGTGGGCCCGACTTCTGCAGACCTCAAACATCACCAAGTTAGAGCAGAAGAAGAACCCGCAGGCGGTGCTCGATGTCCTGAAGTTCTACGACTCAACGGGCAACGGCCGTCAGAAGTACCTCAGCTTCCCCTCTTCAGGTAAGGAAAGTAGAGATAGTAGAGCAGAGAGTAGAGATAGAGTAGAGATAACAAAATTTTAGTTGTAGTCATTTTAATTTTGTTCACAGACTTCATATTTAAAACAAAACATCAATGACAAGAACAATAAATAATGTTTAAATATATGCAAAAGATGTATGAAACCCCGAAGGGAAACTTTCTCCTAAAAAGGATTTTAAAAAAGACTATTTCATGGGAAAAAAGCATGAACTGAGAAAACAAATGAAATAGATCATGAAATTAGTTTGTGTTTGGTCTGAACACACCTTTTAAGGTGAAACACCCTGTTCGCGTTAGCTGTTGGGTCACTACGTTTGTTTTTGATTTTTTTTTTTTTTTGTTTTAAAGTTATTAAGTTTTCCTTTTTTTCTGCGGGGAAATTTAAGTACTGCTTTTTAAATAGCGGTGAAACTGGCTGCCATGCGTTAAACTCTGCCTCTATATTTTTATTGTTCGCAGAAAAAGACGCCTTCAGCCCCGGCCCTCAGTCTGTGAGTATTTTGAGTGTAAACCTTCTGTTTGCTTTGTTAATTATTTTATCCTTCAAAGACTGACGAACTCTTTTTGTCTCTGAACCAGCCGGCCAAAAAAGGGACCGAACCGTCTTCTCCGAACATTAAAGACATCGATGATGACGACGATGATGAAGTTCCTCCTCCTGTTGTGGCACCAAGACCAGAATACACAAAGAGCGTAAGTCCTCGTAGAATAAGTTTGTTGTATATTTTACAGTTTTAGCGTCTTCAAAGTTGTGCAGGGTGTATTTATTTGTTGTTGTGCAGGTGCGCACTCGCTCCGTCATCGACCCCCTCCCTGCTCCGAGCACCGGCGTAGATGGAGATGTGGCTTCCAAGGCTGCAGACAGACAGAAGAAGAAGGGCAAGATGTCAGATGAAGAGATCATGGACAAACTGAGTAATTATATAAAAAATGTTCAATTTATAAATGTATCGTCAGTGTGTGAAAAAACTTTAAATTCTACTTGTTTTAAATTTGTGACATGTGTAATGCTCATCTGTCCCTCAGGAACCATCGTCAGCATCGGAGATCCTAAGAAGAAATACACCAGATATGAGAAGATTGGTCAGGGGTGAGTTTTACAGAAGTGACCGATAGTATGTTTTCAGTGTCTCTGAATCAAGCTTGGCACTCTGAAGTCCGGCGTAATCTGGAGTAGATTTAGTGCAGACTTTTGCATCAGGCAGAAACTACACAAATGTTGTATTGAAGATTGAAGAGGTAAAGTTCAGTGAGGTAAACTGCTCGACTTTCTCCTTTCACAGAGCGTCGGGGACAGTTTTCACAGCCATCGATGTCGCCACAGGACAAGAGGTAAAGACTGACTGAAGGATGGATGATGAGACTTAAAAGAGACTTGTGTTTTAGTTTTTGCCTCCTTCGTACACTTACATTTTATTGTAATGATATATATTCTTTATATTGGGATGGAGTCGACATAGATGCATCCACTAGAGGGCACTTAACCCGTCTCACATGAACCTTCTCTCCTTTCCAGCTGACATTTGTTTTTTTATCTGATCTCTGCCCAGCTGTTCTGATGTTTTTATCTTTATTTGTACCCATGTGAGTGAACATTTTAGTCAGAGTTAAGTTTTTGACTAACTCACACAATATCTCCCCTTAAAGTTCATCATTCCCAAAGTATTTCTCTTCTTGTTTTCCTTGTTCAACAGAGGGAAAACAAGGTTTCATCTATTACACGGCTGTCAATGTTCATCTGCAATCCTGCTAAAATTTCATTCATTATTAATTACCATTATAAACTTAAATGCTCATATTTTATCATTGGTTTGTAATGTCTCTGATTCTCATTTTTTCCAGGTGGCCATCAAACAGATTAATCTCCAAAAGCAACCGAAGAAGGAGCTGATCATTAACGAGATTTTGGTGATGAAGGAGCTGAAAAACCCAAACATTGTCAACTTTTTAGACAGGTGAGACTGGAAGTAACAAAGACGTGGTAGAAAAGCCAGTGACATAAGGAGAGTGAAAACAAATTCTGTCTCTGTTGTTACCTGCAGTCCTGACCTCTCAGCATCGCTCTGCACTGGACCAAGGCCATTTCTTACTTAACTCTAATTCATGCAAAAAATGATGTGTTGAATTCAATCCTTATACACTATCTGTCATCTTTTATCCCCTGCTTAACTGCTGATTTTGTAAAGGTTCTTGAAAAAGTTGGTTTTCCAGCATGCAAGATTGAATGTTTTCTGCATCATGAATCCTCAATCATAAAAATTGTAGACTTTCAAGACTAGCAGCACAAAAATCAAGCACCTTTGAGTTTGAGGCAAAATTTCTGCTCATGCTTAGAAGGTGTTGTGAATACATCCAAACACTTACATCGAAAGCAGTTTGCCATAATGTTTGTACTGTGTGTGTGTTTGTGTGTTAGTTTCTTGATGGGGGAGGAGCTCTTTGTGGTGATGGAGTACCTGGCTGGCGGTTCACTGACTGACGTGGTCACAGAGACCTGTATGGACGAGGCTCAGATTGCTGCCGTCTGCAGAGAGGTAAACTGGCACACATCAACAACCAAACCCTGTCAAAGTTTGAGTCCCACAGAAGATTCCCTCCCATCATCCTCTCCTGTCTGCTCCTGTGTGTCTGCAGTGTTTACAGGCGCTGGACTTCCTGCACGCAAACCAGGTCATTCACAGAGACATCAAAAGTGACAACGTCTTATTGGGGATGGACGGCTCCGTCAAGCTCAGTGAGTCCTGATCTTACAGATCCTTTCTTTAGATTGATAGGTATCCAGGTTCCTGTTTGGTCTGAGGAGTATTGGCTTCAGTGTCTGGATGAAAACCAGGAGGAACACAATCTCTTGTAACGGTGTGATCTGAGGAGGATTGATTTCTCTGTTTGAACACATATCTGTATGGTAAGGTTCATGGACAACCTGAATAAGATCTGTTTCTTACTCAGGAAGATACTGCTGAAGTGAGCCAGACTGAAGCCTCTGGGTAACTTACTGTTTACAGTGAAACTGAGACTCTCAATAAATACAGGGCTTTGTTTATTTTGCAAACATCTCTGAAAGGGTAAATTACACTTTTAATCCAAACATACAGTCACTTCTCAAGTTTCTACTGGGACTGTGAAGTGCACAGTAAAAGAAGTCGGGGCTGTAAGTAGTTGATCATCAGCTGAAAAAGTAAAAAACATGATCACTGTTTCTCACGGCTTTAATCATCCTTAGACAGTAACTCATTTTTCTCATCTGGCACTTTGTAAGAAGCAGCCTGTTAATCTGCATCCTTTCTCTCTCTCTCTTTCTCTCTGCTCCACAGCTGACTTTGGCTTCTGCGCCCAGATCACACCTGAGCAGAGCAAACGCAGCACCATGGTGGGCACGCCATACTGGATGGCTCCTGAGGTGGTGACCAGAAAGGCATACGGGCCGAAAGTAGACATCTGGTCTCTGGGCATCATGGCTATTGAGATGGTGGAAGGAGAACCTCCGTACCTGAATGAGAACCCACTACGAGTGAGTGGAAATATTTTAGAGCAGTGGTTCTCAAGTCCAGTCCTCGAGGCCCACTGTCCTGCATGTTTTGGATGTTTCCCTGCTCCAACACACCTGATTCAAATGATTAGCTCGTTATTAAGCCATTACAGAGCTTGATAACGAGCTGATCATTTGAATCAGGTGTGTTGGAGCAGGGAAACATCCAAAACATGCAGGACAGTGGGCCTCGAGGACTGGACTTGAGAACCACTGTTTTAGACCCTCTGAAGAATTATTTCTTCATCTAACAGCAGGTTGATACACACCGAAACACAACATGTTCCATATTAAATCATCGGGTCTGTCAGCTTGTCACTTAGCTCACATTAGAAAATAGTTGAAAACTCAGAAATAATGATGACTTATGGAGTCAATGATCTGTTGTGTCAGACTCTGGTAGGATTTTGAGCAGCTGCAGTGAGTCAGGAGTCTCATGAGAGGCCGTCCTGCTCTCCACATTCAACAACAACATTCAGTGACTAAACAGTCGACTGCACTGAACAGCTGACTGGTTGTCAAGAAACAAACATGCCTGTCGCATTGTCTGCTGTTCATGCAGCAGCTTTGAGATACAGAATCAGCTTTGTTTAGCAAACAGACAAGTACAAAATCCCCTCAAAATGTATATATACCTCAAATCAAGTCTTACCTGTTGGCAGGGGGTGTATTAAGAAAAAAATACATACAAAATTAAAGTGGGCAAATAAAAATCAAGCCTGCTTATTTATGGGGGAGATTACAGGAAGAAATGAAGGAAAAGGGTAAGATACCACAGAAGAAACCTTTTGCATACAGGGTTCTGGTTTTGGAGGTTCTTGTGGTCAACAAACTTTTCCTACATTTTTTTTGTAATAAAAGGATTTAAGGAAAAAAAGAGACACCAAGAAAAAACATAACTGAACACCCTGCTTTTTCATTTCCACACTGCAACCTAAAAACCTTGGCTAATCTATCAGGGTCACATGAAAAGGAAGTAAAGATGATGGTTTCAGAGATAAAGACATTATGTTTCAAGAAAAAAAGATGTTAAAAAAGAGACTGAAGCACATCAGTAATTTCATTGTTTTCAACTCTGGGACTCTGAAAAGACTAAAAAAAACCTGAATCTACTTTGAGAAGCAGTCTGATAAACACGCTACTGCAAAAGCTGCCCTAACCTGGTTCAGGCAGCTAGCTACTCTTTCAACCTTTTTTAACTGAGTTAAACGAGAACTACAGCTTAATATCGACTCTACTTTGGTAATGTTATGACTTTATTACAACTTAATTCTTGAATCATTGAAGCTTTTATTTTCTTACCACCTCATTCTCTCAATTTCTTATTATTTCTTGAAATCTTAGTTTTGTTTTTCTTGAATGTGGCCTTAATAATCAGTTGTACCACTAAATGTAACCATTAAATCCACATCATAAACCAGTGTGAGGGTTAGTATTTCTGTGATGTTGAATCACCTTGTTTTATTTTTGTGAGGACTGTCTCCTCAGCTGTGACCCTGTTGAAAATACTTAGTGAATGTAATAAAAATGAGGTTTAACCTCCTAAATGTTCTCTCTTAACCAGTTTGATGTGATATTTTTCGTTCAAAGTGACTTATTTTCTTAAATCTGAATTCCTCCATGTTTTGGTATCCTGCTTCCTCTTCTACAGGCCCTTTACCTGATTGCCACCAATGGCACACCTGAACTCCAGAACCCTGAAAAGCTGTCTCCGGTCTTCAGAGATTTCCTAAACCGTTGTCTGGAGATGGATGTAGAGAAACGAGGTGGAGGCAAAGAGCTGCTGCAGGTTGGAAACTTTCCCTTTTTTTAATTTATATGATATTGATATGATATTGATATGAACCAAGTGACAGATCCTCCCATTGTACCTTCACCACGGTGAAGTTACCTAGCCTAAAATGACCCTCAGAGCCCAACACAAACCAAACAGCATTTTTACCCTCATCAGACTCAGCTCTGTTTATATGAGCTCTGGCTGTTTACAGTACTAACTCCATCACCATTGGCTCCTGAGTGCCCCACACCATGACGGTAGAGCCGACACAGTAACAGGGTTATGTAGAGGCCATGCAAAAAGACAGAGACAAAATACAGGTTTTAAGTATAACATTTCTAATTTTGACAGTGGAGGCAGTGGGAGTCAGATGTTGTTCTGTTTTGTTTTTTAAAGTGGGCTCTGAGTTGTGATTGAAATGAATGGGGTGACTCAGTCTTGGATGATTGGAGGGAGGTTGAGGGCAGCCATGGGAAAGGCTCTTGTCTTTTTATACTATGTAACATTTTTCTTGTTCTGGGTTAAATGTGCGCTTCACTCAGACATCTCCGGTCTCTCCTCTTCTCACAGCATCCGTTCCTAAAACTGGCAAAGCCGCTCTCCAGCCTCACGCCACTCATCCTAGCTGCCAAGGAGGCCATGAAGGGCAATCGTTAGCAGATGAGAAGTGTCGCACCCTCCCCCCTTGCCTTCCCATGCTGTGCACTGATGACGTGCCAACCATTTAGATTTTCGTACCAGACAATAGGCTGACAGTGACTCTCCACTCTTGACGCAGCAGCCTTATCAGCCCTGACAAACCTCACTGTGAAGAAGACCAAAAATCTCGAGCACAACTCCACAGCTGTCCACACGAACTCTACTCTCTCAGAAGTCAGAAGACAAGTCAAAGTAAAGTGCTTATCGTGCGAGTCCGGCGTAGTTCTTTTGTAAACGGATCTCTGGTGACACGTCGGGGCTAGGCTTGTATTTAACTTTGGAATGAAGAAGATGCCTAGTTCTGTTTAGTCTTTTTTTTTTAATCAGCTGCCTTAAAAACAAATGCAAAATGTTGCCTAATGTATTGTTGATTGTGTCAATGTTTCTCTTCCCATGATTTTTACTACCTTTGTAATTTCAGCTCGTCAGTGTCTTAGTTATTTTGATACTTGAATTTCATACGTGTCCCCTTCTTCATATGTAGTTCTACTCCTTCGATGAACGAACACTCATCGCTCTTTCAACACGTTTTATGGACATTTTCTCTTACCAGTTTTATAGGAAACCTTTCAGTGCATTCGTCATCATGAACATGTGCTGTGATCATGTCAGTATTTGACCTGACAGACCTACTGTACCAGCTCTTCTCCCTGTTTTCAGTAGTCCCCTGATACCAGAGGTGCACCTTACAGGCAAATTAAGATGTTAGATGACAGGGTTTATACTTTCTTCTCTATTGTTATTAAAAATGAGTATTGTATGTCAAACTCTGTCCTTTGTGTTCTTCTGGACTAAACAAATGCGCTTTTCCCATGTGTATATTATGTACTTGATTAGTCTGACAAAAAAAAAAGAAACATGGCCATATCGTGGTTAGCTGTCGAAGGTTGGTAAAAGACAATTTGTTGTCTGTTTTTTCTTTTTTTTTTCAGTTTGTTTTGTTTATTTTTGTCTCTTCTGGACGACTAACAGCCTTGTCTGCACACTCAAATAAATGCGACTGTGCTTTTGTGATTTGGGTGTGAAAGTGATTGGCTTTTAAATTCTATCAACCCCATTAACAAAAATGTTTATTTAGCCCTCTTCTTATAGAAGAGTCTAACAATATCAACTTTTCAAATCTTTTGCTGCTTTATAATCACAAACTCAACTTTTCATTACAAAACTTGATTATTAGAAACCAGATAGTGCTTTATTTAACTGCATAAATGTTGAAAAAAAAGCAGAAAAAAAATGTAAGGATCTAAAATGGAAGATGATAACCAACCTGAGGCTGTTGTTTGACTCTTCTGTTTACCTAAACTAAGAAAAATACGTTTCCTGATAAAAGTCTTGACACTTATCCAATCTGTAGGAACCACAAATAATTACTTGACTAGTTGATCAGTTGGAATTAGAAATGGCTGTTATGACATGCCCCTAGAGTATGCCCATTTTTATTGAACATTTTACTTTTTATTTCACATGTTTAAATCAAGTTAAATCAGTGGTTCTCAAGTCCTGTCCCCGAGGCCCACTGTCCTGCATGTGTTGGATGTTTCCCTGCTCCAACACACCTGATTCAAATGATTAACTCGTTATTAAGCTCTGTAATGGCTTAATAACAGGGGAAACATCCAAAACATTCAGGACGGGGGGGCTCGAGGACTGGACTTGAGAACCACTGAGTTAAATCAACTAATTAATACAAAATCAATAATTTTACCCTTACAGGATAAAGCTATTGAAACAGCGCAAAGTTTTAAAATAACAGACAGGTTTTAAGATGTTTTAATTTGGAAAAGTTTTATTAGTTCGTCTAGCAAAATGATGGTATTCAGGTTTTAGGGTGGCAGGTGTGCCACAGGTTTCAATACCAGATGCCACTGATTGCCAAAGTCTAAGCAAGCAGCCCACCACTGCAAAGCAGAACTAGGAGGTAAAACTTCCATTAACAATAAGGAATTCCTCAATCACAAATAGGGAGAATTGTCCCCTTTGACCAATGAAGCCACTTTCACAGTACCTTACCACCTAATAAGATTAGTGGGCCAGTCAGAACTCAAGGCTGATTTGCTTTCTACTCCAAGGGCTGCAAAGTTTCTGATAGTGTGTAGTGAGCTTGAAACAGTCGAGACTGCAAATATAACTTAACTTGAGATTCAAAACCAGCAGGGGGAAAAAGAGAAAAAAAAAGCACTGGATTTATATGACTAGGTTGAGGCCAACTTAACAGGGAAAAAAAGATTTAAAAAATGAGAAAATAATTTTATCATGACCTAATTTGCGTAAGAAAAAGAGAATTTTTATTATAATTCAAGAAATAATATGAGACTATTTACAGATGTTTTTTCTTGTTTTGTCCGGGTTCACTTGTGGATCTTTATTCCATGACGCGCTTCCCTCCAGTACAGCAGGTGGCGGTATACAACTCTAACACTACATATTAGCCGTCGTCCTTCAGAATGAAGGAAACGCTTGAACCGGTGGAGCTGCAGTAATATCACAACAAAGCTGAATTGAACTGGTATTTTCAGATCTTGAGATACCATGGCAGGGCAGCTCAAGGACAGAGAAGCTTACCAAAGACTTAATTATCTGTATCAGGTAAGAGATAGACGATTTAGTGAGAGTTTATCGTCAGTAGCCTCATGGCTGAAACACCTCATTGTGCTAACCAGTTTGTTTTGATCTGTTTCCCCCTCCTCAGGCGGCTCATTGTGTTTTATCTCAAAACCCTGAAAATGTGGAGCTGTCCCGTTTTTACAGTTTCACACAGAAGACTATAGCGAGGCGGTTAGTCCTGAGACAGTAAGTCCAAACATGTGTGAGATCATTTTCTTCTTCGACACTAGTTATTAGAAAGTGGTTGGTCTCCAGAGCGCTGCTGTGCCGCCCACTAGTGGACAAACATGGCAAATTATTTAGGGGCAAATTTTAAAATGCAAAAAAATATATCAAAATCTCAAAGTTTACATCCACTCATCTTCTGTAATTACACTTAATCTGAAGTTTTAATTTCCTTTAAGTTATTGTTACTTTCTTTGTGTTTCGGTCTTGTCTTGGTGATAAAGTTATTGTCTGGAGGGGATTATATGTTGTTCCTAAAGCTGTGTATTATTCAGCATTAAGAGGAGGTTTAATATTGCGTTCATCATTTCCCAAAAGAATGTCAAATTTTGATCCATCAGACCACTGAAAAGTTTTTTTTTACTCCCCCACAGTCTTTCTTATAAGTAAAACTCAGACACGACCATTGCATCCTTACTGTTAAGGTTTAGTTTGTGTGTGAATAATAGTTTCGGTTTGTGTTTTTTTTTTTATTGTAGGGACCCATCAATCAAAAGAACAATGTGCAAGAAGTGCTGCTCGCTGCTCATACCTGGTGTGACTGCAACAGTGAGACAAAGAAGTGAGTCAATTTGTAGTTTACAGTAAAAGTCCTTCTGCTGTTTGTTTTCTTATTTCCCTGCATAGTAAAATAAATGTGACTGTGGCTGATCTTGACTAAACTGTTTCTCAGTGTTTCTGATCTGTTTAGTAGATGTATAGAATAGAGACACTCACCTTTGTCTTTGTGTTTTGATTTTGTCTCTTCAGGAAAAAACAGAAAGACTCGTTTTACAGTCATGAGGTGTATCAGCTGTGGACAGAGCAAATCCCTGTTGAATAATCCAGATTATAGTTTATGGGCTGATCAGCCCGAAGCTCAGCTGCAGCCACAGAAACAAACAGGTGATGATCATCTCAGCGCACTGTACAACACCTTCATAAAGTTCAGTTTTATGAGCGTACTATCTAAACATTCATACTTCCACAATAAGTCTTGTGGTTTGAAACCCAGTTTGTCATGATTTGCAGTTGATACAAAAGTCAAAAATTTAACTCCTGTTAAGGGGATAGTGACTTGAGAAGGACAAACTGATTGTTAACATTTATATCTGTCTTATCCACAGGTCCAGGGTCATCAGGTGAGAAGCAGCATAAAAAAACAAAGCCTGGAGAGTCTGTGTCTTCTCAGAGTTCTGCCTCTACACAGCAGCAGCAGAGCATTTCTTCCTCCTCAGGAAACAAGGACTAATTTTTGTCTTTATTTTGGGTATAACATACCGTATTTTTCACACAATAAGGCGAACTTAAAATCCTTTTGGCTTGTCGGAGTACTGCAGCTACCATAGCCTCGCAGAGTTATTGAATGAGTTAAGTAAAGTTTGACTTATCTGACTGTTTTGTTTGGCTTAATGCGCTTTATTATCCGGTGCACCTTATGTATGAAAATAGACGGGAATAGATGCGTTCATTGATGGTGCGCCTTATAATCAAGTGCGCCTTATAGTGCAAAACTATGGTATGTAAGCTTTTTTTGTGCATATATTTTGATCTGATGAAGAAGAGTGATATTATTTAAATGCCATGTCTTGTGCATGGTTAGTTCTTGATTTTTCCATTTTTGGTTCTATTGATTGTTAGAGCAAAGATCCATAATAAATTGGCAAATCATCTGTGTTGGTACAGATAATTTTTTTTGATAATTTTGTGCCAGTATGACAGCCTGAGAGGCTGGAGTGTGAATGAAGCTCACCTTATGTCAGCTGCTGACTATTTAGGCCATCTAATGGGGAGATTTTAACACACACCTGAGGCTGGTAAAATCCCCCTTAAAAATATTGAAAACTGGAATGTTGACATGTAACACAAGTAAAAGAAGCTTTCATATTTTACCCTCTGAGTGTGTTCTCAACATTTTTTTATGTGTATCATCAGTGGACTTCAGGTGGATGCACACAAAAAATGAGTCTGAAAACAGTCAGTATTTTGGGTTCTCATAAGTAAATGTACCCCTATTAGATCAGTTTGTTTTTCTGCAATGTAACTCGTAATGTCACCACTAGGGGATGTTTTGCACAGGTTACACTTTCAGAAACCTAGGACCTGGTACATAGTGTGGTGTTTGCACCTGTTTATAATGTGCAAATAAACCAAAGAGATACTGTCTGATTTACAAAGCAAGCACAAAGGGTTGAATTCACCATGAGCTGAGCTGCAGAGCACATAGCATCTCTGTATGTCTGTGCTGTATGTACCATTATAAATGAAAGATCCTGATTTAAGAGCAAAATTGACCCCTCACTATGCAAATCAACCTCTTTGAACAAATTGCCTAATTCACAAACACTGCCAATAAGAGCCACGTGCCATTTGAGTTGATCTTCTACCATCTACTGAGCATTGTAATGACAATTCCACCTTAAAAAAAAGTTTACCTGCATGTAATTTCAGTTTATATAGCTTTGACATGACTAGTACAGTTCTATGCAAAATTAGAAATCTGTCTGAATAAGCAGACACAAGAGATGCTGACAGTTTACTTCCACAATCAGACGAACAACAAGAGCAAACTGCACAGGTTAGTGTTGTGTTTCTTCAATGGAACAGAAGTGCAATATACTCTGAGCAGATGATGTACAAGCCTTGGTACTGTTAGTGCATTAAGAGTGTGAAAAATGGCCCTTTAAGAAAATGTATCATTGAAAAATGTTGGAAAATGTTTAAAAATAACATTTATTATGTTATTTTAAAATTTTCTCCCCTAATATTTTACATCTCTGTACAGGCACATTACTGTTACTGTGTTTGTATACATATTTGACCTTCTAACATCTGGTGTTATGTAATTTCCTAATTTAAAAAAGTAACATTTTCTTTCACTTTTTCTTCTTATTTCCTTTGTCTCCTTTTGGCACTTTAAATCGTGTTTTCTGATCATATAAAAGGTTCCTTGCAAAAATCCTGGGGATGTGACCCATGTAGAGGAACAAAGCCAGAATCATTCCTGGGAAAACAGACAATTAGTGTAAACAGAGAGCTCACTGTTAAAGAGCTGCATATATCATCCTAACATGGTTTACCTGTGAGAGGACCCAGCCAGTAAACTGCTGCATACTGTATGAAGGTAAATCCAGGGCAGTAGAAGGTGAGGCCATAAGCCAGAGATGGGTTCATGTAAGCTGAGGTGTATCCTCTGGCTGCAAAGAAAGGGAAACATGAAGGTTACACTCTATAGTGTGGGTCAAGTATGCCCTGAAAAAAAGTGGGAAGAAACAAATTGCTATAAAATATGTACAACATGAGTTCTGGCTTTAGTTTTCCAAGGAGACAAACTGCTGTTATTTTGAAAGTAAGATGTTTTCACATCAGAGTCTGATGTTAGGTTTTAGCCAGTCAGTGGTTCGGAATCTCTTTTATTGTATATTATGTTTCATAAAGAGACAGACATTTTCAACAGGTGACAAGCCAGGACTGCAGGCAGGCCAGTTTAGCAGCAGGACTCTTCTACTACAGAGCCATGCTGTTTTAATCAACCAGAATGCGGTTTGCCATTGTCTTGCTGCAATATGAAGGTCTTCCCTGAAAAAGTCATTGTCTTGATGGCAGCAGATGTTGCTCCTAAACCTGTATACGTTGTTCAACTTTAATGGAGCCCTAGAAAGGAGGATACTGAATCTATAATTTCCAAACCAATGGTAGATTTTGATTTGGTACTTTATGGTTTCCTTTTTGCATGGTTTAGTTTTAGCCTGAATTTGTGGATGCAGTGTTGAGCCGTGTTTACAGACAATGGTCTTTGGACACATTTTTAAGCCCATGCCCATTTTCATTACATAGTCATAGTCTGTTTTTTGGTTTTGTCCAACACATTCAGAATTATTTAAATTTCTCAGTTGCAACATTTGACAGGTTGCATTTATTTTGGGTCAAATATGAGTTTTATTATATCCTTTAACTCTTCTGGAAATAGTGATTTTAAAGTAAAGAGCGTGACAGCCATCCCCAGATAACAAGTACACTACCAACTGCAGCCTGTCATCCTCTCTTTCATAGCATTTCATCATCTTTCTGTACCAAATTATTAACAATGAACGCAACTTCAAAAGCCAGGGGGATTTTGTCAACCATTTAAACTGAGTAATAGTCCTCACAGTCAAAGTCTTTAGGGCAGATTTCAGTGTTGGGGTGCACTGAAACTGAATCCTGTAGCTTCCACACGCACACTCAGCATCAGCTATTTCTATTTACTTTGGTTCATGAGCAAAAACTTGCTCACATTGTCAGCAACCAGATTCTTTGTAATTGATTTTTTTCTGCAGCAGTGGCCAGGTTCACCTGAAACTCACCTGTGTGGGACAGGAATGTGAGGAGGACAGCAATCAGAGGGATCCGGATCAGAGAAGATCTACGTCCAAGGCTTAGGTAGATGAGGAGGAGGATGAGTGTGCAGACACCCTCTGTGAAGAAGCCTTGCAGCACTGACACCAGCAGAGACGAGCTGCACTCCCTCGCCATCAGGTTCTTGATCATGTGCATGTCTGTGAGTTCCAGACCCCAGTAGTACACGGCCACCAGTAGGCCCAGGTAGGCCCCCAGGAACTGAGCCGCCACAGCCAGCAGGGTAGACAGGGCAGGGGTTTCTAGTTGTAGGAACTTAAGCAGCACCAGGGCAGGGTTTCCTGATGCGCCCCCACAGACCACGCCGTGAGTCAGCAGCACCACAAACAGCATGGTCACAGTCACATCAGGACCTAGACCTCCAGCCCACTCTCCCACCTCCACGATGGTTTGCACCTCCAGCCGGCATGCCACCAGCATGAAGGAGGACACAAACTCCAACATGAAGCTGAATCGAGGCCATTTTTGAAGAAGAGCCCTCACAGAGGCAGCAAAAATCACCACAGACACAAAGTACCCGATGGAGGCATTCAGTCCCGCCATGTCTCACATCTGCTGCTGCACAAAAAGAAATGAATGAAGGTTCAGACACTGACGCTGCTCTCTGACAGGCAACGTGGCACATGCACATACACTTCTCTTATCAGGGACACGTCAGGTTTTTATCCCACAAACAGCTGCCAAAATACACACAGGTCTGAGTGAGGTCAGGTCAGAGAGCTGGCCTTCATTCAGGGGTTCTCTCTAAGCAAATTACACAGAAATAACCATTTTCATTAGATTACTGTATATGGCTGAAAAAGATGAACAGTAAAACAGATGAAAAGGTTATCCCACAGGATTGAACAGTTTTGATCGATTTTGCCCAGTTTTGAGTTGAGGCTTACTGCAGGTTGCACAGAAGATTTTCTGGCCCTTGATGGTGTTAATGGCAGTGACTATGTTGTCACTAACTGCCCTGATCACCTGGTTGTAGCACCAGCGATAGTGCCCCTCTCCAAGAGCCTTAAGGCAGCTGCTGAGAAGATGTTCTGGGATTGCCATCCTGGACTCTGGGGACAGGATGGGGTCTCTGTTTTGGAGACATGGAGGTTGGCTGGACTTGGTATGATGTCTTAAACAGCCTGGACTAAAAACCGGGTGTGATTGAAGTCTGTTGTCCAGATGTTGGACCAAGTGATCTTTCTTTGTAGATCATTCTTCCATTTAGTCCATGTTCCTTGTTGCCCCATTTCCACCATCCTGCCTGCCCACACTTCCTTCTGAGTGAGATGTCTTGCTTTGCCCTTTGCCTTGTCCACCCTGTTTGCCATAAAGTGGCCAATTCCTGCATGCCCTTTGGCTATGGGCACCATCAGTGACCCAGCCACCTCCGGGGCTTTGTCTGCCTGTTTGCACCTGGATGCCAGTCAATGCCACTTTTGGATCCCTGGATTCCCTGTACTGCAAGGCTTTCCATGTCCCAGACACCATGAGAAACAATATTCAATAAAATAATGACTCTCAGCTGATTTTTTTTTCCAGAGCTCTGAAAAGCAAATTCGGGAGGCTGTTAAGATGTGATACATTACACCGTTTAAATCAAATCAAATATGAAACAGTTCTTTCCCTTTTTTTTGTCTTAAATTTATTTTGGTGATGGACATAATTAGAAAACAAGCCCTGAATAAAATTAAAATCATCCACAAGTCTGAGCCAGTATTTGCAGGGCTGTGATGCTCTGTAACATGCTGCAGACTGTGCTGAGAAGAAGATAAACTATAGAATCAGAGCAACCACTACTGGACAAAATAAACAGGGACATCATTTTAAATTACCCTTAGTGCATTAAATAACACAAAAATATCTATGATAGGACCACATCTGCAAATTAAAACATCAATGCTCTGACTGGTAGTAATATTCAAATTATATCTTAATGTATTTCACTTGTTTTGTGTTGTTTTGCATACTGGTGTGAATCCCTGAATTAAACTTCAGCACATTTAACCCCCCCCCCCCCCCCAAAAGGAGATAGATAACTCAACCTGACTTCACTGATTAAATTTCACTGTGAAGAAAAACTGGCTTCAGTTTGCTATCATAAAACTTGTGTTTTCTCATCAACCTGTGTTAAAATTGTGGAAGTGACACACTCTGATTTTGCTTCTTGTCCAGATACTGATTACCAAACTGTTGTGACACTAAAGAACCTCTGCACTGACTGCCTGTTTACAGCTCCTGAAGGTGTCTTATATTTTCGTAATGTGAGAGTTGTGGATCTGTGCCTAGAAAAACTAACCCAGAGGAGTAATTGCTGTTTTCAATCATGGGAAAAAGCAGCTGTGTCCAGAGATGTTTGGACCACATGACCTTGCAAATTAAACCAACATTTGAGCAGGTTTAAAGAACACAGGTATACCATCAGTACACTAATCTGACTATGTATCCAAAAATCTGCCCTTTTCTTTTTTTCCCAACAAGATCTGTAAGGCTCCATTTTTAAAACTTATTAGGGGGTTCATGTTTTCTACGATTGACACCTGATACAGTCTATTGGCGTTTGAGTCGAGCGTCATCACAGCGACTCTCAGCGACTCTCCCGCCAAATGCGCACAATGCTAATGCGCAGTGCTGGTTTCAGGAAATGAAGAAAAATCCCAATATATCGAGAGCTTTTTGGCTTCAATCCGTATACAGGCGTAACCAAGTTGTCCATAGTATACATAGTCTATGGTTTCATCCTGTTGACTTCTAACAACAAAGTATATCACTCAGTGTGAGTATTTGCCATGGAAAAGTTAAAAAAATAGCTATATTTTCAGCCTGCTGTCAATCATTTGGCCGGACACCTCCTCCCCTCACTTTTAAGCATTAAAAATCATTTAAGTGAAATTCTCTGACTTGTTGCTGGTGGTTTTGTTTGCTTTTGATGGACAAAAAGAGGCATTAGTATCAGTTTCTGTTGGTTTTTCAACCAATTAAAAACTCCTCAGAGTACCTTTAATTTGTTGGTCATTTATCCTTTCTAATTAATCATATATAAAAGCAGCGTGTTTTGATCATAGACTGTATGTACTATGGACAACTTGGTTCCGCCTCCCGCCTGTATATAGATTTGAAGCCAAAAAGCTCTCATATTTCCGCGATTTTTCTTCATTTCCTGAAACCAACATTGCGCAGTAGCGTTGTGCGCATTCGGCGGGAGAGTCGCTATGATGACGCTCGGCTCAAACAGCGCATTCCCCGGGCAACTACAATCCCTGAACGCCAATAGGCTGTATCACGTGTCAATCATAGAAAACATGAACCCCCTAATAACTTTTAAAAATGGAGTTGCACAGAAAAAAGAGGACTTGAGCACAAACCAGTCTTACAGTAACTACATGTCAACATCGCAAACAGGGGGGAGAAAAATTTACGTTCTGTGTAATAAGTTTCTAAAGTTTGTCCACAGCCCCATAAGCTTTGGCGGGGGCGGGATTTATGACCTGTACTGCAGCCCATCAACAGAGGGTGCTGTTCTCAGAGTGGCTTCACCCAGAGAGGAGGAAGACTTTGTCCATTCTATATACAGTCTATGGTTTTGATGTTTGATTACATAGAAAAATATTTGGCAAAAAGAGAAAAGAGGCAATAATCAAATACTTTAATTATATTTTGCCTTTTGAGAAAAATCAATCCGAACTCTTAGGTTGATAGCCAAATTCTTGTGGCTTTTTCATCTACCCCCCACCCCCTGTCTTTCAATTATGCCCTTTTACCTTTCATGAAAGTTAAAATCAGTTCCCAAAGTTTCTGAAATGTTTTTGATCTTCTAATTTTTCCCTTAATATGGCCATAGTCCTCCGTCATACTTTCAATAATAGTTCTTGTCATCAAAAACACCAATAACAAAAACAAAGTGTGCCAAAGCTAGAAAGAAGTATTTTTGGGCTTCCTCTTCTTCCGTAGTATTTGTAGTTCTTTGATCGATTAGTCTAAAACTAACTTGAATACTATCAGCCGAACTGAGCTACTGAAGTCAGTCAATGGAAAGGAGCGTCTCTCTCTCTCTCTCTCTCTCTCTCTCTCTCTCTCTCTCTCTCTCTCTCTCTCTCTCTCTGTGCAGCGATGGCAGCAGCGGGTGATCAGCAGCAGGATCTCCGTGGGTAATGAGCAGTGATCGGGGATGGCAGAGAAACCACCTCTCACGGTGTTCGTGAAGCTGTTCGCCGCCGGCTTTTACGGCGTGAGCTCGTTTCTCATCGTCGTGGTGAACAAGAGTGTCCTCACCAACTACAGGTAACGGCCACGACACGCTTTAAACGGCAGTTTGGATGCTAATGTGTTAGCCAGGATAGCGGCTGAAGTTGAGTTGGCGACCGGTGGAGCTTCATTAGCTAACGGCAACTTCTGGCTAGCTTAGCAGGGAGGGTACACAATGTTTATCGGTGTTCTGATTAGCATGCTAGCATCACATATGAGAGCTTAGCACTGACTGTTGCTCTTGCACTAAAGTGGCTCCTCTCTGCCATTTAGATTCCCGTCTACAATATGTGTGGGCATCGGACAGGTGAGTTACACACTGTTAACACACACGCACATACCTGAAAGCGAGTGTTCATTCATTATTTAAAGCTCCTCTGTATGTATGTATGTGTGTGTGTGTGTAGATGCTGGCCACGGTGGTCGTGCTGTGGGTGGGCAAGGCAGCGAGGGTGATCAGCTTCCCAGACTGTGATGAGAGTATACCTCTGAAGGTGAGACCCCCAGACACTGGTCTGTCTCCCACCTCTTTCAAAACAATAACACGTTTACAAAGTGTCCAGCTGTGAGACGTTTATGGTCAAAACAAACTGTTCAAATGCATGTGTGATATGAGGGAAACACCAGTCACGTTTTCCACTCACTCTTCTGGGAAGGCTGACTGCCATACTGGGCACTGGAGTGTTTAGCTATGTGGCACACTGGTATCTGCTGGTTAAAAAAAGAAAACATACCCAGACGCTGGCTGTATCCTGACCCCTTACAGCAGCGTCCAGACATGTTTCTGACTGGGCTGGTCCCACTTGGAAGCTGACTTAAAGGTACATTGTGTAGAGTTTAAAAGCAGTTTTCTGTAGAAATCCACTGTAACATGCAGAGGTTCCTTAAATGAACATGTACACTGCAGTCTGCTGGGGAGGAAGTATTAAACACAAAGATGTTAGATGTCTGAACAAACTGGTGAAAAAGGCTGGCTCTGTGGTCTCAGTGGAGGATGTGGTGGAGAGATCTACACTGAGGAAGGTGGAGACTATTCTAATGAAACATGGATCACCCACTTTATAACATCTTAATAGACCATAGGGTCAGTGGTGGTGGACGGCTCCTCTCTCTTCACTGCAGGACAGAAAGATTCAGAAGATCTTTTGTACCCACAGCAATCAGACTTTACAATTCTTCTGTAAATAGTAGATGACTTTTTTAGACATGACAAATGAGACAGCAGACAATTGAATTTCCCTTCTGGCATCAGTAAAGTTATTCTTATTCTTATATACTGAGTGGAATATCATAATCGCCGCATTTCACCCTGGATGGCTTTGGGAGACTCGCTGGTAGGAGAATGGAGAGGGCAGTGTGAGATCAGTTGTTGTTGTGGTCCCATGAATTTATATTGGCAATTTTTTTGTTATAAAAATCTGATAAATGGAGGATCATACTTAACATGCATCACAGGAATGTAATGACTCTAAGTTTTCCTCCAAGAAAACAAAACAGAAAGAAGTAAAACAAGATCAGGTTAGGTGATGGCAGAATATAAGGCTTAACAAAGCATTTACTTTTTACATAAATGTTACATTCTGATAACAAATTTATGTTGAGGACTGATGCTGAAGTTCAGATAATGTAACCTGTGTTTCTGATAGAATGTGAAACTTACACATAAGCCATCATATCAGTGTGTTTTTGTTAGTTTCTTATTTGTATTTATATCAATTCAAAGTGAAATATGAATAGTTTGTGTGAACTATTCAGTCAAAGTTAAGTTGAATAAAAAAGGTTACACACGAATTAAGATAGAAAGACGCAGTATTTGCCCAATTCATGATATTGCCGGTCGGTGAAGGGCATCATAATGCAATGTTCAGGTGTTAAGTCTCTATGTTTATACAGTTATAGTCTTTCACATGATTTATTACAACTGACTGACACAAGTGGGTGGTTTGTAATTGTTCCTATTCATGCAGAATCAAATTGAAAGATGTGTTTTTATATAAATGGTCACAAAGCCTGAAAAGAAAGCCAGTGTTGAAAGAAAAGGTTGATAACCACCTTTGTAATGCCACTGCTTTCAACTGAGGCTGAAGGAAAGAAAGTTTTGCAGGACAAGCCTGTATGCGTGTGCAACTTACAACTCCTTGTTCATCTTCTTGGATCCTTCTCTCAGTATTACTGTGTGCTTTATCCTGCAGACGTTTCCTCTACCTCTCCTCTATGTGGGGAATCAGATCACCGGTCTGTTTGGAACCAAGAGGCTGAAGTAAGTCCTCATGTGTGAACGATCTGAGCTGAACAGTAATTCAACAGGAAGTTTCACATGAGCTCATTGGGCACGGCTGCTGATGATGTGATTTTTATCCTCTCCCTTTAGTCTGCCCATGTTTACAGTCCTCAGGAGGTTCTCTATCCTGTTCACGATGCTGGCTGAGGGATTCCTGCTCAAGTGAGTTTTCTGTCACCACAGGGCTGGGCGATACACCGAAACACATGATTACAGTTTAATACCATACACACCATGCACTTAAAGTTTTTTTCTCCAAGAACAGTCATTCAAACACAACTCTTGCTACGTCGTTATCCATTGGAAAAGCTGCACTATTGTCCTTGTGTGGCTGTTTTCCATCTCTTGTGTATCTTTCGGTTGTGCTATCGTTGTCTTGCTACACTGGGGTCTTAGAAAAACAGAGTTTAATCCTCTGTGTGTAAATGTTGCTGAAATGACAGTAAGAAACTTGTCAGTGATTCTGAAATGTTGAAGAGTTTGAGGGTATCCTGATGTCAAAGAGTGCTGAAGGAACCAGACAGTTAACTTACTGAAATAAGTAACATGATATACCAGAGTTTATTTAAGGTGTTTCTTAAACATTTTTACGGCAGTATTTATGTTTGCAGAATTCATAAGGGTGCTTGCTGAGCTACTCTCAGCTTTTTTTCAGGACCCTCACTCATTTTTCAGTAGGATTCCTCCAGCGATAAACCTCAAACTGGTTCATAAATGAGGCTGAATAGTCCACAGACTTTTCCTTGTCCTCAGAATGAACTAATCCAGCAAATGAAATCTGTCACAATAAAAACAAGATGAACGAGACAGACTTGATTAATCACCAGGGAAAACTTTGTAGTCATAACAGCTTAAGTCAAGGACAGGAGTAATCAAAGGAAAGGTAACGTATAATATTTACCTTCCTCTGCTGACAACTTAAGCTCAGATATTGTTCAGGGACTTAGCGTGGTTTTAAATCAGGTTTTCAAGAGTACTCATGTGTCATGAGGTCTTTGTAAGGAGCAGAACTGTCAGAGATCCGTTTGTCTTTTAAACAAACAGGAGTAGCAAACTAAATCTGTAGAATAATGAAGGATTGAAATGTATGAGACACTCTTCGCCACCACTAAAAGCTGAAAGCGTAACTGCCTCTGCAATTAGCTCAGCTTTTTTATATATATATATATATATCTCTGACCCTATTTTTGTATTTGGATTCCTACAGAGTCTGTTATTGTCCGGTTTTTAAATAGAGGGAAATCATCTGCAAAGGTCTGTTCAAGAAATAAACTGATTTCTAAAACCAGCAAAAACATCAAACAGGAAAATGCCAGCAAAACAACAACAGCTTCATAGACGTAGTTTTTTAGATGGAGGAGGTCTAATTTGGGGGGCTGGTATCTGAGCTGCATCTAGCATCAGTATGGTCTTTTTTTGCATCAACAGTCTCCTTGTCCCAAACTGAGTTCACTTTCACATACACCCAAAGACCAGCAGCTCAAACAAAGCTTTGCAGTAAGAAGTGGGGGTGTAGTCCTGCGCTTAACAAGCATGTGTATACCTCACACTGACCTGCTGTTGTGGCTGTTTCTGCTGTGTCACAGACTGTTGGCTATATCTTTTATTTAGTATGATCAAAGTTTATCAATGCAATCATCCTCCATAAAACCTCTTCAAAGACTACCTTATAACCTTGCCCTACATCATTGATAACCTACTTTACTTTCTCTCCCTGGGACACAGAGCTGTTCTCTTTGAGCTTTTATTAGCATCCAGATTGAGTTTCATTGCTCTGCTGTTTTTTGACCTCTGACAGGAAGAAGTTTTCCCGCCCGGTGCAGCTGACAGTATTTACGATGATCCTTGGGGCGTTCATAGCTGCCAGGTGAGTCTTGTTGCATCCAGGTGTCCCCAGCTGTAAACTAAAGTGAATGACCCTCACTACAAAGGCTCGTTCAGCTCTGATAGATGTCTTCACTGCAGGTTTATTGTCTTCAGAGTCATTACACACATGTTGTCATTAACCCCTAAAACCCTGCAGGCTGCCTCTATGACCAGTGGAGCTTTAGTTTCAAATGCATTACGTTTCAAAAATGTGCCAAAACTGAGCTCAAGGTATAAAAACTGTGTTAAAATAAATGCATGGATCACATTAGTCCAAAATAAAAACAAACAAGGCCATCTGAAATAAGACTGAAAAGTTTTATGTTGAGCTTTTTGGTGCATCAAACTAGTGTGAGGAGGCAGATGAAAAAACACCCTGTTTTTACAGTTTCCACATAAAAAAAGTCTCCGCAAATTTTACATTTCAGTGTCAAAAGATCATATGTAAGAAAACACTTCTTAAGCAATGATAAGAAAAAAAAGTTTTGTCCACAGGGGGCGCCAAAATCGAAACTAACTGAAAGTTCCTCACAGGAGCTTTAATATAAGCCCAAAAATGCATAAAAAAACTGAAAACAAGTTGAAAACTTAAACAATGTTTATGTTTTTTTTTGCAATGAGTTTGGACCAAGTTCAAAAATTGGGCTGGTAACTGGGGAGGTGCTGGTTCTGGTTCACTTTCTGGCACTGCCTGGATGCACTTGAGCAAGATACTGAATCCCCAAGTACTTCACCCTGACATCAGTCCATTAATGCATGTTTGAAGGATTGTGCTTGCGGATGTTGGTGAAGCAAGATTCAACACCAGTGAAGCAAGACCTTCTTTAAAAGTGTTTTTGGTCAATTCTGCCTGCTTAACAGAAAACAAAAGAAGAACTTCATTAAATTCAGTTCCTTATTTTCAATATTTGCTGTAGTGAACATATAAGTTATTATAGTTGTTGATTTGTGTTGCAGTTGTATGGTTTGATTATGGAGCAGTTTTAACAGGACTATATGCTAATTAAGTACTGATACTAGACAAAGATAAATTGATTGATTGGGCTGATGAATTAAATATAATATATATCAATAAACATATAAATCAAATAATCAGCATCAGACGATATCTAGGCTCATGAGGCTGATTGAAAAAATATCCACAAATGTCTGCAGACACTGCAGGCAGTCTTGTTAGTCCGGCTTCTGTTTAGGCACAACAACATTTGCATCCTAAATCACCGCGGATCAAATCTAACAATTATTGACAAGTGTTGAATATATTTTGTCACAATGTATCTAATAATGGAGTTTAATAGTGCTTATGATGGTAATATTTCATGTTCAGTAATCCGTGCATAGCACAATTATATTTATATACTGTGGTGTATTTAAAGCTACACAACTACACAGGTGACAGATTACCTACTATAGTGTTTGTATGATGCAGTGAGGTAAAACAAAAAGAAAGAAGAGAAATCTAAATCTGTCAGTTTTTAATTTGCTCTCCCTTCTCTGTCCACAGTGCTGATCTGTCCTTTGACCTACAAGGCTACGTGTTCATCCTCCTGAACGACGTCCTGACTGCAGCCAATGGGGCCTATGTGAAACAAAAATTAGATGCCAAGGTATGTTGCGGAGCAGCCTGATGAATAGTGAGCATTGTTGGCTTGAAGCTGTTTTTGGCATTGAGCTGATGTCAGTGAATGTCGGGAGCCCAACCTGTCCTTGAGTCTGGCATAAAGGAGCCCTGTGTACAAAAACACCATGACTCAGAGCTTTTTACTCCTCCTGAACTCGATATTATCTCCACACTGTGAATCTGTTATGATTCTGAATGGCTTCACTGACTGTCTCTGCTTTATTTTGAACAGTCAGGTTCATTACAGTGAGGCTGTTGAAGATTGTAGCTTGTTTTAGCTGTTTTTCTCTTCTGTCGCCTGAGCTCAGATCTCACATTACAGCAGAGGCAGGGCTGTACCCACATTTAGTCTGTCCTCACATGCAGAGTTGTGTATATGTGTGTTAGGGGTGAAAGCTGAAGGCATGTGCAGAGGCTCAGGGTTGGGCGGTGAATAGTGGCCTTGCATGACATCTGTATGTTAGTAATTGAGGAATGCACTGAGATTCTGAGTGAATAACTCTCTGTTTTCCGGCTCTGCTATGTTTCATGTTTGTGCTGCTTCCTGACCATCTGTTTCCATGATCTCTCTCTCTCATACAGGAGCTGGGAAAATATGGATTGCTGTATTATAATGCATTATTTATGATCCTTCCCACTCTGCTCTTGGCTCATGTGACAGGAGACGTGCAGAAGGTAAGACCTCGTTGACCTCATTGTTTGCTTTTTATTTTCTGAAAATAATGAAATAGTCTTTATTCTATCTTCTTCCTCCCTGCAAAGTTATTCCATATTCAAAACATAAATCCTCTATTTTTAATCTTCTTTCTGAATATATGCTGTTTACACTACAACTAAAGAAACAATCTCACAGACAGAACATTTACAGTGTTTTCCCAGCACTCTGTAAACGTTAGTAAACCCAGCAGATCAGTTTCTGGAGTTTAGAAAGTGAAATGTTGTCCCATTCTTGCCTGATAGAGGATTTCAGCTGCTCAACAGTTAATGGTCTTCTTTGTCCTGTTTATGTGTCGTGATGCTCCAAATGTTATTAATGGGTGACAAGTCAGGACTGCAGGCAAGCCCTTTTAGCAGCAGGACTCTTCTACTACAGAGCCATGCTGTTGAAATCCCTGCAGAATGTGGTTTTTCATTGTGGATAGCGGCATAAATTCGTCTCACACCTCTACAGAGCTGAGGATGTGGTGGCCATGATTTCCAAAAAGACTCTGGTTCAGAGAAGTCTCTGGTATTTCTGGATCATGTTTATATCTGGTTTCCTCTTTGCATTGTTCACTTTCAACCTTCGTTTGAGGATGCAGTAATAAACTATGTTCATAGACAGTTTGTTTTGGAGGTTAATTAAGTCCATGCAGTAATTACATTTCTATTTTTAATGCAGTGCCACCTGGATTTGAAGGACCTGAAGATCAGGTCCTTCCAGTCTTGGTTTTGGTCCTTGTCCCTGTTGTACACAGATTTTCCGGATCCTCTTTATCTTTTCATGATATTATGTTCTATAGATGATGAAATCCACTTATTCTTCCCCATTTTACACCAATGACCATTATTCTCTCTCACAGAGTGGTAAATCTCTTCTTACCTTTCTTTCTGAGGGACTCAAACCACACTCACACAAATGTGGATACATGAAAACATAGTTCCTCTCTGTGTTGTTACCTCCCATTAGCCTGTAAACAAAGTTTCAGGTCATTAAAAAAAACAGTGATGTCAAAAACTGGTGGGGTTGTTTTACAATGCTGCATAGTCTTTTTTTGTGTGGACAGTCAGACAGAGGCTTTGGAAACATTAATGTTCTTGGGGATGGCAAGTTTATAAGATAAGATAAGAACTGTATTTATCCCGGAGGGGAAATTCAATATTGTATGTATTGCATGTGCACCAAGATGGTGGGTGAGTGGTTTGTTTAGGTCCGCTTGGTACTGAGAGGTTTAATTGGATGCTAACAAGGAAATTTGGTTGGTCTTCATATTAATACTGCAGGTAAATGAGAATGAATATTTAATAGTTTCCAGTTCAGTTATGTGAATACAGTTTAATGAATGTTGTTTACAGCTGCTGCTTGCTCAAGAGGATGCTCCACATGTAATCAATGGTCTTGTATGTTGTTTTGAATACACACAACAGGCCTGGCATGCCTATGTACTAATTTCAACTGTTTCTGTTTAGCTAAAGCAGACAGAAAAATAACCAGAAACAGCTTGATTCGCCATCTTCTGAACTTTGAGGTTCATTTTTTGTAGGTTTTGTGAGTAGATATCATATATTTAAAGCTTTAATGTTGAACTGAAGCCTGTGTGTGAACAGTATGTCTGTGTGCAGGGAGGGTGAGCTGTGTGTCTGTTGGTCAGTGTTGGCAGAGACTCTCTGGTTCGCCCAGCTGGGGCCCAGCAGCCTCAGAGGCACAAAGCTGCCTTTATGCAGCCAGCAGAGTTATTACAGCAGAAACTACAACCTCCACTGACTCTATAACATCAGAGCAGAGACAGAGTGGTACCTCATACAGCCACTGAAACACACTGTGCAACAGGAAACGACTTAGGAAGAGTGTATCAATGGACAGGATATTTATATGTACTCAGAAGTATCACACTTGAACAGCTGGAGAAATTGTTCAAAACCATCCCCAATTGCTTTAAGACTTTTGTGGGGTGGCTCAGTTTGATTTTGAGGCTTTTAATACTTTTTCTATTTACATTCAAAAAGAAAAAGCTAGAATGAATCTGGACATCAACACAAAATGAGTCTCAGTTTATTATCTGGTAACATGGATTCTGAGACTTTTTTTTCCCATGACATATGAGATTGTTCCAGAAGTTAAAGGCCACAGTAGAACTGCATGGTTATGGAGGGAGTGCTTCTGATTAACAAAAAAACAACAACAATCTCTGACTCTGTGAGTGGTGGTGGCAAGATCAAGAACTTTCAGAGGATTTTCCAGAGCAGCATTCACCTCCAAAGATTATGTTGCGATCATTACAGCCTGTTTCATGCTGTAATCTACTACAGCAATGCCAAAACATTTTGTAAAAGTATTGTATAAACTCAAACTAAACCTAACAGCAGGGGACAGATCTAAAACAAGGGTTTCCTTTAATATGTCTCTCTTCTGATAGCTTGAAACCTCATCAACAGTAGCTGACACAAAGAGAGATTTTTCTCATATATGTCGCAGTCACCATGGCACACCTGCTTAAAGCACATATAGGGCTGGATTGTATTTCATTTGAACACTGGAATAGTCACACTGCAGGACATGCCATGTCAGTCATAACACGTTATCCTGTGACTGTCACCACATCCTCTCCTATACTTAATCTTTAGTTAACGTCCATATCAAATCATTTAATGAAACTGCTCATTTGAACACAACTGACCGCTGTGCAGGCAGAGTCTGTATCTGTGTGTCACATAGGAAACTGGGGAAAAGTGAGATAAATTCTAATACAGTGTTGTCCTGCTCATCTTGGCTGTTGTTAACATTGTGAGCACACATACAAACTAGTGGACAACCACAGCCTTTACTGATGCCGAATATCACAGAGCAGGCCCGATGCAGCTTATGCTTTTTTGCTTTTTATAAAATCAAATAAAAGTTAAACAATAATAATGACTGTTTCATGTACATTACAATCTTACACATGTGGTTCTAGTCAGAAACAGGTCTCTGATGGATTTGAATTAATACATAGGGCTCAATTTTCGTGCCACGCCTGACATAATGGGCTCTATTTTCGTGCCTCGCCGGAGACGTGCCACAGGCGCGGTGTAAGTCAGATCTGCCGCGCCGACAAGGCGTTCCCAAGCATAATTTGGTATTTTTGTGAGCGGCGCAGCCCAGCGTAAGTATCCCCCCTCCCTAACTCAGCTCCTCCCAGCGGCGTAAGTCGTAGGGAGGGAGGAGAGAGGGCATGGAGTGGGTTTAACACAGCCGAGACCAGTGTTGACCAATAATATCAGCTCCTCTTCTCAGAGCTGTAGGCCTAAAGTGAATAACTCATCTGAGCACTGAAACAAATCATCTGTTCAGCCGCTGCAGCAGCTGCAGCAGGATGGAGAGAGGACACAGAGACATGTCCAGGTCGAGCTGCACGAGAAAGAAGAGAAGAGGAAGAAAGAAAAGGAGGGAGACAAATTACATATCTAGTTAACTTTATCATGTGTGTTTATTTACTAGATATTTAATTTAATTTAATGCGGTTTCAGCTGTGTTGATTCGGTAAGGTTGTGTGTCCAAATGCGTGCCAAACGCGCTCATCAGATCAGATATAGATCAGAATATATCGATATAGATCTAAATGTATGTGCTGACTCAGATTATTAGTTGTTGATGATTATTTATTGCACTGAAATGTGCCTGACACTGTGGAAACCTGCCGGTGAGGCATCGGTGACGTATGCCGATGCGCCGCCGGTCTACCAAAATACCACTAGACCAGCTGCGCTCTGCCTGCGCTGAAAGCTGACCAGGTTTGAATCGGCGAGCTTTCAGCGCACTTTATACGCCACCGGCGAGCACGAAAATGTCACTGCGGCAGCTGACTCTGTCGACACCTCCTCCTACCGCGCCACCACGCCCAGCTTGGTGGACCTCGGTGCGCCTCAGCCTACGAAAGTACCAAACTGGCTGTGCGTCAGGCTTCGCCAGACAAAAATACCACTGCGCCACCCTCCGCCACGCTGCCGGTGAGCACGAAAATAGAGCCCATAGTGTTTGTTGGGACATGGTGTATTTATGCCAGATGCAATACTAGACTCTGTTTTTCTACAAATCATGACTGAATACATATCAAACCCTTGTAACTTGTCAGCGATCATTTAAGGGGATGTTGACCTTATCTGGACTGCAAATCTAGCACATTCTTGCAGACTCTACTTCTATTGTCTCTGCACCTGTGGTAGAAGGAAATTGATTAAAAACTAAATGCATAGAAAGCTGTTTAGTGTTTCTTTAATCATCACAGGGCTTGTGATGCAGATTAAATATACTTTTTGAGATTGACTTCTGTGCAAGTCAGCTGCATTAGTTTTTAAAGTTTATTTGGTAACCTAAACCTCCTCCTCTTGTGACTCTGATTGTTCATTTGTCAGAGCTGCTGTCAGAGCGATCATATAATAGTTATAATAGCATCTTATCTGAAAGTAGAAAATAGACTTAGATTACAAGTAGAAAAACACAGAATAAATGTGTTTTTACATTTTTTTACTGTTCCAAAACACCTAAAGTACACTATATTTATCAGACATAAATTCCTGCACTCTGTCATAATGCAGTAATTAAAAAATTAACAATGTTTTTTCAGCATCTTGCAGCCTGTTAACACATATATAGTGTCCTGTCAGTTATGGGCATGTAATGTAAGTTTTATAAACACAAACACCTCATGCTGCTTGTTTTTTTTGTGGCCTGATTAAAAGGAAAAACCACCAGTTTCCTCTCCTCAATGACTCATCTACAGAAACGGCCTGTTTGCTGGTTTCACATCAGTGTGTCTCTACATTAGAGTGAGCTGATCACTTTGCATGTAGAACCTTTTTGTCACATAATTTTAGTCAACTTTGCTGGCTCTGCTAATGTCTCAAGTAAGAAAAATAAAGTGTAAAAACACTTGTGAAGTAACCTGATCTGTGTTTCTCTCATCAGGCAGTGGAATATGAGGGTTGGTCAGACATGATTTTCCTCACACAGTTCATCCTGTCCTGCATTATGGGGTAAGAAAACATACAAAACAAGTGTGTGTGTGTGTGTGTTAAGTGCAATAAAAAACACATTAAATCAATCAACAGTCTCATATAGTGCCAAAAACAAACCTCTGGTTGAACTTTATTTTTTATGGCATTTCAGTGATGAAATCTCAGCTCAGAGTGACACTCAGCTCACACTAACGTTGTGAAATCTTACATGTTGACTCATGCGTAATCTAACAATGAGCTTGTTTTTACAGGTTTGTCCTGATGTACTCCACTGTGCTTTGTACACAGTATAACTCCGCTTTAACAACAACGATCGTCGGTTGCATTAAGGTAACCTGCAGAGTCATGTGAGGTTACAGGTTCAACATAAAGCCGAGCTGATGAATACCTTCTCTTTATGCAGAATGTGCTGGTGACGTACATCGGGATGGTGTTCAGTGGAGACTATATCTTCTCCTGGACAAACTTCATAGGGTTAAATATCAGGTATGGAATGGTTTCTATTTACAGACTCTTCCAAATAAAAATATAGACCCTCTCAGCCAGGTCTGGAGCTGACGCCTTTGTTGTTAGAGGAGTAATAACCAATCAGGTATCAGCAAGTTAGTAAGACAAGAGGAACACAATCCACCTAATGACCACTGATTCCTCTCTGTGAAGAGATATAAGCATGAAGGTCAGCTAATAATCTGTTCTAGAAACAAACATTTACACTGAGACACTAATCTGCCTGATGCCGAGTCACAAAGAACAATGAGAGTTTAGATTTCCTGACTTCCCTGAATGCATCAGATATAGATCTAATCTCCTTTCAATAAATGAACATTTTCAAATTTTTCTCTTCCTCTTGAGGACAGAGCTGACGAAGCCTGACTTTAAACTTTTTGCTAATCTGTATTATGATGTTTTAGCAAACTTTTGACATAATTATTACTATAAAATCTTTTGTAATCAGATGTAGATAAGGGGCAGCATTTTCAGGGTAAATAGCCAACTACTATCAGATTTATGTCTTTGGATTTAAGTGAAATTAAACCACGATTATAAGGACACTAATCTGTAGCAGATGTTTGGATTCTGTTTTATGTCATGACTGCATTTTTTAATTAAGTTCATGAAATAACTCATGGGAAAGATCTGGGAGCTGGACAGTTTAATTTGCTCTCTTGGAGGTCTTCATGAAATCTCTGAGGGCTGTTTTGAATTTCTGTGGTGGGAAATACGCTGCTGAGGATCTGTTGTTACTCAAAGAGCTTCACATATCGTAACAGTTTATCACTTGTAATACCATTATTATTATTATTATACAACAAAAACATAAACTAGATGTATACAAAAAGTTGCAGTGTGTGTGGAAAGGGGGGAAGCATTTTGTGCGGGGAGATGAAGCAATAATTTTTAGAGGGTAGAGTAAGACTGTACAATGGAGCAGACGTGAGGGGTTCAGAGTGTGTGAACGTAGCAAAGGTATGATTTAGATTCTGTCATCACTGATAAAATGAACTGACAGAGACATGACTATGTCTGCTCTTCATATTTATCTGATTTTTAATTTTAGTTTTTCACGTCATTCTATTTAGAATGAGTGGAAATAATAAGTGCACCTAAATCCATTTCTTTCTGTCTGAGAAGTGTAATTTTTCTAAGTGAAGGCCAGACTCTCAGTAGGATTGCATAACTTTTGTGCCCACTATACCTGTGCAAACAAGGCAAAAAGATATTCTCTAAGCCCGTGAGCATGCACAAAGGATTAAATACTTCACATACTGCACTGCTAAGCAAACAGAGTCTCTGTGCAGCATTTGAATGATCCATTATGTACTTATTTACATCTAAATGCAAACAAGCCGCATTGCTAGAAACACCCAATTCACTAAGCAGTTAGAGTGACACTTTCACCAACAGTACTGGCTGAAGTACTTACAGAAAATCACTGCTCGTCTTACAGTCTTCAGTTAAGACAATTCCTCCCCTTAATAACCCAGAAATAACTTATCTATATGTCGAGTTTTTTAAACATATAACTGTAACATGACTATTTTACGATAAGGAGTTGGATTAGGCTGAGGTTGCCTGTGGCTCAAACACTGATATATTGGTTATATGGTTATGCAGGACAGAGTATTTGATCATAGATCTATGCTGACAACAAGCTGTGAACTTACTTCACAAAGGAATGTGGATAAAAATAGTGAAATCTGTCACATAATATAGAATATTTCACAATAATGGTCGGGACTTTCCCTCTCCCCAGTTTAACCCATACTCTGTAGTCCCATCAGGATTAAAGCTCACAGTGCAGCCCTGAGTAGCAGAGAGTGGAGACGCTGACAGTTCATCAAATAAAAATGTAAAATAAAAAACAAGAGCAAGCTGCACAGGGATGGTTTGTGATGGAGTTCACTTTAAACCTGAAGCAGCTGATGTTTGATCAGTGTGAACTCACAGGTTAGTTGTTCTCTGTGATAGACATAAAAAACTGAGATAGTGCAGAATGAAATCACAAAAGTCATGTACAGCAAGAAGCCGCGCATAACTTTTAAAACAGCAGAATGGGAAGACTAAATAAAAAGAGAATCAACGCATCAAAAGGGGAACTTGCTGAGAGAGCTCACTATCTCACTGATCAGTTGCAGAGCTTCTATCAGTTCCTGTAGGTTATCAGAATCAAGGTGTCAGGGGAGAAACCAGACTGTCTGGATTACTGATCCCAGATGGCGATCCTGTACAGATTATAAAAAGAAAACGGAAACAGAGGTCGGCATTATCTTTTGTTATTGGCTGTGTCTGTACTTTGACTGCAGTTTATTTACACAAACATATTTACTGACCTGATTTGATTTCATTTCCCACCCATGAAATTTGTTTACAGTCAAACTTTATGACTTTATGAGTTGTGGATGAATGAGGTCACTCTGCTTCAGAATCACTCTGTTCCTCCCAATGTCATAAAGTTCCTGTTAGAAAGAGGAAGTGAAGAGTGGTGCAGGCACGGATATTGCTGATACGCAACAGCCAATCAGCTGCCAGGGTTTTTTAACTGGCTGCTGGGTCATGTTACCAAATGTGAGATTGTTTTGACCGATGATGTGCTGCAGCATACTCACACTATTCTCACAGACGGGATATAGTGGTTGGTTTTATTTCACAGCGCTGACTGTAAAAACCACATATGGAAGTAATGCTGTCCAGAGAGCTGATGAATGCACACATCAGGGACCCTTTCATAGAGCAATGTTTACTTATGTTTTTCTTTACTTACAGATCATGTGAAGTGACTGTTTTTTTTAGATATGTCAACATAATTCTGCACCAGACTCCAGCACACTGACCTCTATGAATGACTGCCAATCTGACAATATAAGAATGGACATCAAGAAACTCCAAGCAGAGGTCACAGTAATTGGACCTGAGCTCCTTACTATGCAGATGCTGCCATCTGCTGGTCAGATGTTTAGTCACATAAAAGAGAGTTAGGGTGTCAAAGCTCATACAATCATGTTTTTATCCTCACAGAGATATTTCTGAATTTCTGTCCATTTATTTCCAGACAAACAGAATTTTACATTTATCACATCTTTTTTTTTAAACTGCCAGAACCAAAAATCTGATCAGCTTCAGTTTGTGTAGAGCTGTTAAAAACTTTCAAACCATAAAAAAATAAGTTTTACTTTGTTGTGGCTCTAACACTCTGTCTCACTACATTATTGATAAACCATCAGAAACATCAATAGAGCACTCAACTACTAAACCAGTCAATTGTGCAGCCCTTGTCCTTGCGTATATTCGGACAAGGCAAGTTCTTGCCTGTATTCTGACAAGGAAAGTGCTAAAATAACTTTCGTAGATGTAGCCATCTTTTTTCCACCTTTGATTTTGCTTTTTTCCGACTTGGTAACTGAAACGCTGGTAACTGGGGTGTGATGTCATTCCCAGCTCCAACATCTGACTTCCGAGGTAACTCGAACGCAGCATAAGTCTAAGACTAACCCTATTAGGTAGTATAAACCGGGTTCTGCAGGAGTTATCACAAATGTAGGACTGTTTAGTTTTGTAATCTGTGAGAATCTCATACAACGGTGCACCCCTACTAAAGGTGTGCTGTCCCTACCAAAGGTTTTTAACTTCACTGACGCAGATTGAAGGGTGGGGAGCTCTCACCACTGTATATACAGTACAGGCCAAAAGTTTGGACACACCTTCTCACTTAATACATTTTCTTTATTCTCATTACTATTTTAATTGTAGATTGTCAGTGAAGGCCTCAAATTTATGAATGAACACATGTGGAATCATGTGCTTAAGAAAAAAGTGTGAAATAACTGAAAACATGTTTTATGTTTTAGATTTCTCAAAGTAACCACCCTTTGCTTTTTGATAGCGCTGCAAACTTTAGCTGTTCTTTCAATGAGCTTCATGAGGTAGTCACCTGAAATGGTTTTGACTTCACAGGTGTGCCTTGTTAGGGTCACTTCGTGACTAAGTACTTCTGTCATCAAGAGCAAAGGGTGGCTATTTTAAAGAAAATAAAAACCGGCCTGACTGAAGTGTGTGTGTGTTTTTTCCCCTCTAACGTGTGTCTCCTCTGTGTTTTCGTTGCAGTATTGCGGGCAGCCTGGTGTACTCGTACATCACTCTGACGGAGGAGCAGACCAACAAAGCCAGTGAAAGCACCAAAATGGACATAAAGGGGAAGGTGGTGGTATGACAGAGACACTGGATCTTAGTTTCTTTACTCTGACGGACGGGGAACTGTTTTTAAGAAATGTTTATTTATGGAGTATTTTAGCAGGAAGTGATGGGAGCAGTGCTGAGCTTCGCCGTCACTCTGCCTCTCTTGCTGCTGCCATGGTTGCGACCCCTCCAGAGGGATTGTGGGTGATTATTTTTTTAGCTGGTGTTTTTTCTTTTTTTTATACATTTGTATTTTGATACTGTATATGAGGGAAAACTTAATTTATATGACAACATTTCCTTCCCAGCTGTTTAGCTGGAATCAGTGTGTGTGCAGGATTATTATGTAAAGGTTATTTTAAAGGCACAATCTGTGTTTTTATTGCCTTCTCTGGTGTGCTGTTTACAAGGAATGTAACTGTAGATGCCTTTGAGCACAGAGATGCACTGACACTCAACTGTTTTACAAGCTTCACTCTTAAAATGATGTTTCTTCACTTTCAAACGACCAAAGTGGACGTGCCGTGTGCTGTCAGCTGTTCAAAGGATGTTGCTGCCTCTGTGTGGGAGATAATGTCACATCAGTTTACCTTCTCTTTCTTCAGTGTTACAGGATGCTTCTCTATGCATAACGAACAAAAAGACTTTATCATAAAGGGGATTCATTCATGTCTTTTAATTTTACTTTGACACAAAGTTTCTGGCACTTTGAACTGAGGTGACACCTGCTGACAGGTGAGATCGATTCTGTTACATTCATGCTTGAGATTATTGAACTCTCCTGAGATTTAGATTTCAGGTTTTTTAAGTATTATTATAAGAAAAGCATTTCTAAACTTTTAATAGTCGGGTACGAGTTTTCCTTTTTTTTTTTTTTTTTTTTTTATATTTTTTTATCAACATCATTTTATATTTACTACTTTTTTTAGACTAATCTTCATTTTTGTAGGTGGAACAGGTTGTGAACTGTTATGCTCATCTAAAACAGTAACATGGAGTTCTTGTAAAAATGTATTTTTACATTAAAAGTAAACCTGTTGTCATAAAGTGATCTCTGATTTGTTCATGTTGCAACATACAGTAAACACCTCATGTTAATTCTGGATTTATTCATTATATATATACTGTATTTTTCGCACTCTGAGGCGCACTTGATTATAAGGCGCACGGTCAATGAACGCGTCTATTTGCGTCTATTTTCATACATAAGGTGCACTGGATTATAAAGCGCATCTGATAAGTCAAACTTTATTTAACTCATTCAATAACTCCGCGAGACTACGGTAGCTGCTGTGCTCCGACAAGCCAAAAGGATTTTAAGTGCACCTTATAGTGCAAAAAATACGGTACTATGATGCTCTCTTTAACGTAAACACTGATGCTATGTTGATGAGTCAGTGAAGAAGTCTTTAATAATTTCTCTGCTTAAATGTTACTATGCGGTGAATGATAAACTGCTGCAAAGATATGGTCTTACATCTGACCACCCTGAGAGTTGGAGTCCTGTTAATGTTAAGTAGTCCAGCACAGATTTATCAAAAAGGTTCATTAGAGCAGAGGTCACAAAGTTATTCCTTTGGGTTGTCAGATGGTTGCAGAGAAGGAGGTCACTCCCAGTTGAAAGTAGTTCTTTTTAGTTTTTCGAACACTGCCACTGTCATCAGTGCTGTGACAGTGATCTTGATGACTGACCAATCAGTATCAAGAAGGCATGACTTTAAACTGAATGGCCTTGTCAACAACTGGTCAAAAACAGCTGAGATCTGCAGAGAAGAAAGTGAACACATTATTTTCACTGGATAATTTTCAAAGCTATCTAGCCTCGGATAGCTGCTGATGATGGTGTAACATGAGCTCTGTTATATAGGGCTCAAGCACTCGCTGAGTGGTGGTTACTATGACTATTCCCTTTAACATGAATGATCCCAATCGTGGAGCCCTCATCACATTTGAAACTCTGGATTTTGCAGGTGCGTCAGGCCTGATGAATTCATAGGGTTTTGCACATGGGTGGGCCATATGGCTCTTAACTTCCCCCAAGTTCACTGTGCACTTTTTTTCCTGCTACAGGCTTGATATTTGCTACATATATCAGAGTTCACGAGACTTTAGAAAATAAGTCTCTGTAGTGAATAATGTAGTGAATAGAAAACAGAGAGGCAGGTATTTTGAAAAAAGTGGCAAAAATCAGCAGCTTAAGGGCCATTTCGAGAGGTCCTTTGACAAGTGTCTTTTCATACAGCATTCATCTGATCTGCTTACAACTAAGTATGAAGGTGGGAGAGAACCACATGAAGAAAGACTCAAGGGCTCGTAACCAAAAGGCATGAACGTGATCTCATGTTGAAGTTTAAGAGAAATACACACTGACAGAAATCTTTGGCACGAATAAATGATGTGTGTTTTCGGTCTTTCTCCTTCTATCTCTTAAGTCTCCATAATGTAATACAAGACATTTGCCAAATGAAATGTAACAAACAGAAATAATGAGGCCGAGGAGACATTCACACAGCTCACAACTGTTATTTAACATATTTTAATACAAAAAAGTACAGATCAAACATGTAGAAACATTTTTTCAAACCCTTAACCACAAACTGTTCCGACCTCTGACCTCAGCAGTACATTTAGTTTTTGGACAAACCCACAAAACCAGTAATAACCAATATCTCCAACAGATCAAGAAAGTGGTTTAAATATTAATTTGTTAGGAAAAAAAAATGACATACAGAATTTAAAATCCAAATAAAGCTTTAAACACTAAACTGTCTTTGAAAGTTTGGATTGATTCAAACTGGCTGGGCTCCAATAGAATGAATGTGGTTTAATTGCATTGTCTTTGCATGTAGAGAGCACCTTCATCAGAATTAGGAAGAAAAAAACCGTTAGAAGCTGCTGATGAGGAGGAAGATAACTGAAAACGTTTTTTTTTTCTTTTTATCTTTGGTCAAAGTGACGAGTTAACCGGGTGAAACTGTAAAAACATGAGCAAGATAAAATGCATTGACTACAGCTTCAGAAAAACCTCAACATCGAGGAGGTCCAGGATCAAGACCACCGTAAGAAAGAGTTCATATTAGAGATTTCAAGAATAAAGTGGTAAAGAGAGGCAAATAAAGTTATATAGGGTTAACTTTAAATTTCCAAGAGAGATATCAAAGTAAACAATAAAAAGTCAAACTGTAAGAATAAAACACAGTTCATAAGAACGGACACGAGAATAGCCACATTGAAAATATAGAAAACAGCCATAATAATGATACTGTAATTTTACAATTAAAGCTCTTGACAGGTACTTTTGCTTTATGTTCATTCTGGCGCCCCCCTGTGGACAAATCAGTCTTTGCTTGTGAAAAGTTTCAGACATTAAAATGAGGAAATTTGAGTCAGCAGTCTTGTTGCTGGAGGTCTGGTTTGTTTTTGAACACCATAAAATAGCATCACTAAGAATTTCTGTCCGTTTCATTTGTGTAAAAAAAAAAAAACATCACAGGAGAGAAACGAAAAAACGAATTTCTACGAGAATTTAGAATTTTCAAGAGTAAAGTAATAAAAAGGAAAAAAAGAATAGTCATCAAAGTTTACAATCCCTTAAATTTAGGACGTTATTCCCATGAGTTTATGTCTTTAATTTAGTTAATCACTTTGTTCTTCTGATTTTATGACTTGAATCTAGTAATTCAAAAACCTCCCTAGATGATGCCTTTATTCTCTTAAATGTATGATTTACCTTTCAATTTATATTCTTATACTCCAAAATTTTAATTTGCTGTTGTGATATTACAACTCTGTTCTTGTCAGTTGACCATTTTGTTCTTGAAATCTCAGTTTCCTTTTTCCTTAAATGTGGCTCTTTCACTGTCATCATTCAGAAACGTGAAAAACAAACTGAAAATGTACAACAAATCACAGAGCTCCCTTTTTCATCAGATACAAACAAAAATATTCAGACTAACAAGACACCTGAGAACTTTTCTGCACACAGATAATTTGGTTTTAAAGTTACACATGGCTGCATCACGTTATTTAGGAGTCATTACTGCACATAAAAAATAAAAAAATATATACTTCAGGAATTCAAGATAAAGACTTCACTGCTCTGTAAATCTTTAAGTTATACAACTCCATCATGAGTACATTAGTGTTCTGTCTGCTACTTAACAGTTTTTGGTTCATAAAGTAGCAGAAAGTACCAAAAAGTATCTCTGACCTTGATATGACATCTGTTTTTGTCCACAGCACAGAGACAGTCAGGTCACCATCCAAGAAGAGAAACAGATCCAGAAACGCTTCAATTTAATGTCAAGGATGAGAAAAAAAAACTGTTTTTTTCTATTTTCTAATTCATATCTGAGTGTTAAAGCGGTGGCAAAAATCAGTCATAGTCAACAAAGTTTTGGTTATTTTTGCAGACGTACAAAGCGTTAAAGACTCGATGTCATTTCTGCTTAACGATCAGCTACAAATATTAAAGGGATGTTTCAGTTTGTTTGTTTTTTAAGTCAGGTCGTTTGAGTTTTACTACGAAGTCTTCATCACCGTGATCCCGGACATTTGGTGCTTAACATTACACAAAAATACCAAAACTAACTAAACTAAACCAGTGACCTAATTATCATAGACAATGTTAGCTGATTGTGCTGCAAGTGAGGGAACACGCTGGATGTCATGTGTCTATAAAATAGTGCAAAAACAAATGAGCCCTGAAAACTTTCTGAGCAGAGTGTACAGTGAAACTGAGATCAGCATTTGGGACCTGTGGCACGAATGAGAGCACTCTAATGTCACTTTCATCGTAACTGTTAGATTCAGGATCTCAGGTGTCATAAATAATATAATTTTCTAATTTTAAGTTAGAGTGTTGCTAAAGACTCTGGAGTTTCCTTTCACCACCTGTCAATTCAGATAGCCTACTTTCACCCAAAAGGGGGCGGAGCCTCAACTTTAGTGCAAAGAACCAGGATGGATTGATTTCATCTATACAAAACATTCTGTTTCTACCTGCAGTTTCTAAACAAGGCGCCAAGCTGACTGCCATTCATTCTAGCTAAAACACCAACCTATGAGTGTCAAGTAACTTATACAACCTCACTTCAAAAATACTGGAATATCCCTTTAATAGTGAAAGTTCAGAGAAGTCGTTTATGCTGTTGAACAAACCCTTACAAAGCTCTTTGATATCTTTAAAGACTCGAGCTGTTAAGCGGACCAACCTGCTTTGCAAAAACAAATCTGAAACATGCCGATCAATGAGCCAGAACTCTTCAAACTGTTCCTTCATACCAGTAAAAAGCAGGCAGGAGAGCTGAAGGAGGGAGAGCCGGACAAACCTGCAACACCACGCTGCACGGGAGGAATTAAAACTCCACCCAAACAAGCCGAGCAGGACAGAGCAATGAGCGTCCTTAAAGAAGGTCTCTGTCTGTGGGTTACTGATGGAAAGCTGCAGAGCAGTGGAGGGGTTTCTGCTCCTACAGATACAAAAGTTTCAAAAAGACGCTTCCTGAGAGGTGCTCTGATTTAACAGTGACGTGTGTAGTAAAGAGAGAACTCAAGGGTGCCTGCACACTCACACTCACTGGGTGAAAGGTGACACATGACTCACTGCGGGAGCTGATTCATCTCCATAAGTGTGAGCATGAAGGCTGCTCTGTCATTATTCCCTAAGGCACAGCAATGTGGTTTTTTAAAAAACTTGGCACAGGAGGGAAAGATCTCACATTTTAAATACATAACTTACCACTTTGATAGAAAAATCTGTGTGTCTGGATTTGCAAAGGAGTGATTTGTGGTGACAGTCCAGCTGCTGTGTCAGTCTCAGAGCGTGTTCAGGTTCTCGGCCATGTAGCAGAGGCTGTAGAAGTTGCAGCCGATGCAGCAGAGGTTACAGAGAGAGGACAGCAGTCTGTAGAGCCACAGGCGGCTGCTCAGGTGCCTGTACTTCACGTCGGTCTCGCACAGCTTGGCGTAAGCTTCTCTGTTCGACGACAGCCCGATGTCCTGTCCCAGACCGCACGTCTGCTCAATCAAGTGCATGTCCGCCATCATCTCTGATGCCATCTGGCCGAACCACTGAGCGTTCACCGCTGCCACCGTCACTGACACGAAGAAGATGAAGATCTGAAGGGGACAAAGAAGTCAGAAATTAAAGCCTACTTTTCAACACTTCTGAAAATTCCCCAAACTTTTAGGGTGAGCTGCAAGTATCAATGCAAACAGCTGATCAATCACTATGGGCTGTCTTGGACATCTTATAAACATTTCATAGTAACTGCTATAGTGTCCTTGTCCCTCTGAGTGTTGTAAACTGATAACTGCCCACCTGGAAGGCCTCTCTGTCATCCATCATGTCACTGGGATGATACACAGCGTAGATGGTGAGGTTAAAGAAAGCACAGGCTGATCCCAGGTGGAGGTAGAACGGGACGAGTCGGCTCTGGATGAAGCCATATGTGTGTCTGTTCAGGTGGTTGTCCATCACGAAACCTGAGCGCAAAAACAAAACCGCCTATCAGGCCTCATTTCTGCATTTTTATAACCTCAGCAGGACAAAGATTAAAAAAATTACAATGTAGAAATTGGGAATCTTTTCACTGATGGTCTCATTTGCTTTTGTGCACAATCGAGACGAATCACTGCTCGTTTGAGTCTGTTTCATAACTTACTAAAAACCAACACATGAGCTTAAATGAACAAATTAATTAATTGTATCTGTCCGTGTTGTGCAAAACTTTCTCCAGCATCAGAGAGATAGCGTCACACAGAAATCTGACATAAAAACAAGACAACACTCCAAATTAAGAAATTAAAGTGCTTAGAGTCGTTTGAGGCATCACTTTGCACATAATAGATAAAGAGAACAATACTCAAAAGTTTTACAAGTACTTTAACATTCAGAAATTATATTTCATGACTAGCTTTAAGGGCGGCACAGTGGTGTAGTGGTTAGCACTGTCGTCTCACAGCAAGAAGGTCCTGGGTTCCAATCTGGCTCAAGCTCAGGGTGTTTCTGTATAGAGTTTGCATGTTCTCCCTGTGTCTGTGTGGGTTTACTCCGGGTACTCCAGTTTCCTCCTACATCCCAAAAACATGCCTAAGAGGGGTTAGGTTAATTGGCCACTTTCAAAAAAAATTCCCATAGGTGTGACTGTGAGCGTGGATGGTTGTTCTTCTCTATATGTCAGCCCTGCAATGAACTGGCGACTTGTCCAGGGTGTCCCCTGCCTTCGCCCTAAGATGCTGGGATAGGCTCCAGCCCCCCCGTGACCCCAGGGATGGGAATAAGCGGTAGAAAATGGATGGATGTATAAAATGCCTCATGTAGTAATCAAACCTTACTTCTTTTATTTCATTTTCAAATTTTGTCTGATATGACTTTAGTGCGTCTCTTCATCTAAACACACAGAGAGTCGACCACTGAGCATGCAGATTCTGTGTCGTCACCTGACTATAAACTGTTAACATGCTGCCGTCTCAGATACTCTGGATCAGAAATGTGTGGTACTGACTTGAGATGAAGGTGACCCAGATCTGCATCCCCCAGTAGGTGGAGAGGAGCAGCAGTTGCAGCAGCTTCACTGTGTAGGTGGGCTCCTGGTCTGTAGACATGCTTCCTTCAATCTGGACTCCACTGAGGTCCTGAAATCTGCACCGTCACCTCAGGGGGCCTCTGAAAACACCATCAATAACAGCATGATGAGAATCTCCACAACATTTGACTCCACTCTCTGTAGATCAAAACGTGCAAGAGTGCTGTTATACAAACATTAAGTCAAGAACTACACACCTGTTTGCCTAAATAAACCAAACCACCCTGGTGTTTATCCCTTTATTTCTGCCCTTATTCAAACCAAGAGGACGGGTGTGTATCCACATGGTCCAGAAACTTCCGCATTGTTGTCAAGGTAACGGGGTATCTGTTGTGACCTTTATCCCCCCCTGTGCAGCCCTTTATCACGCCGAGAGTGACATGCATCTTCAAGTTAAGAGACCCCTCTTAAACTTACCACACAAAGCTGAATAAGGTTAACTCCAGCGGCCAAAACTTAAACTAACCAGCCGGAATTAACCATTAACCCCACAGACAGACAGACAGATAGCAGAAACAGACAGGCGGGGCGGACACTACTCCACAAAGTCACCTCTGATAGTAAACTGACTGAGGCTGACAGCTAGATTTAGTCAACAATAGTGTTAAGTCAGAGGGTAACAGCGGCAGCTAACATTAGCTCAAGTTAAACAGCTGAACTTTCGCTTCACCATTGAAATGTTTCTTGGTCTGCAGCTCACTGTTACATAAGTCAACTACAATAAACTTTAATAAACTTACTGAGAGTTGGTTAAACTTGAATTTTAAAGCCTGAGTTCACAGCTTACCTGTATTGTTAATGTCTCCTGGTAGTTTGAAGCAGAAGTCTCCGAGTTTGACGCTCCGCTGCTAACGTTAGCCAGTTAACTGAGGTAAGTTGCGTTCCTGGTCTCCTCATTTACTCGGAATTCTCAAATTAGAAATCCTATCTCTCCATTAAAGGTGTGGAAACCAAGGTTTGGTGGCTTTGAATTTCTCATCAGGTTTTAATTTTGTTTCACTTTATTTTAAATCTGTTATTAAATTCAGTTTAGTTTTAAAGATTTTAAGTGCTTATCTGTTTTAAATTACTTCAAATTATCAAATTTTTAGAAAAAGTACCTCATCACACTTGGTTGCCTTTTTGTGGCCAGTTTTACCAAGTCCATCCATTAACTCCTCACTTTTACTTACTTTTGCCCTTAATAAGAGTCCCTCTGTACTGCCAGCCAATAACTTTTTCGATTATTATTTTAGCACCTGAACGCAGCGTCCCTGCAGAAGGGGGCGGGCCGCCTCCGTCTGAATGTTCGCTTTAGAAAAATGCCCCTTCAGCTCTGACTGCAGACACAACAGGTTCCCTCAATACAGCTGGTTTTATTCAGGGGCTTCCACTGAAGAACTGGTTTGGTCTACCCCTGCTGGTTTGTCACTGGTGACTGTCAGCTAAAAATAAAAAGGATACACTGCTAAAAATAGCGAGAGGAAGTTCTGATGTGACTTCGGTTACACTTTCACATCTAGAGTCCTACCTTGAAATGATTTTCTCTGGGATTTACATGTGGGCGGAAAAAAATTAAGTCTTCTAATTTATCAAGGCTTGTCACTTTCACGAGACCAAAAGTAACAAAAAAAAAAGGACTCATATACATATATCAAGATATATTTACATGGGAATTATACTTTTAATGCCTTATGTGTTGTTATAAATAACCATGAGAAATCACATTTACACTCTGATGAACTGCAGTGTTCCTGAAGTAAAACTTGTTTAGCAGCCTGAATCTGGCCCTCTGTTGGGATCAAGTTATTCCTGCAGAATCAAGAATATTCAGCAGCACAGACAGTTTTTGATCAGGCTCCGAAAAAAAGAAGTTGGTTACACCTCTTTTCTTAAATTTTTACTATTTTTTTTTTTTAATTGTTGTTGTTGTCAGTTTTTTTTTTTTTTTTTTTTTTTTTTTTTTTTGTGTGTGTGTCTTATTTTCATTTTGTTGTGTGGGTTTGTTATGCTTTGAAGGCATATGTTTGGATATTGTTTTGGTCCTCCAATTGTGTGAAAGGAACCAGCTCCCATTCAGGATTAGAAAATGGTGATATGAAGTGTTCTGTTTTTCTAACATATTTGTTTAGATATCAAGCCTGTTATATGATGTGATTTATTAGATTTATTTTAAGTTTCTCTTTGTAAGTGAATATTAGATATGGGGGCACGAGTTCTATGTACATATGCTGGTAACAGTTGGTAACACCCGGTGTGACTGTTGTATAGTTCAAAAACCCCACTCTCAATAATCCCCTGCAAATCCTCCATTGTGAAATGTTTTAAGTTTAAGGTAACACACTTATATGAAGTCTATCATTTATGAGCATCAGATGTAAAAAGTATGGCATGATTTCTTTTCCCCTAAAACTTCAAACCTAATCATTACTATTCAGAGTTCCTGAGAGATCTTAAAAGTGTTGTATATTAATCATATGCAAAGTTCACGATCAATTAAATATAATGTAAAAAATATATAAATATAACTGTGAAATGATCAGCGCAGTTAAGAGCAGGATGTAGAATAAACAGACTGCAGGTTGTGTGTCACGTCCATGTGTTTGTAAAAACAGGTGAAACTCAGAGACAAAACACAGATACTGTTATTCTTTTATCAGAATTGTAACAGAGCTCAGTGTGCAGTCACTTTTTCTCTCTCTCCTCCCTTAGGAAGATGTTTATGAATAAACATTATTATTTACTGCTCTTTGCACTGGCCCTAATGTGCAGTCAGTCCATTTTAACTTAATTTTTCTGCGTTCAGTCTATGAGGAGGCCATTCTCTTTCAAACACTCAGTCATTATTTATCCATAAGCTGTGAGTCAGCTGATTAGCAGCTCATCTCTGAGTTAGGACGAGATCTTGATCACTGCTCTCTGCTCTGCTTGTCTACTCTGCTTCGCGATGGGCATCCAAGATCTGCTCCTGCTGCTGGATCTGAGGAGACTGCTGCTTTTTACGTCTGCTGTCCTCCTCCTTATCTACTTTCTGAACAAAAAGGATCCTCCAAACTTCCCTCCAGGCCCTCTATCCCTCCCCATTTTAGGAAACGTCTTCAACATTGAGTCTCAGCAGCCTCACATCTACCTGACCAAGGTAAGACATCAGGACATCATCATCATTCTGCAGAAACTCGACAGAAATAAAAAATAAAAAAAGTTTAACAACTCTCTAGTTTTAGCATCCAGAAGAGGAATATCTTTAAACAAGTTTAAAAAAATAAAAAATAAAATTTAAATCATAGTTAAAACTCCTGGAAGTAATTTTTAGTTAGTTTATTTTTAGTTTAGCCCTTTTTAAACATCTCTCCCTCCTTCTTTATCCTCTTTCTGTCTGTGTCATTAACTTGGAATCATCATATCCCATTAAAATCACTAATACTCAGTCTTTATTGGGAGTCCCCGAGCTCCATCATCAATAGGTTCTTCTGGATCTCTTATGGAAATATTCAATCTTTATGCTGATGGTCTCATTTGCTTTGTAGCCCAGTTTAATTTCAGTTTTTTTCCATCATCATCTTAAAAGTCTTTGCAGAAGCTCCAGTGGAAAAAAAAAGCAAACTAAAACCTGAGCAAAGTCATTCACATTGTTTCAAAAATGCATTTTCTTAAAGTCACATGTTGTCAACAGGCTGCTTATTCTTCATCCACAGCTTGCTGATGTGTATGGGAATGTTTTCTGCATTCGTCTGGGCCGACACAAAACTGTGTTTGTGTCTGGATGGAAAATGGTGAAAGAAGCCATAGTGACACAGGCAGATAACTTTGTGGAGCGACCTTATAGCCCGATGGTGACCAGGATTTACTCGGGGAACTCTGGTGAGTCAAACAAAGAGCACTCACACATACAGAGCATCTGTGTTTGGGTGTTTAACCTGCCTTAATGTGTCCTCTGTCTCTGTCTCAGCCGGTCTCTTCTTCAGTAATGGGACTGTGTGGAGGAGACAGCGGCGGTTTGCCATGGCTAAGTTGCGCACCTTTGGTCGAGCTGAGAGCTCCATGGAGCAGAGGATCTGTGAGGAGAGCTGTTATCTTCAGGAAGCAATGGAGAGGAAGAGAGGTTTGAGAAGCTTTAAACCAGAAAGAATAAAACAAGAAATACAGACTTAACTGACTCATAATATCTTACCTGTTCAGGTGAGCCTTTTGATCCAGTGCCCCTCTTAAACTATGCCGTGGCCAACATCATCTGCCAGATTGTGTTTGGGAGACGCTTTGACTACTCTGACCGAAACTTCCAAGGTATGCTGAAGAATCTAACAGAGGTGGCCTACCTGGAGGGCTCTGTCTGGGCTCTGGTAAGAATGAAATAATGTCAGTTACATCTAACAAGCTCTCATGGCTAAACCCTGAACACTGCTCATATCATAATACTGGTCAAGACAAGCGACATTTCATAGTAGTGGTCTGTTATTTCTTGAAAGCACACACTGTTTCTGTGAAGAGCAGACCGTTGCTATGAAGAGCAGACCGTTGCTATGGGTTCAGCGCAATCATAGAGTGTGGAAGTCTAACTTTGATTATGTCGATCCACTAAAATTAGTCTGGTTGATTTGACGTCAGTTTGATCATGATGGGTGAAAAATGGTTTCATTTCGCTTACAGATTTTACAAACCATGAATTCACACTTGAAAAATGTGTTTCCGTTTCATTGCTATGTAGTCAACAAATTTTGGTCACCTTTAGCCTGACTTTCTTGATGAAGTAAAACGTTTGCTCAACAAAGACAGATGCAGTGTGACTGGGACTCACAAGAGGGGGATACAGTGAAGCTAAGACTCACCAAGGACATACACAGTGAAACTCAGAGTCATCAAAGATGAATGCAGTGTAACCAGGACATGGTGGAGACAAATACTGTAAAAATGAGACTGAGCAAAGAAAATTACACTCAAACTGCTGCTCAGCTGAGACAAGTACAGCGTAACTAAGACTCAGTGGTGCATTTACAGTGTAACTGAGATTTACCTGTGACACATACAGTGAAACTGAATGAAGACATACATTTTAAAAGAGACTGTGGAAAAAAATATTGTAAAACTTATACTCAGTGGATACAAATACAATGGTTAATGGAGACAGCTCAAGTGAAACTAAGCCCCATTGGAATCTTAGTCATTAGCACCCTGTTAGTCGGTGTCCTTTAGAGAAACCCTGGTGTTGATCTCAGCCGAAAGGTCATTGAATTGGACACTGGTTTGTCTCAAGTTGTTGGAGGTGACATCTAAATAACAAATCTTGTTATCTCCAAACAGCTCTATGACTCATTTCCATCTCTGATGAAACACCTGCCGGGGCCTCACAACGGCATCTTCTCCAACTCCAAGTGTCTGGAGGCGTCCATCAGAGTCGAGGTGGAGAGACACAAGTTAGACCTGGACCCGAGCAACCCAAGGGACTACATTGACGCTTTTCTGATTGAGAAAGTAGGAAAATTAATGTATTGTCAGACAGAAAAAATGATCAGGGCCCAGGGATGTTAAAAAGGTTTAATCTGGGAAAAAAAATCCTCAACATTTCATCATTTCATTAGATGTAATCCCAATCACCAGTGGAGATCTTGAAGGGTTGAATTTGGCGCCTCCTGTAGACAGTCCTCTGCAGGGATCAGGATAACGCCAATTTTGTGTATTATTGTCATCCCAATCCTGTTCAGAGGTCATACTCAAACTGAAGGCCATGCAGTCCTTCTTGTTATTTAACCCAACAAGTTTTTATGATTTGATCCATCCATTACTCAGATCTGATCAGACTGCTTTTGAATAACCAGGTCTTGAATATGAGATCCAAGAACTGACCCTGTTTGAGTCTGTGTCTTACAGCGCAGGAGAAATGGTGAACTTGGTTTTGATGATGAAAATCTGGTCTTATGTTGTCTGGATCTGTTTCTGGCTGGAAGTGAAACAACATCGAAGACACTGCAGTGGGGCCTCATTTACCTCATCAACAACCGCCACATTCAGGGTGAGCACAAAGGTGATAAATCATCATGATAAGAAGAAAATGTAACAATACCAATCACACCTAAGGAAAGTATTTCAGACAAGACCACTTTTGTATTAACAGAATTATTTGCTTGCAGTAAATTATATTTGGTGGTATGGCTGTGGTCTGAGAGCTCCCTTCCAGATATGTCAAAATTTCAGAGCCTGAGGTGGAAAAACACACCTTCTCTCCATTTTATGTGCATGTATGTGCAGCAAAGGCAGGGAGAGCAGTGGCAAAGGCCCCAGGGGTACAGAACATAGCTGGTATTGCTTTGTGGGTTGCAAAGCATTTTGTAGAGGAAGATTCGGCAGGATTAAGTAGGCAATAGAACAATCATTTTTTGCTCTGGGCTGATAGAGGCTGATGTAAAGATCAGCTGATGCTCTGTGGGCAGAGCTTGACTTCATGGCATGCCTGGAGTAACTCTATGCTCCATTTTAAAGTTTGACCCATATCCCATTTGTTAACATGGAGAAGGTAAGCTCAGTGACCTATACCTCAGCAAGTCCAAGAGGGAACTTCTTATGATGTGTTTCCACTAAGGGGTCTGGTCTAGTATGATTCAGTAAATTATGATCTGTCCTGCATTTTCTATAGACTGTACCCTACCCTGGCACTTCATGCAGGATGCATGTTGGCTGCATGATGGCCTTAGAAAGGTTTGATTTTTGGCATGCATATTAACAGATATGTCAAGGTTTTCCGATCATTTTCTCCAAGCCAAGCTGATCTTGTACAAAATTACCCAGGAAAATGGTAAATTGAGGGCTGTATTGGCCCTGTATAAGTCATGTTTATGTTAGAAAAACACACTATAACACAAATAACTGCGTACAGTTTCAAACCAGACTGAAGTTTATATAAATATCAGCACAGAGGTCACACTAAGTAATTAATCAAAAATCGTATATTTCAGATAAAGTTCATGCAGAAATAGACGCTGTGATTGGACCGACCTCTCAGCCCAGAATGGCCAACAAGCCCAACCTGCCCTACACGGATGCTGTGATCCACGAGATCCAGAGGATGGGAAATATTGTTCCTCTAAATGGGCTCAGAATGGCCGCCAAGGACACAACGCTGGGCGGGTACTTCATACCAAAGGTACTTCCCTTAAAACCTGCCGTCACCTGAGGGTCAGAACAGACCTGCACAGTGAGCCAACTTTCATAAATCAAGATTTTCTGTATTGCTTTACAACTTTGCAATAATCAGACATGATATGTCCACCAAAAGTTACTGAGCCGTAGGCTCTGAGTCTCTTATTGTAAGATTGCACACATGCAGCATGCTGCAATGATAGCAAATGTAAAGACAGGGTTGTTGATCTCCCTTTCCTCCTCTTCCTAGTGTCCTGCCACTGCTCTCAATGCTGGGTGGTTACTTTAGGATAATAAACAAACTTTGATCAATCTTGAATCGTTTTGTTTTGTCTTGTCTGACTTCATGATATTAAAGATATGAAATCCCCCTTCTTGGTGTCTGCAGGGAACTTCGGTGCTGCCCAACCTGACCTCGGTGCTGTTTGATAAGAACGAATGGGAAACCCCCGACAGCTTTAACCCCGAACACTTCCTGGACTCTGATGGAAAGGTTGTGAAGAGGGAAGCATTCTTGCCTTTCTCTGCAGGTAACTTTGACCTCTTCATGATAACTCTCAATCTGATCGTCTACTTACAGAACCAGCTTTTGGACATTTGAAGAACAAACATTGAACTCTTTCAGGAACATTTAAGTGTTTTGTCTGTTCTTGCAGGAAAGCGTGCATGTCTGGGTGAAGGTCTGGCAAAAATGGAGCTGTTCCTGTTTTTTGTCAGTCTGGTTCAAAGGTTTAATTTTTCCACTCTGGATGGAGTGAAGCTGAAAACAGAGGGAATAACTGGAGCTACACGCACACCATTTCCCTTTGAGATTCACGCCACAGTGCGCTGAACCTGAGCCTGACAGGCTGCGGACTGAGAGGAGATGATAACCAATGTTTTACACACTAACAGGTGTTGCGACTGTGCCGAGGTTTCCTGACACCTACATGCTACTTTAGCTCAAAAATCTTCTTGCAGCCTTCATCATTTAATCTATATTTGGATGAAATACAGGGCCAAGCTGTTCAAAATCTGAAGATTGGATCAAATCTTGATCAAGGGTAACTCAATAGAAAAACAAGGAAAACATGACAATGTTTACAGTATGTGCTCGAGCTGTCGCAGCTTTCCAGTATTGGCAATAACTGTCTTCATGGAAAGATAAACATTTGTTATGGTGCAAAAATTCACATTTTTGACTGTGAGTTCAGAGAAGTATACCTTCCACCAGTTTGACACAGGTCATAAAACAGAGGAGGAACAAAGAAGCAGCTGCTGGTGAGCTAGCTTTGGCATCCCTCTGAGAGATGTTTAGACACTTTTAAAAACTGAACCACATTAGAGCTAGTCTCTCTTCAGGTTACTAATCAATTTAACATTTGTACCATCTGACCTTTTTTATTTTTCATCATGATTAGCCTCTTATCATCTGCAGAAAGTATCCTGTACTTCAAAATAAAAGTAAATTTTTGGGGCATGACTTCCAGAATTTAAACACTGAGTCACTAGGTGCAGCGATGTCTTTCGCTGCTCCTCATTGATGCTAATACAAAGACTTTCTGAGAGAAGCAGAAGGGACTCCTGTTTATAACTTGCAATTATGTTCAAACTACTTACTGTTGAAACACCAAAATCATATTCAAGTGTTCAGGAAGTCCGTATGATGACCACAGTCTTTTTTTTCTGATAAGAGCTACCGTTTTGTCAGAATAAACCCAAATATGAGACCAATGAGGAGAAGGAAAATTGCCCTGCGGTGCATAAAGTAATACCAAGACTCCCCAGCACACGATTAAAGTCGTCCTTCAGTTAAGTTTGTACAAGTGCAACATGAGACACTAACTGGTATTCAGGGTGTTTTATTTTGAAGGCCAGCTGAACAAAGTGCAAGAGCAGAGATTTGCAAAGCTGTCACTTAAAAGGTTTTTGAGTTAGATGGATGGAAATTTGTTTGATCTGTGAAGTTTTACTGAAATTATATGTATTTCAGACTGATTAAAAAAAAAAGGAGAACTTTAGAAAAAGAAGAATTTATTTATTCACAAGATTTCCAAAGTATGGTATATTATTCACTCTTTAAATTCCTAGAAAGTTAAAAAGACACTCTCATTTTTTTGTTTTAACACAAACAAGAACCTTCACATAGTTTGAGCTACATTTCATCCCATTTCATACTTTCACAGAAATGCTCTATGGTTCCTTATCAGATGTTGTCAGTGTTTCTACAAACTTACAATCAAAAGTCATTTCATGAAACTCTGAACTCTATAATGTTTAATTCATGATGAAATTCCGCTGCTCCATCGACTCTTTAACACAAACTTCATTAAACACGATCAGCTGAGTTTAAACTGTCAGAGTGAAGAAACTGAGAGACCAGACTGGCTCAGAGGCTGGTGTTGATGCTGTTTACATCACAGATTATCATGTCAGATTATAAACTAGATTACTAAACTAGATTTTAAGCAGATAGAAACCCCTGTAGTGTGTGAGCGAGTAGAAAAGTAGTTTGCTCGCCCTGATAAAGGGATCTGTGATTTGTGTACTAGCTGCATCGTTGATCACTTCGGAGCGCTCTGAGGATTTTCACAGCTTAATTTAGTAAAAAACTGGGACTGATGGTTGCGTCTTAAAGCTGTCGGTGTCCAGCACCAAATATAAAACTCTCCTTTTTGAAGAAACCTGAAACGTGTTTCATCAGTCTGCTGGATTTCAACATGTTCCAGTTTTAACTCTTAAACTGCATAGAATAAAGGTCCAAATCTTCACATCTACAATCATCTAAAGTCATCTTAAGTTAAAATCACATTTTTAAATATTACAGGCTTCATTTCCAAGTAAAATTATTCTACATTCCTTTAATTTTCTGTCTCAGAGACTTGAAAAAAAAAGCTTGTCTCCGTCCAGCACAGCTGAGAACTGGTGTGTTTAAGGTCACTTGAGTGCTCACTTTAAAGGGGAATTGTGGGGTTTTACTTGGATGTGGGCACGCTGACGGAGAGTGCCCTGCGGGGGGCATTGGAGACCTGCCGCTGCTGAGACAGGAAGGACGGGCCGGGGGTCATTACAGAGGAGGAGCAGCCGCCGCCGAGACGAGATTCAATCGCCAGCTTCTGAAAGTTCAGACTCTGAAAAACAAAAGTGAGGATAAGCTTAGTGATGAAAATAAATCTGTGAGCTTCAGGTTTGTCAAAACAGGCTGAGATGATCCATAACCAGGACAGTGACAGAACCAGGGCCTGATCTACTGAAGGTCTGCATGTGTTAAGATGTGCAAAAAATATCTATCTATCTATTTATCTATCTATCTCTTTTAAATGTGCAAGATAATTCTGCATCTAAATGAAGCAACTTTGACTAAAAGGTGCTAGTCCAGGCATGCTGTGAGAGGAGAAGACAGAATTACAGACACGTGAGTCTGACTCAAAGTCATTTCTCATGAGCTTTTCTGAAGTTTTTCATTCAATAATCTTTAACAGAGAAAAACACTATGACTAAACACAGATTTATTTGTATTTGTCACCAAACTAAACTGAACATTCATGGCCAAAGTAGCTTAAAGAAATTTAACACTCGTGTCTTCTTGCTTCCCTCATATTTTCACTTTTCTACCAACTGGAATTTCCTCTTTTGTGGGCTGTACGTCTCTCCCTCTCCACATTTGTCTCCCTCAGTGTATGAAGGACAGAAAGACCTCACCTCTGCTTGGACCTCATATTTGATCTTTGTATCCAGGTATTTATGGCCATTTTATTGACCAGATGCAGCTCTGACCAGCAAGACAGCAACGCATGAGATTTCTTTGTTCTAGCTCACAAATATATTTTTCATCTTACAGCGATACCTCTGATGGGTCTGAATTTCATTGTGCATTTGTTGTCAGTTTGTTTTTCTGTCCAAAGTCTCTGTAGTGTAAACCTTCATTCAAATACTCTCGCCTCCTCAGTCTTTGCACCTGATCATCCTAATCCTGTTTGAACAATATGAACAACTGCCTTAACTTGGCCTCGGTGTTTGAGTAAAACTATCTTATACAATGAGTGTTAACTAAAGTGTAGCTGAACAACAGACTCAGTTTAAAGATGGCTGAATTCACCTTGTTGTACCAGGCTGTGACGATCATCTTCTCCTCATACTCTCTCAGTCGTGCCTGTTCACACTGACGCTGCAGAGAAATCCAAACTTTTTTATTGTGAAAGTTCAAAAAATAAAAATTCAACATCAAACTCAGGGAGCAGGTTTACCTCCAGGTTCAGGATCTGTTTGTCTCGGTCTGCTAACTGATTCTTAAGTGCCTGAATCTCTGCTGTGGCCGGATTCAGCTTTGGATCCAGGGCTCGAATCACCTGAAAGCAGGAAAAGGGAGCCGTCAGGACAGATTGCACAGCTGAAATCACCGACTACACTTCAGGGGAAATGAACAAACTGCTGTAAAAATGACTCTCATAATCAGACAATCAAAAATAACATCTCCTCACGTTCCGAGCTTTCTCCAGGTACATCTTGTATCGCTCCTCCATTGCTCGCATGTCATCGTCTTTCTTTTTCAGAGCCGCCATCAACTCGTCTAGCTTCAGTGCTGAAACACACGAGTACAAAATGTATAGAAATGTTTATTAACACATTTATTAACACAAAATATCCATAACATTACAAATCTGGGGCTCACGTTTGAACAAACCTTGGCTATCTTCAGCCTAGCTTAACATAGAACTCATGCTTAACAGTTCTGCTTATCAACCCAACATGCCAAGGGGTGTTTGTGTTGTTTTGTGTAGTTGTGTGGTTGTGTCTGTGCACTCACAGGTCTGTGTGTTGTCAGGCTGCAGGTCCTCCAGCAGCTCCTTCTTCTTCATGATTTCATCCTGAGCCTCATTCAGCTGCACCCTGAGGAAGAAGAGGAGGAACCTTTTCTTTGCTGCTCTCTACTGGAAGAACTAAATATTTACTTTACTCAGCTGTTGTCCAAGAAGTAAAATTCACACTTACATGTGCGCATCAAGTTTCCGCTTTAGGTTAGACTGAAAAAAGAAGTTTATAAATTATTTTGAAGTTTTGGCACAACTTTCTAAAAATTATTTTAGAGACAAAAAAAAGATTGGAAAATAATCAATCTTGAAAAATGACTAAGCTGTTTTCTTTTGTTGCCTCTTTACATTATATTTTACTGTTCTGCTATGTTATGTTCTGTTTTCATATTAAATACAAATTGACATATTATATAACATTGCATATTTTTGCATATTACACCTTATACTCACGTCATCAGGTTTTGAAGCTTGACTCTGCAGAGCTTTCTGAAGATCTTCCACTTGCTGCTGCAGCTCAATGACTCGCTCTAGGTTCAGCCTGCGGGTTCATCACCAAGATGACAAACATTAAATATAACATTTATTACGAGTCAGTCACAGAGCGGAGAGTAACCCCGTGAGAAAATGTGGTCACCTGTTCTCTGTGTCCAGTTCACTTCGGCTCTTGTGAGCCTCCTCTAAATCAGCCTGCAGGGCGGCGATCTTCTCCCGCTCAAATTCCTCCTGCTGTACGCGCAGCATCTTGTTCTCATGCTGCAGCCGCATGAACTTCTCTCTGCACGACAACACACATATAAAGACACACAGTTACTCATGTTGTAGCTGCAAAACTTAATCTTGTCGGAAAGTATTGCCTGCACTGAAAGGTTACCTGTACTCCACAGGGATTAATTCAGCTGCCAGGTTGTCATGGCTGGGACTGCTTGAGGGGAGCATCCCTGCATTAAACAGAAATAAACTTTATCAAACTAGAGCCAGGATCAGCAGGGCTAGGATTAGGGGTAAGATTAGGAATAGGGCAGTCGTTAGGGTTAGGATTTGGATGAGGGTTAGCATGATTAGGATTAACGCAATAGTTATGGTAGGGGTTAGAATTCAAAGGAGCAGGGTTGGGATTATGTTTAAGGTTAGGAGTGGGATTCAAATCAGATGATTGGTGAGAGACCTGCTTTGGAGAGCTGATTCTGTTGAGCCTGAGTGCAGTGCAGCTCCTCGTTAATCTCCTTCAAAGAGTCTCTCTCGATGATGATCCTCTGCAGGAGAGAAACGGGAGTTAGCGTTGGAGTTTGGAGTTTGTGTTTTATGTGACAAGACTAGTAAATTCAAAGGGAATCACGATCAATCACCATTTTAGAATACTTGAGTTTACTCTCAAAGTTGTAAAATAGTCAAAATGTGCAAAGTTGAAAGGAAAAGAAAGCTACAAATAGTGGAAAATCAGCATAAACTCAGTGAAACAATGCACAGGAGACAGGATGAGCACTGAAGAGCAGTCTGGGCGTCTTTTATTGTACAGATGTAGAAACCAAGCCCTCCTAAGCTTTTCTTCTAGTCCCTTTTACACTGTTAGGTGTGTATCTGAATACAGTCATTGTGTACTGCTTGTACTTCTAATACAATCATTGTGTTCTGCTTTTTCCGCTAATATGTGTGTGTATGTGTGTGCATGAGTCTTCCGTCATCATGGGTACATTATATCTATCCTCTGAACTCTCCCAGAGATTAGTTTTAAAGGCTCTGGCAGACAGATAGTTTTGGTCCCTGCAAAACAGCCTTACTTACAACCTCTCAGTTATGAGGCTGCACAAGTAGGCCAACCCAGATTATTTGTAACCCCTTAATAAAAGATAATCACTCTATATTTCTTGACCTAAATGTATGAAAATATTCTACTACAGTTGCAACACCCCCCAGAGTGAGGGGGTCCTGGACCATTAATCAGCTTTCTGGCTGAACAAGACAGTTATCACATTAGGATTTTCATTTTCAGGTAAATGCCATAAGCTTCAGCAGGTCTGGACCATACTCTTTGTATTACCAATAACAGAGACCCAACATCAAGATAAGTTTTGGTCTCATCTAGTAAAATAAGACAGATAACAATGAAGGAAGTATGTGTACCATTTATAATAGTCATAATGACAGACTGATCTTGATGTTAAATATGGCGATAAACGTCAACAGGTGTAACAGTAGCAGTTGTGTTACCTCTTTCTCCTTGATCACTGTCTCGTGCTTTTCCTCCAACTTCTTCATCTCGAAGGCCAGATTATCTGCTCGCCTCGTCTCCTCAGACAGTTTGTTGTGCAGCTCCTGAACCTGATGGACATTTACGGGATTAGAAGATGAGGTTATATATAAAGTGAGCATAACTTGTTGTGGAAAATCCAGCATAAACAATGCGCAGGAGACAGGATGAGATCTGAAGAACAGCCTGGGCGTCTTTTATTGTACAGATGTAGAAACTGGTACAGATGACAAACAGAGTCTCGACCAAGACCAAGGGAAGCCTCCCTAGCTTTTATGAGTGTGTGTGTGTGTGTGTGTGTGTGTGTGTGTGTGTGTGTGTGTGTGTGTGTGTGTGTGTGTGTGTGTGTGTGTGTGTGTGTGTGTGTGTGTGTGTGTGTGTGTGCAGAAGGCTGCCCATGACGACATGTCTGCCCCACGACACTTTGTTTAGGCTCATCTTGACCCTTGCAGAGATTAAATGTTCCACCAGACAGATAGTTCAGGCTCCTGCAAGACAGCCTTGCTTACAATCTCAGGGTCGTGGGGCTGCAGGAGCAGGCCAACCTAGATTATTTGTAGCTTCTTACTAAAAGATAATTACTCTATATTTCTTAACCTAAATGTATGAAGAGATTCCCCTACGACTTGAAAAAAGGGGATGTAGTGATAACACTCCATTCATGATATGATTCATGACACTACAGTTTTTTCTCATTTTTTCTAAGGATGTAAGAAACCTGGTTGGTGCACAAACATGAGAGGAAAGCTCGCTTCATGAAACCGTTATTTCTGGTGCTTAAATTTTGGTCCTCAACAGCTAAAGATGTTAAATAAATCAGCGCCTCCTCATCAGAAATCAGCTCTTTTGTTGTTCACACTGACCTGTCTCTTATATGTCTCCAGTTGAGCACGGGCGGCATTAGCTTTGCGCAGTTCCTCCTCCAGGCTGAAGGTGTTTTGCATGTAGGTCATGTTGTTCTCCTCCAGCAGCTTCATCTGCCTCTTCAGGTCTCCCAGATTCTCCAGTTTACGTTTGTACGTTTCCACTGAAGCCTCCAGCATCACCACACGGTCAGAGCAGTTTCTACAAGGAGGCAAAATCAATGAAAGATATCATTTTTAATGGATAGTCGTGTGGGACTTCAAATACAAGGAGAGCAGGTGTTTATCTCTTGTTAAACTATCTGTTTAACATTATTTATTATCAATCTGCTTGACAGACTCTACGCTGATTAAATAAAATCCTCCCTTTCCTTTGAGCTCACTCTTATAATAATAAAAAATAAAAACAAACTTCAACTTGGTTAAAACCTCTCTAAACAAACCTCAGAACGTCAAGTTCATCTTTCAGAGCTCGAGATTCTTCAGCCAGACTGGTCAGTTCGTCGTTTCTGTGCTGAACCTCGATCAGCTGTTTCTCCAGGTCCTCACAGTGGATTCTGTAGTCATCTTTGGCTGCCTCCAGCCTGAGGGGGTAAACAGACAGATTAAGACCAGTTTAGACCGGTCCAGAGTAGTTTAGATGGTTTGAGACTGGATCAAACTGGTTTGGACTGGTTTAGGCTGGTGTTACACAAGCTATGATTGACTTAAGACTGGTTGGGAATGTATTACTGGTTCAATATGTTAAACTCAGACTGATGAGAACTAGATTAGACTGGTTCAGACTGGTTCAAATTGGTCATGACTGCTTTGACACAAGTTAAGTTTGGCTTTAGACTGGTGAGACTTGTACAACTGTTTGGGACTGATTTTAAAACAGGACTTATTTGATTTAGACTGGACACAGGTTCAGACTGGTTTCACTGAGTATAAGATAAGGTAAAACCGATTTGGACATTTACAACTGGCTTCATATGGTTTATTCAAACTGTTTAAAACTGGTTCAAGCCGGTCCAGACTGGTTTTGCTCAAGCTTAAGTTATCTTATATTGAGTAACATTTATACAACCAGTTTGGATTTTATTTTATTTATTTTTTTAATCAGGTAAAATTTGCTCCAACAGCTTCAACTCTCACAGTGTGTTTCTAATGAATCACCTGAAGTTCTCCTCCTGCAGAGCCTCAACCTGCTGCTGCAGCTGGCTGTGTTTCCGTCCTGACGGTGTGCTGGGGTCATCAAATGTGTCCAGCTGATTGGCTCGGTCTGTCAGGACATCGTTCTCTGCCAAAAGGCTGTTCCGTTCTTCCTGAAGAACAGCCACCTGTGGAGGTATGTTCAGGTTCAGGTACACTCAGGTACAGGAATATCAGGGTTCAGGTAAAGCTAGGTTGTGGTACACCAAGTTTCAGGTACAACAGGGTTAACATACAGCTGAATTCAGACACACTGGAGTTCAGGAAAACTTCGAGTCAGGTACATCACTGTTTAAGTATACTGGGGTCAACACACCCCAAAGTCCTCATGCATTCAGGTTTGGTTACAAAAGGTTCCCTGTTAAGTAGGTTCAGGTGCATTTGGGTTCAAATTCAGTCGTATTCAAGTTCCTTTGAGTTTAGATATACCAGGGTTCATTTAAAGTCGTGTTCAGGCAAAGTTAGACCCTGATACAGTCTGCATCAGGTACAGTGGGATTGAAGTCAACCACAGTTAAGGTACAGTCAGATTTAGGAGCACCAGGGTTGAGGTACGATGAATTTCAGGTCTAGTCAAGTTTGGATGCACTGAAGTGCAGACATGCTGTCAGCAATGATAACATTTTTTTATCGGTCTCACAAGAGCAAGAATAATTAAGAGGTGATATCACACTTTTCATGCAAGGTTACAAATTTACTGCTGAGCATCACACACACAAGACAACCTCCTTCCCACGTCCAGGCTGTTAGAGCAAAAATTAATTAATACATTTATATACAAACATGTTGTTAATGTTAGTTAAAAACACACAAAACCAAACTGTTAACTACAACCCTGACTTCAGAGAAGTTAGAACACTGTATAAAATGTTGATGTTTATTGAAAGTAGTGCAAAGAAAGTGCATCAAATAACTGAAAACTGAATTTCCAGCACTTATTAACCATTTGAGCACTGTTTAAGTCTTATTAGCGGTAGCTGTACACTAATTCATTTTACTATTAACAAAAACTGTTTGAGCAAAGCTTCAGCAGCTTTTCAAAGTCTCTCTGTTGACAAAAACAACACAGGGGTTATTGGTCAGTTATTACAGATTATGAACAATGTCTTGCTGTTAGCTTTTGTTAGCATCTGTTAGCTTCTGTTAGCAGTAGCAACTGCTTTTCAGGGTTTAGTTCTCGGGCGGCCATATTGGACTCACCTTCCTGCAGCCTCAGGTGAGACACATCTGTTGAGAGTTCAACATGCATTCACAGTTAAACTGAGTCTTTACAGTCCTGATGGAGGACTTCAGTCAGACCGGACTAAAGAACAGGACCAGCAGGACCTGCAAAGTCCACATCAGTGTGTGAGTGTGTGTTCACCTGCATGTCGAGCTCCTCACAGCGCTGATTTAAAGCTTCTTTTTCTGCCAGAAGTTCAGAAAGATCCTCCAGAGCTTTTTTCAGCTGCACAAGATTAAAAAATAAAATCAACACAAACTCAAAAACTTCTCTTGTGCGCAGCTTTTCTCTGGCCTTTAGCTTTAGTTTGACTGACATGGAGGACTCTGAATGACTTTAATTTTCAGGGGGATGATCTAACTGTCAACACTCTTCCCCATACTCCTCCTCACTCCAGCAGATCAGTTTGGAAAAGCAGACATTTTTTTTCATAAACTCTTTACGGCTTTCAATCTGACAACCTTACAGTAGCTTCACTAGGATACATAGTTTAAAGGGAGGAAGAACAGATTTGAATAATGTCAGATAATGTCAGTACGATCAGTAAACAAACTGACCTGTTGCTCCAGGTCTCCAGAGCTTGCTCCAAATGGGCTGGCAGAGTCTTTACTCATGAGCTGAGGGGAAAAAAATAATTACATTAACATTTAACAAATGTTCTTAATTTTTTTTTTACCGAAACAGACTGAAGTCTAACCTCTACTGCCTTGAGCGCTGTTATCAAACCTTTAACAGACCATGACAATTTCAAACTCTGTTTGTTACACTGCTGATACCTGAGCACAGGTACTTGTTCAAACTCTTACTGACCATCTGTACATGTGTATTTTATCTTCACACACCATTATTTTTGTTGTAATTCACAGCGTTTTGTCATAACTTCTGCAGCATATCACATTATTATGAGAAATTGTCACTGCTTTGCTAAAACTTCTCTAAATGTCTGTTATTGATATATTTTTAATGCTGTGAGCAGACACTGGATCAGAAAGGTGTTGATTGTAAAGTTTTTATATTTTTAAAGAAGCTGTTGTTGATCCCTTTAACACCTCTGATGTGTAGAGTCATATTATTGTTACAGTTTTCATAACTTGATGCTATCAGGACACTATTAAAGCTGTTTGATCTCTTTAAACATATCCAATGTGTGTGTTTCACTGTTGTTGCTTCCACTTATTTCATATAATTGAGTAATATAGTTGTTCATGTTTTCTGTTATTGATCCCTTTAACTTCTCTCAGTTTGTGTGTGAGGTGGAACTGACCTCCTGGATGGCGGTCATGACCATGTGCTGCACAGATTCCTCCAAGGTCATGATGATCCCAACGTACTCTGTGAGCAGAGGGAGACACATCAGTCAGTTACATGAATATCCTACATCATGAGTGATCAGGTCTTTACAGCAGGTTGGCAGAGAAATACAAGTATAGTAATTTCTTCTCTTCACGTTCAGTCCTTTCAGTGGGTGTGTAAGGACGAATGTTTGTGTAAGACTCCAGCTGTAATGTTTAACCAGCACACACACCTTTTTTTCTCTCACAGTTTACTGCACAGCCCAGCACAAGCTGCAGCAGCCTCCCCAGCTCCACAGGGTCTGAACGCTCCGCCACCAGGGCCAGATCAGGGAAAGGAAAGTCTGAGATATCCTGAGTCAAGACCTGCAGGTCCACAGAGACCAGAGGGATTTTAAACCCAGCCTGGAAACAGCTGAGTGATAGATCAAACACTTATATATTTATATCCCTCCCTACATTATCAGAGTTTAAGTTGTGGTTTAATGTGTATGTAGACTAGGATTTGTTGTTGACCCTCCACATCACACAAACTTCAAACACAGCTATTTTGCCACATCACAAACAAGTTCATCTCATCTCAAAATGGTCTAAAAAAGAAGACCATGCATTTATAATTAGCTTCCTTGTCTTGTAGGTTCCTGTCTTACTGCTTCTGGAATAAACTTTTATCAGTCTTACATTGGACTGTGCCTCTTATATTAGTATTATTTCGATTGTTAATGCTGATATTGCACAAAATCTGTCAATATTTATAGGTACTGTAACCATTGGTCAGTCTGTCTGTCCCAGTATACTGTAGATGTCAAAAGTTGATCTGATCCCTCTGAGATTTAGCAACAAGAGCAGCCAATCTGCAACGGCCCAGACTATCTTCATTAGGAGAAACATGCTGCAAATTCAAGAATGGTGCAAAGTGGAAAAACATGGAAAAATCCAAAACAAATGCAACCTTGGAAACGTGCTGCACCTGCATACAACGACTGCATTATTAGTGAACCTGCTCAATACACAATGAAAGATTTGAAAAAACATACAAAACCAGAAAAACCTATGCAAAAAGAAAACAATGCAAATCTAATATTTGTTTTGGATTTGTGCAAGTGTTTTTACATTTGCAGCCTGTTTTTCCTTCTGCAGAGAATCACACACCCAGTTTCACAAACCACCAGAACCACCCACCTCATTATAATAGTCCAGCACCATCTGAAGGATCTTCTTCAGGTTGTTCATCTGAGAATACAAAAAAAGTTTAATATTATTTACTCATGTTTCTAAGGCCTAACAATCATATGTCTTGAAGAATTAATAATCCTATACATGAACTCTTTTCTGATCCAGTGTCTTAGTGAGTCCAACATGAACCAAACCTGGAGCTGAGAACAGAGCTGGGAGTAAACCTCACTGAGACTTTACATCTGACAAAGAGCTGATAGCTCTGCCCTGTGCATCAGTTAGAGTAGAGCGCTGTTTGTGTAACTTTTACACTGAATAAGGAGCAGATGCAGGTTTAGAAAGTCAGACTAGTCAGTGAATTGAGATTAAGAAATCCTGAAACCCAATGGCAGTGCATCTTGTTTACAGTATGACTGACAATTGAGAGTAACCTGTAATAGGACACTACTCAGATAGAGGGTTGATTTTAAGTTCTGCTGTGTTGGGTTGTGGTTTAATACCACAGGATACAGAACAGCTGTGCTCCACTCCTGAACGGCAGCCTGATCAAATACTCAAGCTTTATAATCAATGTGTGTGATTCCACACAATACCTTAGCCATCTGGCTCCGCTGCGGATCTACTCCAGCAGTCGGAACAGATATGCAAGGCTTCTATTTTTGCCGGACACCGCAGCACAGCGCATCAATTCAGTTTAGCGCAGCCCGAGCGGCAGCGTAAGTTGTGTGCAGCTACAAAGTAAAATATCTGGTAAATTTTCAAAATAAAATAAAGTCAAAACATTGAACTGTTCTTCATGTGATAATAGGAGGGGCCAGAGTTATGGGATGTGGGTGGTATGTTCGCCGCTGATCTCATTCAATGTCTCACAGTGAAACACGCAAGATCTCCTGAGATCTCCTCCAGTCCCACGAGAAATACAATATTGGTAATACCGCAAGTGCTTCTCCTCCGCTTGCGGCAGCGAATCGGATCCAGTGGGCACTGTATCCTCGCGATTTTGATCTGCCTGCCATTCCAGAGTGGAGCCTAGCGGATCCGCATGCAGCGGGATCCCGGCGCAAGTCCAGCCTGAATGGAAAGCCCCCTTTAAATTGCAGCCTGTGTCACAAAGAACTTATCTTTGTCTCCACCCTGCAGGAGCTGATCGCCCTCAGGTTTGATTGATTGGCTACTTATGTTTAATCATTTGTTATGCACACAAAGTGCCCAAACCTCACAGCAACTCATGCAGATAGACTAATGATGTCAGTCTAACATCTGGGCACTTCACTGATGGTGAGGATCTGTTATTAGAGTCTGACTTGCTGTAGTTAAAGTATGCATCAGTTTATGCAAACATAAACCTCCCACAAGCTAAGGCCAGAAAGCTAGGTTCATGAGGTCAGTGAGGTCAAAGGTCAAACAGAAGGTTAAGCAGAAAGCAGAGAGGTCAGCAGACAGCGCTGCTCTGTACCTTCAGTCTCCAGTTATCCTCTACGTCAGTTTTGATACGACCGAGCCAGGCATCTGTGAACCAGGCCGGGTCTCTGCAAACACACACACAGCTATAGTTAGGAGCTCTGATTGACTTGGAGGAGGGGGAAAAAGGTCTAAAATGTCATGAAACAATAATAACAAACCATGGACATATAGCTCAAGCATGTAAAGAAAGTTTTAGTACTAACCCTAGACTGTTTTATTATATTTAGACTATGGTCCTTGAATGGTGCGAACAGCACTCTAAAATTAATTTGTCAAACAGAAAACCTCACAAGATTTGCCACTTGGTGAGGGATAATTTTAACTCCTACAGCAGTCTTTTTTAAAATTGAATTTTATTTCTTCATAATTTTTTAACATTAAGGCTTCTATGAGGAACTTTTGGTTTGTGTTGATTTTGCCGCCCTCTGTGGACAAAGAGACACCTCTTAACTTTTGCTCTGTACATGTGGAGCAGTGTCTTCAGACAAAAACCTCATTCTGTTGTCTTTTCACAGTAAAATGTATCCCTCACTGTGAGTATTTGCCATATGATCAATGTGAAAAAGATTGCTTTAGCCTGCTGTCCATCATCTGGTCTGACACCTACCCCCTGACAGTAGTTTCATTCATTAACGTTACAACAGGAAAATTATTAGCCCCACTGCTGATGGTTTAGTTTGTCTTTGAAGGTCACAAAGAGGTATCAGCATCATTTTCAGTCTGTTTGTTAGCCAGTTAAAAACTCCTCACAGTAGCTTTAAAAAAATGAAATCTGAGCAGGCATACATCTTGAACTGTCTATTCTGCAATTCGGACTATGTGTAAAACTTAAGTTGCTAATAAAAGAAGAAAAATGTTGTGTTGTATTTGTGTCCCTCTGGGTCACAAAAAGTACCAAAATGAGACTTCAACACTGAGGAATAAACTGAACTCACTTGTTTGTACCTTTGCGTGCCCCATGAAAGCAAACTGAGTCAAGCTTGATAGATTTATCGATTTATCTACACTTTTAACTCTTGCTACAGTTGTGCTTCTATGACTTACCTTGAAACCACTTCATTTCTGTGTGTGTGTGAGTTTGTGTGTGTATATGTGTGTGATCTCACATTTGATGTAGGGCCTGTGATATTCCTGCTCCGGTGGTCAGTTCCTCCACTGTCCTACACGGGGCAGGAGTGTTGAAGGTCTGCAGCTGAGAGGTAGAAAGTTTCCACATCAGAGGTTTATGTGTGTTTGTTTATTTTCAGGAGGTGGAGACATGTAGAAAAAGCTGTTTGAAACAAAACTATCTCTGAAATCTGATCGCATAAAAGAGCCTGTGAACCTGCAACCACACCTGATAATAAGACCTGGAGACTGCAGGTGTTAAGTTACCTTCTCACAATACACTCTTGAGTTCTGGTCCTGTTTTATAAAAGCCTAGAGCTGCATTACTTCCCACTGAGAGCTTTCTGGAGGAACTTTAAAACTGGTTTTGCACTTTTTTGTTCCTCTAGCTGTGTTTTTTGTGTGATCATCTGCTGAGCTGGTCACATACAGCGACAGTAATTCAGAAACTTTGACTCTAAATCGGCCTGTCTTGTACATTTAATGGTCAAGGGCTGTTCCAGGGGTAGACAGGAGTAGCATGCACCCTAACCTCTGACAGATGAGTGAAAATGAAAGAGATGGGCTTTTTTGAGTAGTTTCTTTGCACTTCAGATGGTACTTTTCTTGTTTGTTTGTGGTTTAAATTGTACAAAAAAGCTTCACCCATTCATTTATTCATTAGCAGGTGCACAGGAGAGGAACCACGAGAAAATTGCAATGTTTGAGAACCAAAATAAGATTCTGAAATTAATGTTTATTTTTTGTTTTTTTTTTATATCCCATGCTATTAAGACACTGTAGTTCAGCTGCTGATGCACCTTTATGCTTCAGTGGTGATGGAAAACAATGACACCATGACTGAATTGCAAATTTCACTTAAAAAATGACTGAACACTCGAGTTAATTTAAATTAGCATGAACTTTGTGTCAAACAGATTAGATGAGATTCGATTAGATGAGATGGCTGCATGAGGATTGGTTCATCAGAAAACTGCAGCATTTTAGAACCAAATATTTCAAAAAATAGAGCCTAAATGTAGGGCTGTCAGAGATAACCTGCTCATCATGACGTGATCAAGGCCTGAAACTGACATGTCTTTTTAGTTAGAAATCACAGCCTGTTACTGCCAACGAGTAGAATTAGCATTTTAGCCACAACTAGCGAGGCAGCCACCAGACTAAAGCAGCAGTCAATTGTATCATCTACATTTACATCATCTAATGTTTACATTTTAAGGCATCTACGTGATCTCCGAGGGGGCGACTTGTTTATTTTGGGTCTTGCATACCTGCAAAAAAACACTCAGGACTGTAAACTAATTCACTGTATCATTTAGCATTCATCTACATTTGTTGTACTGTTGAGTTAAAATATTTGAAAAATATTTTTAATAAATATATTTTTCTAAGTGTATCTTATTCAGTTTGCTTTGTATGTTAATAAGATGTTGAACTAATCTCTAGTTTCTTTAGTTTTTAGTACATATGCTTTAAAACTGGCAGTTTAAAAAAAAATTGTGATTATAATCGAGATCGGACGATATGACAAAATATATTGTGATCTTTTTTTTTTTGCCAAATTGCCCAGGCTTAGTGGAACCCCTGAAAAGTGCAAATGCAGTTGCATTTACTCCACATCATATGTTAACTGCTTGGACATTTTGTACATGCAAAATAAATCCTGTATTTGGCAGAATAGGCCACAGAAGCTGTCTCCTATCTCGGGGTCATAGTTTTGGACATAGTTAAACTTTGGTAGGCTCAGCAGATATGATTATCTCTGTAACATACCTAAGGGTAGACTGAAAAAGGTTGAAAATTATTTTAATGAGTGTGTAAACAATCCCTCTGTGTAAGTCAGAACCCTGGTGCCCCCACTCCCTCCCCATAGACACGCCCCTGTTCACAGGTCTCTTTACTAAGAAGCAGGTGCACCGGCGTTAGCCCCTCCTATTGTCTTAATGTAGATTTGTACCTGCTGCAGGTTTGGCTTTCTATATTTAATCAGTTATATAATGTTAACAATAGATCCAGCGAACAAGAGTCTACAAATATCTGCAGGTTAACTGGATTAACACCTTAAATCCACTGCAGGTTGATGTGTCTGAGGAGGAGGAGGTGTTAGCTTTATGTTTGTTAGCCCGCGGAGCTAACTCATATGTCGCAACAGACCTACAAGAGTAGCGAAACAAAGCAAAAAGAAACTGCGGGTTCACATTTATTGATTGATCCATCGACCTTAAGTTAATTTTAGCTTCACGTTGCCTCACCTTGAACACAGCAACACCCCCACCTGAACGTAAGGACAGGTAAACACCTCCATGATTACGGTTAACCTTGGCCAAATATTGAATTGAAACTCACCCAAATGATCAGGCTGTCGGTCAGTGCTGATTTATTCTCCTCCATTCGATCCATTTTAGCGGCTCGTTAAAGTATTTCTACCTGTCAGCAGATGCCCTCCGCTCCTTTCCTCCGCATCTGACCTCACCTGCAGCCGGGAGGAGAGCTCAACCGCCGGTCACGTACCGTACCTCTACACGGGTGCCTCTCCGCCATAAAAAATACGTAAATGTACGTGAATGACGCAGTTGCGTGATTTTTTTTTTCAGGTCGTGGACAGGCGTATAGTGGCGGCGGCGGCGGTGGTGGTGGTGCCGAGATGGGGGCGGGGGGTGGGAGTGAAGGGGTAGAGCCACAACTAATCAGGGTTTGATACCGTAAAGACTGACGGCTGATGGGCCAATCACTGAGCGTGATGTGTGTTCAACCCTCGGCCCAAGTATTCAGCTGAATTTAGACTTCTCTGCTCGACTCTCATACTAGGTAACGAGTGTAAGTACGGAAAGCTTCTATTTCGTTATTGTTAAGTTATTTACCTTTTTCATTCATTAACATTTTTAGTTTACAACTAATTGTTGCACAATTACATATCAAACCAAAACAAAGCTAGATACCTACAAATCCCAGTATGCATTATGTTTAAAACCACATGAGTTGTGACTAATTTTATGATTGAAAATTATTTATGAATCAAAATTGTGTCCAGACCAAAAAATATCATTTTAATTTTGTTTTACACATCAATTGTGGTATCTATGAGGTAAAACATGAGGTCAAAAACCTAGTATAAAAGTCCACCATTTTAGCTTAGAGGACTAATAAAGTCATCATAGTATGTAGTAGTAGTGGTTCAACTAAGAAAGTAAAGGAGTCTGATGAGAGGATCAGAGTTTCAGTTTAAGTTGTTGAAATGTGTTACTTTTTTTTTCAAAAATACAGCTGTGAATGTTCTGAATCACTTAAAGGCATTCTCACATTTAAATGGCTTTTTACAAAACAGCTTTTTAGCACTTATATGTAATAATAATAAGAAGAATTGTTGTATAGTGTATAATAAATAAAATATACATGAATGTGAGGAAGTGACTGTTATTTAGGGAGAGAGAAGGTGAGGGGGGCATGGATGGAGAGAGGGGGGATAGTAGGGATAGGGCTCACCTTAACCTGCTCCTATGGTCAGCTTACCCCAAACATGGGGTAAGTTGACCATAGGAGACCACTTTTATGTTTACACTCATTCTGTTGGGTTGCAGTGATGCACAACATCTTGAAATATAAGCAGATACTCCAGTTAGAGACAAAACAATAATTGCCTTGATGTAGTGATCTGAAATGTGAAAAATGGCTCATCCTACCCCACTCTCCCCTGTATCAAACCAAAACAAAGCTAGATACCTACAAATCCCAGTATGCATTATGTTTAAAACCACATGAGTTGTGACTAATTTTATGACTGAAACCCTTTTAGCCAGCCAAGGGTTTACACCTGGGTTGCAAGGAGTTTAGATAACATTGTCAGTTGTCTCAAGAGGGGTTAAGTACCTTTTGAAGGTCTCTAACTGAAAATACATATATTTTCCACACTCACTCCTTTCCGGAACAAAAATAAACACTTCCTCGTCACCAGTAATGACTCAGTGGCAGTATTCTGCCTGGCAGCATGCCTGTTTCCCTGAGGGTAAATCATTTCTCATAAACTTAATAAACCAATCATCTTTTTTTCCCACTCACGTGAAGGTAATTAAAACAGCAAGTGTGCAAAATCAGAGACACTCCCTGATCAATATCACGCGTGCAGACGTTCCCTGAGAAATCACATGCAGAAATGGTCAAAACAAGTACTGTGCTTGTGTCGAGTGAGTTAACCATAATGACGCGACTTTATCACAAAGCTTTCTAACAGAGTTCAGCTGCCAAATCACACACTCCCACCACCTAACCTTTACCCACCTGCAGAAGATCACCTTTTTATCTCCTGACCTTAAAGATCCTGACCTCTCTGACTGATGGCAGCTATTTTTAGATGACCTGAACCTCCCTGCGGCCTACATGACACTGCTATCTGAAGCCTGCTGAGAGGTCAGCAAACATATTTCTGCAGTAGCTGACAATCCATTTATCCACCTGTCCATCTGTCATATATATATACACACATATATATATATATATATATATATATATTTTTTTTTTTTTCAATTTATCCAACTATTGTTCTCGCTTTTTGACTGACTATGTGATAATAATGTGATAATGTGTCATGGTTATAATGTAAGAAGACTGCAAAGCTTTGCAAAATGCACAACAGTTTGAGTCTATTGTAGCACACTGTTAATATATCTTGTAGAAACTTAATGATAGAATCAATGCACAGCAGTCACTTAATGATAAGGCACAGCAGTAGTGCTCTGACAGTGTTCTCAAATAGCACAGCATTCATTTAATAATAACATAAAATCATGCATGATTGAAATGTTACAATATTAAACATAATGTAGAATTGGTGCAGAATTAATTTAAAGAATTCATTTAAATATGCAACACAGCAATCATTGAATAATGCAGAATAACAGCAGATATGTGACATTGTTTTAATACACAGTGCTGATGTAATAATACTGTAACAATGTAACAAAGTTATAGACTAGCAATAGTGTAACAATGTAACATAGTTATAATGTAATAATAATGAAACAATATCACATAGTTATAATATAATAATAATAAAGTAACAACATGAAATTGTTAATATATAATAATAATAATGCAACAATATAACATAGTTAAAATATAATAATAATAATAATAATGTAACAATATGACATAATTATAATAATAATAATGTAACAATATGACATAGTTATAGTGTAATAAAAATAATGTAACAATATGACATAGTTATAATATGATAATAATAATCTAACAATATGATATAGTTATAATGTAATAGTAATGGAACAAAGCAACAAAGTTAAACGGTAACAAAAATTTAAATAATTAACAAAGTTTTCAATTGATAATAATGCAACAATTTGGCATGGTTTCAGTTTAACAATACAAGGTAAATACATTGATTGTGTATGCACATTTAAGCATATTTTTATGTATAAATGCAGCAGTGCATCAAGGTAATTATTATGTAATGTATGCAAGTGTCATAATGCTATATGGTTCATGTAAAGGCAATTATAATGTCTAGCTCAGTCATTTATGATGTAAGATAAAAATGGTTATCAAAATGTGAGATAGTTATAGTTAGAATGATTTTATAGAACAATATAGCTCAGCATTAACATATTAGATTGTTTCACAAGGGTAATAGTAATAAAGAGAAGCTGTTATATGTTGTTATTTCTTGTTTTGATAATGTAAACATCAAGAGTAGCTTTAATGTAATAAAGAGGCTTAGTGTTGAAGTCAGACTCAGAGTTATGTGAAGCCAGCCTCTGACAGAGTTAACTTGGGTTAATGATTGACGGGTCAGATCTAACCTACTTAAACACACTGTGGGAGGACCTGTCCTGCTTTGATCTGGTGTGTAGTCATGTGACCCAAATAGTTCCCTCTCACCAGACTGGGGGGAGGGGACTTTTTTAATGTAAAAATTCTGATATTCATACAATACTTAACTCACTTAACTTCTGTTGAATGTATGTTGATGTGTTACTTTGAATGTACCAAGGGTTCAGTTTTCTGGTGTTTTAATATGCTTGCATCTCCACTCTCTTCAACATGATGCAGGCGATCTCAGAGGCCGAGGTTAATCATTGACTGGAGGCTCCACTTTATGTTGTACAGTGATGCTGTCAGGCTACACTTCACTTCCTTCTATCACACAATGACAACCTGCTCTACACCTGCATTTCACCAGCACAGTGCCCAGCTCAGGTGAGTCTATTTTATGATTTTTCATTTTACTCTAAGGTGAATCTCATCAATGTACAGGTGAGATGTATGGTGATTGACCAGATGGGCCATATGTTTTTCCAGGTGAGTCCTAAACAAGTCCAAAAGAGTCTAGGGTCAGTCCAGGTGAGTCTCATGTAGGTGTGTTGTTTTGGTCCATGTGACTTCTAAGTGAAAACAAATTTGGTCCATATAAGTGTCATTTTAGTCCAATAGGGGTTTATTTTTGCCCAGGTTGGTTTCATGCTAATAGTGGTGAGTCTTGTATTAGTCCAGGTGGGTCTCCCTTTAGTCCAGGTGGGTCTCCCTTTAGACCCCATGATAATTACAATAGCAATTAGGTTAGTTTCAGCTATGTTTTAACGAAATCAGGGTAGGTTCATTTAAGTTCATGTGAGATTCATATTAGTCCAGGTGAGTTACAGGAAGATTCAGGGAAGTCTCATGTTAGTCCAGGTCATATATCTGCTAGGCAGGTCACTGTCACCCCCATGTTATACTCATGTTGTTCAAGTAAGACCCAGGTAAGTCCAGGTACGTTTTAATTTAGTTAGTGTGTTTTAAACTAAACCCATCAGAAGTAGCTCTGGTCCAGGTATTTTCCACAATCAGTCCAAGGTAGTCATGTGTTAATACAGGTGAGTCATTTGTGAGTCCCAGTGTTTTTTTTGTTTTTTTTTTACAATTATTATTATTTCTTGTAAATATCATAAAGTCCAGGTGAGTCACAGGTAGCTCCAGGTTAATCCCAGATTAGATCTGGTGTGTGTTTTAATTTGGATTAGTCCAATTTTATTGTGTTCTAGGTATTTCTACATTAGTTAAACCAGTCTCATGTTAATCCAGGTGAATAATAGGTAGGTCCAGGTGTTTTAAATGGGTCTAGATAAAGAAATTGAAATTTGAGTCCAAATGAGTTTTATGCAAGTCCAGTTGTCTCTGATACTGTCTGGTATGAGTTGCACTATTGTACTATTGTAGCTCAGGTGGGTTTCATGCTAGTCCAGATACATTAAGGTCAACCTAATTGTAGGCACAGATGATTTTAGTGTTAATTAAGGCAAGTCTTAGATTAGCCCATGAATGCCTTGTTTTTGAGTCTAGATGAGTCATGTGGTTGTTCAGGTGGGTCCAAATGTGTTGATTTGAGAAGTCTGATGTCATTTGACTGGGTGATTTTACTTGAGTAATTTTGGTCCAGGTAAGTTTCATGCAAGTCTAGGTTAGTTTCTTTTAGTGCAGGTGAGTCCAGTTCAGATCAATAGATCCTTTGTTGGACTACGAGAGTCCAACACAAGTCCAGGTGTGTATTGTGTTTTAATCTGGGTAGGTGTCCTAGTTTTCCAGAAAGGTCTCATTTGTAGTACACGTGAGTTGTGTTTCTTGAGTCCAGGTAATCTTAATGATGGCCAAGGTGATGCCTGTGTCAGTCCAGGTGAGTTATTCAAGTCAATGAGTGTCTAGAAATGTTAGTCCAGTTTAAATCCTCTCTTTGTCCAGTTAAATTCTTGTCTAAGTTCAGGTCAGTCATAGGTCAGTCATAGGTTAGTCCAGGTAAGCATCATATTAGTCCAAGTCTGTCTTATCTTTATTTCCGGGTGAGTTCTTAAATTGTAAGTGTCTTCTTACTCCAGATAAGTCTTACTTTGATTCAGATGAGTCTCTCCTTATCAGTCTAGGTGGATTTTATGGCAGTCCAGGTGAGCTGTCTACTAGCATTTTTGCCAGGTAAAGTCCTGTTGCTATGATTGAATTTTGTATAGTTCAGGTGACCTTCATGTATGTTCAGGTTAGTCTTGTATTAGTACAAGTGAGCCCCATTTAGGCCAAGGTGGATCTATTGTTTGTCCGAGTGAGTCTAATTTTAGTCCACGTGAGTTTAACTTAAGTCTGGGTGAGCAGTTATCTGTCAACATAAATTAATGTTTCCATTTTCCATGTACTTGTGAGGTACATGGAAAAACTGTGAGGACTGTAGCTGCCAGGTTGTGTTTTAAAGTGTGCCGTTGTGCTGTTGTGTTGCAGGCTGGACTGTTCGCCCCCTGATGGTCCTGCAGCTCACCTGAGGTCATCCAGATCAGTGCCGTGCTCACCTGAGCAGTCAGCACCATGTTGGAGTTGCCAGCAGGTGAGGCAGTAAACAATAAAATCATCACAAGCCACACCTGTGTGATTATTGTTATTACTTTAGTGAGGGTCACAGTCTGGTCCCAAACATTTTAATAATGACGCTATTTACCTGAAGGGCGTCACACTTGTTCCTGAAAACCTGCAGTTTTTTTTTATTTTTAATTTCATCAAAGACTTAAATCTGAAACAAAAAAACAAAGTTTGTTTTCTCTCTGCATTTTTTTTACCTCATGTTTACCATTTTTTTACCCCTCACCTGTTCAGGACTTGCCTCAGTCATGTCCTGTCTGCCTGCAAACTCCTGACTTCCCTGTCAAGACCAACTGCGGTCACCTGTTCTGTGGTACGAGACTAAACTCACAATCAGTCACTCAGAAGATGCTTCTTACTATCAAGACTTTAAATCTTTTACTGAGCATTTGAGAGACTGGATCAGAGCAACTTCAGATTGATTTTGGAAAGTATTGTTATTGATTAATTTATGAATAATTATGTTATGATTAATTGTGTTTTTACTGTTGTGGTTCAGCTCCCTGTCTGATGGCATACTGGAGACACGGTTCCTGGTTAAATGCAATCAGCTGTCCTCTCTGCAGACAGAAGGTACAGTCTGAACAAAATTAACTCTGTGAACTCAAAATGAATGTTTCTGACTGGATTAATGGCTTACTGATAGTTTCCCCCCCCTGTGATAGTTTTAGTGTTTCTAAATTTCTGGTCGTTTTTAATGAATTCAGTTTTTGTGTCTGATTGCAATCAGATTTCGTATTTCTTTATAGATTCTGTTTTGTTTTTCACTCTTGCAGGTCAGCGTGTTGTGTCATCTTTTCAAAGAGAGTCGATCAGACCGTCAGTCAAAGGAGGTTCTTGTGGAAATCAGCAACTACAACAAACGTTACTCTGGAGCTCCGAGGAGGGTCAGTAACAAAGCAAAATTTTAACTCTTTTATCCTGGATATTATTTGTATTGAAGTGGGCTTAGTATCCTGACACAAAACTGACTTTTATTTTATCCTAAACGAAGTATTTTAATTAAAGAGGAGTTTCAGTCATCCTCAGCCTAAAAATCAGACAGAAATCACATCCCTACATTTTTCATTTTTAATCAAGTCTGAAAAACTTCAGAGATTTTTTACATCTCAGGTGGTGCAGGTATCATGGAAGACATGTACTGATCAAATTTTATTGATCAGGCATGTTCTTGATGTACATTATTTGTGCTAAACAAGGAGACGTGAAAGTATTCAGCTCTAGCTCCACCCACGACACACCTGATAGCTCCACATTTGATCATTTTCACGTCAGTTGCCGTCTTTAATCTTTGAAAACAAACCTAGACTTCACTTACACTTGTTGATTACCTGTAAAAGTAAACCTTTAACCCACAGCTGAACAGAAGTTTTAAAATGAAAGAAAAATGTTTTGAAATTTTTTATCATAAACCACATCAGAGAAATCTGGAGTGAGCTGTTGTATCTGAATATTTAACAATGATAAGTGCAGCGTTACAACATCTAATTCTCAGAGTGTTTCCATTCACTGACCTCTCCTTACCAGGTAACAGACTACCTGTGCGACGCTCCCCTACTGCTGCAGGTTCTGGTCCGGGGACTGGGTACTATGGGAGGACTGGTGTGGCTGTTTTTGTTCAGGGTGGCCGTGTGCTTTGTGGGGACAGTGGTGTCCATCTCCTCCCCTCCTTTGGACCCCACCTCCTCACCCTCCTTAGGGGCTGACCCCTCTCTTTGTGGACTGCTGGGGGTCCTGGATGACGTGGTGGTGGTAGTCCTGCTCCTCACATGTGTTATAAACGTCAACCAGCAGATAATGCCAGACACAGAAGAACAGTCAGCGGACACCAACAACTGAAACTGATGTAAAATAATATGGTGTAATATAACATAATATAAACAGTGCAATGTGTGTTATGTTTGTAATTAGGTTAATGATGTTAGTAAAAGCAAACATTAGTCCAGTTAATGTCTGTTATTTTCTTTTATACTTCTACTCTAAAGATTTTTTTTGTAAATAGTTCATTTTGTAAAATTATGCTTTTGTGATAAAGAATATTTTTTATCCTTTGTGTCGTTTATTTTCCATAAAAACAAAACAGCTTATTTATTTTTTTATTTAGACTAAAGTAATACTATAAAAAGGCAGTATTACAGTAATGATACAGTGTTACAGTACGAGTAAGTCAAACTACCACAGTGACAATAGAGCTGTGTTACATAGGTTCACGCTTCAGTAACAAAAACATGAGCACACACTGTTAAACCGTATTCACACATGCACAAAACTCCTGAAAAGCTCTGGAAATTTTCAGGTAAATGCAACCGGCTAAAATTTTAACTCTGACATCACCTGGACTTTAACCTGCCATTACAATTTTGCTGTAAGTTTGGGGTCACCATAAGCAGGCTAGGTGGTGTTTACATCATGTAATCAGTGCTTGTCAGTAAAAAAAAAACAACAACATGTAACAGGCTGAATAACAGCAGCTCAAGTTAAAGGAGATTCATTTTCAGGACAAGATCAGTGAAGATTTCTGCACATCACAGAGTAGAGACTGTGGAAACACAATCCTTGACTAGAACATGGATGGATCAATTTCAAAATGCACTGTGATGAACATCCTGTGGGATTTAGATACAAGAGCAGAAATGGAAAACTGAACACGAGGCACAATACAAGTCCCAAAATCTGAGCAGAGCAGGGGCACAGGGTGTTAACTTTACTGGGACAGAGTAAAGTAGAGCAAGAAGACGTCATGACCCACAACTGCACACATGTAGCACATAAACACACACTGGAGTCGATGACCGATTTGAGTAAAGGGATTCACCTGTTTTCTTAGGCTTAAGTATCTGAATTCAAAGCAAAAGGATCACTGAAGACCCCATAGTTTAATTTTCCGTGAAATAATGACAATAAGAAACCGATTAAGATGCACTGAGATGCATAAAGGTACCCTAAAGTTGACAGTTTGAGTCAGGGATTTGGCAGTAAGTAGAAAAATCACATTAATACCTATTTTTTTTCTGAAGTTTAGTGATCCAAACCAAACTCAGACTTGTGATTCATTTCCCCTCTGTTTGAAAAAATGTAAAAACTCATCAGTCTCCACTTCTGCATCATCTTGTAAAGCAACTTTTGAATTTTTGAGGCAGAGCTCTTCAATACTTCTACAAACTTTCAGGAGTGCATGTGTGAACACGGCTTCACTGTGTGTTTCTGCACCAAGCGGCGGCGTTCTCAAACATGCGTAACCACGGTGACGGTGTGAGAGACTCTCTGAGGTCCCTGGGGGCCCAGGGCCACTGCCAGCTCAGGGTGCAGCGCTCCGGGTGAGGCATCATGGCTAGGTGTCTCCCATCTCGAGAGCAAAGCCCAGCTACGCCCATCGGGGAGCTGTTGGGGTTCAGAGGATACTCCTCTGTGGGGAGACCCTGGTCGTCAAGGTAACGGAGCGGGGCGAGCCCAGCTGAGAGGATCCGGTCCTGAACCTGGGGGGTCCGGAACTGCATCATACCTGCGAGGACAGAGCAGTCATCGATATAATCAATTAATTAAGTCACCTGCTGAGCTGAGGAGCAAACATCCACCAGGTACGATCCAGTCACCGGTCTTTCCCAGATTTGATTGTGTGCCAAGACTGTACTTGGGTGTGTTCAGCTCAGGTGTGTATAATGGGCCTTTTCTCACTCAGGTGTGATTAAGTCTGTAGACCGCAGTCTATGATCCTTGAGACTCACCTTCTCCGTGTGCGACCCACACTCCCAGTGCCGAGCCCTCCATCCCTTTGAGCCAGACTGATGGGGATTCCTGGATCCCCACACTGACGAACCGGGACTCGAACCGTCCAGACTTGTTATGGGTTAGAACCACATTGCCGCCTGAGGACAAACCAGAAAATGTTACGCTTAGCTGTCATACTTTCGTCACTTTGGGACCGTTGTTCTTATCCTCACCTGCTCCCTCCTCTTCCTCTCCCACCCAGCCGATCAGAGCGAGCAGCTGGCAGCCGTTACACACACCCAGACTGAGAGTGTCGCTACGATGACGGAAACGTTCAAACTCCGCTTTCGCTTTTGGGTTAAAGGTAACAGAAGCGGCCCAGCCTAAAGAAAAGAAAGTGATACAAGTCAGAATATGAGTCTGTGAGTGTGTGTGTGTGCATGTGTACGTGTGTGTTTACCTTTTGCTGACCCCAGCACGTCTGCGTAGCTGAATCCACCCACAAACACAACAGCTTTGAAAGAGTCCAGAGTCAAAGAACCAGAACACAGATCCTGCATGGTGACGTCCCAAACCTGCACACACACACGCCCACAGAGTGAGTCATACATAAACACACACCTGAACACCGCTCAATTAGTTTATTACTGATAACAATCAGGATAAAAACAATAATATTTCTGTACCTCAAAGCCGGCCATGTACAGAGACACACACATCTCTCTGTCTCCGTTACTTCCTTCCTCTCTGATCACAGCGACACGAGGACGATCAGCTGAAAAATAAAACCACGCTCATAATAATAAAATAGGAACACTTTGACATCCTGAGTCCAACTTTCTGCATCTGGAATCGCCGGAGTACGTGAGATGTACCTAAACATGAGATGACCCGGATAAGAAGACCATCCCTCTACAGCAGTGGTTCTCAAGTCCAGTCCTCGAGGCCCACTGTCCTGCATGTTTTGGATGTTTCCCTGCTCCAACACACCTGATTCAAATAATCAGCTCGTTATCAAGCTCTGTAATGGCTTAATAACGAGCTAATCATTTAAATCAGGTGTGTTGGAGCAGGAAACATCCAAAACATGCAGGACAGTGGGCCTCGAGGACTGGACTTGAGAACCACTGCTATAGATGTTTAAGAGTAAATGCTAGAATTAAAAAAAAAAGGAAAAAAATACTCTTAAAGAAATATGTTGTTGTTTGCAGAGCTGTTAAAATCATTTTTTGGAAGCTTTTCAATATTTTACAGTCACATTGAACAGAACTTTAACATAGACACATGAAGGGCTCAGAGGATATTTTCCCATTTTTTTCTGAAAAATATTCAGTAACAAACTCAGTCTGTTTGTTCTTACTCAGGTTGTTGGTGTTGAGCTTTTTCGAGGGGTCAAAGGTCAGCTTGAAGAAGGGCTGTGTCCTCCTGGCGAGCCCCTCCTCTTCCTGTTGCACACACGTCTCATTGGCCTGAAGGCGTTCCAGCTGGAAACTGGTTTCCTCCCACATTCCCCTGAGCTCAGGAAGGGGCGCCCTCAGCACCTCCTCTCCGTCCACACGAACTCTGACCTGAATCAGGAGAGGAAACCATCACTGCACTGCGACTGCACCTGAGAACACCTGAGATCCACCTTCAGGTCCTTATCTCACCTCAGAGTCCGGACCAAAGCCAACAGTTTTACCAACACGATGGCACTGAAGACCGACGTCACCAAATCTCTGACAGACAGTCTGAACGTGACGGCGAGAGACCTCCAGTACCAAACCAAGCTCCTCGCTGAACAGCAGCTCCATCACTGCACACACACACACACACACACACACGTACACACACACATGGTCATTGACTGTTCATTGTTTTTCATAAATCTTTTTCTCTAATCATCTGACTATTTCAAGCACTTTTACATCCCATGTCACACTGCTGTTCTGTAAAAATGAATTTTAGACTCATTTCCTAAAAGTTAAGTGGAAACAAAAGCTACATAATCCTTTGGTAAAATAGCCCCTCTGTTTTTAAAACGCACACACATCCTCAAATACACATTTTATAATTTAACTCTTGCGCTGCCACTGATGAGATATTCCCTCAGTCTGTGCTTCCACAATAATACCATTGGTGGTGCTGCTGACCTTGTGGAGTAGTGCAGCAATCCTGCTTTCATTAACAAGCACAGAAAAATAACAGAAAGGAGTAGATACAGGTGAAGAGCAGAGAGGATGAGAAATCATCGATGCCATAAAAACCAAACTCTGGGCACGTGTTATTAGGTCTCTTTTTTTCTGCATGTTTCCTCTTAGGCATCTTAGGACACTTTTAGGCTACCTACATTCTTGTGGATTAGCTCATTTATTTTTTCAAGTGGTCTAAGATTTACCCAGAAAATGTCCCCTGCACATATGAAGTTCATCATCGCATTGTTGGAAATGCTGATAGACTTTAATTCTGAAAATTCAGGAGGAGGAATTCAAGATCTTACCCACTTGATAGCCAAAGGAACAAAATGAATGTTAATTATAAATAGATTTTTTTTTTCTGGTTGTGGTTTATTTGCTCTCATAGTGATCAGATCAGGCTGGTTGGACTAACCCACACAGCAAAAGCAGCGCTGATGATTCTAATGTTGGAGGCAAACTAATCCGCCTCTGTTTTTTTCTACATGAAGATCACAACCTGATTGATATTTGTCCTTCTATTTACCTGAAACCAAGTGGATGGCCTCACTGATATATACTGATTTATCCATAAAACGACTTAAACTGTGCTGTTATTCTCCTGTCTGATCAGGATGAGAGGGAAAGCGCTGCTGCACCTAAAACCTGTGTACAGTACACCCTAAACCTACTAAACCAGGACAGAATAAACACAAGAAACCCTGCTTACAGGCAGAAACAGGAGGAAAAGTGAATAAATGTCATTTAGATTGACAGCATGTAAGAACAGCAGGCCTTTAGTATATTTATTATCATGACAGCACAACTGCAAGAGCATCTGACACACATATAGAGCTCCTGCAGTAAAGTTAAGTCTCCAGGGGTCTGTAAATCATGTACTTCATGCTCTCATATTAAATAGAAACAATGATATAAGAAGCCCACTACTTTTCTGCTTTGAAATAACAAAAAAAGACTCTTCCTAAAAAAAGGCATCAAAGCCAGTTACACATTGAAACAAAGGCTGAATCAATGAACAAACTAGATCATACTTTTTCGGCACTGAATCGTCAGCTGAATTTTGACATTAACACTCTGCACCGCTAATTCTCTCATTTAAAGAGAACAGGCTGAGTTCATCGCAAATGCAAGAGTGGACATTGCAAGTGAAGGTTTGTCCCAGATTTAGGCCTGAGTTTTGGTTTACAGAGAAGCTCCTCACCTCCAGCTCTGTCTGAACTCAGCTCCACGTCGATCCCTCGGTTTCCAGCAAATGCCATCTCCAGCAGACAGGTAATGAGCCCACCATCGCTGATGTCATGACCTGCACTCAGAAGGCGATCTGAAAGGAGAGATAAAAATTGATGATGCTAAATAAATATTTTTAAAGGTTTTCAAAGTGCAGAGTAAAACCTGGAAAAACAAGTTTAACTAAGTGCTGCAATAACTTAAGAAAACATCAAAATCTCAGAATGCTTAGAGCAGAAGTAACACAGAATAATGAATTCAACACAAAACTTCATCACAGAAAAAACCTCTGCAGCTGCTGATTTCTAACTGGTTATACAGTGTTGATCCAGCAGGGGGCAGTGTGCACACTGAGCTGGGTCTACGGTTAAAGACTGACCTTGGATCAGCGACTGTGTGACATCAAAACAGGAAGACAACAGCTCAGGATGATCCAGATCAGGACAGGCGTCCCCCAGCTGATTAAAGCACTGAGCCAGAGCAGAACCCCCCAACCGGGCCAGGCCTGGACTGACAGGGACCCACAGGAGCTCACCTAGAGACACAGGAGAAGTATATTAGAAGAGACAGGGGACAAGAGACTGGAGATAGAAGACAGGAGTCACAGTACAAGGAACAAGGACAGGAGGTAGGAGACAGTAGACGAGGGAAAGAAGACATCTGGAAGGAGACAAGGGACAGGAAAGAGGTAAGTGTATGTTTGTCAAACCTTCTCCATCGGGGTTCTGGAGGTCAGGGGTCACGGTGGCTGTGATGTCAGGACAAACAGCGTAGGTAGAAATAACCAGAGCACCTAACGAAGAAAGAGGACAGGTTAACCTAAGGGACAGAGACGTGGACAGAGACAGACAGATGGACAGACGGGTCTTTCACCTGGAGCTTTGACCGTCTCCTTGCTGGTGCGTGCTGCCATACTCAGAGAGTCTTTGCCGCCATCGATGGCTACACCTAGCTGACTCATGACATCACACATGGCTCTGCAGGCGTCCCACAGACTTGCCCCCTCACCTGGCAGTTTTGCTGCCCACATCCAGTTTCCACTGCACTTCACATCCTGAAACACACAACCACAGAGTCCTGATCCTGGACCTGGTTAAGGACTGAATCCTGGCTCTTAATCCTCCCACGTCATGGACCCAAAAGCCCAAACCCCTGAGCAAAAGTTTCCTGAAATCTGACCCTGGTTTTACCCTCTGTTCTGAACTATTCTTGACCTTGATGAGCTTAATCCTGAGTGTGTATTTAGCCCAGATCCCTGACCTGGACATTTTTCTAAAACAGCAGATAATGGAACCTGGATGAGGTGGGGAGCTGGTGTGGGCACTATCTGCTAGCATCAAACATTGTCTGTACAGGCAGCTTTGTTTTATAACAGAGCTGTGTAAAAAGTAACACCCCAAACTGTGCCTGTCAAAGCAGCTAAAACAAAGAGTTTCAGACAGAGGCTGAATAGGTTTTTTTTCAGACACCAGTTTGAGACAAATATGTAGTTTTCAGAGCTGCTCTTCATGCTGAGCAACTCTGCAACATGATAGCGTGAACGACAGACATCAGTGGAACAGGTCTCCTTTAAAGAATAACCTGATCTGGTTCATACAGTTTTTTTATTATTGTTTTTTAAGTTCATGCAGTTATTAAACCAAAGGTCTAAACCTGGTCTATGTTCAAGGTACCATGAGATCACTACATTGATAGCACTGATTGGTTAAAATAGCTATTTTTCTTTTAATTCAGAGCAGACCGTCACATGTTGCACGTCAGTATCAGGACTTACATCAAATTCCCGTCACTCACCTTCAGTGCTGTGATTCTGGCAAACACCAGGTTGGTCAGAGCCTCACCAACAGCCATGCGAGCCCCTGCTGCGGGATTCAGCAGGCTTTTGATTGGCTGCTCCCCGATGGCGGTTGCTGCCCCCTCAAGGCCAAACGGAGACAGAGCAACAACAGCAACATCGGCCAACGGGGTGTGAAGAGGACCAACGCACTGTTGCTGGGCAACCAGCCCAGTGACAGACCGGTCCACCTAAGAGAGAGGGGGATGAAGATGAGGAGAGTCACACGAGGTCTGCAAAGAAAGACTATAAAAGACTTCTGACTTAAGTTTGAATCACCAGGGTCTGGGAGATTAAGAGGATCTACAGATTCACAAAGACTTAAAACTTACCTTGTTGGTCAGGTAGCGTTTAGACGCTACAGCTGGCAGACGTAGGACTCTCTCCAGAGCATCTCTGACCGTCAGACCAGCAGGGAGTTCCAGGGGCTGCAGGGTCGGAGTCACACGCTGCATCTTAAACTCCTTCTGCGGCATCTTCCCCAAAACCCACTCCAGCTGCAGGTCCACAGGACAGCGCCCCCCATCTGCTGCGTCTTCCCCACTCCTCTCGTCATCCACCAGCATGATCTGAGGGGCAAACAGGACCAAAATAAAAACTAAGTCTGGCTCAGACTCTCCTGTTGTTGTCTGTTCGCCAAATCAGTGAAATAAAGTCTCGGTAGATCCTAGTTCCAGGATCTACCTTTCCATCTCCGCTGATGTTTCCCACAAAGTCTACAGGACACTTCTCCCTCTGACAGACTCGCTCCAGGAAGGACCGGTCTGATGGGCGGAGCAACAGAGCGTTACTCTCCTGGTACTCTGCCCCCCACAACTCCAGCATACTCAGGGTGGGGTCACCTTTCTGCGGACGGAGAAGTAAACAGGGATAGGGACAGGCTTTGATTTGGGGGAGCTGTCATACTGTTTATGTTTTTATAACATCTATAAAAAAATATGCAAAAAAAAAGGAGAGAAAGAAAACAGTGAGAGTGTGATCACCTTAAATCTGCTGCAGTAAATCACAGCTCCTGCAGGCTCACTGAGCTCCTTCAGCACGTTACCTAAACAGAGTGAAATAGAAACATTTTAGTGTCTATATCAGGGTTGTCAGCTTTACTGCTTCATTTGTGATGTTAAGGTCCAAAATTAAAGGGCTATTTCAGTTATCTGCTATTTTGTTCAAACTGTTGCCGAGTTGCTGCAGCACCTTCCTGTTGCCATGTTGGAAAATAATGACACTGCTGTGCTTTTTAACAGCACATTTCACTTTTAAAACCCCCACACAGCTTAGCTGAAAGTGATGTGCAAGTTCACACTAAAAGTGAGCGAGCTAAAAGTTCAGCTCACACACTTTGAAATGAACTGGTTTATGTTCATTATTTCACTGTATCTGAATTATCCATCAGCAGAGCCTCCTGGACTTCAATTTCCAGTCCCCAATCACTGGCATTTCCCAAACTAAAAGCATTATCAAGTACTGTAGAGTCATAGACAGATAAGCCTATTTAGTTAAAAAACCAAAAAGCTGCACTTAAGGGTGTTTCACCAATTAAACACGGGGAAAATCTTCAGTTTTGAAAACATAGAGTGAAAATAACGATCACTGAATGTTCCAACTTTTCACCCAAGCAAACGCCAACATTTTTAGAGCGTTCAAACAAAACTCTATCAGCTGACATGTTAAAGGTAATCTGCACTTAGAGTCAAACAGAATGAAAATACCATTACTAACTTTGAGTTTGAGCCCGTGATAGCCGAGTGTAATGAAAGACCACAGTTTTATCCCTTACTGATAAAAAGTAGAACAGAAAACACTATTTTTAATGTCCCAACTATATAGTGATCTATCATCTAAAAACCAGCGCCATAACTCAGCCTTAAGTCACTTCATTCTTGATGTGTCTCTTCATCTTTTATCCGCCCTGCTGCTATTGTTGGGAGTGATGCCTGGCTCTTCTTTTACAGAGAGAAACACATCTATAATGGTGACTGAATACTGGCTTTAAGTCTTTTTCACAGATACAAGATGACCACACTCTTTTAGCTGTCCTTCAAAGGAAAGAAACTGCTCAAATGATACATTTCTTTCACTATCTGAGGTGGGTGGATGAGTGTCTGTACCGTTTCCTCCAGCCCCCTGATCGTGGATGCTGCAGATCGGGTTCCCACTGCCTCGTTCCAGACACGCTCTGAGAGCACGATTCATCTTCTGCTCCATCTCGGCGTCTCCTCTCTGCACCGCCCCCAGGTCTCTGTCACTGGAGTTGTCCCCCTGAACCTGCAGAACAAAACAGTTTTAGCGACACTGACCTGTGCATCGAATCTTATTTCCTTCTCAGAGAAATTTACTGCACACCTGCACAGAGGACGCCGCTCCTCCTCCCACGCCGATTCTATACACGGGCCCTCCGATTTTCACCACCTCCATTCCTGATGGACAAATAGAGTAGAGTCACTTATCCGTGTGATTAGATATAGAATACAGCATCTGTATTCATTCAATAATGTCACATAAAAAGTTACCGATCTCAGGCTCTTCTTTCTTTATGTAAGCGTCTTCGATGGAACCCAGACCACCACTGAACATGATCGGTTTGATCCACTCTCGCCGTTCTCCGTTTGCCAGACGCATGCCGAATGAACGGGCAAAACCTGCAGGAAAGAATCGTAACTTTATTCATCTATCTGCAGATTAAATCAGACGAGAACTGAGCGACAGTTTCATTCAAGTTCAAACATCTTAGAGATCTTTTTATGCTCTGAGAAAAGGATATAAAGATCTAAACTGTGCAAACATTTATGTTTCTGAGTGTCAAATGTGAAAGAATGAGTGGATTTCATCATCTACAATACATAATATCATTCAAAGGTTCAGAGAATCTGGAGAAATCTCTGCAGGAAAGGGACAAGGACCAAAACAAAGACTGGGTGGTCCTGATCTTTAGATCCTCAGGCAGCACTGCATTAAAAACAGACTTGACTCTGTAGTGGAAATCACTGCATGGACCGAAATCACTTCCAAAAAAGTGGTCTGTAAACACAGTTCATCACTGCATCCACAAATGAGGTTTAAACTGAATCATACAAAAAGGAAACCAGATATAAACATGATCCAGAAACACCAGAGACTTCTGTGGACCTGAGCCCATTTAATGTGGATTGAGGGGGAAGAGGAAAACTGTCCTGTGGGCTGAGGAATCGAAATTTGACAATTTTTCAGAAAATGTTAACACTCCAAAGAGTAGCTTATAATCAGCTCACTGTTCAGAGCCAGCATCTCTGATGATACTGGGATTTTAAGTGTCTATGGCATGACAGCATACACATCTGTGGCGGTTCTATTAATGCTGAACAATCTGGAGCATAATGACACAATAAACAACAACAACAAAAAAAAACACAACAGGACAAAGGAGACCCTGAACTGATGTGCGTCTGAAATCTCTGTACCTGTTAGTACAGGTTCTCCAAACTTGTTGCCATAGTCTGAGGCTCCATCGCTGGCCTCAATGGCGACCTGCAGGGGGGGAGCGAAGCTGGAGGGGTAGTCCCAGCCTTCCCCTTTCGACTCCCAGGGGAGGTTGTAACCTGCAGAGATGACCTGTTACTGAACACATTACAGTTTTTGAATGTGTTTCATACCTCAGATGTGGAGACAGCTTTATATTTTCACACCTGGAATATGCAGGTTTCCAAAGCAGTATCCTGCTGTTCCAGCGATCACGTGTCCCCCCCGCCCAGCACTCTGCACGTCTCTGATACGACCTCCTGTCCCTGTGGTCGCTCCACTGAAAGGGGCCACACCTGTATGTCACAGGTCAGGGGTCAAAAGGGATTATGAAGGGTGTTTAAGAAACAACATTATGTGTGTGTGTGTGTGTGTGTGCGCTTGAGTGTGGTTGACCTGTAGGGAAGTTGTGTGTCTCTGCAGTGAAGATGACGTGTCTTAGTGAGGTCTGAGTCCTGTACCGACTCGCTTGAGAGGGATCCTCTGGATAAAAACACTCCAGCTCCACTCCTTTGATACCACTAAACACACACATTTTATATGTAACAAAGAGAAAAACACACACAAAGACACACACACTCACACAGGAGTTGGTTTACCTGCTGTTGTCGCTGAACTTGATGACGTTGTTCTGGTTGCTATGCTTCTGCGTCGCCATGATGAGGCTGAACAGCGTCTCCTGTTGCTCCTCACCGTCGATCTCCATCCTCCCTCTGAAGAACCAGTGACGGCTGTGCTCGCTGTGAAACACACACACACACACACACACACAGACACACATTAGAGGAGGTAAAACAAACACCTGAGCCTCGTGATCACATGTACACACCTGTTGGACTGAGCCAGGTCGAAGCACTCGACGCTGGTGGGGTTCCTCTGAATCCTCTGAAACATGGAGGTGTAGAAGTCCAGATCCCAGGAGTCGAAGGCCAAACCTGGATACACAATAACACACATTTAAGACAACAACATGTCAAAAACAACAACAATATCCACAACGACACAAACCTGAAACACTGCAGTGACCCTCCATTCAAACAGTTCTCACTTTACCTTCATCAATAAGAGCTCAGACATCCTCGTCATGTGATAGCAGATGGTTCGGAGATTGATAATTAGCTTAATAACTTTCTAAATTTTCAGTGAACACATCACAGAACCATGCATCTACCTACTGTTATTAACACAAACATGAAAACACACCTGAGAGACCACATCACAGGCATACATCACCCACAAGGCATCATTCTTAAAGGGACAGTACCACTACAAACAGATCAGACAGCCAGCAGCTCCCAAATGTGTCACTACTGACTTTATTCGGATGACAATAGGAGGAGTGTTAAGATGCAATGATAACACACTGTGATATTCACTACGTGTTACACAATGAATATCATTCTCACACGTCTCACACACGTGCATGAGTGAAAAATTAATGGCATCACTGCTGTCCTGTGACTTCAATCAAGTTTTAATGTCATGCATCATGTGACCTTATCAGATACCATGTGACCAATTACCTTAAAAGCAGCGAGCTCACAGAAGGCTGACTGAGGATGAAGAGGAGAAGAGAGGAAGAAGGGAAAAAGAGGCAAAAGGGACAGTAAAGAGATGAGAGAGGAAAAAAAGGAGAGAAATAAGAGAGAGAAGAGGAAAGGAAGAAGATAAGGAAAATGTGTAAGATGTGCAAGAGAGGAGGACAAAAAAAGGAGAGAAAGAGATAAGGTGGAAAAGAATGAGAGGAAAATGAGAGAAGAGAAAACAGAAACAGAAAAGGAAAGGAGGAAAATAGGACTTAAAAGAAAAAGAAAGAGAAGAGTTAAAAAGGGAGGGAAAGAGAGGAGAAGGAGATAAAGAAAGTAGACAAGAAAAAAGCAGGGAAGAGAAAGAAGAAGAAAGAATAGAAGAGAAAGGAAAAAAGAAAATAGAAATTGAGGAGAAGAAAATAGGAAGAGGAGAGAGAGAGAGAGGAGGTTGCATGGAAAAAAGTGGTGAAGATGGAATAAAATAGAGGGGGGAAGACAGAGAAAAGATCCAATAAAGAGGAAGAGAAGGAGGAAAAAAAGAGGTTAGTGTGGAGAAATGATCACGAGGAACGAACAGACGATGAGCAGCTAAACACAAACTAAACTCACCGAGTTCATCGTTCACCGCCTCCAGCGCCACTCGGCCCTGCCCCACCACATCCACCTCAAACACCTGCTGAGGTTTGGTTTCAACAGCGAAGGAGGTTATGGGCTGTTTGTAGATACACTCCGTCATGTTGTCATGGAGACAGTCGGTCAGCTGTTTCAGGACTTCAGCGCTCAAACTCGTTCCATCGTTTGACTGAAAAGACACACGGCGCAACCAATCAGAACAGAGTGGGTGTTTGTGTGTAAAAGTGCATGCGTGTGCATGTATGTTGTTTGTGTACCTTGGTAAGGAAACGGCGGGACAGTTCGACACGTGTGATGTCACAGAGTCCGACGCTGTGGCAGATTGAGACGGTGTTTGTGGACCAGGCAGTCGAGAAGTTTAACCTAAACGATAAAAAAATCTTTACGATCTCTGAAACATCAAACATCTAAAATGATCCTAATCCAATTATTAACGCTGATGTTTTTAGTGTGGGGAGGACAAACACGACCACATGTATCAGCTGATCTGTTTCCCCCTATCATAGGTGATTGATCAGACTGTATGGGTGCAGCAGTACCTGGGTCCAATCTCCACCAGAGTCCCCCCCTGACCTCCTGTCAGCTTCGGTTCCTCTGACAGTGGCTCCTCCTGCAGGGGGCGCCGCAACAACCATTGCAGGACCAGCTTTTGATCAGGACTCAGACCGTTACAGCCTGCAGATCAGTATGATCAATAACAGGACATATCAGTACAAACAGTTAGCCCAAGACCTCATCAATAACATTTACACATTCAATAGTGAGGGCTTCAACTATCTGTCAGGGTACTCGACAAAATCAGTTCCTGACAAATTAAAAAGCTGACTATGTTATCCACTCACGATTTACCTACACTATGAATGTCCATCTGCAGCTCCTCACTGTCACAAACACAGAACTGACTGTCATGAAGGCAGTTTCTTTAACACTGTGTCACATGACTTTAAAATGAAAACATGTATTCATCACTGCCACCGTCACAGATCACTCAGTGAAGGCTTGGTTAAGATACATGGATTATGGTTTTAAGAAGTGTTTTCTGATCGTCTCAGTGCCTGCTAACATCGGGGGCACATGTAAACTCATAAGACTATAAGAGGTTTATTTTTAGTGTCGAAACCTGCACTGCATCTACATCTCAGTGATGTGAAAATCATGTGCACATGAAGACTGTAATTTTTTGTTAAATTAACTTACCATCACAGGGCTCATGACGTAGATTAAAGTTAATTTTAAACATTATAACTCTCTCTTAAATATTTATTGATGACTTCTACATAAGCTAACAATGTTTATTCATAGCTTCCAGCCTATAAAGAAACATGTTGCTCCTCTGTGCGGCTGTCTGAGGGCTGGAAAGTAGGATGCCTGCAAGATCTGTCAACAGAAACTTGCTTTTCATGGGAGCATGTCAGTAATTTGTGTGTTGGAAAAACAAGAACAGTGATGTTAAGCTTGCTTAATGGTCCAAAGTTAGAGCCATACTGTAAAAGTTTTACTCTCTCAGTCTCAGTCTCTCTGTTTCACACCTGTTTTTTCTTTCTCATCTTCTTACTATAAAACACTGGAGCAAACTCTGATGATTGAACTAAATCATGACTCATTTAGTAGTAAAGTTTCAATGAAAAGGTGATCGTTAAATAAGAATTATCATAAAAGATCCTGTTAGTTGAATTAACAGTTTGAGAATCAATAACTTGTAAACTGTCAAAATGGTTGTTCGTTTTAGTCCTATTTATAGGATTTAAATGATCAATATCAGATACAACAAGAAGTGTGAACATCTGTCGTCACCTTCCTGATGACATCACTCACTCACCTGTCACCTCCACATTGTAGCACAGCTCTGAGACGATTGTCAGCAGGGGGTGGAGCTTAGCGGCCCTCTGTAAGCCCCGCCCCCTTGTGTCTTCAGGACTGTAGAACCTGATGACAGCCATGACTGACAGACAGACAGATTAATACCATCACTAAGGGAACTTCATCATCATCAGCTGTAGACATCATTTCTCACTGAGATCGATCAGTCAGATCAGGAGTACTGATTTTAAAAATCTGTGGTCGATTGAGATGATCAATAACAGAAACAGAAGATAACCTTTGTCCTCAGCTGAAACAAAAAACAATAACCTGATCAATATTCTGATCAGCACATCAGCGATCATTATGTCACAGCTGTGGTAAACACGGGGCTCTGATTGGTCAGTAACAGCATTCTTAAGTCTCTCTAAAACAGACTGTAGCTATGGATACAGACTCTAAAGTGCTGACTGTCTGTTCAGACCAACCTGCAGAAAAGAGGTCACTTATTTTCATTATTGCTGAAAAAAAAAAAAAGACTACAGACAGGAAATATGGAAAATTTCAGAATAAAAGCACGAAAAGTTAATGGAAATTAGACTAATTGAACATCACAATCGAACATCTGTGACAACTAGTTCAACTCTGTTTCTATTTCCAGCCGCATCGTCTATGATTGTCCGCCTCAGGCCCTGAGCTCCTTCTTCTCTTGGGTTTCTCTGGACTGTTACTGCAGACATGAACATCAGCCTCACTGACAATAACATAAAACTAGAGTTAACAACTATTAGGCCTGCTGACTGTAATCACATTAAATTAATTTAACATTATCCATAATTACTCATATCCTAACCCTGTAAATTGAATTCATTTTGTTTTACCATTACATGAGCTGTTGTTTTAATGTTGCTGCTGTCCCCTGTCTCTCTCTCTCACCCTCGTTCTCTACTCTTTCTCCCTCCCTGTCCCTTACTCATTCCCTCTCTCTTTCCCTCTCCCTTGTTCTCTTTTTCTCCCCCTGCCCTCTCTCCTACTCCTCTCCCTCTATCTCTTTGTATTCCTTCCCAGCCCAGCAGCAGCTTGGTGGCAGCCTAGCATGAGTCTGGTTCTCCCCAAGGTTTCTGCCTGTTAAAAGTAAGTTTTTTCTTGCCACTGTCACTCATGTTAGATGAGATGGGCCAAATCTGTCCTATCTTAGGTTGGGTCTTGATAATTCATCAAACAATGAGCATGGTCTAGACCTGCTCTTGTTCTTTGACAACTGATGTGAATTGGCGCTATATAAATAAAACTTGATTTGATTTGTTTTAGAGCTTGAGGTCTAGGATAGAGTTTGAAATTTGTTGGTTCAAAATCTACTTGTGACTTTTTAATCTACATTAGACTTAAAATCTGGACATGATCCAAAAATCTTTATTGTTGCCCAATGAATCTGAGTCAATTGTTATTTTAGAATATGTTTCATGCTCTGAACTATAATCCAGAGTTCAAAATCTGTATCACATTACATCAGATTTTCATTTTTAAAAATATGTTTCAAAGTTTACATTTTGTATTCACACTTTGGCAGCCATATAAAAACACTGACACAGTAATATATGTACACACACTTACACATAAAGATACATATCTGAACACCACACTCATATACACTGTAAATGCACACACACAGAGACACACACAGACAGACAGTGTGCTGATAATCAACTCATTGATTGTGTGCATGCTGCAGGTCACACACTGCAGGTCAGGAGCTTTCTGTTAGACATACACCACATTATTGGACACATACACACACTCAAGGGTAAAACACCTCTAAAGTGCTCTGACAAAGCCCAGAATGATAACTCTGGATCTGAATGTCTCATCATGATAACTTTAGCTATACCGATTATTATTTACATGCTAAGTAGCTAGCGGTTAGCAAAGTTAGTAGAAGGCTAGTTAGCATCGTTAGCTTCACTTACGGTTTAGTCAGCAGCTTCAGTGATTGATCAGGAGAAGTTCAGACCTGCAGCAGAGAGTTTCAGCTCCTCCAAGACTCACCAAGGGTCTGAAGTAAGAGCTGGTCGGTCTGCACGGTCCTCTACACACGTGGGAGTCCCTTCATGGTCTGCGCATGCGCGATTGTTACTGACGCTCAAGTGAGCCGTGGTTACAAAGCCGTTTTCAGATAAACCTACGCAAACAGCAGGTTCACATAAAGTATGATAAAGAAAAATACATAACCATTTCTGACTTTTTTGAATTTATTTTTTATTTATTTATCTTACTACTAGAATTGTTATTATTTTATTTTTAAGCTATTTCTGTATCACTGTACTGTCCCTTATTTTGATGTGCTGTTACACATGAATGTATTCCTTGTTCGTCCTGTAAAATTTGTTCAATAAGAAAAAGGTCAAATATAATACAATCACACATAGGTTTAATTTAAACTATATAAACACTGTGTGTAGAGTTTATAATAACTATGTAAACTGTTTAAAATATTTATGTGAACACTGATGAAATTGAGTCAAGTAAATATGAATTACTGGCCTCAAACCTTTGACTTATTCACATTTAATTTGACTCATGTTATCTATCTAAAGTTAAAAATTCAAGTCTGTGCCAAGAAAAATCAGTAGTTTTTCCAGTGTAATCAGATACAAGATATTTCACTCTGTAAATGTACAGTACATATCTACACCAAATGCGAATCTGAAATTTTGAAAACCTGTGTAATGATATTATTTTGTTTTATTTTTTTTTAAGCCAGTGTTTTAAGCCATGAATATTAGACTGACAAGTTAGTGATCAGCTGGAAGCCTAGACAGGGAAAACTGCATTTTGACCTTCTTGGTGGGAAATAGTACAAATTATATCTAATATTAATAAATTCATATGTTTTTTGAGAAACAATTTAATATTTTGAAAGTTTTTACAGAGTCAAGCTCCTCTTCACCCCCCAGAACCAAACTAAGGACCATGGGAGACAGGGCCTTCTATGCTGTTGCCCCCATACCTGTGGAACGCCCTCCCTGACACCTTGAGGGCACCACAACCCACTAGCTGTTTTAAAAAAGGACTCAAAATATTTTCTTTTAGAAGAACTTTTGGTCCCCCTTTATAGATTTTTTTTCTTAAACCTGCTTATTTTGCTTTTACTTTAACTTTAATGAGATCTTTCTCTTGTTTTAACTAATAACCTGTTGTTATATTCCTTTATTGTGATATTTCTCTGCTTTTAGCATGTAGCCCTTTGAGGTCTCTGGGTATAAAGGGCACTACAAATAAAATGTATTATAATTATCATTATGTTTATAACTGCAGGAAACAGTAGATCTAAATATTAAAAAGCATTATAATACTGCAGACTTTCTAAAGTGTGCAGCTCATTAAATCAAATGTTTTGTGGTATTTGTAGGTTGTGCAAGGTGTGCAAGATTCTGAGGGCTCTTCAGACATGAATGCTGTGTAGGATATTTGCATCATGTAGGGCAGGCATGTCCAAAGTCCAGCTGGGGGGGGGGGGGGGGGGGCAATCAAGTCCAGAGGTCCCCAGACATGTGGTGTCCATATGAAAATGCTTTCTTTATGGCATTATGGGAGCTGAAGTAGACCATCAACATAGACTCCATTCGGAAAAAGCCCAGCAGAAGTTGTACCTACTGCAACAACTCAGGAATTTCAACTTACCTCATGAGCTGCTGATCCACTCCTACACCACCATCATCCACTCACTCCTCTGCACAACCATCACTGTTTGGTTTAGGACTGCAGAGATAACCAACCAGAGCCAACCTGCCCTCCATCAAGGACTTACATCAGTCCAGGGTCAGGAAACATGCAGACCCCTCACACCCAGGACACAAACTGTTTAAACTCCTCCCCTCAGGAAGGAGTTTAAAGCCTTTTAAGGGTCCTTTGGTGTAAGAAATGGATTTTAAGCCTTTGCACATTTACACACACTTACAAAAAAATCACATTTTCACAAATCAAATGTGACCCTCTTTGAAGAAGTTTAGATACACACTTATAGAGCAGGACATGTGAAGTAAGAGCCACATGTTCTGGATGCAAATGTGTATGAATTACAGGGTTGAATTCATGTGGGAAAGCACGGCACGACAGATGAGGAGTAGGATATGTAAAAGATGCAGGACATAAATGATGTGAAAATGTACAAACTGTTTCAGAAATGTCAAATAAATTAGACCGTGAAAAGTGCAGGTTTTGTTTGACATATGAAAGCTACAGTTTCAGGAATAAAATGGTCCAACACAGGGATGAGTCAGCATATTTGATATATTTAATAAATTAAAGCAGAGGTACAAAAAACAATGTACATATCAACCCCTCCACTCTCTATCAGCTCTCTCTGTAACACTCTGTGAGCTCAAACTGACCCAGGATCAGTGAACGCCACCCTGTCTGACCCCCCCTCCCTCCATAACACACACTCACACACACATGCTACATGTCTGCAGGCACCGTGGGTCACACATAAGGATTAGACTGAGATAAAGAGAGACAGAGCGTGGAGGACGAGGGTGATGAAGATGATGATAACAAATCAATGAGTGTGATCGATGGTCAGCACTGGCTGGTGGCTCCAGGTGGATTCATGGGACTGAACACCTGATCAGAAGGGGTGAGGAGGTGAACGAGGGGGGAGTTTGGGATGTGACGGTAGGTCCATAATAAGTGCACTGAACAGGTGGACACACTCTTTCACACACACACACACCCACACACACAAACATACATGCACACGCGCTTGCACAGGTATGAACACACGCACACTCAAATACACTTAAGTGTATAACTGTTAATATGCACAACTTGATTAATATTTTTGCACGGTTACAGATTATTTTCCTCCAAACACTCAGCTGCTGGCCCCCCCCACCTGCCCTCATAAACCCTGCCCCCTGCCCCGCCCCTTCAGTGTGAGTGCTGGAGGAGAGCACAGAGTCCTTGTCCACTCTCAAGGCATTATAATAAAAGAACAGCGTCACAGACATGTTATGATATTTATATCATGTTGGTCCTTTCCTTCACATCAGCAGCAAAACTGAAACACCTTCTGTCTATACGTGTTTACATAAACATTATATAATCATTTGTCTCATATTATGTCAAGTAGCTACGTACAACACCACTACCATTTCATACGCTAATCACCAGGAAACAGCCGAGGAACCACGGACAGATCTGGAAGAGGGCAGCATGCTGGGAGTGCTGCTCTTTGAGGAGAGAGAGAAGGAAACAGGTAAACGGACAGCCTCTGTTGATCTGATGGTCTGGTTGGTTCCAAGTGGTTTCAGTTGGGTCATGTGATCCTCTCTGATGCTCTGAGGTGTGGTTCAGGTGTGTCAGTACTCAGCAGCGTACTCAGTCCCATGGAGCCCTCTGCACAGCAGTGTGAACTCCTTCACAATGTCCTTAACCCTCCTCTTGTTGACGCGCTCTCTGAGGGGAGGAGGCAACGTTTTTTCAGTTTCAACATTTGATATGTTGCCATTGCACTATTTTCACTTATATATGGGCTACAAATAATTTAAAGACCATCAAAGTCCATTTTATCAGCATTTAGTACAGCATATATTTAAGTGTTGATCTGTTTACCAAAAGGGGTATCCTGTTTAAAGGCCACTGCATTGAAGTGAAGTGAGGTGTGTTACCTGAGGATCTGCTGAGAGAAGTTCTCCTTCTGCTCTGTTGTGACTCGTGACGATGGGAAACCTGCAGGCTGCAGCGCCTCCTTCAGCCACACAGCGAGCAGCGAGAAACAGTGTTTGTTCAGACTGAACAACACCTCTGCGAACTGATCCATTAGACTCCGAGAAGCCCCGCCCCCGATGCCCTGCAGACAGAGGGGATAGTTATACTCAGGGAAAGAGAGACAACTACAACAGTTGGACTCTGGAAGAGGAACTTTAAACATCAGTGATTTGTTTCGAATAACAGAGTGAACTTTGACATGATATCATAAGAGAGTAAGAGAAGAAGAATCCCAGGTGTGTGTGGAGTCTCTCACCTCCAACACGGCGGTGATCAGGAGCTTCCCGTCCTCCTGCACGACTCGAGCTAACGGAGGAACATCTGAGCAGTGAGGCAACAACTCAGTCTGCAGAGACACATAGAGACAGTCAGCTCAGTTCAGAGACTTCCTCAGGAGCATGCACGTGTATATGTGTGTGTGTGTAGAAGTGAATGTGTGTGTGTGTGTACACTCACAAAGAACAGGCACGTCGACTTGACAGTCGGAGCTTCAGGAAACTTGAGTGACAGAACTCCTGAAAAGTCAGAAACATAAACAAAGAACATCCATGTTTTATACTCTATTATACTGTGCACAGTCTCTATGAGTGTGTATGTGTGTGCACTCACCACAGTGAAAAACAGCTTTCACGTCCAGACTCTCAGATAAAAACAGATCTGGTTTTCGTTTGAGGGCCTGCGAGCAGAAAGAAACGTCAAACACAGAAAGTCTCTAGGGACTTGAAGCGTTCACTGCTGCATTACAAACTTCATGTACTGCAGTAAGAAGAACTGCATCAACAGGTTGTACAGTGACAGATACTGCTACATTAACAGGTACTGCAGTAACACATACTGTAGTAACTGATACTGCATGAAAATACTGCATGAAAATACTACAGTAAGAGATACTGCAGTAGGAGTACCCGCTCAGCCTGGTAGGTGGATCTGACAGCAGCAGTGCTCTGAGGACTGATCGGCCTACCAGACTGCAGTTTGTGTTAGAGTCAAACAGAGATCCTCCGATGCTCGGCTCAGCAGGTTCAATGAACAGATATTAAAAATCAAACTCAGGTCAAACTGAAGGTAATGATGGTTTTCTTTTGGAAACATTACTTTTCCTTGTTTCTGGTCTGGATTGGATATGCAACAGAAGTGTGTAATAATAACATGTGCAGATAAAGAGAAATACAAAGAATCTCATAAGAATGAACTCATCGAGGATGGAGGAGAGAGGGAGAGAGATGGAGGTCAGATCTATCCAAAGATAGAAAACAAAGGAAGAAGAATGAAGACAAAAAGATCAGACAGAAGAGCCATCAGCCGATTTGTCTCCACCGATTAATATTTACTGAATATTAATTCATTTGGGCTCTGATTGGCTCTGGGCTGGGATGACGTCAGGGGAGGACTAATCAGTCACCTGTGACCACGTGGTGTTACATCATCTGACTACCAGACCTACAGAGGAGCCTTTTATACATTGTACCTAATTATACCGCTATAGTTAGACTCTCTGAAGATGCAGTTGCTAGGTTTTCAAGTTATCTAAGTGATCCCTGCATAACACATAGACAATATATGCTCTGATATTATAACCATCTATGTGGGTGGGCCTCAGGGCTATGTTTTAGGTCCTCCTTTAGTTTACTAGTTATGTGAATAACCTGGGTCCATTTGTGTCTGATGCCGTGCTCCATGTTTATGCAGATGAAACAGTATTAAACTGTTGTGCAGCAGCTCTTATACAGGCCGTTACACACATACAGAAGCATTTGAAATTGTTCAGAATAAACTGCTTGATCTAAAACATGTTGCAGAGAAACATAAGCTTATTATGTTAACCAACTGAAAGGTTAGATGAGTAATTGTACTTTTTTTGGTCACTGCAGATGGGAGAGAGATGGAGGTTATAAACTCTTGAGGAAACCTTGCATTCTGATTGATGACTCATCAAATTTTAACAAACATGTCCCCTACCTGGTGAAAAAACCTAACTGCTGCAACTTTTTCCCTTACTCACCTATGGTGATCTCTTGTTTCTGCACGACCCTGCTCAGTCATTTCATATGATGGACGCTGCTTATCATGTGTACCTGAGCTTCACAGCAAATTGTTTAGCTCTTTCACCATTGTGAGTTATAATCCTGGGCAGGATGGCCATCTCTGAATATCTGTAGACTAACACATCAGTATACCTTCATCTACAAGGCAATCCTTGACCTGCTACCACACATTCTTTGTAATTTTATCCCACAGAAAATTTATTATTCTCTCTGTCCAAAGGCTCAAACAGACATTGGTAAAAGGGCTTTTGAGTTTTCTAGACCCTCAGCTGAGGATTTATTACAGAACAACTTGAAACTCAAGGAGCTGAGGTCGATAAATATTTTTTTTTAACCTTCGCTGAAATAATTTGGAGAAGATTCTCAGAATGTCATCCTGTCATTACCTGGTTACACACCTGTTTTTTTATTTTTATCATTAATTTTAATGCAACAGTGGTTTCCTGTGGGAGTCTGTCCTTAACTTTGTGTTTCTTCTGCTGTCTTAACCAGGACAAAGAGATTTTTACTCTCAATGGGACTATGCTGGTTAAATAAACATTAACTAATGAGCCCTTAACAGTGTAATACTGCTGTCACAGTGTGGAAACATGAGAGGCAATAGGTCCAACAAAACTGGTTGAGTTTTTACAGTATTTCCGTGTCATTGAGTGACAGCAACATCAAAAAATGGCAGATGGTCTGCCAGCTCATTCATCTGGCAGCAGAAAGAGCCACACATGGCATCGCACACCATCAGTAACTTTTCAACCTAGACACTGCTGGTTCAGTCTGGGTTACAATTCTTTACTATATACGAGTGGAGGAACATGCAGTGTCAGATAAGGCTGAAATCAAGCTACATTTGTCTGACAAGTCCAGGAAAAGGTCTTAGATGCCAAAAATACGCCCCAAATTGCTTACAATGAGTAAATAAATCTGCAAGTGGAAAAAGAAGATTTCTTTCAATCTTTCAGTCTGTGTTGATTTTGGTGCCCCCTGCGGGGAAGATGTGCACCTGAACATGCCGAGGTGGTATTTCCTGAAAATAATTCCATCCTGTTTTCATTTATCATATACACATGTGAATACTTCCTGAAAATGTAAAGAAAGGCTGCTTATTGTCCGAATACAGTTAGTTATGTGGCTTCAGACGATAAGAATCATAATAAAGACAATTGTCAGTACTGTTTGGTTTGCTTTCAGTTAAGTGCCTTCAAATCTTTTTAAATAAGTGTAGAGGAACCAAAACGCTATCTGAGCAGCTCTAGGAACAATTAAAAACTCACAATATTAGTCTATTTTTATCACTTCTTATGTAACCTGTCAAGGTTCGACTGATGATTTGATTCTGAGCCTGGCTCACCTGCTCACCTAGAGGTTATGGTCTCACAGTTACATCCAGAACTCTCAGTTTGAACCTCAGAGTTCCTCTCAGAGTGTTTACTGTTCTGCTCAGACTTGATTTATTGCTGAGTGCTTTTCTCTGTCAGCTTCTCTACAGCTCAAACAGCTGGGAGCAATGCCAACAGATGAGGCTGCATTAGAGTTGGCAAAGAGGAATGCAGGGACGCTGCAGTGATAGCAGCATAACTGAACATTAATGAAGATGATATAGGAATTTGAAGCACACAGTTAATGTTGAAGCTTTACAGAAGTTACTGTCCCATGAAAGTATTATCTGTGGTGCTTTTATTTTGCCCCCTTTTCTTTGATAAGAGAGGGGGGTTTTATTCTGAAAGGACATAAAATGTACTACTCATTGGTAGAGTTATAGGAGGAATTAAACTGTAAGAAAATGATTGATGAGAATTGATGACAAATAAAGCTCAAATGTCTACCTAAAGAAAGATATTCCACTGTCATATTTTCACAAAATTACTGGAAGCAGCATGTCACTAACTAGCTTGTCTATGTTGCACCTCAGCAGCTCTAAGTGTAAGCTTAGTGTCTACCCTGATCTGATCTCCTTTGTTGGGCTGTTAAGGTGCTGTCTGTGTGGAAAACACTGGGAGTGCATCCTTAACTGCAAAATTTACCCCTGCTTTCTCCATATTTGTACGGCAGACAGATCAATTAATCATTCAGGTCAATCAATCCGGGCAATTTTGTCTGCAGACACTGCAGGCAGCCCCTGTTGCTGTTGTGCAAAGTTGACATCCTCCTAAATAACATGTTTTTCTGCATCTCAAGGATGAGTCTCCTTTTACACTGTGCAGATTATGATGCCTGGAGAAAGTTTTCATTCTATCAAGTTGCTCACCAAAAACCTGAAATAATCTTTTGGCCAGATGAGCGAAAACTTAATTGGCTGTTTCAATTTGATGTGTTCCAGCTGTTGATTTTGTCTCAAAACCCTGGCTCTTTAATGAGTGAATATTTCTGTATCAGTGCGTTTTTCGTCTTGATACTGATCTATTATCTGCTCTGACCCTGAATTGTATGAACTCAGTAACAAGTCAGCACATGTGGGTTGGGCAAATAAATAAATGTATGAATCTTAAAAAAAATTTCAAACTGTATATTCGCCATTTGCTGATCTCCTCATTAATAACCTGCCAATGAAAAACTTATATTTGTCAACCACTAGGCTTTCTGCTTCTATTACGCTACAGACAGGGAAAAGAAATAATGACATCCAACAGGAGAAGTCTAAGGCAGAGAGTGCCCTCTGCTGTTAAAAAATAATGATTTTTATTTTTCCTCTCACTGATTTGATTTGTCACTCATTGTACCAACTTCTAGCTGTCTTATTAGGTAGAGTTATATTTCCACATAGCATGGTGTATGTCGTACGGAAAATAAGATGTTCTAAAACCATCGTGGTGAGGTGACTGTTAGATCCAAAGTGTTTGACTCGACTCTGTTTCAAACACTCTCCTCATGTTTCATTCCACCGCCTCGCCCGTCAGTAACTCAGAACAAGAGGAAGAAGAGGGAGGACAGGACAGAGAAAGGAAGAAAGAGAGAGAGAGAAACCCAAAGTGAATGAAATAAGAAACAAAAACACACCTGAGCTTGGAGTTGCATAAATGAATCAACAATATCAGGATGATCCCTGGGTCCTAAAATATAATAAAGATGAAACTTAAGAAATCATAAGAGAAGAAGAATAATATACAAACAGCAACTGAACAGATTCAACAGTCATGTGGAAATAAAAGAGAACTCAAAAATATTTCATTGAAATAATTCACACGTGAGTAAGGAACGAAGGGGGGAAGGGCAGGAGGGGGGGGGCATATGAAGCTTTGGCAGAGTCTTGGAAGAAACAGACCAACCAAAAGAAAACAGGCAGAAGACAAAGACATGAGTCCGTCTGGAGAGAAACAAAGAAAGAAGTAACGAGAGAAAAAGAACAAACCTAAACAAAGAAAAGTGGGTTTGGAGTGGGAACCCAGGAGGCACCTCTGTTACTGTGACGCTATGGAGGGAAAGGGACCCCCAGACCTGCACGGTACCCCACAGACCTGAATGAACCCCTCGGACCTCATCATCTCAAGGCACCACGCATGCCTCTTAAGGGTGGTCCTTCAGGGGTCCAATCAGAGCTGCTTTCTGAAGCCTTTTTCACACATGCACTCCTAAAGTTTCCAGAAATTTTCAGGAGTTCTGCCACCAAATAATCAAAGTTTGCACGTGTCCTTCATGGCTTGACATCTTCCTAGTTAGACGAGGGGCTGGTGGGTCAGGGCACGACTCAAGGGAGGCAGGAGATGAGATTAAAATCATGTAATGTTAACGACATGATGAAAACCTAAGCAACAGAGACCTTTACATTACAATGTAAACAGACAAATAAGCTGAAATGTTCATCGCTCTCCTTCTTCAGCCTCTGGTGTTTTATAGTCATCCTGTCACATGTTGCATTTCTAGGTTTCCATCCATCCCATGAGAGAGAAATTCCCCAAATTTACCTGCTTTCCCATATTGACTCACCATGAATTCACATGGGAATTTTAGAAAGTAAAAGTCTGGGAATAGTCAAGATAATAACTTTGTCTTTTCGCGTTCACACATGCAGCTGGCCTGGAAAATTTCAGGAAGTTTTTGGGAGTTTTGTACATGTGTGAATACAGCTTGGATGTCCCTTGCTTCAAATATGAACCCACAGCCTTCAGTATGAAAAGGACCAGGATCAGGACCTCCCTAATGCTGGACTCAAACTACAGAACTTTCAAAAGTGAATCAGACAAAACTCCTGACTTCACACTTCATTTCTGTCTCTTCATGGTTTTTACCACAGAATATGGTCATGAAAACAAAAATAGAAATCTGTAGTAAGTGCCCAGCTTTACTGTTCCCACACTCCAAACAAGTTTCCTTCTCAGAACCCCCCCCCCCCCAGTGAGGACACAGAGCATGCTCAGAGGGCTGACTGTGACCTTGAATAACCCTGACATTGTGTAGTTAAAGACACCTGCTCAGAAAATAAAAAGAGTTTAGAGGAGGAGAAGCAGCCATCACTGAACCAGACAAAGCAAGGAAGGGGGGCGACAACATAAAGGGAGGAAGGGGAGGGAGGGGATTCGAGCTGCAACGAGGACCCTGACTTGGTGTTCTGGATCAAATCGTTCCATCAGTTTATGTGGACTAAAGACCCTCTGATTTAAACTTAACCTAAAAAAGTAAAAACCTTTTCCTGAACTCTGAAACAATAAATACAAAAACTTGAATTCAATGAAGAGCTCAACTAATAAAGAAAACAATTACAGACATTTAAAACACAGAAAATTTGCTAGAAAGTAATTTAATCTACAACCCTCAAATTGAAAAGTTAGGACACTGTGTAAAATGTTGTTAAAAAAGAAAATTAATTAAAAAAAAAAAAAAATTAAAAATAGAATTTGATGGTTTGCAAATTTAATTTAATTTAAAATAATTTACTATATCTAAAATTGTGTAAGACAACATACATCTCTGACAAGACACATCTCTGCTCATTTCAAACTTGATGCCATCAGCTTCATTCATAAAAGTAGTTCCAAGGTCTTATTTCTTGTTGTGTTTCATCAGCTCCTCTTTTCCCAACACTCTGTAAATGTTAGTGAACCTAGCAGACCAGGTTTTTGAGCTTGGAAAGTGAAATGTTGTCCCATTCTTGCCTGATAGAGGATTCAGCTGTTCAACAATTCAGGGTCTCCTTTGTCTTATTTTTGTGACATGATGCTCCAAATATTTTCAATGGGTGATAAGTCAGGACTGCAGGCAGGCCAGTTTATTAGCAGGTCTTTTCTACTACAGAGCCATGTTGTTGTAATCCCCGCAGAATGTGGTTTGTCATTGTCTTGCTGAAATATGAAGGTTTTCAGTAAAAACTTGTATATTTTGTTCAGCAGCATCCATAGTTTCCATATCAAATTTTGTCATGTCATGCAGTGATTTCCACTACTTTTCATGCTCTAAGTTTCATGATAGTAGATGATGAAATCCACTCATTCTTTCACATTTTACACTCATGAATAAAACTGTTCAACTATCAGCTGACGCAGTCTCTCACAGAGTGGTGAACCTCTTATCATCATTCCGTCTAAGAGTCTCAGCCTCTCTGAATGTCCTTTTTATACCCAGTCATGTTTATATTCATAACCTATTGGAAATTAACCTCATTAGTTGGGAAATGTACTTCAAGGTCCAAAATTTTCAATTAAATTCAAAGCTTTAAATCACTTGCAAACCATCACAATCTTCTATTCTTATTTCAATGAGTATTTTATGCCTTAAGTTGAGAGAATGGGACAGTGGAAATGGGGAAGAGGGTCTGACATGTGGGAAAGGAGCTGCAGGTCGGAATTCAACCTGAGTCACCCACTGAAGGAAGTGACAGACCCCGCCCCCAAATCACATTTTTATCAACTCTTACACAGTGTCCCAGACTTTGTGGGACTAGGGTTGTATATTTGAACCACTCAAGAGCTTCCCTAGTCAGTGACTTCTGACCTCTTGTGCTCAGGTCAATGACCTCAGCAGTTTTTCACAATAACAGGGTAAACTTAATTAGTTTGATATTCAATTTAAAAGATAAAACTTCACCTGTTGCACCTGCTCAGGACTATGACTCTGTGAATAAAACATGATCAAGAACATTTCGGCCCGTGCCCCCTGGACCTCCTACCTTGCTGGAAGATGGACAGTGTTACCGTGGTAACCAGCTCAAACAGAGCCTTGATAGGAGGGAAGTGGTCGGTCTCACTGGCAAAGATGTGGACCATCTGCAACACAGGATAGTGAAATCTGTCACACTGCGTGATACTGTAAAACACCTCATTGTGTTGTGTGTTTCATTTATAGCACTGCTATACTTTAATATTCTATTATGCTGTGTCATTATTGTGACGAGTAATTAAACTGTGACTCTCTGTGAAAGTCTTAGCCCATGTGTTTGTGTTTCTGTCTGTGTAAAAGACTCTGAGTGGGTGGGTGTGTGTGTACCTGTCTTGTGAGGTCGAGGGCGGAGCTCTGAGGGATGGTGCTGTACATCTGACCCAACATGTCGCTAAGCTGAGAAACCATCGGAGCAAAGTCATGAAGAAGAGTCTTCACCGACTTCTCGAAGATCGCGCACACTGCCTGAGAGACACCACAAAATCACAACCCATCACGACATCGCACCCTATCATGACATCACACCTGGTCATGTGACTGGTTTGTTTCTAAGAAGTCTTACTGGATGTGACCCCATAGCGATGACTCACCTCCACAACCTGCGAGTCGTTGAGCCACTTACTGAGCACGCTCTGTATGAGGGCGAATACCTGCTGCAAAACCACCACCACCTAAAAACACAGCAGAACAGCATTACACACAGAGTTTTGAATAAACTTTATATACTGAAGGTAATGTGTGTGTGTGGGGGGGTGATTCTGTCTTTAGAAACAAACTGCTGTGCTGCCTCATTACAAACTTTTACTGAGCAGATTAGCTGCTGTCTGATGATAACTTATGCCCCTGAGGATGACGCCCATTTTATCCCGGTTTCTATCTTATCCAGCTACAAATGAACAACGCCTCCCAGCCAAGAATCCTTTTCTCGTGCGCTGCATCGTTTATACTCCAACTAGCAACCTAAAAAGTGAGCATTTAAAATTGAATTGAAACGCCAATTCTGGTTCTTTACTTGAATAGAAGGAGGGCCTGTTTATCCGTTTGAGGTGAATCACAGTTTCACTGTAAATAATTTAGTCATACAGAGGCGTCACTTTGGCTTACTTCAGCAGTGTGAACCTAAAACATTTTCTTGTGATTTTCTGGCTGTCAACAGGCCTTCAGTTGAAAAACTAATATCATGATGTAATAGTAAAAGTAAAAAGTCAAGCTTTGTCAGGTCTTCTTGTCCTCAAGAAGAGAGGAAAACGACCTTTAAAATGTTAGTTTGTTGAATGAAGGTCAAAGCCATAAATGCATTCAGGGAAGATGGGAAATCTAAACTCTGATTGACTTAAGTGACTCTCCATCAATCAGATAAGTGTCTCAGTGTAAATGTTTGATCCAGAACAGGCTGAAGGCTGACCTTATAGCAGATGTCTGTTTAAAAAAAGAGAAAGAGATCCTCCTCAGATTTTTGGTGTATTGTGTTCTGTCTGCTTTTGCTCTTCTTGTGTTTTTCTTGCTAACATGATACCTGAGTGGTCACTGCTACTAGGGATTATATTATGCCCTTTAATGTGTTTGTTCAATGACCCTCTCCTGAGGAGACTCACTGGGTTGGGTCCGGGTGGGGGAGGGGTTGTCTTGACTGGTGGGGCTGAAACGTCAGCTGATTCGTCGTCCTGCTTGCTGATGTCGAGCGTGGTGAATAGGTTGGACAGCAGCCCCAGGATGTGGATGATTGCCAGTTTATTGGAGGGATTGGGCTGAAAGCAGATGCATGATCTTATTATTTGTCATAACTGATCCTCAGTGTGAATCTGACTCATTTAATCACAGTGTTTTTTTAATGATAGTAATGCTGATTTGCTGCACAAGTAAATCTAAAAACAGATGAATGAATCCTCAATGATTCAGATGACAGCAGGATGCGGCAAACAGGAATAAAATTGATCACATTTTCAATCAGTCATTATGACTTTGTGATCTGTATTTGTGGGAAAAATATATAAAAATGACTATTCATTCTTCCATGATGTTACACAGCCTGAAGGCCTATCCACCAGAGGGCACTGTTTGTCGGCTGCAGACGCATCCTGATCTGATAGTCTGATGTAATGCTCAAAAATCAAAGAGCCAGACTGGAAGCAAGAGGAGGACAGAGTGTGTGTATGTGTTCTGTTTTTCTATGTGTGTGTGTTGGGAGTGTTCAATGATTATGAATGACACATCTTTAGATATCAGAAATCTTTACAGTCTTTATTTTACATCATGAAGCTCTGCAGCCGCACAGAGACTGACTGACCTACTGTAACTATGGATGTGCACTATGTGTGTGTGTGTGTGTGTGTGTGTGTGTGTGTGTGTGTGTGTGTGTGTGTGAGTCAGTCGCCTGTGGTCAGATCCAATCTGGTCCTGCAGAGAAATGTTCCTCTGCAGTGACACCACACAGACTCAGGGCCTGTTCCTTTTGGCTATAGTCCAACTGCGCAAGCATGAATGTTTGTGTGTGTGAGTGTGTGCATGTGTGTTTGTTTTTGTGAGTACCGTCTCGTCGGCCAGTTTCTCCAGCTGCTGGATGTACGGTGTGATGAGGGAGTGCAGGTTTCTTAAGATTTCCTCCACAGGCAGGGCCGAGAGCAAGAAGCCGAGTGCCTGCATCAACCACATACATTGGCTGGTCTGCAAGACAAGAGCACACCGATTCTAACGCACACACACACACGGATCATTAGCTAACAGACAGGGTGTAAAAACAAACACTCACCTTGTGGATTTGCTTGATCAGAACCTCCTGCAGAGACAAACAGGATCACAGATGTTTTTATTCTAGCAGAAAATCTAAAAATATTCACTTACTCTTCCAATAATAACCAAAATATTCACGTGAAGGTTATTCCTGGAGATTAAAGTCTAGAACACTTCAGCTGCTGGATGTTGGATGAAGCAGTACACTCAACTCATAATGCAATACAACTCACAATGACTTAGCTTTTCACTATTTTCTCACTACAGCAACTGACACAGTTTGTGTTTAAACTTGAAGAAATAAAACAGTTATTCAGAATGCTTTAATTTTGCCTTTCAGCAACAATAATTTCTGTCCTGTAGTAAAAGACATGCACCTTTACTCTAAGACAAAAAAGAAAAATCTGTAAGGATAAAAATTCATAAGGATAAAGAAATAAATAAACAGCTAAAAGAAAGACTGACATGTATAAATAAGACATTTTAGGCTGATGTTTTTTTTTTTTTAATTCTTTATCTTCATTTCTTTAAAATGATGGACTCAGAATCAATTAAAATGAAACCTTAAAAACATTGGGAGAATATTCTCAACTGCAGTTTGTTTTCCTGCTGCAGATGAAGAGACATTAGGACATCTAATGAGAAGTTCAAGGTGCCCTCTGTTATTGAAGGGTGTCAATATTCATTTTTCGTCTCACTGATTTGTATCCTCTCTTCTTTAAACGGATATTCAACTTTTTCATCAGGTACTGTTGGATCTGAAGTGAGAATGTTGATTCTTCAGTATTTGAGAATCAGCATACACCTGTGCCTACTCACCTGTGAGACAGCCACTATGTTGGAGGCGTACGGAGGAAGGTCGTATTTACACTCCCGACAAATCTTCTTCAGTGTGGAAACAGAGGAAACAGACAGATCGGGGTTCCCTAAAGCCTGCAGGACCAGAGGCAACACGCTGCTGAGCATCACCGGGTGATCGGCCAACCACTCAGCCAGAGCACCTAAGGGAGAGGGACAGGGAAGTGTGACATCTCTCCATTACTGAGTTCGATCTCCACTTTCTCCTCTGCCACTTTTTGAGTAGCCATCATCTCGTCCATCTTTTAACACAAACGGATCCCTTTTGACTTTAAATGAATCAGTTTTCACTCTTAATTCATGCCCTTATGAGTTTTCTGACCTATAGTGAACATGACGGTGTCGGCCAGCTGCACATTGTTGATGGTGATTCTCGGGATGAGTCCGATCAGACCGGGGATGACGTCAGAATAATTCACATCAATGGTTTCTGCGATGGACTGGAAGCCATACAATAAAGCTTCTGTGTGCTGTTAGAAAGGGATGATCATGAAATGACGGATTAAACAATAACCCATAAAAAAATATTCATCATAAACTTTGGATTTATGTTTTAAATACAGTAAATGTTTCACTAAGTGTAGATGAAGTTGCTCTAGATGTATCAACCTGATCAGTCACTTAGAGGTCAGATTTACCTGCCAGGAAGTCGGCTGTTCATTGGTTAACAGTCTGCCCAGTTTGTCATACAGGTTACTCAGAAGCTCTGCTCCTAACATCTCATAAACGTACATAAGGGTATCAGAGATGTCCACCCTGAAAACACAAACACAAGTTAGGCAAGCACCAAGAAAAGACTGCTCCAATGTTTCATTCTATCACTGGATTATTGTCATACTGCTCCATGACACACACATGCACTCACCTGTAAATCCTAAACTGCTCCTTCTCGTCGGAGGACCAGGACTCGTACTCGTGGTCTGATGGAAACTGAGCTTTATGCAGTAGAACGTCCACCAGCTGGAAATACACTGGTCTGTACACCTGCAGGTAAATAACCTGTTTCTCGGACTCAAACGACATGATCTCGTCCTAAAGAGCAGAAACATCATCACCATCATTAATTTGTATTTTTGAAAGTCAATTAAACTGCTGTATTGTAACACTGATATAGATTAGGGTGTAACATAGCCTGGCTGGGCCATCCAGTTGCGTGAATCACGTGCCGTTCCTTCCCACAACAGTCTGGACTTCGGCCAATTGGGAGCGTGTATTACAAATCAGAAAATAACCGGGCCAATCAGTGACTGTGTTTCCACTGTTCGCCAGACAACAGTGAAAGGCAGCCCCTGACTGGTCCATGTGTAGATGGAGACGTCTAACACATGCTGCGGGACTTTTCAAAGCGCCGTTATTTCTGCAGTTGACTTTGCAAAGTCGGCAGAAATCGTTTATATCCGCAGAAGAAGACGTAAAAGACATTGTTTGTTTGCACACGTTGAAATATTACCAAACCTTTACTTGATGCTTGAGAGCCCAGCAGGGAATACAGTTGCGCACTGTGATGACGTCAGATGTTTGGTTACAGTGATTGGTAACAGTAGTCTGTTTATCAAGGAAAGTACTTCCTGCCCACTTTTAAGGCTCCCAATTGGCCGAAGTCCAGAAGGAACAGCAAGTGATTCACGCAACAGGATGGCCCAGCCAGGCTAGGTGTAACAGAGCAGGTGACAGGGTCACATTTACCTGCAACGTGTACCAGAAAGTGAGCGTGAGTGAGCTGGTGGTCTCATTGACGGGGTAGTGACCCGGTATGCCTGTACAGAACATGATCATGTTGACTAAAGCCAGAAAGCTCTGCCAGTGATCCACCTGCTCCAGCAGAATCCTGCAGACACACAGGTGAGAGGAAAGATTGGTGAGCGATTATTTCAGTAACATCATAGGAGAGGAACTGACACCAGACTGATCTGATCAATACACAACAACAACAACAATAAATAAGTTTGCTCCTTCACAACTTCTGCATTAAAACATCTTTTGTTTTGGCTGTGACTGGTGTACAATAACATGATTCTCCAACTCCTCTCCAACAGTCAGCAAATCATTCTTCACCATGGCTGCCTTCAGTAGCAGGAATGTGGAAAACAGATGTAAACAAAAGGATGAACATCTGCTCAAATCAACAGCAGCTGGACTCCACAGAGACCCCTGCAGTTTACCAAAGACACCGAGACATGTGGGTTCAAACTAGGTTTCCTAACATTTACATAGACCTGATTTCAACGCTGAGCAGATAAACACGGAATATCACACAGTATAAAAGCCTCTACATTTGGTTGTACTGAGAAGCCAGATTTGTCCAAATGAAAGTGACAAGGACATCAACTCAAAAGTTTTTTGTAAACTTATAAAGTTTTGTGCCTGCTCTGTGCATGACTTCGTTATAGAGAAAACTATGTTTGTCTTGGTTTGCCAAAGGGAGCTGGATTTGTATACTGCATAGTATTTCAATATAAAAGGTTATAAGTCAGAACTGAATGAAAATGCTCTATATAAATACTTCAGCTGGAAGAAACAAGCCTAAACCAAATGAAAATTTACGAAGGTGTGGAGGGATAATTTAAACCTTTTTATGAACAAACTAAAATAAAAATTAACCTCCGTACACCAAGTCTCAGACTGTCTCCTGGCTGTGTTCCTGCTGCACATGCTCAGTGTGGTTCTCCTCCACACAAAGACATAAGCAGCAGAGGTGGGAACAATCGATCAAAAATTAGTCTCCACTAACAGTTTATCCCTTTAACTCTCAGTTCAGTTCAAAATTAAGAAAGGGTATAATAGAGTCAAAACTGGTTTAAAGTCTGACAGTCTGCCCCTTTTCCAGCTACAAAGTCTAGGTCTAGTCTTCTTTCGAGTATGTCCCACAGCTGAAAATGCAAAAATACACCAGACCTCATTGACATCGCCCTTTTTTATTCATACAGCACAAGGCTTATCAACACTGGCGCTGCTGCTCAGTATGTGCTTTCTGACACTTGGTGGATGAAACTGGGATGACTCCTGCCTGTGGTGACATCAGGTGCAAAGCCTCTATAATCACACACACACACACAGACATACAAACCTGGAGTGGTTCTCTCCCAGTGTGACGGCGATGCGACATATGCCATGACAGGTTTCCATATCCCCGCTCTGAACGGCTTCTCTGAGCTGATCCTGCAGGGCCAGAACCTGAGGAACCAGCTTCAGCAAGGTGTTCACATACCTGAGACACACAGAGCAAACACAGAACAGCTCAGTTTGAATAAATGTGTTAAAAACAAAGTGTTCGTATACCTGGGAAATCTAAGAAATGGAGAGAACAAACAGCTCAGTTTATTTAGATGATATGATTCAAACTCTGAGAGCTCAGATTTCTTCAAACAGATGCAGGAGAGCTCAGCCAGAGTTCAGCTTTTGTAAATAAGTACAGCGCAGAGCTGTGGGAGAAACTGACAGCTCACTGACTGCTTCATCTGTTTATTTATAATCATGTACAAATCACAGTCAAACCTCAGATCCAGAATAACACCCCCTGAAAAAAACAAACAAACCACAAAACTCTCAAAAGCATGAAAACCTTATAAAACACTTTCCCCTCCCCCCGAATAAACAACCTCCAAAAAATTAAAAAGAACTGACAAACACTCATCCATCAGAAAATGTGCTGAAGCTGCTGTCAGATTTTATTCTGTCTCATCCTGCTGCCTCAGCCATTACACCCCCTGACTAAAACATACACACTCATCCAAGCACACACACACACACACACACACACACACACACACACACACACACACACACACACACACACACACACACACACACAAACACACAGAAAACACTTCTAAAAGACAGTAGGGGGACCATTAAACTGCGGGGTCCATTATGAGCGTGTGGCTCAGTGAGGACAGAGAGGGTTGGTGAGGATTTTGGGTCCAGTTGTACGGTGGTCCATGATGGAGGTGGCTAGAGAGAACAGTGGAGTCTCAGACAATAGTGCTGTCCTTTTCATACAGAAGGGCCCAGAAACACAGTTCAGCTCATACGGAGGACAAAGGTTTGTGAAGAACCTGGTTTCCAGATGGACAATTGTTACTGAGTGCAGTGAGTTTAAGAACAGAGTTAATTAATCAGGACTGTCCATGTTTATGAGGACACTTACAGGGGAATTTGGACCCATGAGGACAGTGATGGTCCCACAAAATGATAAATACAAGGGAGAAAAGCAATTTTGGGACTTGTGGGTCTGGAGAACTTCAGGGTCACCAACAATAAAAGGGATCCATTAGAATTGTAAGGGTCCATGAGAAAGTGGGAGTCTATGGGAAGAGTGGCCCACTTTTGTAGAAGCAGGGTCCATGAGGACAACTGTCATTGAGGTTCTACAGAGCAGTGGGCTCAATGAGGAGGAGATAATAACAGGTCTAAAACAGTGATGGAGCGATTAATTGGTCAACAGATTAATCTGGATTACTGGCAAAAATCGTCATCATACCCGCATGAGGCCAGTACCACTATCATCTCCTGTAAATGGAAGCACATCTTTGAGGAAGATTCATGAAAAGACTGGGGATCCATCAGGTTGATCAAGGTCCATGAATACTGGGGTGGTAAGCAATTTGGGGACTACAAGGTCAGTAAGGGTCCATGAGAACAACATTATCACCCATAATGAATGAGATCCATGGGGAACGGTGGAGGTCCATGAAGACAACTGTCAATGAGAACAGGGGTTTGTAGGAGCAACAGGGGTCTGGATTCATGAGGAGATTGGGGGTCCATTCCTACAAGGGGTGAGGATGAGCAATGTCAGGGTCCACAGAACAGTAGGATGCATGAGGACCCTCAGAGTTGCTCTGGACAGCTGTTACTAAAGAAGCTTTTATACGGTCATTCAGAGAGGACAGGAGAGTGGATGGAGCAGGAATCATCAAGAGACATGGAGCGCATAACTCCACCTCCAAGCCAAACTGGAACCCCAACAGTGATTTCTGAAAACAGACAGGGTCCACAAGACTGCTTCAGGTCCAAGTCCATGGCTTTTGAGAATAGTGGGGGGTTTAACAGGGCATGGTGGTCCATTCTGGTAAAGGGGAGTTTGTGTAGAATTTATGGGTCTATTAGAACAATAAGTGGAGCATCATAATGAGGGGGTTTCATGTGGGTTAGGAGTACATGAGGACAGAAGATTCCTTGATATTGCTGGGAGCCAAAGAGGACAGCGGTGTCTAGCATAATTGTACTGATTTATGAGGAAAATGAAGACAGTAGGGGTTCAGTGTGATGGTCAGGGTCTATGTGAATGAAAGGTTTCAGGAGGAAAGTGAGGGTCTAGAAGGACAGTCAGAGTTCATCAGGAAGGCGTTTGGATCTCATGAGGATGAGGTTCTCTGAATATTGTAGAGCAGTGATTTTCTGACTTCAACCAGATTTGGTCAAAAATGTGCTTCAAATCAAATTTACGACGACGGTCTCAGTCTCTGTCTTTCTTCACATCAACCAATCACAGATGAAGAATGGAGATGAATTTGAGACGCAGCAATGAATAGATTCACTTTCCTCTGTTTCCGTGTGGGAAAGACTGACTGTCTGACTGAGTGTGTGTGTGTGTGTGTGTGTGTGGGGCGGAGTGGCACACTGCACTCAGCAGTTCATAATTATTTAAACACAGCTTTGCAGATGCAGGTCATGCACTCTGCTGACGAGGACTTACTGAGTGTGTCTGTGTATGTGTGTGTGTCTGTAATTCCATCTGTATGTTAAAAAATGTGTGCTTGTGTGTTCGTGTGTGTTTGTGTGTGTGTTACTAATAGGAGAGAGCGCTGTGGACATTCCCCTCCTCTCCTTCTAAACACCTTCTCCCTGCTTACTGTCTCCTCTTTAACCCCACCTCCCCCTCCTGAATCCCTGATCCCCTCTGCAATTACTGCAACACCGGGAGACAGGGGGAATGGGTTGCTTGGCAACAGGATGCAGCTGGACCAATAGCATCCCCTTAAATTAGAGAGAGGGAGGCGGGGGGCAGACAGAGTTGAAGTAAAGATAAAGTAGTATCTGTAGATGATCAGAGACACAGACTAAAGCAGGGATTTGATCAGACTCTGCTGCAGCGCTCTGTTCTGTCTGTGCCTCCTCTTCATCCTCCTCCTCTTCCTCCGAACATGACGTCAGTGTGTGTGACTGTGAGCAGTGCAGAGGTTCACACCTCCTCCTCCCTGCCTCCCCCCTTCCTCTCTGTTTGGGGGGGGGGTACTCGCCATGTTTGAATCAGCCAGAGCATGATGACATCTCTACCCAGCTCTGTTACCATGGCAACACCAGCCAACCGACAAACACTGCTATCACCCCCTCCCCCTCTGAGCCCTCCAGTGTCCCCTCTCTTTTCTCCTGCACTCCTTCAGTTTTATTTCAAGTAAACCCTGTGACACCAGCAAGACCACACACACCTCATCGATCACACACATGCGCACTGACCTCTGGGAGTCAGGCTGTGACACCGCGTTCACAATGGCGTCCACGGCGGGGTCAAACAGCTCAGGATCAGGCAGTGCACTGAAGCAGTCATGGACGAGGTCCTCGCTTTCGTTCAGGGGGACATCCAGCAGCACCCATGATGACAGGCAGCGCAGCACGCGAGCCTTCACTGCCCCGGGGCTGTCTGTCCGCCTCAGCAGCTGCTGCAACAGCGGACACACTGACCCCCACTCTCTGCCCAGAGCTCCGCGAACCTGCAGGGGGCCAGAATGAGGTCAATGAGTGCAAAATTCATCAGATTAATGAGACACCTCCCTCTGGGTTCCTGTCCTTTACTGTACCGGGTTAGCAGATGTACCTGTCCCTCACTGTCCTGGCAGGTCTAAACCTACCTGTCCTGTACTTTAAGGGTTCCCAAAGTGCACAGAGTAGCTGAAGGGTACAGGTAATTCAAAATTGTTGCACCGATATCAGATTTTCTTTTTTACAGCGGATTGATAAAAAAAACTGGGAAAAAGTGAACGTGCAGAGAGGGCCGACAGAATAGAGAGCTTAGCGATAGAGATGGGAAATAGAGTGAATGTCCCCAGACAAGTAAGACAGGTGACAGTAAATAATTCAAAACAAGTCGAGGAAATATGACATCTCCTATATTACAGTGAATACGGGAGAGCAGTGTGTATTTTGTGTCTGGAGCTGTTGGCAGCTGACAGTCTGAGACTCAACAAATCAAACAACACACTAAAAACGTTAAACCCGGGTCATGTCAATAAACTACTTGAGATTTTTTTTTTCCAGAGAACTTGGTAAATATTGCCAGCGGGAACATAATTTTGTGAAAGCTGCGTCAGTGAAACATAAAGCACACAGTGCTTCATACAAAGCTGCAGACAGAATTCCCCAGTGTAAGAAACCACACACTCCTTCTGGGCTGCCAAAATGATCATAAATCACAGAAAAGGGAGAAAAACCTTCAAGCTCAACACCGCAATGTGAATATATATAACATACTAGTACTATGACACTCCAGGTGTCTCCCTCTGATTAAACACAATAAATCAAGAATGACAACTTGAAGTAGTCCGCTCGCTAATTGACTAATTGATGGTCTTTCCTGGGTGGGCGTATTTGACACATCATTCATTCAAGCCATTTAATTGATTCTACAATATACACCATCAATCATATACAGGGTTCCTACACAGGTGGCGTTTGCATACTTTTTCATACCCTATTTTTTTTAGAATTATTTTGGGAAATAGCTACTTTTCTATTTTAGAAAACAGTGTGTTAGAACTTTGGTAATAGTCTGGAAACATAAATATTTTTCCATACTTTATTTTTTAATTTTCAAAACTTTTTAAGACCTGGAAATTGATCACATTTATTTCCATACTTTCCATACTTGCGTCGGAACCCTGCATAAAGTAAAAAAGGATCACATGCAGGACACTAACCATAGCATCTAAACAAGACAAGTTCATTTCTTCATTTAGATCAGAAGACTTGACGGTAATGGGCTTCAATTCAAAAGTATAAAAATCCCTGCCTCTAGGTTATGGGAGGATTTTTCAAAGCCAAAGGTTTGTGAGACTGATTTGTCCACTGAGCTGCCTGATCATAATTACGCGCCACGAATAATTTAGATTGTTAGTGCAAATGATTTTTTGATGTTTCACTATTCTGGTTTTGAGAGGGTGCTTTGTTTGCCCTACATTCACAGAATCTACATTGAAAGCTGATGTGGGCAGACTATTTAAAACTGTCATTCACTCATAACTCTGTTTACTATGAGGAAAGCACCTGTGGTGTTGAAACATCTGTATGTGTATATCATATCAGAATTGCGGTATTGACTGAGTACTTAAAGGGTATTTCTTTATTTTTTGCTGTGACTTTCTCATCATATTCTGAGACACATCGGTTTGATATTGCCAGCTGAAGCACAGAGATCCCCTGTTGTTTTATGTGTAGTTTGAAAATCCAAAATTTCAATTTCTGTCATAAACAAAAAAATCTGCTCACAGAAGCTTTAAATCTAAACAGAGAAGTTTCTTTTGTTGAAAAGTGGTTCCTTTTTTTAACCTAATTTGATATATTTATGAGAAAATTCAATGCTTTATGAAAATCCTGTGCCAGATGTCACAAATTGCTTTGTTAAACTTAAACTGGGTTGGTTTTTGCAGCAGCGAGATGCAATTATTTTTAAAGTTCCCTTTGTTTTTAGAAAAAGTACACAGTGTTATACGCAGATGTAAATGTCACAAAAGAAGTGTTTTGATGGATGAAGATGAAAAATGTCTTTTAATCATCTTCGTTTAGCGAAAAAAAGTTTTGTTTCCAAAAGAGAAGGAAAATAAGTGTTCATAAAATTGGTGGTTGACAAATTCACATAGTCCCTTTGTGTCACCACTGTGTTGGGTGGAGAGAGGGGCACAGAATTACTTCATCCCACAAGTAAGGCAGAAAAGGTTTAGGAACCACTGTCCTACCTGCTCTGGTAAAGGGGGTTGTATATTTACCTGTCCCTTCTTGTACTGGGGCAGTCTGCTGGTCTGGAACTCCTCTGGCAGGACAGTGAGCAGCTCCAGCAGTGCGAGACAGCGAGCCCGTCCGTCCACCCCTCCCCCCTCCTCCTGGAACACTCGCACCATCTCTGCCACAGCGCCCGGCCACGCATCTGGCATTGTGTTGAGCGCCAGAGAGGCGAGCGCCACGCAGAGTCGAGTCAGAACCATTTTGGAGCCCGTGGAGAAACAGGCGATCTGAGAGAAGAGCTGGGTTTTCAGGGACTCATACTGATCTGACGGGATGTCAGACCAGTACCGAGAAATCTTTGTGTGCAGAGCGCTCGCCCCAAAGTACTGGATCTCTGGAACCTGAGAGAGAGGAGAAGGTGGAGTGATGAAGAGTGAGTTTCTGTGTCAGTATATGTTTATGTGAGTCCATTGAGGCTGATAATGATCTTTAACTGAGACTCTACATAGTAAACTGTGGGCACGGACGAAGGGGATCAAATTCTCTGTCTGACTTTTCAAAGGTTTTGAACAACTTTCCATCTGAGAGAAGAAGTTTGAAACTTGATGCCAGTATCTCCTCTCGAGGTTAGTTAGTTATGCATGTACTGTAGCATGAACTAAATCATCTCTGCAGTTTGTATTTCATTCACTGTGCAGCCCAATGTTTGCTTCTGTGTGTGCGTGCGCGTTTCTGTGTGTTGTACCTTCTCTGGGCTTAAGAGGGCCCAGCAGAACTGCCAAGCCTGAGGTGAGACCTGAGCCTGCATGAGCCACTTCTGGGCCAGGTTCTTGTTCTCGATGTTTGGATCATAGTAGAGCTGATGAAGAGCCTGCAGGTGAGGAAGAGAAGGAGTCCATCAGTATGAGGAAGACTGTCACAGGTAAGAAAAGGAGTCCAGGTAAGAACTGATGGACGTCCTGAGGAAAGCTAAAGAAAGAGCAGAACTAAAGAGACAGAAATAGAAATTTAAAAAAAGAGAGAGTATTTATGTTTTCTTTACCCTTCCTCCTCTTCTTTTCCTCCGACTTTAATATGTTTTCTTCAAATACCCAATTTCTCTGATCACATAGAGATGTAACTACATCTTGTCTCCTTCTTCCACTTTCCTTTCCTTTTTCCTCTCTCCTTCTCCACTCTTCCCTTCCCTCCTCTGTTGTCTTTTTCTTCTTTTCTTCCCTTTCCTCCCTCACTCCTGTCTCCTTCTTTACCTTATTTTCCCTTCTTCCCTCTATCCTTTCTCCTTCTCCACTTTCACTCCCCTTTCTTTCTCCCCTCTCGCTCTTTCTACACTGTTCTTTCATTCTAACCTCTGTCCTGTCTCCTTCTCCACCTAACCTCCCTTCCTTTATTCCAACCTGTTTCTTTCTCTCCCTTCCTTCCTTCCCTTATTTTTCTGTCCTCTCTCCTCCCCATTTCCTTAACTTTCTTCTCCTCTCCTGTCTCCCTTTCCTTTCAACCCCTCCTCTTTCAGTCCTGTCTCCTTTTCCTCTTTTCTTTTACCCTTCTTTTCTGCCCTTTCTTCCAATTTGCTTTTCTCCTCTTCTTTTCGTGCTGTGTGCTTCCATACCTTCCTCTGTCATGTCCTTCTCTTCACCTTCCTTCCCTTTTTTCCTCCATCATGTCTCCTTCTTCACCTTCCTCCCCTTTTTACTGCCTTCTTCTTTTTTTGGTCGGCTTCTCCCTTTTTTCGCTCCCATCTGCGTCTGCCCCATGTCTCCTTTCCTATCTCCTTCTCCTCTTTCTTATTTCTCCTTTTCTCTACCTCTGTTCATCCTCCTTCTTCTTACTTCCTTCTGACAATTTTCTTCCTTTTTCTGATTCTCTATCTTTTTCTCATTCCTTTTTCCTCTTTCCTATTATTTCCCCTTCCTCTGCCCCCTCTATCCTCTTTTCTCCCTTCTCTTCTTTTATTAATCCTATCCCCTTCCTCTTTTCTCATTCCTTCACCTTCATCGATCTATCTACCTCTCCTCTTTCTCCCCTTCCCCCACCCTGTCTTCTTTTCCTCTCCTCACAATTCCCCTTTCAACTCTCCATTCCTTCCTAGATTACTCCTCATACTCCCCTCTTGCTCCATCCTTCCTCCTCTTCCTTCCACTTTCCTCCCACAGCTTTCTTCATTGATCTCCTGTTTTCCTCCCTCTGGTTTATTCTGTCACTGTGATGATGATGATGATGATGATGATGAAGAACAGTCGGGGTTTAATGATGATCAGTACAAACCTGCGTTCAGCCTCACCTCCACCTGCACAGTGTGAGAGTGATGGGCTGTGAGTCAGCCCTGTGATCCACAGGCTGAGAAATCTCAGTTCAAAAACACTCATCATTACAGCAGACCTCTGTTATCCACCACCACACTGCGCTGACTGTGTGTGCATATGTGTGTGTGTGCGTGTGAGTGCGTGTGTGTGTGTGAGATCACTTTATTATCAAAGTTCTCTTTCTATGCCTTTATCCTCTCAGAGATTCAGCTGTTTTCCTCCACTACATCCCTCCATCATTAATGAGCAGAAACAGACTTTACAGACTCTGAATGTCTGAATGGCTGCAGGTTGTCTGACTGAACATGAATACAAGAGTTACATATCAGCTTGAATCAAAGCTAAGCAATCAAAGCAACACAGACCTGGTCGAAGCCTCTTTCAGTTATTCATATGACTCACTAACAAGCTTCAACATCTCTTTAACCTTTTTGAAGAAAATCTAAACTTGGCTGACCTGGCTGAAGCTCTGCGACCACACACAGTCTTCAACTCACTTTCTTACTTTTGGATTAATAGGTTTCCCTAGTAACCTAAAAAGTTAGGGAAAAAAGCATTTCTTGTAAAATGACATCCCCAATGGGTCTTTGACCACCGAACGCAACGTGTTTTGTAAAGGAAAGTCGGCCAGTTAAACCAAGAAAACTAAGTTGCTCATGTGTTTGTGTTCTGCTGCAAAGTGCGCTCTGTGACGGTCTGGGATGAGAATCAGACAACAGTCCCAGATGAGAACTGGTTCCATCTAGTTGAAGCCATTAACACCATTTGCCCTGACGCATAACAATTCCCATATCGATGACTTCCATTTGGTCCTGTGTGCCTTGCAAAACAATGTGATGCATCGCAAGAGGCAGTCAGAGTGAAGGCCGTATGGGAAGGTAATTATGGCGGTCAGAGGACAGGAGCGATGTACAACATCAAGTTGTAGTCCAGAAAGGTTCATCTGGTCTGACTCTGCATAATCCAGTCAAACAGAAACCAATGTCTTTTTCTTTTTCCATGTTGTTGTTGTGTTGTGTGTCAGTTGGTTTACAGATGTTTGGTCATTCATCTCAGAGCAACTGTATCAATAAAATCTGATCAATTCCCACCTCTAGTGTCCTCTAGCATACCTGATTAGAGTAAGATGATTGGCTCAAATTGCACATTCCAGATTAATTACAAATTGACCAATAACATGTGGATCAGGAGATCCTGAACACATCAATATTTAAATGTACAGTGTTACACCCTGATGGTGCCACAGAGAGGGAAAACACAACAGACCGATGGACTGACAAGAGCGAGGATGTATAGCAATATAGATATTTATACTGACAGGACAGTGTGCTGCTTTGTTTACTTGAATGAACAAAGACCTATCTATGTGACACACACACACACACACACACACACACACACACACATTCATTCATTCATTCAGACACACTACACACAGGCTGGGCCAGGGACCATCATCTCTACCATCGCACTACCACTCACACACAAATGCACACACTCACTCATAGATGTCTGACTGTTGATCACTGACGTATGTATATTTACACAGATATAGGTGTAGATATATCTACACCAGATGTATGCATTTACTGCCCCTAATTCATCCAAATTTTCTGTTATTGGTGATCTACTTCAGTCCATCGTCGTTTTGTTTTTGTCATGGAACATTTATCATTGTACCTGTTGTCAATAAAATTAACACTGTGTATAAATCTAAGCATAAAGTAATGCTGCAAGCTCACAGTAGCGGTCCTTTTAACCTGTTGCCACATGTCATGTAAGTGAGGAGAAATGAAGAAGAAGCAGCAGCTGCTAGCTAGCTAATTTTAGCAACTGTTTAATGAGGTAGTGTCCTCTCACACAAGTTTCTAACTCACAGATATCAACAAATATAGAAGTGGATGATAACACATTGGTTAATTAATGTCTTGCTTCACCCTTGTCTTGTCTTTCTTCTGGTTTACTGATTGTGTCATAAAAACCCTGATGATATCATCATGTTATCTTAGGGCCAAGGTAGCCGTGAGGTGAAAATCTGATACTGTAACAAATCTATTATATACATAGACACTTGTATATGAAGCCCCTGCAGCCTGAAGATGGGTCACATGTGGTCTGCTTTTGAAGACATAATGGCATCAGTGACGAAGCTGCAGCTGAATCAGAAAATTCACCCTCAGCTACAAAAACACAATGATGAAGCCCCAGTTTACTGAGGAAATGTCTGATTTATTAAACTACTCAGTTATTGAACGGCTGACTTCATTATATTTTAGTCTGTTTCACCTCCATGCAGACCAAAATCTGTTGGATTGGACCTGAGATATCATGGCTGATACCGATTCTGATGCCTAAAACAACGAGTAAGCTTGTCATTGTTGCGTATTTATTATTATATTGTATCACTCTATACACTGTTTTAACAACAAAAATTAAACATGAACTCAGTGCAACAGTCTGATCCGATTATTGATCAGTTATTTCTGCTTAAACTGATTCGCTGCTTCATCAATTATTCATGGACATCCCAGTCACTGCACTTCAGGTCATGTGATTCATGTCAGGAAATGTTGAACCCCCTCCCCACCTCAAGCACACACAATATTCACCTCTATCAGAACACATATACACACACATCATACAGGATACCTATATAAAAGCACCTGATCATCCACCTGCAGTGTGTTTGTTCTTCCTCTCTAAAGACCACAGCATCAAACCTCACCCCCCTCTCCAGTTTCTCTCTCTCTCTCCTTCTCTCACTCCATCCTCCCCTTTGTCTCCCACCCCACCCATCCTCTGAGACAGAGGCCGCCCAGCAGGGAGAAGATCACAGCAACCTGCCCAACACACACACACACACACACACACACACACAAATGTGATGCAATGTGTGTGATATATGCAGAGCCACAACCTGTTCATCAGTCAGGACACATTCAAAGACCTCCGGACGGATGAGTTTCATGTCTGTCTGCAGACACACTGACATCATCCCAACATAGAAATACAGCATATAGATCTTCTCTTATTAGCAGCTGCGATGGAGCTCACAGCTGCTGTCATTCTCACACTTGTACACACCCAAACATACTTTCTCACCTTCTCTACGTTTTCCACGGTGAAGTCCAAGGCGGTCGGTGTTGTCCTCCCCGGTGTGTCCATGTCTCCCCGGACACGGAGCTGTCAAACGTCAGAGAGCAGCACGTTCAGCCTCCGGTACACCTCCCGTCACCGTTAAACACGGCACCGTTTTAGTAAAACAGCGATTTGAAACAGAGCGCTGTGTTCGTTAGCCACACAGCATCCCAATTATAACTATGACACCACAAGCTAACCGGCGAGCTAACATGAGCTAGCTGACGCTAACCTGCAGTAATGAAAACGCTATAGCAACAGCTAGCAGCTCAATGCTAACGCCTTACGAGCTAACGTAGCAGAAACATGTAAGGCTGTCCTAGCACCAACAGCAGCCAAAAGGGGAAGAAATATCAACACGATTGTCACGTCCGGAGTGTGATATCATGATTAAAGGACGACAGCTCCTTGATTAGTAACTATACGGGCTTCAGCGCTGATATTTCCACACCTTTGAGTCTGCGTCGGTCTGAGACGATGCTGGCAGCTCCTGCCGCTTTTCTGCCGCGGCTCCGTCACCGAGCTGCTGCTGCGTTCAAAGTCTGTGGGAAAAATTATTAACAACCTGAAATGTCTCAGAGGATGGGTAAATGACTAGGTTATACTTGATACTGACACGTTTTTTTCACTGAAAATCAAACGTGAACGCAGGCACTAAGATTCAGCAAAAATAAATCATCAATCTTATTGTTAAAAAAAACACATATTACTTTGTCAAGAAGCATCAAATGAAAGAGAGACTCTTTCAAACCCTGAATGCCCCGTCACAATGACTTTTATTTTCTGTAGTCAAAGAATCATAAAAACATTAAATCTTTTGTATGATCTTTGTCTTGAAAAATAGCAAAAAGAAATCATCTGTGTGTACAAAGGGGAAACATCCTAAACTTTTATTAGCTTTTTTGCACAAGCAAGCAGTTTTTTCCTGACGAAAGCACTGTTAAACAAACTCCTGCTAACAGTCTAGCTGTCAAAGATACTTTTACTAACAACAATTTGTCACTGAGACAGTGGTGATAATATTAATGTGCAATATTTGATACATGAAAGCATTTTCTACTGGGCACAGTGCCAGCAAGATGAAATTTGTTTGATTTAAATTATGGCTATCACAAAAAAAGTAAAAAATGAAATATTGATATTGAAAGATGATTTGTAGTGATTCGATAGAGCTTGTTTCTATAGGAGTCACTACCAATGGAACATTTACTCTCTATCTGTTCTCAAACTGTCTCATTCATTCCTGTTATTCAGATCTACCAGAATTAGTATTTTTCAAATGAAAGCATAGTTTTACAATGCCGGCTAAGAGGCAACCTAGATGCAAGACCAAATAATAATAATGATGATAATAACAATAATAATTCACAATAAAAGCATGGCAAATAGTTGTTTATGGGACAATGTCTTCCAAAGAAGTTTCAGTCACATGGACTGTGCTCGAGAAATCATAAATTTCAACAGCAAACAGAAATAAGTACTGACGTATAAGGTGATCGTATTCATTGATAAAGGTCATGGCATAATTTGTTGCTCCACCCCCTTTTGCTTTTCCTCAAGTTTTCTGATTGTGTCGATTAGAATATTACAACTGAATATCACAATAATATTGTTATAACAATATGTTTTAGATAACTGTGAGGGGAAAATCTGATATCATGACAGCCCTAATTTGAATGTTTGGACACAAACCGTCTGTTGCAACAGTCCAGATTGTTATTTTACCACGAGCCCCACCTCCACCTCCAAACATGGGACCTCTAATCACCCATGACCCCCTCTGAAGACACCTTTGCAACAGCCACCCACAAATAAACATAACACCCTTGAACCAATCTGAATCAACAGCTATTTTAAATCTTCAGGTATGTGTTGTTCAGTTTCTGACGGTTTTTCCAGTATTAAATAAAATAGCTGCTGGCATGTGGTTCAGTTGTCCTCAGCGCTGTGTTATGTGAATGGCATTTGAATGCAGCATTTCTCCCTCTGTCCAGTCTAATGTCATCCTGACATTATAGAGCTGCAGCTCTATGGATGATGCAGCAGAGATGAAGTCTCATCAGATTGTGTCTCACACATTGTCCTTGTAAAGTAACCTTTAGTATTTCATACTGCCAAGCTGTCTCATATATATTTTGACTTACAGACATAATTCACTGCTCCTTGTGCTTTTTACCTGGAAATACCTTCATGTAAATAGAGGCACTAAGTTTGTTAAATGAATGCATTCATACAAAAATGTACTATATCACATAAGTCACGCATAACTTCTGTATACAACCAGTTCAAATATACCTCAGTGATGGAGCAGGGAAAGCCTTATTTATGTTGATTTAGAAAAAATGCTAAACAAACCAATAAAGAACACCTGACACATGACTCTTGGATTCATGGCAGAAACTATCACAGAGTGCAGGTTACTTCAAAGCAAAGATAAGGTCAGGGTGTGAAAATTTGCAGAAAAATAAAAACAAAAACATGTGACAGACAGATTCTCCTAGTATCATTTTTCTTCTCTTCAAAGAGCACAAGTGCCACTGTAGTTTGACAGGACCAGCGTTGGAGCAACAGCGCCCCCATGTGGACGGCTAGAAACATCACACTCTAGACCACACATCAAGGAAAAACTGAGCTACAATAACACATCTACACACACGTAAACACATAGAGAGAGAGAAGAAGAGAGAGAGAGAGAGAGAGAGAGAGAGAGAGAGAGAGAGAGAGAGCAGTCAGGACACTCCTCCTTCACTCCCTCAAAGTGAGCTCTCAACTCACTGTGGTGAAGTCTGACTGTCTGTCTCTGTTTTTCTGTTTGTTTGTGTTACACACAGTTGATATTCTTGTGTTAAAGTCCTCTGCCAAAGCTAAACACCAGGAAGAGCAGAGACCAGGGAGTTTGTTTGGTTTAGTTTCACATTTCTGGAGGACAGACGATGGAAGTGAAAGTGTGGAAGATACTCAGTCTGCTGCTCATCACTTGCAGATCTGCAGCTTCAGGTAAAGTCATACACACACAGACACAGACACACACACATGCTACAGGGTTAAGAGGTGGACAAACCTCTGCTTTGTTTATTTCAAATCACAGTGTTATTCAGATTTTACTGTCCACCTCTAAACCCCTGTAAATATAACACCTCCCTCCTCCCCCTCTACTCCCTCTGTTTGCATTATCTTTACACATCTGTCACACATCCTGCACTTCGCTCCTACCATCTCCTGCTTTCTCTGCAGCGTGTGAATCAACTGTCTTTGTTGACCTTTTCTGATGGAACTTATGCTAACAGGCAGTTTCTCACAGCAGACACTTTCTCTTTTCACACTCTTTCTCTGCAATTACAGTCTCTGGAAACAAAGGTTCTCCATAAACAGACACTTTCTCTGCTTAAAAGAACATTTTTAACTGACAGATGCTTTCTTAGCTAACCAATGATTTCTCTGTGGAATATCACAGGGACTTTTTGCACTTACCAATGATTCCTGAACAAACAGATATGTTTTGTTTTTGCCAACAGGCACTTTCTCTACTAACCCTGACACTTTACCTGCTAACCATTACATTTTCTACTCACAGACATTTCACCTGTCTACAGAAACCATGTTTGTAACCAGATTGGGTGAAAACCCTTTTTTTTGCTTTTTGACATTTTCTCTGTGCTGTTATTGTTCTCAATTACAACCACTTTAAGTGCGTGTAAACACTGTTTTCTCTGCAACCTGATACTCTCAGCTCTTGCATAAACTGTCTTTGCTCGCAAGTGGCTAATATTTCTCTTTTTCACAATGCATTGACCGCTGAATCCAGGAAAGTTGTCCAACTTGACAGTTTTTCATTTTATTCAGTGCTTAGCTGTGACCCAGAAAAGTCACATGGTCATTTGTTTAAGATGAGTCTCAGTTTCATTCTAAAAAATTCACACAGAGGCTTCACCCTGGCTTATATCAGCGTTATGAAAGTAATAAAGAAGAGGCTTTTCCTGTCATTAACAAGTTTGCCAAAAAACATCATGATGCATATTTGTAAAAAGTTAAAAGCTTTTTCAGGTCTGTCATCAAGAGGAGAAGAATGTTTGTTTGGTGAAGAGAGGTCATATCCATCACTTCTGATGCATTCAAGGAAGCCAGGAAATCTAAACATTGGTTGTCTTTAGTGACTCAGCATCGACAGATTAATGTCTCGGTGTAAATGTTTGATCAAGAACAGAATGTTAGCTGACCTTCATGCAGATATCTGTTCACAAAGAGAGATAAATCCTTCTCAGATTACAAAAGATAAGAGTCAGGATCTCTTTATAGAGGATTGTGCTCCTCCTGCTTTCACTCTCTATAGACTGTTTTTCCTGCAAACACCAAATACTGATTGACCTGATTGGTCTGTACCACTTTAACTACTAACAGAAAACAGAACAATTTCATACTGATATCCAGACCCTGATACAGATTCTATGTTTTGGCATGAGCTCTATGAATGAAAATACTTTTCACAGACACTTCATACCTCAGACACTTTCCAGTTTCTTTCCAAAAAAAGAAAAAAGAAAAGAAAAACAACTTCTGTTCCTTTGGTTTTAATTGAGTTGGGCAGAGGTCAGCTGAGCTTGTATTATCTGCAATGAGAGAGCAGTACATTGTGATGAATTATACCTCTAACTGTAGGCAGCACACAGTCACATACTGGCTATTTCTCATTAGCTTGTTCTGGAGGAAATTGCGTGCTGTGGCAGAATTAGTATTAATTTTCTCATTTGTGTTAAAATGACTGACGGCTCTGAGATATCTAACTTTATTAACAACCTTGAAATAACTCTCGGGCGTCCAGTTGTTGTCCAGAAAGAAAAATATCTCTAAACAGAACCAGTTTATAGCATCTCCACATGATACAACACTCTTTTAAACTAAAAATCACAATCTATCTGACCGCAGAGCTAGAACTTAAACACTAGACTTACATAGGAAATAACACAAATAACTATGCGTTCAGGTCTTCCCTGAAAAAATCATTGTCTGGATGGCAGCACATGTTGCTCCTAAACCTGTAGATATTGTTCAGCATTAATGGAGCCTTCACTAATGTACAAGCTGCCCATGACACAGACACTCATTATCCCCAGACCATCATGGATGCTGGCATTGAATTGAGAGTTGATAACATGCTGGGTGGTTCCTTTATTCTTTAGAGAGGAGAATGCAGCATCCGCGATTTCCAAAATGAATGTTACATTTTGATTGGTCAGGCCACAGAACAGTTTTACACTTACATGATGTTTTCTTTGCATGGTTCAGTTTTAACCTGTGTTTGTGGATGCAGTGGTGAACTGTGTTTACAGACATTGTTTTAGGAAGTGATTTAGAGCCCCTTTGGTGACTTCCACTACAGAGTCATGTTTTTTTAATGCATGGTAATCTGGGTGGTCTCTCTCCTTTTGAAGACAGAGAATGTATTGTCCTTGACTTCCAGAAATGTCCGATTTTAGTCCATACATTGATATAAAGGCCTATCTTTTTTAATGCAGTGCTGCCTGAGGGCCTGAAGATCAGGACCATCTAGTCTTGGTTTTGGTCCTTGAGTGGTGAAACTCTTCCCATCTTTCCTCTGATAGTCTCAGCCTCTCTGAATGTCCTTTTTATACCCAGTCATGTTTCTAATCTGTTGGAAATCCACCTCACTACTTGAAGATGTTCCTCCAGTTTTTTTTTTTTTTTAGCATTACACGTGTTGTTACCTGTTTGGTTGTTCCTCTAACAACTTCTAAGAAACATATTGTTGGCATCAAATTTAAACTGAGGATTTATTTCAACATTGATATGTTTCTGCATTATTTTCAATTAAATATGGGCTTTAAATAATCTGAATACCACCAAACCATGTCTCATAATGCCTCATCTTTTCTTGCATTAAGATCACTAAACATGCCTTCATTTTGAGCCTTGCAGGTTTTTTTAAAGATACAATAAATGGTGTCCAAACATAGTTCAGTTAAATCACAATTTGTTTTAATTTGCCTGCTGATTGATTTTGATGTTTGGTGACGTGTCCTGGTTTCTGATTTAATGATTTCACAACGATAGGCTGGGTTTGGGTTCAAATTATTTGTTGGTTTATTCGCAATGTAATCTGATGTCTCCAACTTGTGTTTCATCATTATCATCATCATCTCACATTATCATCACGTGTGACTGAGTCACACACACACACACACACACACACACACACACACACACACACACACACACACACACACAATTCTGCTCCGGTTCTAGTTGAACTTTTTTCAGGACGATCTGCACACAGAGACGTCTCTGATGGTTACAACATGGCTGACGTGTGTTTGCTGCAGCATGAGGAACATAAAGAGTCAGAGTGTGTGTGTTTAAAGAGGAGCGTGTCACTGAACCAGGATCTCTGTCTTAATCTCCAAACACACACACAGTACTCTGTCAGACGTCTGTTTGCATTTATAACAAGTTTTTTTGTTGAGGACATTGAACTCACTGCCAAGACTGTCTGATTCTTTTTCCTGTCAGCTGACCTGCTTGGTGCCTCATCCGATTCTCCAGACTCTGATCCTGACCTTGGTCTGCACGACATCAACATCACCACCACAGCAGCCCCACAAAGAAACTTCAGTGTACAACCAATTCCAAGTCCAGACCCAGGAGACCCTGATGGTTTGAATAGAGAAACAATGACCAGAGACAGGAACTTCTCTGTGACTCCTGAATTAAAGACAGACAAAGGTAATCAATAGTCCTGATCAGGAGCTGATGTCTGTGTCTCTGTTTGGGGGAAACTTTACACCATTCATTTACAGAAGGGTCTTGATATGATGGAGTAGTAGGGCCACGTTAAAAATCTTTTTTTAAGATGTCGAGATAAAGTTGTAAGAAAATCAAGTTGTAATTTTGAGAGTATACAGTCATATTGTAACAAGAAGTAAGTCCTAGTAAAGTCCAAATATTATGAGAATAAGATCTATTTCATTTAGCTCACCATCTAAAAGTGAACAGATTATCGCTCTGTTGAAATTTCAGTGCACAGAGCAGCTCTGTGCAGCAGAGTGAGGGGATGCCGACAGCTCTCATAAAACAAGAGCAAACTGCAGAGCTGTAAAACATTTTGGGCATGTTTGTACAGGAATATCATAAGAACAATTTCTTGGTGAACCAAACCTTGAAGGACAGTAATACACGCACAATATATGGTGCTTTTTGTCAGACACAATCTATTTTGACCTGAGTGGAGAGAGGAAGAGCAGGTAAGAGAGGAGGAGCTACATCAAACTTGAGAGTGTAAAAATCAGGTCAAAGTTCATCCTGATCTGAGAAAGAAAAATAAGAACAACATATTCCAACATACACTCACCGGCCACTTTATTAGGTACACCTGTCCAACTGCTCGTTAACACTTAATTTCTAATCAGCCAATCATATGGCGGCAACTTAGTGCATTTAGGCATGTAGACATGGTCAAGACAATCTCCTGCAGTTCAAACCGAGCATCAGTATGGGGAAGAAAGGTGATTTGAGTGACTTTGAACGTGCCATGGTTGTTGGTGCCAGAAGGGCTGGTCTGAGTATTTCAGAAACTGCTGATCTACTGGGATTTTCACGCACAACCATCTCTAGGGTTTACAGAGAATGGTCCGAAAAAGAAAAAATATCCAGTGAGCGGCAGTTCTGTGGGCGGAAATGCCTTGTTGATGCCAGAGGTCAGAGGAGAATGGCCAGACTGGTTCGAGCTGATAGAAAGGCAACAGTGACTCAAATAACCACCTGTTACAACCAAGGTAGGCAGAAGAGCATCTCTGAACGCACAGTACGTCGAACTTTGAGGCAGATGGGCTACAGCAGCAGAAGACCACACCGGGTGCCACTCCTTTCAGCTAAGAACAGGAAACTGAGGCTACAATTTGCACAAGCTCATCGAAATTGGACAATAGAAGATTGGAAAAACGTTGCCTGGTCTGATGAGTCTCGATTTCTGCTGCGGCATTCGGATGGTAGGGTCAGAATTTGGCGTCAACAACATGAAAGCATGGATCCATCCTGCCTTGTATTAACGGTTCAGGCTGGTGGTGGTGGTGTCATGGTGTGGGGAATATTTTCTTGGCACTCTTTGGGCCCCTTGGTACCAATTGAGCATCGTTGCAACGCCACAGCCTACCTGAGTATTGTTGCTGACCATGTCCATCCCTTTATGACCACAATGTACCCAACTTCTGATGGCTACTTTCAGCAGGATAATGCGCCATGTCATAAAGCTGGAATCATCTCAGACTGGTTTCTTGAACATGACAATGAGTTCACTGTACTCAAATGGCCTCCACAGTCACCAGATCTCAATCCAATAGAGCATCTTTGGGATGTGGTGGAACGGGAGATTCGCATCATGGATGTGCAGCCGACAAATCTGCGGCAACTGTGTGATGCCATCATGTCAATATGGACCAAGCTCTCTGAGGAATGCTTCCAGCACCTTGTTGAATCTATGCCACGAAGAATTGAGGCAGTTCTGAAGGCAAAAGGGGGTCCAACCCGTTACTAGCATGGTGTACCTAATAAAGTGGCCGGTGAGTGTATCTCACAGTGTCTCACTAACTACCTTTAATTTTCTGATCCTCTTCCTGCAGACTTCATATTTGAGTCTTCACCACACCCTCACCTGACTGAACCGCCAACCTCACAGACTCCCCCTCTTTTGTCTGGAAGCAACACCTCCATTTCCAACACCACCTACATCAATACCACAAATACAACCTCCATCACATCTTCCAGCCAGCCGCCTCCTCTCCAAACACACACACCTGAACCAGTAACTCCCAGTCCAACCAATGCCACCAGGTTCACACCTAATAACTCCTCTCTGGAATCTCTGGCCTTCCCCAAAGATGGACCTAATGAGACCTTTACTGGGGACCTAAAGACGTCCACGGTGCCAACTCTGAGCAACTCATCCACCAAAACCCACTTGGGCACGCCCCCTCAGCTTCATGTGGGTGGAGACAGTGAGTCTATTTTCCTTTTGTTTTTTTAAATCTGAAATAAAGAGACACTGTTCTCTCTCTCTCTCTCTCTCTCTCTCTCTTTGACACACACAAACACACATTTACGATCACGCACAGATACTGCACTGTCACCACCAGGCTCCCATCAGTCATAGCTGTGTTTATCAGAGTCGTCATGTGACTCATAAGAGTACAGAACATGGTGTTCCTCCGTTTGTTCTCTATCTTCTTCTTCTGCCTGTTAATGACTCAGATAAAACATTTGCATCTCTGTTTTTTGTTGGGCTTCAGTAGTTTATTTATCTTCATTTCATGTTTGTGTGTCTGCAGCCTCAGGCTTACAGGATCATTAGAGGAGAATATTGACGGAGCCGCTTAATTACAAAAGAACTTTTCTGTGTATATTTAATGAGTCCTGTTCTTGTTTTTACTGTCAACCACATAACAACACACAGCTCTGTTTACTTGACAGTCACCATAGCAATGTAAACACAGACAACAGACAGAGCACACACATACACACACACACACACACACACACACACACACACACACTCAGGGGTCAGCAGTGATGAAGATAATTATGTCAAGGATGAAAAAAGACAAAATGAAGCTAAACTGCAACATTATAATCCTGATTACAGTTATCATCATCATTAAAATCATCATTTTTATCAAGATCATTGTTCACATCAGTATCATTATCATCAATATCACAATTATAATGACTATCATCATCACTATCATCGTTATCATCCTCAATACCATTGTGCATACCAATATCATATATAGTGTTATTCCTATAATCACTATGAGCATCTGCATCATTGTCCTACCCACTACTATCATAATTTTACCTTTATTTTTGTCATCACCATCACCATCATTACTACATCACTAGTATCATCATCACCATCACTATCAAATCAACCTTCTCATCGTCATCATCAATACTACATCACTATTATCATCAACAACATCATTATCACCATCATCCTCCTCCTCATCATTACTACATCACTATTTTCGTTACCACCATCTCTATCAACATTGTCATTATCATAGCCATAAATGGCAGCACATTTACAGTCATCATCATCACTATTATCATCCCCTTGTTTTTCGATTGTCATGAGCACTGCAAGTTTTTGAATATGTCAGATTTTGTAATTGAAGCATTATCACATCACTTTTTTGATTATCATCTCATCTACCATCATTGTATTGTGATTACCATCAACTTTATTACCATCATAATTATACTGATAATTAGAATTGCCATCATGATTTTCATCCTCACTATTCATAACATTTGCCACTTTCTCTTATACTGTTATAGACTTCATCATCACAAGCACCATTATTACTTCTACACACTTTAAATCTTCATTAACAGTGTCATGTTCCTTGTATTATCATCTCATTATGAGTGTATTATAATCACATTTTCATTACCATACATTTCATCGCCACCACTGGCTTTTTCATAACTCTAATGATCATTGTCTACATCTACATTCATATCATTAACCTTAACATCATCATTGTCATTATATCATCATCATCGCTTAAACATCTACTACTGCTGTTGTTTTTCTAACTTGTATCCAGTATGTCTGCTCCCCTTCCTTAGACTCCAGTACTCACTTGTTTAAACATTTACTTAGCCTCTTCACCTGTACTCTACCTGCTCAGATGTTTTCTGTCATTCTTTTTTAGCAGTGGTAATCCATGAATCTTCTTCAATGGACCCCCTGCTGACCGGTCTGGTAACAGCCTTCACTATCACAGCAGTCTTCTTCAGTCTGCTCCTCTTCCACAGACTGCGTCGTAGACAGAGAGGGTCAGAGTTCAGTCGTCTGCAGGATGTTTCTATGGTAAGCCAACAACCACCTGGACCTGTACAGTCCTTATACGAATCAGACTAACAAAACCCTTGAGTGCTGTTACTGTCAACAGACACTACTTTTATTTATGTATCATATAGTTCTATGTTTGATTTTTGCCATAATAATCTTATTACTTATCAAGAACAACCGCCTTTCCTTAATATATGTTTGAGTCTTGTATTTATTAGAAACACAATAATAAGACTTCTCCATTTGTAAGTAGTCTGTTATTATAAAATGTCTATGCTTCATCAGCAGCTGTGTCAAATTTTTAACCCAGCTGTCCAAACTGCCGCCACAGTCAGCACTGAGTCATCGCAGTGATGGCAGCTATGCATGATGACGCCACTCACAAACTGCTCACCGTATTAGTTTGTGTGTTTATACTGACTTTGTTCCTGTGTTTGTGTGCAGGATGATGTAATGGAGGACACCCCCCTCTCCATGTACAACTACTGATGGGGGCAGCATCATTCAGAAAGGATTCTGGGTAATGTGTGGACTGGAACCCTGACAGGAAATGGGTGTGGAATACCAGTGGCTAAATATGGTGAAGGCAATGAGGGGATTTGTGTTATGAATTCATTTTGAAGAAAGTTTGTGCCAGTGTTTCACTCTGTTTCATGCTTTCAGACTGCTGTTGACAGTCCATGTTATAGTGTTGATGTCTGCAGAGACAGAAATCAGAAGTGTTCAGTGTTTTTCTATGCTTGACAAAGCTTTTTTCAGGTACAGAGGAGGATTTGGGCCCATGAAAATCATTTTTTCATGATCAGAAGTTATTTTAGTCATGAATTTCTTCTAATAATGATGAGATTTGAGTCAGACTTTATATACACTCTGAATTTTGAGACTCAGATCAGCATTCTGAGATTTTTCTGACTTTAATCCCAGAATTCTGGATTTTCCCTTGCAATTTTGGTTTACACTTTGCGTCTCAAAATTTGGATTTTAATTCTAAGTTTGGACCTTAAGTGGCCCAGTCCTCTTGCATACATTAAATTGTATATGTTTTGTTTCAGTCGTTCTGTGTTATGTCTGTGTGTCTGTTTGTTAACTTCCTCGGGTGTATTAGGTTCAGATCAGCTCAGGTAAACTCTCACTCTGTTCTCATGGTAACATATTTTCCAGTCATCCCATCACTCCCAGTTAGACTGTCAGGTCTCTGCAGCGTGTGTCCGTGTGTCACTGTAGTACACAAAGATTGCAGCAGTCTAGTGGACCTAATAGTTTGTGATGAAGAGTGGAAAAAAATTCACACATACATAAATTTAGTCCAATTCACACTCACACAAACACGCAGATACATCTTTGCTCTGAATCACGAGGAGCAGTAAATCCATAAATGGTGTTTATACAATTTCTATGAATAACAGCTTATTTTAATAACTGTAGATATATTTTATATTACAACCATAATAACATTCTGTAGAGTATAAAGTGAGTGTAAAAAGAAGGATAAACACATGCGGCTGTTCCTTCTGTCCTCCCCCTTTTTGTAACTGTTCAGCTGTATTTACTGATCTAATAGAGGAGCTAATCATTGGTAATGAGGCTCTTCTGGATGATGGTCTGTTGGTGTTTTATCATTAAAGTATTTATAAACCATTCTCTCTGTTTCCTTTTATTCTCTTACACTCTATCTTAATGAAGGAGCATTTGGGCCTGTGTCCACTGGCAGAATTTTACATGTGCCTATTTTCTATACAAAGCCAACGCAGTCGGCCAATTTCACTGCTCAGCATCCTCTGCAAAACCATTTTTGCAGTGCCAGCCATTTTTGCAATGTGCTCACAGCACTTAAGGCGGTATCACACATGTAGGATGGTATGAGCCCAACTCCTGGGTGACTGATGTCTGAGATCAAATCCATACTTGATACAGGCTGTGGTTTTCTATTTGGATATCTGTGTGAGATAATCAAAGAGGTTTATTTGTGTAAATCATGTTGAATGATATGTATGAACTACATTTTGGAGCTTTGAGCTTTTCTGTGAACCGAAGTCAACCATCTAAACTGCAGCATATACAAATAAAACTTTATTTTACAGAGTTTAATTGTTTTCAACATTTTCATTAAAGTAGTGATTGATCCGAATCATCTGATGATGATTAACAGCACAGTACGGTCAGTGATCAGCGTGTAATCTGTTACAGGCTGAATAAGGTGTGTAACTATTTTTATAAAGCTGTTTTAAACTGATCTGAACAAGCAACATAAGTTAAGGTCAAATGTCATTCAGACTCAGGTCAGAGCCTGTATCTGGGTTCACGCTGTCGAAGAGATCATCATCATCATCATGATCCTGCAGCTGAGAGTCTGGAACAGAGAGGTCAAACTCATCACTCAGTTGGACTTCATGTTGGCAATTAAGATCTGAAGAGAAGGAAAAATATATATTTTTTAATTTATAAACCTGTTTATGTGTGTGTGTGTGTGCGCGCGTGTGTGCATGTGTGAAAGGTGAACCTGCAGGGTCCCTGTGGTCCAGCCGGGACAGGTCATCCGAGCTCACCTCGGCCAGACTCGGGGTCAGACTCAAGTCCTCTGAGCAGGAATCAAAGTCTGCCTCAGGTGTGAGTCGTCTGTGAGGGGAAGGGAGGAGGGGGGATGCCCCTGAAAACACACATCAGTTACACTCTGTATGTTTATGAGTGTGTGTGTGTGTGTGTGAGTGTGTGTGTGTGTGTGTGTGTGTGTGTGTGTGTGTGTGTGTGTGTGTGTGTGTGTGTGAGAGACTTACCTGGTGTGTGTGCTGACAGCTGATGATCTCTGACGGTCCTGAGCTCCTCCTTCAGCTGAGACACATACAACCTGTGAGAAGAGAGTCTTTTAGCATGCAAAAATACACACAAAGCCACAAACACACAAGCACACAAATGCATGCCACATGGCAACCTGATCTGTTGGAACTCTTGTTGTGTGTCTGAGATGCTCTTTGTCAGATCAGTGCTGAGGGATCTGAGGCTATCAGTCATCTGCTCCACGGTCTGAACACACACACAAAAAAAAACACACATTACATGAAAAAAGCACAACATGGGCTTTAACACAGGACTGTTACTAAAACCTGGAGCTGTTTATCTATAAAGACCTTCATGAAGCTCTGAGACACAAACTTAAATCAATAGTACAAGAGCAGCTAATCTAACTAACAAATACTAAAAGGGCTAAACAGAGACCTAATTTGGTGCTAATGGCACACCTCAGGCATTAGCTGTCTCCTAATCCAGGGACTGCAGCCTTTGGAGGACTCAGTCATTGTGGCCTGTGTAGGCTGGTCAGATCAAACTGAACTGAGACGGTGTGATTACTTCACAAGAGTGATAAGGACATCACCCAGCACTGCTCTTGTCAGTTAGCAACAGGTAGCTACTGGGCTAACCAGCTATCATAGTTAGCTCAACATATTTCAGTGCTTTTGTCTTGTATGACATTTGTGTTACTTACTAATAAACCAGATACTGTGATTTTACAGTGTATTACTCAGCAGTTTGAGAGTCTGCTTTCTTGGTTTCAATACCGCACAAAGAAACACAGGTTAAATCTGAAGAATCAAATGTAAAGATGAGTATAATAAGTCTTCTTACAAGTTGCAGGGAGGAGGACCTTGAACAGGGGCTGCAGTTATTTTCTGCATCTGAGCTGAATGCTGACAGAGTAAAGCTAATACTTCAACTATGACAGGAGTGAAAATGCTCAATTAAATGTAATTATAACACTAAAGTAAGACTCTGTTTTGACTTTCCTGTGAATAAAAATGTTGAGCGGCATGTTTAATGGTAAATGTCTGTTAGTTTTCTGTCATCTCTATCAATAGGTGGGCTGTTAAGGACAGTTGATACAACTGCTGTGGAAGTGCAAACAACCATCTGAACACAACACACCCTTTTTCCTCTGTATAACCAAATAATTACCTGTAAAAATAAACAATTTTTAATCAGTAAAGTCTTAGACCAATACTTTGTGCAAACCAGTGTTGTTTTTGTTGATGAAAATATTTTGTCAACGTCCCTTTCTGTGATGTTGATGTGATGTTGACGAGCTAAACATAAGTCTTAGCTGACTAAAATATACTGAGACGAATGTGCATTTACGTTGATGAGACAAGACTAGACAAAAATGTTAGTGGTGGACGACGAACAGAGTTGCAAAATTCATGAGCATTTCGTCAGTCAAATACTAAACATATATTCTGCAGTGTTGTTTTCATTGACAGTGACGAAATATTTTCGTCAACGAAAACAACACTGGTGCAAACTTGTTTGTGTCTTCAGTTCAGTGTTGTTTTTGGCAGGCATTTTAGATTTAGTTTTAGTCTTAGTCATTTTGACGAAATGCTTCTTCGTTTTAGTCCCATTTTAGTCATTTCTATCCTTGATAGTTTTCGTCTAGTTTTAGTCCGACCAAAACTCAAAAGGTTTTCGTCTAGTTTTAGTCGACGTAAAGGTACCTTTTGAGGTTCGTGGTGTTCTTTCCCGACAGTTTGAAGCATGAGGAAGCTGTGGCTCCACAACTGTCGTCTGTCTCGTCTCCCCGTCCCGTGTTTTCTTGTCACTTTTATTTTATTGTCACTTGAACTGTATCTGAAGTAGGACCAAAAATCATCCCTCCTTTTTCGGCCACCGGGCACCGCTGCTGTGCCTGCCGCCACGGTGTGTGTGTGTGTGCGCGCCTCGTCCACCTGCCGCTCTGTGTATGTGAATGAGTGTGTGCGCGCAGCTGTGCGCGAGCGAGGCTTTTGCTGCGTGTGTGATGGGGGCGTGACTGTTAAGACAAAAAAAAGCATGTTTTGAAACTTTGTTCGTCCACCTAATAACAATTTAGTCTCGTCTCGTTCTCGTCTGACGAAAATGAATATAATTTTCGTCACATTTTAGTCTTTACAGAGCTTTGGTGACGTTCGTCTTAGTCTCATTTTCGTCAAGGAAAAAAGGGGTCTGACGTCGTCATTTAAGTTTTCGTCCTGCCTGACGAAAACAACACTGCTTCAGTTGGGGGCTGGTTTATAATCAGGATCTTGACGCATAGCTATCACGATCATTCCAGAGCCTGCGCTCAACCAAGAAGCTGCCTAGTCTGGTCTCTCTGAATTTTCTGACATTTTTGCTATATTAGCTGAGAGTTGAGGTTTATAAGTTGAAGCTTAGGAAATGGAGATATAAACCCTTTCCTCAATCAGTCATCATGGGAAACGTCAACTCTCTGCCCAACAAAAGCGATGAGCTGGAGGTATTGGTGAAGACTGAGTGCAGTCTCCTGTGTTATACTGAAACCTGGTTAATTCAAAACAACCCTCCAGGGTGGATCTACCTGGCTTCAATCTCATAAGATCAGACAGAGACGCTCAAGCTAGTCGCAAGAAGAAAGGACGAGGTCTGGCTTTATTTGTTTACCAGAGATGGTGTAACTCTTCACACAAAACTGTCAAGGAGAAGTTGTGTTGTCCAGATATTGAACTGTTAGCAGTTGCTCTTCACCCATATTATGTTCCAAGGGAGTTCAGTCATATCATAACAAAACTTGTATTCTCTATGATACTTTCAAATCATTTATAATTCTTATTTGTTTCGGAGTGTGTGCATTTACCCTGCAGGTGTGTTGGCCCTGCCTCCTGCTCTCTCTGGTGTCCTCCTGCAGGTGAAGCAGCTCCAACTCCTCCCTTCCTGGTGGTGCACAAAACACTGTCAATAGTCCAGAATGTGACTGAAACAATAAAAATAGGTTCTGGAAAACTTCAATGTCTGTAAAGACTTCAACGTTTTTTGTGTATAAATGATATAAATAATCTATAACAGCGTATAGAACCACATGCAAACACACAATCTGCTTATATGTACTTGCATGTGTGTGTTAGACGTACTCAGTTGTGATTTCAGCAGCTCCATGTCTCTCCTCAGGTGTTCCAGCCTTGAGCTCAAACTGAGCAAACATACAAATGAAAGGTTTTACCATCTTTTCTCTCACACACACTCTCCTCTGCATCAATACCCCCCTAACCACAGCTCCCATAATGCACCTCTCCTCCAGGTTGTCTAGTGTTGTAGCTCTGGTGAAGTGTCCCCGCAGACTGCTGAGCTCCCCCGTCTCCCTCCTCCTCTCCTCTGCCCCTCTGTCCCTCAGCCTCTGCACTTCATCTAAAAGAAAGTGAGAGAGAGAAAGGATGAAGATCTTTTCATCTTTTAAAGACTCGCTTTAGTTTATTCACATCCTCATAATTAACAATTCTCTCATGGCTAGCACTGTATAATGTTTACATCTGACCAGCAGGGGGGCAGGGCCCTGAAATGAAGTCTGGCTTATAGTCTGAGAGGATACATTCTACTTCTCAGGTCTAAAAGATTCTGACCCTTCTCCCATCTTTCCTTTTGAGAGACTCAGCCTCTCTAAATGTCCTTTTATATGTTCATGTTACCAACCTGTTGAAAATTATTTTCATTAGATGGAGATATTCCTCTAGCTGTTTTTTTTCTTTTTTTTTTTTTGCATTACACAACCTTTTTTGAAACATGTAGGAGGCATCAAATTTAAAATAAGCAAAGATCTGGAGTGAAACAACAACATTTTTCAGTTTTCATTTTTCAACTTCTGATGTTGTCTCATTAAATAAATGGGTTTTCTTTTTTTGGTCAGTGGTATCTGCCTATAGTGAACTCATTATGTAGCAATAATGTCAACAGCAGGTTACCCTGTAGTCTCTGGATGTGGTTGTGCTGGACGTTTCGCTCTGTTTCTATGGTGATGACTCTCAGTGTCAAAGAGTGAATCTCCTTAAAGACAAAAATAAAAAAAAATTCTCAGCAATGCTTTCTCTTTACAATCAAGCAACTGTCTCTGAACACTCACCTGTCTCTGTATCATTAATTCGGACTGCAGAGTAGCCAGGTTGGACCACTGCGTGCTGACAGACAGGGGGTCCTCTCTGTGAAGGGCCAGGCGATGAAGAGGAGGAGGAGGAGCAGAGGGGTCCAGATTAGAATCACTGGTCCTTTCCCTTGAAGGAAAAAGATCTGCAGAGAAAGAAGAAGGAAATGAAGGAGGTCCCATCAGACTATTTTTACTACCTTGATAAAAAATAAAATAAACAAAACACACACTGACTCATTTACAAACTCTTTTATCACCTACCTATTCCAGGTGATCTCAGTCTCTCCTACAGACAGAAAACAAACAAACAAACAAACAAAAAAAAAAACACACATTTAGTAAATAAAATCATTGGATGTCTACACAGTAACTGATTATCTTTACGGTTATTTAATATCTTCATGCAAAGTTATTTCCGTCCTGACATACAGTAAATATCCTCCTGAATTAAGTGGCTCTTTGGTGATACCTACAGTGAGCTTCAGTTGTAAGATTTTGTTATGGAGAGTTTGAGTCATTTTTCAATATGTTGAAGATGTTTTGAGCATAATCACCCTAATCTTGGCCGCACTGCCATCTGCCATAGAGAGGAGGGAGCTCACCTGACGATCCCAGCTCATCACTGAGAGACAGAGACAGAAAGAGAGAGAGAGAGAGACAGACAGACAGAGAGAGAGAGAGAGAGAGAGAGAGAGAGAGAGAGAGAAAGGTTTATGATCAATCCACAGACTATCAACAATAATAATGGAACAGCTTACCTGAAGACCTGAGGGCTGCACCTAATCTTAATGATTTTCAAAAGCAAACTGAAAACCTACCTTTTTAGTCTTGCTTTTAACTAAATTTTAAATTATTAACTTTAAGTATTTTAACATTTATCTCTTCTAGTTTTAATGACAGGATCATCATTTATTGAGCTATTTTGTGCTCTTATTTTAGTATCTTTTACTTTTTTTCATTTTATTTGTTATGTCTTAAATTTCATTTTATGTTACTTTGTTTTTAGATTTGAAACCTCCAGTGTTTCCTTATCTTGAATTTTAAAACAGCGTTTCTTCGGTGCACACATTCCTGTGTATATGAAATCGAGCCCTTTTTAAACTCAGGCATTTTAGAACACGTTTCTATTGTACTTAGATTGCAAGGTGGGAATAAGGGGTTGGGTTGGGGTAGATTAGGGTTTTCTTTGTTTCTTTTATTCCTCTGCCATGTAAATCACTTTGTGATACATCTTTTTTGTATGAATAAGAATAAGAAGAACTTTATTAATCCCTGAAGGGAAATTTAATGTCTGTAATATATCTCTAAAAGTTATCTATTATTTACACAAGAGTTATACAGTCTGGTGGCTGTTGATACTAAAGATCTTCTGAATCTTTCTGTCCTGCAGTGAAAAGAGAGGAGCCATCCGCCACCATTGGCCCTTTGGTCCATCAAGGTGTTGTGAAGTGGGTGATCCATGTTCTTAAGAATAGTCTCCACCTTCCTCAGTGTAAATCTCTCCACCACATCCTCCACTGAGTCCAGTTTGAGTCCAACCACAGAGCCAGCCTTTTTCACCAGTTTGTTCAGACATCTTGCATCTTTGTGTTTGATGCTTCCTCCCCAGCAGACTGCAGTGTAGAACAGAACACTTGCCACCACACTGATAAAACATCTGCAGCATCTTACTACAGATGTCTATTGATCGGAGTCTTCTCAGGCAAAAGAGGCGGCTCTGCTCCTTTCTGTAGATAAAGTCTATATTCTTAGATCAGTCCAACTTATTATCCAGATGTACACCTAGGTATTTATATGATGTCACCACTTGATGTCCACTCCACAGGTGTTCACTAAAAGTGCTATACAAATAAAGACTGATTGATTGATTGATAATGATTAGTATAACTGTGTTCATTCCTTGTGACAGGCTGTGTGCGTCACACAGAAACAGTACACCTGACAGTAGGTGAGCTCAGACAGGTGTTTGGTACCTGTAGAGGTGTGTAAGGCTGACTTTGGTGTCACTGAGCAGATTGAATTTCAGCTGGAAGATGGTCAAACATCAGAGAGGAGATCGGCTGATCGTCAGAGAGCAGAAAAGTCAACATTGTGCATATTTTTAATAAAACGCAGGTGTGTCTGGGGTATCTTTCTCACATTACAGGATGAAAGACTTGGAAAAAACGCATTAAACCTCATATAGACCACAGTTAAACAAGGTGGAGTGAAGACCCCCATCTGAGCCCCTGCTTAAACGTCCTACGGTAGATTAATGCTGTTAAAACTGAGCAGGATGTCTCATTAACACCGCATTACGGAGCTAACGTCATACTTTGTTGTAAAATCGTGACCTTTCAGTCAAATTGTTAGCTGACGACCGTTAGCAGCAGTTGTCTGTGTTTATTTCGCTGTGTTCAAGTTATCGTTCCTGGGACGAGTTTAAAAGTTAAAATCTATCTGCGTCAGATTTGTTACATTTCGATGAAAAAACAGCGTCGCTAAACCATGTTAAACAAAAATACAAGGGAAATAAAACGTATTATTAAAGTTAGCTGCTAATCAAAATACTCACTGCAATCCTGACGACTCCACTTTTAAATCAAGTAGCTCGTAGGAACAACGTGATGACGTAGCACGCCTACACAGACGTTTTCTGGGTAATAGAGTTGAATGTTGTCAGCTCTTTTGCCTCAAAATGATCACTCGGGTTTCAACATCAGTATTAGTCAAGTCACACTTTTCTTATTTAATTTATTCAATTGCTAATGTTACATTTATCATAGCTGTTTATGACGAAGAGTCGCACAGGAAACAGTCAACTAGACTTCCAGATGCTGAACTACGTTTCCCATAATCCATCGCTTTTATAAATATGCGCAAGCATGGCGGCGTCCACAGCAAGAGTGGAAGATGTTACAGGACCTCTTGATAAATGTTTGTCAGGACTCGGGTTTGAAGTTCATCCTCTGAAGGTGAGTAGATATGTGTGCAACGTTATTCAAATGATGATTTCATTTTAATATTTTAAACTTGTCTCCACAAAAAAAACCATCGTAAGACACAAGTGCAGCTCAAAATATCAAACTTCAATATTTTCCAGATTAAATCACATTAAAGTAAAATATTTCAAGACCTTTTGCTTTAAAGGCTAGTTTAAAGTCAAACTTTGGGGCCCTTTTTATGTAACCAACAACTATGACATTTGGTTTCACAGCAAATAATGTGTTTTAATGTAGCATAAGCTCCAATGAATTTGGCTGAGGTGAATTAACTGAACACAGCGTGATGAAATTTGTATGCATGAAAGAGAAAGAAAGAGAGGAAAATGTGTATTGCACCACTCACTTAGTCGTTTACTTTATGGTTGTGTTCACAATTGCATACTGTCTTATTGTTCCTTTAACTCTACTCCTGTTGGAAGTACTTTAAAGACCCTGTTAGAGCCCATAATATATTTTGAACCTTCTTAAAATAGCATTACATAGATTAGTGTAAACAATTTTGCAAAAGTACCGGGTGAACATGCATGCATACATTTTAATTTTTTATTTAGTCTTTTAGTTGTTAGAATCTTGATATGTATGGTTTACAGTTTACAGTCCAGTTTCTTGTCACTTCTTTCAGCCCTGAAAAGAGGTCTGATAAGATAATGAACTCTTAAAACCTGCAAAGGTTTACTGAGCCTTTATTCTCCCACTTTAGTTAGGTACACACAAACACAATAACTGGGAAGACTGCTGAGCGACCGTGGCCCAGAAGACCATTATCACACCTTTACAAGGAGGGTGAGCAAAAGAAGGTCACTACTGCTGAGAAGCTTTTTGGTTCCTTTTCCAGCAGGACCTGGCATCTGCCCACAGTGCCAAAACTACCAGAAACTGGTTTGCTGACCATGGTATTACTGTGTTTGTTGTCCACTGAACTGGCCTGAGCTGAACCCCATAGACAGACTCTGGGTATTATCAAGAGAAAGATGAGAGACACCAGAGCAATAATACAGCCAAGCTGAAGGAGCCATCAGAAAAACCTGGACTTCACTAACACCCCAGCAGATACACAGACTGTTTGCCTCCATAACACATCACAAAGATACAGTAATTCATGCAAAATGAGCACTGACCAAGTACTGAAAGGAACAAAATTTTCCAGAAGGTTGACATTTCTGTATCATAATTCCTTTATTTGGATTGATGTTTTGTAATATTCTAATGATTCAAGTTTTTTGATGTTTTAACCTATAATCAGGGAGATTCAAACAACAAAAAATAGATTCTGCATTCTTTTTCCTCGGGGAGATTACTTCAAAGTCAGGACCCCAACAGAAAAAAAAATTCTCTCTACCTGTCTGTTTCTGTCAGGTGGGCTGGTATAATGCCATCCTGCCCCCCTCTCTGGCCCTGTCCTATGCTGATGACACCCTGGCTGTGGTGGTCTTCAGCACGCCATCCGTGTTTGAAAAAGCCTTCCTGCCTTTCTTAGAGGGGCGGGGCTATGAGGGTGTGCGTGACCCCATCGATCAGTGTGTGAGAGAGTGTGTGTCCTCTGCTGTCTCTAAGGTCAGTCTGTGAGGTAGATAATTATTCTGATATTAATGATGATGTTCGTTCATATCACAGACCTGCAGGTGTGTTCAGAGTTTGTAGACCGGTCTCTGTGTCTTCAGTGTTTTCCAGGTCAGAAGGTCGATATCAGCTACGACTATGAGCTGCTGCCCAGCAGGAGGCCTCGTTTCCTCGCTCAGACGGCGGCTCATGTGTCCGGAGGAGCATATTACTACCAGCAGAAAGACATCACAGAACCGCCATGGACAGACAGGGTAACTAATCATGACTGTTCCTATTATGTTACTGTAGCTGTCACTGTTACCAACACGCTCTTACTAACTGTTACTTCTTAGTGTCTTGCTGCTTCTTACTAATTTATTAACAATGCTCAAAGCAACATAAATCCCTCTTAAATTTGAAGGATTGCATGCAATTGCAAGTTTCACCCTGACCTTACTTTGACTTTTTCCTACTACCTCCCTAAGGTAGTAGACATGATACAAAACATGATACACTGTGAAAAAGTCAGCAGGATGAGATTTTGTTGGAAGAGCACACTTTAAGTATGTAGAAGACTACTCTGCCCACTGTGGGGTGCCAAAACTAACACGAATCAAAAGGTCCTCACAGGAGGTCTAATTATGATTTATGAATTTTTTTTTGTTTGTTTGTTTTTTGATTTTTTGCCCTCATAGCCCATTGACAAGACTAGTACAATACATGTGCTCAGCTGTTATGGCAGGGAAATGTTTAGAATAGAGTGCATATCAAGTTTTTGTGAATTTTAAGTAATTAATATTTATTTATATTTTATGTTCATAGTTTTTTTTTTATATATTTTGTGGTATTTGTGTTCCTGTTCTTTTAACAGCTTTGTGAAGGTGTTTGTTGCTTCTCTCAGTTTTTTTAGTCACACACTGCTCATATTTGCAACCGTGATTGTGCTGCAACTATTGCCAAAAATCATACAGGACTGTTTTGATTTAGAGAAAAATTTACTGACTTGCTTTTGTGCTGTTACTTCTCTTTTATCATGAGTATAAATTGTGATAACCTATTGTCTCTGTGCATTTTGTAGAAGATGTTCGGGGTGTGTGTCCATCCTCAGTTCGGCGGCTGGTTTGCGATCAGAGCTCTCTTGGTGTTCGTGGATTTGAGGGGGGACTCTGACATGCAGCAGTCTCCTCCTGCAGACTGTGTGCCGACCAGAGAGGATCGGGTCCGTTTGCTGGAAGCCTTTAATCTACACTGGCAGGTACAGACCGACGTCACAACATAGACACACCTGTGTCATGTCAGAAACACTTCAGTCAAGCTACAGGTACTTGTGTTTTCTGCCTTTAGGATTGGAGCTACAGAAACATCATCCCTCCTATCGAGACCTACTCTCAGAGACAGAGGGACTACTTTTCCTGTCCTCCCTCTGAGAGACTCAGACTGCTGAAATCGTGGGGTTTCCTGTCAGACAGTGAGGAGGCTGATGTGACAGCAGTGACTCAGAGGGAAGTGAATGGACATGGCTGACAGAGATGACAGATGAACATTGAGTTTAATCACTGGAAACACTTTAAATTAAACCTTAAATTAAAATGTAACTGATGGATGCAGACACTGATCTGAGCTCATGAACCTGTTTCAAGGTACGAAGGATCCTTTTAAATTGTTAAATAAGATCATTGGCCTTATGAATGCTACTCTTTCATGAGTTTCAATGATCACTGTACATTTAAACACTACACATTACTCCTGCTGCTTTAATTGACGCATTTCTGCCCTTTATACACTAAAGCGCGAAAAGTAGATGCTTGAGAAACAGTTACTGATCACACTGTTATGTGACTCTCTCAGGATCAACACATTCAAGCCTGTGTAACCTGTCTGCCTTTAATCTGTCCTGGCTGTCTTTAAATTTGTTTCATAAGGGGCCAAAAACTCAAAAGTGTAACTGTTTTCTAAAACATTTCTGTCCTCTTTAAAAGTGACGTCATAAACAGTAACATTCATAAAATCTTCAGAATGAAGAACTGCACTGTTGACATTTTGGAGCTTGTTTACATTAAGGGAGGAAACCACAATGGTGACACTGTTAAAAAGTTGAATTTCTCTTTTATCAAAAAACACTGAAACCTCGTCTGTTCTATACCCCAGGATTCTTTGCTGCTATTCTTCCCGCTTCTACCCCATTTCCTCCTATTTATGCTGTGTCTGTCTTATTTTACCCATTTCATGTTGATTGTCAAGCCAGGTTTATTTTGCACAGACCTATGCTGTACCTACGCTGTCGTAAGCACCACATACTTTTGTGCTGGAAATATGTACTGCCAAGCAGACCATTCACAGGGCTTGCTGTGCACATTGTTTGTAGCGTTAGCACATTTTTGAGGAGGTGCGTGTCGGCTTAACGCCTGCGATCAGGGCTATGCAGCAGATCTGACATAGGAGCATAAACCAGGACGCCTATCCTGTTCTGAACCCTGGGGGTCTGTGCTGCTGCTCTCCCTGCCTTTGTTTTTCATGTATGGCACATGGATTAAAGAGGAGGTATGCTCTCCTTAGCTCAGACTTTGGCATAGTTCATACGCAGTTTAACTCATTAAATTGATATAATAATTCTAATTGATAAAAGTGGCCCTGACAGTGTTTGAACTCTTCTAACATCAACACTCATGCACTCATGGACTTTGAGTTGTGTTCCTGTATAAGTTCAGCGTTAAGTGAAGTACCACTGTTAGATCATTAAGTGCAAAAGCTTGCTGATGTGGATTTGACAATGCCAAATAAAGCATTTTCCTTAAGTCTCCATACCCGCAGACTTTCCTGTGGGATTACCAAAAATCTGATCTAAGTTTTGTGACATGAAAGGCAGTATTGTGTTGCCCGTAACTTAATGGAAACTGGTTTAGGGATATAGAAAAGCAACATTCAGTTAAGTTTGAAATGAGACGAAATGTAAACGAAAGAAGCATGGAAGTAAAAGAAAACAAGGAAATAAGTTTATTTGTTGGCAGTTAGTAAGGGGTAGAATACAGGCTCCCTTCAGGGATTTTCATAAGGTAAAGGCCAAAGTCATCAAAATTGAAGCATGATACTTTTAATGTACCAGTTCTGCCGCTGGTGCACAGATTGCAGGACAGGATGTTGCACTCTCTCCTGTCAGAGCTGGTTGGGGTACAGTGGCTCCTCAGATTGCTCTCACACAAGTGTCACTCAAACTTGCTTTAGTATTTCTGCTCTGTGGTATGAATAGTTAATAGTGCTAACAGACCGAAGTTACTGTTTCATTGTCCTTTTTGGTATTAGAAAAATGTTTATTTTTCTCACAAACTAATCCCAAAATGTTTCAAAAAGCTTTATTTACATGCCAGAATAACTATCATATGTGGCAGAGTTATCTCAGACCTCCTCCTACCAGTTTGTTTTTTGTTTTTTTTGTTTGTATCCTATCATATTTGGTAGTATACTCAGAAGTATCACTGAGCTGTGAAACACACAAATGTAGAGAAGAGCAGCTTATATATTATCTATATCTGTGAGGTGTTTTGTCACGGTCTTTGGGTCTATACCATCTTCTCCCACTCTGCGTCCAGGTTTCAGGCTTCAAACTGGAGTTTGGGTTTGAGCCAGCGTTTCCCAGTTGTCCTGCAGCAGACTCAGAGCAGGTTATTTCCTCTCTTTGTCCTCTAGATGTCACTCTCTTCATAACAAACATGGCGCTCAGGTTAAATGAACTCTTCACTGCAGGTAATCTGTGACTTTAATCTGCTCTGAAGTTTATTAAAGTCATTTATTCTCTGTTTTTGAGACTCAATCCTGTTAGGCTGCTTGTTTGGACTCTTTATGCTTTTACTGTACATCTTTTATCACTTCACTACAACACTTCTCTCTTTCTCCTTCTTTTACTGTATCTCTCTCTTTTACTGCATCCCCCCTCCTCACCCTCCTCCCCTCTCTGTTTACTGAATCAGCGTTTCAGTTTGCTGCAGGCCTGCAGAGAGAGGCAGAGCATGGAGTTAATTATTCTCCCACAGATACCCCCCCGCCCTGGCGTGTTTGCCCTGTAGTAACTCTGCAGTAACTCTCAGTCCTTCATCTGCTGAAGATCTTTAAGGATAATTTATCCATCAGGATTTCAGCTCAGGCTCAGATGAAGATGTGAAATTCTCTGAAATATGAGTTTGATGTTGTGAGGCTCATTTTTTGAGTAGAAACACAGAAAAGAAAAGATTGAAGAGAGTTTACCACCCATAAAAGGGGGGAAGGGGGGGAAGAGGAGAAAAGCCAGCAGGGCAGCAGAGGAAGAGGAGGGGGAGGACTGCCTCAGAGTCCTTTTAATATCATCTAATATAATCTGATAATATTTAACTTTAGTAGAGTCAGAAACTAAGGGACAAAGAAGACGGAGGGATGATCTGAGAGATAAAAACAGCTTTATTCTGACTGAACCAGAGCCTGTATGTAAAAAAACAAGTTTTAAATGAAATCATGTTTTATTAGACACAGAGTTTAGGTTATATAGGAGCCAGAAGGAGCTCAGCTCTTAGAGAAGGAGCCTGAGCTTCAGTGAGGCACGTTAGTTTAAAATCAAACTTTTTATGTAACCAACAACTATGACATTTGGTTTCACAGCAAATAATGTGTTTTTAATTGTAGCATAAGCTCCAATGAATATGACTGAGGTGAATTAACTGAACACAGTGTGATGAAATTTGTATGCATGAAAGAGACAGAAAGAGAGGAAAATGTGTATTGCACCACTCACTTAGTCGTTTACTTTATGGTTGTGTTCACAATTGCATACTGTCTTATTATTCCTTTAAATCTACTCCTGTTGGAAGTACTTTAAAGACCCTGTTAGAGCCCATAGTATATTCTGAACCTTCTTAAAATAGCATTACATAGATTAGTGTAAACAATTTTGCAAAAGTACCAGGTGAACATGCATGCATACATTTTATTTATAGCTTTTGCTATAAAAATGAGCACATTTCTCTTTTTTAAAGGCAAAACCTTCTTATTCAAATTTTGAGCCGCTCATTTGCAGCAGACAAACTATGTGTTTCAAATGGGCAGTGGATATTCAGACAACATGCACAAAGTTATTTATGTTATTTATTTATTTATTTAACCTTTATTTAACCAGGTTTGTCCCATTGAGATCTGAGGATCTCATTTGCAAGGGAGACCTGACCAAGAATGGCAGCAATACATAGTAACAACAAACAGTCACACAGACTCAATACAGAACAAAAATGTGAGGAAACATCAGTTAAAACAGAGACATTCTGAGAGTTTGGACTCCAGCCTTTTAACTGCAGATTTAAAAACAGTCAAAGACACCAAGTTTTGCAGCTTAAATTCAGTCTGCAGGTCATTGCATGCAGAGGGGGCAGAGAACCTGAAAGCCTTCTTTCCCATTTCAGTTCGGACTCTGGGGACAATAAACTGTGTAAATCTCAATGATCTCAGGTTGTGTAATCCACCGTTTAAGATCAATAAGAAGGAGAGGTAGTCCAGAATTTTACCAAGAATGCCTTTGTAAATGAAAACACCAATGACCAAGCCGACGAGTACTTAAAGAAGTCCAACTGACTTTGGAGTATAAAGGACAGCGATGAGTTAAAATCTCAGAGCTCCATGGTAAACACTGTCCAACATTTGCAGACTCTTGGCAGAGGCATTCATGTATAAATCATCATCAAACAGAGGTAAGAATGTGGACTCTACAAGTCACTTTGTGTGTACCAAATGTGCAGTAAAAGAGGGTTAATATGCAGCTATAATATTTACAATTTATGTATCACAAATGTATAAAACATTTAAGGCTTATTTGGAGCGAACATAAATCTAAATGTTCACCTCTTAAAAAGCAAATTGTAGGGTTATGTCCCACAAATAATAATGTTCAGCAAATGTGCAGTGAATGGGGTGCTAACAAACAACATCTGGACATCTAATGTGCACCAATTGTGAAGGAAATGTGGAACAAACGTGCAGAGTCTGTACAACTTATGTGCAACAAATATAAGGTTAATGTGCAGCAAATACGAGCCCTATGTGCACTAAATGTGTAACTAATGTTTAAGTGTTTAGGGCTAATTTGCAGCAAATATACAACTTATGAGCAGTAAATGTCCTGCAAACGTTTAACCAATGTGCATCAAATATGCAGGAAATGTAAGGAAAATGTGCAGGAAAAGTTTGGCTAATGTACAACAAACAAATGTGCAGCAAATTTAATGATTTTGCATCAAATATGATCCAAAATGTTCAGCATCTGTACAACTTCTGAGCAACAAATTGAAGCTACTGTTCGGCATCTGAAAAACCTGTGTACAGCAAATGTGCGGTAAATGTAAGGCAAATATGCAGCACATTTTGAAACGTGGTTGATGTGAGGTTCATTTTAGCATTTTTCTTATTAGCAGCTTATTGTGCAGAAACTGGAAGTCACTGGAATCACTTGTGGCCCCACGATACGATATTATAACGATTTTAAGCATTTTGCGATACAGTGACTATTGCAATACAACATATTGCGATTTATACAATTTTTTTTAACTGTTTAGCTAATTTAGCATTTGTCTTTCCTTTAAGTTTGTCTTATTTACGCTTTATTTTATTTTCATGTAGCACATCTTGCAAACCTTATATATTTTGTTGCTCTAACTTTCTCCTGCTTTATGATGTCACCTCTGCCGACCTCACTGGACAAACAGTTGATTTTATTTTGACATTAGTATAGATTTGACTTCATATTAGCAATTAATTAGAAAAATTGATACTTGATAAATGAGAAGATAAGATATATCATCAAACAAAATATTGCGATACTATGCTGTATCGATTTTTTCTCCCACCCCTACTGAACATTACCTACAACAGCGAAATATAGCAAATAATATGTTTTAAATGTATTTACTATAAATGAAATTAAAAAGATAAATAGGTTAAAACTTACATAGTTGTATGTGTTACTATGTGCATCTATGTGTCATGAGCTCTCAGGCATTACAGTTAGGCTGAGGTGAATGAGTTGAATGAAGTGAATGAGCTGTTGTGTGTGTGTTTGGACCACAGACTGAACAGATTACTTTCTGGATTCAAAGTGCACCTTTCTATCTTCACCTTTGGCATAATGATTTGTTTTTTTAGAGATCATCACAGAGCTCTTATTTTTACTGGAGCCCTGATTAAAATGGCATTAAATAGATTAAAGTGTCCACAATTTTGCAGCAGTACAGGGTATCCATACAACTATTTATACAGCTTGCTGCGATAACAAGAATATTTTGGTTGTTTGGTCAGTTTAGTCGTCATTACCACATTTATCTGATCACTACCAGGCAACAACACTCATTTGACAAAAATCAAGTTTCTGTCTCAAGAAGTCAACTCATTATATTAGTATCTCCTCATTTTGTGCTTTAAAACTCTGAGGATACCAGGAATGATCATTTGATATTCAGAAGAATTCTCCAGAAAATGACAGAAAGACAGGCGATGCAAGTGTGTAGGGATTTTGTAACCCATACATATGCAGAGTTTAAATAAAACAGAATTATCAGTAATGTAATATATAAATCCAACAGACGTACATGATCTCTGCCTCAGCGTGTTTCCACAGCTTTAACTTTTAAAACCAGCCTCTTATCAGTTCTTGGATTAGCATAATTAGCTGGTCCTCTGACTCAGACCCCCCTCTAAACACACACACACACACTCACACACACACTGAGATTGGTTGTTTGTATTCAGCAGAGGACCAATCACACTGAGAGGACAGAGAGGAGGACGATCAGGATTATTTCACTGTTAGACTCAACAAATGAAAAACCAAGATCACACAAACAGGTTTAAAACTTGAAGAACATTGAAATGACTTTAAGGTTCGCAAAAACTTAAAAATAATCTGACCATAAAAGATTTGTAACATAATACTTCAAGCTTCTTTGTCCTCACAGCACGAGTAAAGAACAATCACCAGTCCAACAGACTCACACTGACGATACACAAACAGAGGAATCTCACACACAGACGTGGACAAAATTGTTGGTACCCTTCAGTTAATGAAAGAAAAACTCACAATGGCCACAGAAATAACTTGTATCTGATGAAAGTAATAATAAATATTCAACAACAGAATATGAAACAGGCCTGGACAAAAATGATGGTACCCTTAACTCAGCGCTTCTCAAGTCCAGTCCTCGAGGCCCACTGTTCTGCATGTTTTGGATGTTTCCCTGCTCCAACACACCTGATTCAAATGATCAGCTCGTTATCAAGCTCTGTAATGGCTTAATAACGAGCTAATCATTTAAATCAGCTGTGTTTGAGCAGGGAAACATCTAAAACATGCAGGACAGTGGGGGCTAGAGGACTGGACTTGAGAAGCACTGCCTTAACTTGATATTGTGTTGCACAACCTTTTGAGGCAATCACTGCAATCAAACAATTCCTTTAACTGTCAATGAGACTTCTGCACCTCTAAGCAGGTATTTTGGCCCACTCCCCATGAGCAAACTCCTCCACTTGTTTCAGGTTTGAAGGGTGCCTTATCCAGACGGCATGTTTCAGCTCCTTCCAAAGATGCTCAATGGGATTTAGGTCAAGTCTCATAGAAGGCCACTTTAGAATAGTCCAGTGTCTTCATCTTAGCCCTTCTTGGGTGTTTTTAGCAGTGTGTTTTTGGGTCATTGTCCTGTTGCAAGACCCATGACCTGTGACTGAGACCAAGCTTTCTGACACTGGCCAGCACATTTCTCTCTAGAATTCCTTGATAGTCTCGAGATTTCATTGTACTCTGCACAGATTCAAGACACCCTGAGTTAGATGCAGTAAAGCAGCCCCAGAACATAACAGAGCCTCCTCCATGTATCATGGTAGGGACAGTGTTCTTTTCTTGATATGCTTCATTTTTCAATCTGTGAACATACAGCTGATGTGCCTTGGCAAAAAGTTCCATTTTTGTCTCATCTGTCCATAGTACATTCTCCCAGAAGCTTTGTGGTTTGTCAACATGTAGTTTGGCAAATTCCAGTCTGGGTTTTCTATGATTTGTCATCAACAATGGTGTCCTCCTTGTTCGTCTCCCATTAAGTCCACTTCGACTCAAACAACAATGGATGGTGTGATCTGACGCTGATGTTCCTTGAGCTTGAGGTTCACTTTTAATCTCTTTAGAAGTTTATCGGGGCTCTTTTGCTACCATTTGTATTATCAGTCTCTTTGATTTGTCATCAATTTTCCCTCCTGCAGCCACATCTAGGGAGGTTGGCTACAGTTCTTAAACCTCTGAATAATATGTGCAACTGTTGTCACAGGAACATCAAGCTGCTTGGAGATGGTCTTACAGTCTTCACGTTTAACATGCTTGTCTATAATTTTCTTTCTAATCTCCTGAGACCACTCTTTACTTCACCTTCTCTGGTCCATGTTGAGTGTGGTACACACCATGTCACCAAACAGCACAGTGACTACCTGTAGCCCTATATACAGGCCCACTGGCTGATTACAAGATTGTAGACATCTGTGATGCTAATTAGTGGACACACCTTGAATTAACACATTTGGTCACATTATTTTCAGTCTTTTCTAGGGGTACCATTATTGTTGTCCAGACCTGTTTAATGAGTTTATTTTTTCAAATAATTCTGTTGAGCCACAGTTCAAAATCAATATTGGGTTTTCATT